AAATGATAGATGTTCCCGATGAGCACAAAAAATCAAGTTCCTAGAGCAACGGTCGATATAACTCGCTCCACAAACGCAGTTGAACTGGTAGATACAATTAAAAGTGGCTGGTTTAGGTACTTCATCTTTCAACTGGGGAATCACCGTCGGTCGTGTAGAAAATATAACTTATAGTTCACCAGCATTACAAATTCTTTGAAGGGATTTTGCGTCGGTGGCACAGCGGTTAGGATGCTCGCCGACCATGCACATGGTCCGGGGTTCGATCCCTGGCCGACGCACACCCGATATCTATGGTCGGCCTGCAAAATTTGGGCTACCGATATCACATGCTGAAAATTTCATACTTGTATCAAAAATACGGTGTGGAGTCAAGCTATAATAATAATAAAAAAAACTTGTTAGTAATTATTTCACTAGGTGCGTCACCCTTGAATTGTAGTCGTAAAGGCATCTTATTTACAGATGGAGAATAGTCCTTTTCTGCTTTCTTGGTTATATATTTCCTGATGAACTTTTCTAGATAGATATTTTCAATTAGGGTGCCATATGCAATCCTTAGTTCATCTTCAATTACCTCTTCTGAGCATATAGCTCTAACCCTGTAGCTGAGGGTCCTTACTAAATTTCTTTTGTCTTGGAGAGGAACGAAACTACGAAAATGTGTATACTGTCCTGTTCATGTGCTTTTCCTGTGCAAAACCGCCAGCAGTTCTGTATTACATCACCTCATTCAAACAAGCCACAAGGATACCATTAAACAGTCTTTTCCTACCGTCTGTGGGGTAGTAAACAAACTATTAGAAGCCGCCAAATACCAAACACTCCAAACAGCAGTGGCAATTTCGATTCGCTTAATACAATCGTAGCTCTGTGTGCAAAAGAAACAGGTTCAACCACTATTGCCACCCTGATCTGCTGTTGAATCCATAAACTCATAACTTCTTTAATCATTACACGTCCAGACAAAGGTTCGGGAGTGGTCCTTATGGACAGAGATGTGTATATCAACAAGTTGACAGCTCTAATCTCTAATGATAATAAATTTTCAAAACCAGACAATGAGAAGAATAAGATAGAGCAGATGGAACAGCAACTGACAGATGTTCTTAGGAGAATGAAGAACGACTACCTCATAACTGAGGACCTATTTGAACGTCTGAGACCAACAGGATCCATTATCCCTCGACTATATGGTCTACCAAAGGTACACAAAGCAGGCCTACCACTTCGACCAATTTTGGACATGGAGGGATCACCGTACCATCCCATTGCCAAATGGTTATCCGAGATGCTGGAGCCTGTGAGACGACAACTCTGTAAGTACTCTCTACGAGATACGTTTGAATTTATTGAGTGCATAAAAGACCTGAATGTAAATGGCAAACGAATGTTATCACTGGACGTGGAATCTCTATTTACGAATGTGCCGCTCACAGACACAATTTGTTTCCTTTGCAAGTATATTGATGACAAAAATCTGAGTATCGGAATACCAACCTTATACCTAAAAGAGTTGTTATTAAGGTGCACACTCAACGTACAATTTACGTTCAACGACGTCATCTATAGACAGAAAGACGGGATAGCTATGGGTTCTCCCCTTGGCCCACTCCTAGCAGACTGCTTCATGGCTAGCATGGAAAACGGCATCCTTAAACCAACAATGAACAAATTGCTGCTGTACAGAAGATACGTCGATGACACTTTTACAGTTTGTCAAGACGATTCCGATTTAAATTGCATCTTACAGGAGTTTAATAACTGTCGTCCTTCAATTAAATTCACAATGGAAGTTGAAAATAAATCAAGATTCCATTCTTGGACGTCGAATTGACAAGAAGAGACGACGGAACTCTGAAAAGATCTATCCATAGAAAACCAACATGGAATAGCCAGCTGACAAACTTCTACAGTTGGATACCTATCAGCCGCAAAAGAGCTCCCATCATCTCACTAGCCCACTGCACCAGAAGAATCTGTAGTGATGACTGTTTAGAAGAAGAGCTCCTATTCCTAAAAAGCATTCTGGTTCAAAATGGATACCCACCGCGTTTCGTGGAGAAGAACATGAAACCAAGGCCAAAAAGAGAAGAATACACTTCAGTGCAAAAGAAGACACTCTATCTGAATCTGGAATTCAGGGAAACCTGGCAGCAGATATCCTTAAAAGGAGAATCTCCAAATCCCTGAAGAAGACTTTTCCGGCAGCAACTCTAAGAGTGACATTCTCTAGCCGCCCACTTCTTCGGAGCAATGGGAAGGACAAACTGTCACATATGACCAGTTCAATGTGCATTTACCAGTTCACCTGCTCGTGCGGAGCAAGGTACATAGGTCGTTGTATGCGCGTCCTTTCAAAACGTGTTAGAGAACACTACCCAGCGTGGCTGCAAAGAGGAGGCACCAGTTCAATCAGAAGTGCCATTATTGAGCATCTGATCAATACCTCCCACAAAATCTCAACTGATTCATTCAAAGTAATTTACAAAGTCAACAGGAACCTACCGAAAGCAGTTTGTTTCCGACTTCTCTGTACTGCAGAAGCCCTCGCAATATGCATCGAGAAGCCGGAGCTGTGTGTCCAAAAGAAATTAGTCCAACCTCTACAACTACCATGGACTTGGTTCGGTATGTTACCGTAGCTTCCGTTTTGTTTTTTTTGCTTTTGTTTTTTGATCCCTTTTCGTTCGCTATGTGTGTGATTCTTACTCCCTCAGTCTTCATTCGATTCACCCCATTTTTTTTCCAGTTATAAAAACAGTTATTTTAAGTTTGTTTCCACGCTTTTCCTATTCACATTTATAATCCGTTTTAAAAATTTGCAATTATATCTTAATCCTGTGCAATTTTTGTGTTTCTAAGGCTCTTGTAATCTATATTCACACCTCCTAACTTCCATTTTAAGTTAAAACTATTATATCAATTTTGTATCCATGCTCATTTTTACACACTTGATATGCGTTCTAATCCTGCGTAATTTTGTTTCTAAGCCTCTCGTAAAACCATATCTAGTTTGAAACAATTATCACCTTTTATTCGCCGTCATAATTATGTAGAATTAAACAAGAATTGTCTCCATGTGAAATTATGTATTTAAATGCGATTGTACAGCTTTTGAAAATGAAATCGCCGAAAAGATATCTTTGCTGAACTTCTTATTCTTCTCAATCTAATGTTCCAATGGGTATTTTCCACGATTCTCAATTATTTCTCTTAATTTATTTGATATTCACTTTATTATTACATTTTTATGCATACTGTCATTCATAGAGGCTTTCGAACTGTAATCTATCTAAATTATTGATTTAATATAATTTAAAATATTAGTGTTGTTGATAACAATAATTTTTTAATTATTATTGACATGCAAATGTAGGACCTGATGAAGAAGTTATCGCCAAAAATATTCTTTGTTCACTAATCTTTTAAAGTGCAAATTTAGACATTCCCATTTGTACATTTTTGAAAAAAAAATATATTCTTACTTAATTAGTTCTACACCAATAACTCTACACTAGTAGTATATATTTTACATGAGAGTTGTACTAATCATATGGTGCTCTGTCAGTCAATAAGAGAGATCACTTTTATGGTATAGGAGGGGTGAAAATAAATGAATTAAAATCATCGAAACAGTTCATTAGTAGAAGTTGACAACAGATTGTTAGCTAAGAAGAAATATACATTTTCCATGTATAGAAGGGGTGTAAATAATTACGGAATTCAAAATCAGTTAATTCGTAGAGGTGATCGACAAGTTATTGCATAATCAAAATTTCTAGAATAACGATGACTAAGAAGACTAGATGAGTGAATTACGCAAGAATGTGAAGATACAAGCAAGTTAACTGAATTATCTAGAATAATAATCATTATAAAATAACAATGTCAAATGACAAAGATAAGAAGAAAATTTTCAAGTATTGGTTTTGTAGGGAATTTTGTTTGATTGGCTACAGGATTTCATCATGAGATGACATCGGTTAGAGAACCATTGGAAAACCTGCAGGGAGTACTGGACAGCTGTTTCGTCAGCCTAGTTTAGGACTCTTCAGTACTCCCAGGTTTTCCAATGGTTCTCTAACTGATGTCAGCTTATGATGAAGTCCTTCAACTAGTCAAACAAAATCCCCTGCAAAACCAATACTTGAAAATTGAAATGATGTTCACTAGAGACCGGCCCTATTGAGGCGGTTAACCTGGGGTTTTAGTGGGGAGCCATGACCAGTAGGGTGCAGCAGGTTGAAGGTGAGGCAGTAACTCATCGAAGAAGACATTCAGAAGTGGTCGAGCTATGTCATGAATTGGCAGAAGTTAGAATTCATGAGCTGGCTGGCCATTGTGTCGGGTCCCAGTGCCTTAATGGTCAACGAGCTCGCTAGCCTTGTAACCAGATGGTCGTGGGTTGAGTGCGTACTGATGAAGAGTCCCAGACTGGGATGAAACAGCTGTGCATTACTGCCTGCAGGTTTTCTAATGTTCTCTAACTGATATCAGTCCGTGATCAACTCGTAAAAGGAAAATCATTTGTAAGACTCTGTACAACATAGTTTATGGAGAGCTATGGCAAAGGAAAAGACTCCAAAAATTTCTTTTGAACATGTATTTTTGGTTTGTACAGATGAATTCTGATCATCAAGCTGTGGTATGTATAAGTTGTACTCGTAGAGCATGCAAAAGGTTAGGTGAAATACGACAAATAACTTTTAGAACTCTGTTAGTGTCGACAAGATGAGCCAGTACTCAGCTGCATATCGCTTAGTTTTTTACTTTTCTAAATCATAAATTAATTCAGACAAGACATAGTATTGAAAATCATGAAATAAACTTACATTAGTTTTAGCGTTAGAGACAAAATCATTCATAACTGTATTCAAAGGAGCTGCTGGACTAATCTGGAATAAAATCTGATGATTACGAATAGTTGATCAAAGAAATGAAACACAATGCAACATTTTGCATAGTTTTATAACTAATGCAAATATAACAAGACTTATATGAATCAAATACCGAGAAAAGGTTTAATATATTCAGTAATCCAGCAAGTGCTACAAATAGGTGGAAATATGTAGGACAGGTCAAAGAAAGCATAGCGGATCAAATAGTCAGATTTTGCCAGAGCATGCATTTTGATAATAAATATAATTAAAAAGATATTGAGAAGTGAACAAGGGAAAGAGGAAATCGATTCCTGACTGAATAATAATAAGGTTCGCACCCAGATGGATTAACAGGTACGGCTAGTGCAATTCAGGACATACATTTCGTCATTACTCAGGACTCATCAGTCAGGTGTATTGCATCCCGGTAAGTGATAATATTCCCGCTGAGATGATGCGAACCCAACAACCAACCTTGCTTAATTTCACATTATTTGGCTAAAAGGGCAGAGTCGATAAAAAAAAATACCTTCACTATTCTGATATCAGTGTGGAAATCTGCTACGCTCAACATACAGAACAAGATTCGGATTTTCAACATTAATGTCAATTCAGTGCTTTTATATGTTTCACAGACTTCATCAGAAGCATTTTCGACAGACTACTACAAACCTTCATCAACAGCTGCCTTCGTTGCACACTGAAGACTAGATGGCCAACCGGAAAGGATAATCCATTAGGAACTCTGGTAACAAACCACTCAACAATCTATCGCCCCAAAATTATGCCACAGACAATGGAGATGGATTGAACATGTGTTGAGTGAAATCACAAACGAGGCCCTTGCGTGAACCTGAATTGGAAACGAAGAGTTGGGCCTCTGAGGGCGACATGTAGGAGATCATGTGAAGAGAAAATGGTCATTGAGACATATGGAAAGGACTGCAGAGAGCAGGATGAAGTGGGAATTTGCTGTTAAAGCTCTACATTCCACTAGGAACTCAAGGGAACAATGATAATAATTTTCGTAAACAATATAAAGGGGTAAAAGATGTTGTTGATACATAGTTTATTTGGCTAATCGTTAATTTCAGGAATTCTATTTACAATCTTCCCTTTTCCCTTATTCCCATTTGTAGACTGTTTATTCCACTGGATACTTTGAAATTCTTACCAGAGACAACAAGGTGAGTATTATTTTTACCACTACTTTATACATTACGTAAAAGAGAAATTTCCAAATAAATATTTGAACAAACCTATGAAACTTCCTTGTTTTGAATAATGAATACAACTTGAAGTCAATTGGTGGTTGGTGACTAGCAGTGGAATCTAGGATGCGCATTTTGTTCGACTTTGGACTCATCATCCGGATGTACCTGCATTTCCCAATGAGTCAGGGATGGTGTTTCCACCGAGGCTCAAACCCAGTGCCCGTAGTTTCAAACACCAGAGCGTTATCCACTAGACCACTTAGGTGACGAATGATGCTGGTTACCATCCACCAACTAACTTCAAGTTTTCAAAAGAATGGACACGGAACAAAGAGTACTCTTTTCGATAAATTCATCATCAGGTTCTACAATTATATATACACTATAATGAATGAATGAATTAGTCTTATGAACGGCATTAATGTTTAAATAACATCAAATCAATAATATTGATAAATTATAGCTGAACAGCATCAACATCAAATAAAGTGAATGTCAGGAGAATTAGGAAAGGTAATAGTACAAATTCATTAGTTTATAGTCTCTACTGAGGGCCAGGAAAGTAGAAGGGGCTGGACTTGTTTCTTTTGAACACAGCACTGGTTGTTTGAGGCGAATTGCAATAGCCTCTGCTGTTTGGAGCAAGCGGTGCTTCGACGATTTTGGTAGTTTGTTAGGCACCCGGTATATTATAGAGAAGGATTCTTCCACTCTGGCTGGCTTTGTGACCGGTTTGCACCAGATGGTCTAATATCGAGCTGTTGATAGTTTTAACTAGGCCTTTACTTAGCCATAGTGGGATATGTTCTAGAGCATGAAAAATCAATTTCCTAGAGCAACGGCCAATATAACTCTCTCCACAAGCGCAGTTGAATTGATAGATACAATTTGAAGTGGCTAGTCTAGGTACTTCACCTTTCAGTCAAGGTAGCACCATCGGTCGTGTAGAGAATAAGACGTGTAGTTAGCCAGCATTAAAAGTTCTTTGAACTGATTTTCTTAATTTCTTCCTGATTAACTCACTTGGTATATCGCCAATGAATCGTAGTCGTATATAAAGTGGCTTCTTGTTTACAGACAGTGAGTAGTCCTTTTCTGCTTTCTTTGTCTTATGTTTCTTGATAAATTTGTCAGGATCATCATTTTCGATTAAAGTATCATATACAATGCTTAATTCATCTTTAATTACTTCTTCAGATCATATAGTTCTAACTCTGTGGCTAAGGGTCTTCACTAAATTTCTTTTGTAATTGATAGGCACAAAGCTGTGAAAGTGTGTTTATTGTCCTGTCCAAGTGCTTTTTCTATGCAAATTTCTTTTTATGCTACCGTCTGGTTTTCTTGTAAGTAGGACATCGAGGAAGGCAATTCTGTCTTGTGATTCCTCTTCGCATGTGAATTTCATAGCCGAATGTACTTCATTGAATTCAGTAATTATTGTACTCCTATCGGAACCATTGTCACAAAGAATGAAGGTATCATCCATATATCGGCAATAAAATGAGAGCTTACTGATAAGGTTGTTCAGAGGTCCATTTTCTAGCTTACTTAGAAAGAAATCAGCCAGGCATCGTCGAAGCATCTGCACAAGGGATTGGCATGTTAACCAGAAACCGGTCACTTCGGTTCAATTAATCGACAGGAAAATCCAAAGTGAATTAAATCCTGAATATAATTGTTTCCTAGGTATTATATCACCTTCATGTTTGAATAAGTATCTTAGTCTGTGTGATTATTAGTTTCATTTATTGTTTCTCATGTTTTCTTTGCATTTTTATACAGTCCATTGAATTTAGTACAATTTTGCGCTGAAATTAATCGTAATACACGGTATAATACAATTTTAATGTCACATATAACAAGGTGTGTATTTACTATATGCAAGTATACAAGATGTACTCTGGCTAAATTAATACATTGTAAAGAGGATGAATTAAACTGGAATTCTAAGTAAGCTGAACAATTTTTAAAAATTTCTGTAATTATCAAAGTTAGATTCTGTTTTAAATCTTTGAAATCTAAATGGAACATAGGACTTCAGGGTTTTGCAGTTTCATTAGCGATGGTTGTAGTGACCGAAACCGAAGTATTCTAGTCTGAACGTATAGCTAACCAAACCTCCTTGAATAAATTACAGTTTTTACGAGTTACAGTGTCAAAATGTACTGACAGTAGTAAAATGACAATTATATGCGATAAAAAACCTGTGGTACTATTAAACAAGTATAACATATTGAAAACGAAAAGTTACCTCAACAATGCCATTAGACAGCTATACAGTTCAAGAATTTCTCAATTACAAATAAGTAATGTACAACGAAGTTAGTTAACCAATAAACAACCTTAAGAAGTGCTTGAGAATCAGAAAGAATATTCCCAACCAAGTGGGATCAAACCACTGTGGGCAAGAATCAAACACACCAAACACTTCCATCTGACAGTCCAAAGTGAAAATCCCTACAACACAGCCTTGAATTCATTCAAACAAAATCACAATCGAAAAACAATATATTACCAACACCATCACATGGCTGCAAAGAGAACCATCGAAATTAGGAACTGAACAAGAAATTAAGACAAATAATAGAGATTAAGTTAACAGATGATATGCAAGCGCTGGAATAATGATATACGGTCTAGCAGAAAAGAGGATAATGATTAAAAAGTTAGTTGAAACTTTCAAATGAATTTAAATATTGTAAACAGATCTTTCAGGAGGGATTTTTCAAACAGTTATTCCATTATAGTGGTATTTTTTTTCAAGAGGTGGGATTCCTGAACTTACGGCATGGTTAGGAATCATACTTGTGTTCACTCCTAGTAAAATATTAATGCGTATGACGCTGGAAGTAGAAGTGCGCCTGGAACAAGCTGGATTCAAGAAAATTACAACGCTACGAATCATCATCGGATAGAACACAAACTAGTAATCAACTCCTTCTAACTCAGCTTCATCGACTTTGGAAGTGCCTTCGACAGCGTCGACCGTGAAGTAATTTAGAAGCTGTTTTAACACTACTCAGCGCAGTGCCTCAAATCTTTATAAACCTTATTCGACAGATACAAGATGACGTCATATGTCAAATGATTCACAATGGAAAACTCAGTGAAATCTTTAGAGTGAAAACATCAGTGACACGAGACTGTCTTCTGTCACCGACAATATTCCTGATTGTGGTTTGGCTAGAGCATGCGAGAAACCATGAGGAGTGATAAGACACGAATACACTGGACCGACGATAAGACTCTAGAAGAACTGAACTTCACATACAATTTATGTAAAATGTCACATAAATTCGAAGATATACAGGTAAAAACTACCAAGTCTGTACCAGAGGTTGGAATCAAAGACGGGACTTAAGGTGAACAGATAAAAAACTAAGTTGATGAAGATACCTGGCCAACAACAAGTATCAGTCACCATTAACAGGAGAAATCTAAAGAAGGCTGTCTCTCCCACTTCTCTGTGCAGCATTGTTTCGACCGTAGGAAGCACACATGAGAATGACAAAGCTAGGATTAGAAAAGCAAGAGAGACCTCCATCACCCTGTAATGAGAGTGATCTACTGCTTTCAGCATACGCATTAAAATTTGAACTTTTAACACTAATGTCAAGTCAGTTCCTCGACATGGTTCAGAGACTTGCCGTGTCGTCAAGAGCATTTCTAAAAGGCTTCAAACTTTCATCAGCAGCTACCTTCGATTCCTCCACACTGAAGATTAGATGGATGTCTGGAAAACTAGACATGGAACTCTCAGGTGCAACCAGCCAACCAAGGACCTATTACCTAATAAGTATGCTGAAGGAAATGGAGATCGGTTGGACGTAAATTGAGGAGACCATTTAGTTCATGTGCCAGACTGACACTTAAAGGGGAGGGGAGTAATAACCTAGGATTATGGGTAACTCTGAAGCTGGCTTAAAAAGACTGCAGAGAACAGGATGAAATAGAGATGCACTTTTGAAGGCCTATGTTGTACATGGAAACCAAAAGGAAAATTATAATATTGTAATAATATGACAATTTAATCAGGAGACCCTATAAATATAATGATAGCTGTATACTTAAAATCTTCTTAAGCACAATTACTACGTTGTTGAAAACTTGAGAAGACTAAATAATACATTGAGTCTACCAACAGCATACATGGCCTGGAGTATTACTAAAGATCGTCTAAGTATTACGCAGGAACGATTAAGATTTCTATCGTAGCTCAGCCAATTATGGTTACGAGGAAAGTAACATTAAATCACAGCACAATGATAATTATTCCCCATTATTTAAGTTATATACTATATATTATTATTCCGCTGGATTCCAAGTGGAACATAGGGCTTCAACAACACATCTCCACTTTGTTCTACTTTCTGCTGTCTTCTTTAGCTGGGTCCACGATTGCCCGTAATCTCTCATCGCCTCCTAACACGACCTCCTCCATGTCATCCTCGGACGACTCACTCGTCGTTTCTCATCAGGATTCCACTCGATCGATGACCTGCATTACGCACGATGTCATTCGGCAGTCTTCCCGGTATGTGCCCAATCCATCTCCATTTTCTCCTACATATTTGTTGAACGATAGGTTCTTAGTTAGTTTGTTCCCATGTTCTTGTTGCTAGTTCTTTCTGGTCGGCTGGCCATTTGAGAGCTAGCGAAGGTGGCAGCTGTTGATAAAAGTTTGCAGTGGCATGTTGGAAATGCCTTTTGTGAAGCGCAGGCCAAATTTCTGACCCGTTTAGTAGAAGTGGCTAACTTAAAAATTGTGTTGAAAATCCTAATCTCTTTATTAATTGGTTAAGTGCAGAAGATTCCCAAACTGTTTTCAGGTTGATGAAGGTATATCTTGCCTTTCCGATTCTGACTAGCTTTGAAATCTTTACGCGTTCCTCCTTTTGTAGTCGAAACAGTGTTTCCTAGATGAGTGAAGGAAGTTACCTCTGTCAAATCTCTCCCGTTGATAGTGATCATCTCTGTTTGTTGGTTGTCTTCATCACCTCCGTCTTCTCTAGATTCACCTGCAGCCCTGTCTTCTCTGCTAGCCTCTTCATCCAGTTTGTTGGTTTTCACCTGCAATTCTTCGAGTTTGTGTGACTTTAGACATATATCATCTACTAAATCAAGACCTTCAAGAGTCTTGTTATCCGTGGTCGAACGTATTCCTGTCTTCTCACTCCCTGTGCAAAGTTTGAAACACAATCCAGTCCGCCAAAATTAAGAATGTTATAGGTGGTAATAGGAGGCTGCCTTGTCTTTCTCCTGTATTCACTTCGAACTCCTCATTGAGTTTTCCGTCATGGATCACCTGGCACGTGGCATCATCGTCATATAGCCAGCTGTTGATTGAGGTTGATAAAAACTTGGGCACTGCACGCCGTAGCGTTGAAGTAGTTTCCAAATTACTTCCCTGTTAACACTGTCTAGTGAGGGTCTTTTCGAAGTCAATGGAGTTAAGGTAGGGGTTTAACTGCCATTGTATGCGTACAGTTGCAATTTGATCACCATGTGATTAGCCTTTCCTGAATCCAGCTTGTTCCGGCAGGCGGAGTTCTGCGTCAAATGCATCTTTTATTCTCTCCGGCATGACGCGACTTAACTGTTTACTCGCTGTGAATAAGGGCATGATTCCACGTCAGTTATTGCAGAGTGAGGCGTAAGTCCCCCTTCTTTAGCAGCTTGACAAGGTAGCTAACCTTTCTTCCAATCGGTAGGCACTTTTCCTTCCTTACAAACCTTTTGCATCATTATTTTTCTTTTTTCTTTTATTTACTAGTGTTTGTAATTTATTTTTTACTTTTACCAAAAAAGAGATATAAATCAAACTAAATCAATGTGTGAAACATGGACTAAAGGCTTAGAAATAAAAAATGATCTGGAAAATTTACGTAATCAATTGATGAATTTTCCTAAATTAATACAATGTATACGATATCGATTGGCAAGTGTAATTTTGCATAAATTTCAATCAAGTATACAAATCTATATGCATATTAATGAGAAGAATATGAACACAAGTCAAGGAGAACAAAGCAAAGAAGAAGAAAAGAATAGTAAATTAACTGATGTTATTAAAGAAGAAGAGACAATACAGAAAAACTATCGTGTAATTGTTTATCCTGTCCTCCTCAGACAGCTTGAAGGTAGGTTTACATGAGTAATAAACTAGGCTGCACATTAATGACTAGTATCTTGTTCATATTCTATTGTGGAAAATACCCATCGGGACACTGGAGGGAAAAGAGCAAGAGGTTCAGCAAAGGTATCTTTTCGGCAATTTCATTCTCAAAAGCTGTACAATCGCATTTAAATACATAAATTTACATAGATACAATTATTATTTGATTCCGCATAATTACGAAGGCGAATAAAATGGTGACAATTATTTTCAACTTGATATGGATTACGAGACGTTTAGAAACAAATAATTACACAGGATTAGAATGCAATTTTGTAAAATAGTTATTCTGAACGAATTACAAGTGTGAGCAGGCAAAGCATGGAAACAAACTTAAAATAATTGTTCGTATAAGTGAAAAAATGGGGTGAATTGAATGAAGACAAAGAGAGAAGAATCACACATACAGCGAACGAAAAAACAGAGGCTAAGGGAACATACTGAACTAGGTCCACGGTAGTTGTAAAGGCTGGACTAGTTTCTTTTGAACACACAGCTCTGGCTTTTCGATGCAGATGGCGAGGGCTTCTGCAGTACAAAGAAGTCGGAAACACACTGTCTTTGGTAGATTTCTGTCTACTTTGTAAATAACTCTGAAGGATGAGTCAGTTAAGATGCTGTGACAGGTATTGACGAGGTGTTCAGTTATGGCGCTTCTGAGTGAACCAGTGCCTCCTCTTTGCAACCATTCTGGATGATGTTCTCTAACACATTTTGATAAGACCCGCATAGAACTACCTATGTACCTACTTCTGCATGAGAAGGTGAACTGATATATGCACATTGAAGTGGTCATATGTGGAAGTCTGTCCTTCATGCTGCTCAAAAGTAGTGGGCGGTTAGAGAATATTACTCTTATAGTTGCTGCAGGAAAATTCTTCTTCAAGGAATTGGAGATTCTCCTTTGCTGCTAGGTCTCTCTTGAATTCTAGATTCAAATAAAGTGCTTTCTTTGGTACTGAAATGCATTCTTCCCTTTTTGGCTTTGTAAACTGAGCTCGGAGATTCATTGTCAAATATGTTTTATTGTGTGTTATTCCCTTGAGTTCCCAGAAGAACATAGTGATTCGACAGTGAATTCCTATTTCACTCTGTTCTCTGCGGTCCTTTCTATCTGGATCCATGATAGCCTGTAGGCTTTCATCTTCTCCCTATTCGATCCCTTCATGCCATCCTCCGATAACCAGCTTGTCACCGCTTACTACCTATTCGGGTTCCACTCAATAGCCTGGCGTATGTCCGATCTGTCTTCACTTCTTTCTGTATCAAGTAAATACATCTGTCGGTGAAAGTGTGCGGCAGTCTGTTGGAATTGTTTTTTTGCTGATTAAAAGGCACTATCGAGCTATTCGGTTTGTAGTTTACCTTTCGTAAAAAATAGAATATTTTAAATCTTTATATATATATATATATATATATAAATGTACGTCATTGTTTTCGATTTCATCTGTTGTAGATTCTACCTCACAGTCCTGTGTTGGTCAACAGCAAATACAGTTATTACTTTGGCCTAAACCAAATACATTAATCAATATTTTCAGACTAATTTTAGAACAGCTGAAACAATCATTACACTTAAACAAGGTTATTTCAGATGAACAGTTACCGCAAGTCTATTTTAATGAAGTTAAAGATATTGAAAATATAAATGAATACATTGATAATCAAATTTATGCTGATAAACTTGTAGAAACATTTTATCGAAATCCCCACTTAATGAATATTAACCTACGGAAACATGGAATCAATATCCCCTGGAATATTATTAATCCTGTTCAACTGGAAGCAACAAATTTATATATTTGTGATGTAGTTAATCAATATCTTCCAACATATGAGAAATTTGAAAAAGGTGATTAAAGTCTATTCATTATTTCTTTTTATCCTTAATTTTTAGGACTTTGTTTAGTGATGTTTTCTGAGACAGGTGGAGTTTGAAACAGTGGAGTCTAAGCGGAAGTACTATCACTTCCTGGGATGTAGGTTCGAGTGACTGACGAGTCATACACGGGACGAAGCACACACCGTGAATTCTGTCACTACCTATTAACTGTGAGATGACATTGAATTTGAAGTCAAAATATCCGTTTTAGAAGCCAGTATGCAAACAGAGACAGATCATTGAGGTTCAGTAAAAAGTTTTAATATATATGTATCTAATTTGGTCCAGTTATTTAGGGAGTACACACCTGAGGTTAGCGCTCACTTATTACGTTCGCCTACAGGTTGCAGTGTAGCTAGGCACCTTTATGCAGGTGTAGAAAAAAGAAACTGAGGGAAAAGTTCACATTCAACGGACAGCACTTTACGCCTGCGGCCCGGGGAGTTCTTCCAGATACAACGACAGACTGGAGCCTACTCTCACATACCAGGACTTTGAAGTCATCTTCAGCACTGGAGTCAATGGTCTAATGGTAGAATGCTCATCAACTTAGCACGTGATCATGGTTCGATTGCTGACAGACGACTCCTAAATCTCTCTTAGCTCGTTAAGGAGAACTCAAAGTTCAAACTTAAAACTCGATATTCCACTCAGGTGAAACCGGTGATTATGGATGCAAGTAACCAGCCTTTTAAAGGTTAGAAAATGCCTTAATATTTAGGAATTTTAACAGTCAGTTTGTATCACTAGTCTTCATAAAAATAAATATAGTTTTTCCAGAGTTAGTTTATTCAAGCAGTTAAACTTTTCAAGTATTAGTTAGTGAGTGAATTAGATTATTTAGATTTCTCATCTGAACAGTACCATTTTATTTCCTGGTGAGTTTAAATAAACGATATAGTGAAATACCTTCAGCTCAAAGTAGCAAAATAGTGTATGAATGTGAACAAAAATGAAACTGGTCCTTTACCGGTAGGTATATGGTCTAAGTACAGTTCTAAAAGTTACTAGCCAGTTGATGGCTTCTTTTTATACTTGAATAAACCCTACTAGAAGGATAAATCTTATTCATCTATTTGCTATTCAGAAAAAAGATTTTTACAGCAATTTTTGGTATTGCAAAAGTCTCTACTTTAAAAAATACAACTTCTGGATAGATAGGTGTTATAATGTGATAACAGTACCGGTGAAGTATGTTCCAGACCATCATTGATTAATCACAGTTTCTATAAATACTCTACATATGTAAACAGCAGTCAAAGCACTCCAGAATGATCTAATTAAATCAATAAGTGGAGCAGTTTTCTCATCGTAACCAGTGGTTTGCTTTACCTACCGTAAATTGTTCTCTGTTTACGTAAAAAATAAATGAGTTTCATCGTCTGGTAGCTGCTTTCTGTCTATCATTTAACTTACACTTATGGAGTATGGTGCGTCGATGCTGCTGACTGACTGAATTCTTGGAGTACAACAAAACTCCAGTAGCTTAAATGACTACACTTGATGACAGTAAAGACAAAGGCAAAGGAATGAGGTGAGAGAATGCCAAAAAAACTACAGTAAATAGAAATGGACAGAAGAAAAGTAATTACACGAAGAATAATGAGTATTTTATGAATGTGGAAAATCACAAGGCATGTTTTTTTCTCCTTGCCAATAAGAACGATTTTCAGATAATTACCAGGCATTAGCGAGAGGATCCTTTTGTAAACGAATACAGAAGTACGCTGCAACTTATTGTTAATATTACTTTACGCACCACTCGGAGATTATGCCATAGTACTATCTTCTGTGTTTTAAGCGATATTATAAGAGTTCACTATATCACACATTAGATGCACAAAATCCTGAACTGTTCTTCTTCATTTGAAAAGATATCATTCATAACTCTGTTTGGTCCAAAAAATGAGTTTCTTGAGTTCATTTTCAGTCGAATTTTATTATTTTCTTCCTATAATAACTCACACAGTAGACACCTTTCATTTTTGTGCAGATGAATGGGATATGACTGATTTCAGGGTGAATTTCTTTCTCTAACCAGCATTATCTGACTACCAACTGAAAATCAAAAGCACTGGGTGGCAGTTTTGATTGTATTTCAATACCCCTAAGGTTTTCCAAGTGGCTGATCTCAAAAAATGTCACATTTTGAGTTGAAGGCTTTACTATTCAGTCAGTTACTGATTAATAAATACAGTGGACTGTTACCTTCAAGTCTTGCCCTCATTCGTGATGTGATGCCGTCATCACACACACCACTGTATGAACAACTGTGGTCGTATCCAATCTTGCAGACTTCACCAGGGAAAAGTAAGTATTTTGTTAAATAGAAAGGAGAAGTCAGAGAGAACATTCAATAGAAATGCATCAGTTCAAGTAGCTAAACTAATAATAGACAGAAGTAGAAAGAAAAGTGCTGAACAGTGGTAAATTAAAATGTGTAAAGTGTTGGACGTAATAAAAAGGTGGATACATATGTTGTGAAAGATTAACCAGTCACTGGCTTATAACATTTCAAGGATTTTAGGCAAACGGCCACAAATCTTTTCCCCCTGAGTTAAATAAACTTCACGTTTTCATGTTCCACAATTTTGCAGAAGTGTGTGTAAAATGCTGAAAGCATAGTGAAACAATGAAATACTAAGCACGTTATCGGTTTAGGAAGTTTAAGGTTAGACGATAGAATTATAAATATTAGTATTGTATTCATTATAAATTATTTAAATTAATCCCAGCGTGTTAAGAAAATCAAAACAAGATTTTTCTGAACGTTTCGCTGTGTAAGCCACAGCTTCTTCAGCAGGTTAACTTAAATAATTTATAATGAATCAATCTGACTCGGCGCTCAAATTATTTCAGGAAGTTCGTAACACTTACGGCCTGGAAACCTATAATTAGTATTGTATTGCCTAAGCTGGATGGTTTAATTGTAAATCTTTCATTGTCATTTTAGATAAAATTTTCAGGGCTAACAGTGTCTCCCTATATTTTAAGTAGGAAGCATGTAATGAAAACTTTGCAGTTGAATTTTTCAGCTCGAAAAACACGATAATATCAAAAGTATATAATATTCTGTCTCCTCATTATTTCTTATGACGTGTTTTATAAAATTTACTTATGTATTAAGAGTATTTTTCAACTATTTTAATAGAAAATAAGCAAGTCGTTTACTTATTTGAGATCTTTTTTCCTGTACGTTCCCAGTGGAACATAGGGCTTCAAGTTAGAGGCTTGAAGTTTCGGTAGCAGTGGTATTTATTTTTAAGGGATGGGGTTGCTAGCCTCATGCCCAACCTTCCCTCTTTACCAGTCTTGTTACTGGCTTAGTGAGGTAAAGGAGTAAATCGGTCGGGAATGGAACCCCCGAACCACGTGAGGTTTGGTTGGTGAGCAATCTATCACTGTGCCACCGACACACCATTTGAGATCTAATTGACCTAAGTTGAGTTGACTAGTCGTTTTGAAGAGAACTAAGAACACTAAACGGGTAAAATAAGAATAAGACTTGGTGTTTACTGTTAATTTGGTGTATCACTGTCTTCGATCACAGGTGTCTGCGTTCTATCTCCCGCGTGAAGTGGTATAATAAGGTGAGCAATATTGAGGTTAGGCTTCGGTCGAGTGCTAGGTAAGGAGGGGAAATCAGTCGACGAGACTGTGAAATTACATCGACTGAGATGGTCAGGACATGTGTTACGTATGCCTAGTCATCGCCTTCCTCGACAAAGGGCAGTGTTAGCTGATATAGGGTCAGGCTGGAAAAGAGATAGCGGCGGTCAAACGAAAACATGGCACCAGTCAATGAAATCTACAACAGTTAGTCTAAGCCACGTAGGAAGGTGTAGACTGGCTTCCTGGTTGGGATCCTCGGGACGGTAAACACCAATGACGGCTGGAGACAATTGGTGACATGGCTCAAAATCGTTCTGAGTGGCGCAGATGCATCCACTCCTTGTGACTCATGATTTCCAATGAAACTGTTTTGTTCTTTGTTATTACTATTCCTTTGTCTCACACCTCTGTTTACTATCTATATTATGTATTTCTCCTACTTTCTTCTCTTGCTTTGTGTGCTACAAGGAGGGAGTGTGGTGACTGGAACTGGTGCACATATGTGCAAAGTTTTATGTCGAAAACCGACCGACCGACCGATCGCTGGGTCCATAACCTCAGAGCTGTTACTTTAAGCTGTATCACGAATCAAGTTTCATTATGTATCTTAGACAGCTGTCCAGTTTGATGATATACCACCTATAAAGCAGTAATCTAACTCAGAAAATAAAATTTTTCAAACAATTAAAGCCCCCTCCCTATTTGAAGCTTTTTAAAAAATTTCATTAACAATCATTCATTTTCTTTTATAGATCTTTTACCTAAATACCCTCCATATGTAAGTCAATCAATGAAAGTTGATTGGCGTCGACCCGAGTTAGATTTAAACATTAGCGGTTACAATTTCTTTCCTGCAATTGATAATGCCAACCAGTTCGGGTTGTATTCATTAATTGAACAACAGTAAGTTAAATAAGTAATTTGTTTTAAGAAAAAATATTTGGATGCTGAATTCATTTTATGTAAAATACCTTTCATTAATAATATTTTTCTGTAAAGTTAGATATTGTATTTGATTGCATGTAGGATTTGATCATGAACTGACATCAGTTAGAGAACCCACTGGAAAACCTGGGAGTGCTGGACAGTTGTTTCGTCCTAGTTTGGGACTCTTCATCAGTATGCACTCACCGAGGTTCGAAACTAGGACCTTCTGGTTACAAGGCGAGCTCATAGACCATTAAGCCACTGGAACCCAATCCAATGGTCCTTGAATTCTAACTTCTGCCAATTCACGACATAGCGTGGCAATTTCGCAATGTCTTCTTCGACGATCGAGCCCCAGTGGCTCAATGGTCTACGAGCTCGCCTTGTGACCAGAAGGCCCTGGGTTCGAATCCCGGTGGGTGCGGACTGATGAAGAGTCCCAAACCAGGACGAAACAACTGTCCAGCACTCCCAGGTTTCCCAGTGGTTCTCTAACTGATGTCAGCTCATGATGAAATCCTTCATGCAATGAAACAAAATCCCTACAAAACCAATACTTAAAGATATTTTATTCTCAATATGTCATTCGTTACAGTTAAACGGATATATGGTATATACACATTTGATCATAGGAAAGGAAAAAGACAGTTGCAGCGAAGAAAATTTTCTTTTCTACGAAATCATCAACTAGGCTGTACATTCGTATATTTATAATAAATGGATAGGAAAGTTCCAGAATAATTTCTGGTTAAGGGTCAGATTAATAAAATTACAATTAGGAATTAAAATGCCATAATAAACAGGGGGACGGATAAAGCTCAAACAGAGTAGCATCATAATTACTGAGAAGATTGACATATTGTGCAACTAGGGGTTAGAAATGCAGAAATAACAAAAATAGACATGATGTTTGGATAAAAAATCTAGCGGAATCATAACTAATATGACGAATAATTGTTTATGTAGTTAGGGATTAAATATGTAGAAATAATAAATGACAAAAAAGACAGGAAGTTCGGATATGAAAATATGGTAGTGTAAATAGGGACTAAGAAAAACTTAATAACATGAATAAACAGGAAGTTTGGATAAGAAAGTCAATGGGATAGTCACTATTAAAAGAATTACTTGTTTATGATGGCCACGGCAGGGACAAGGGTTGGACGTATTTCTTTTGGATACATAGCGTGGGTTTGAGCTTTTGGATAGCTAGTGCCTCGGCTATGCCCAGATGTCTTAATTTTACTCCCTTTGATAGGTTTGATCGAATCTTGTATATTACTTTGAAGGATTTTTCGAATGGCACTGAATGTCCTGAATTGACCAGATGTTCTGTTACTGAACTATGTACCCGTTTTCGTTCTCCTTTTACTAGCCAGGCTGGATAGTGTTCACGAGTGCGTTTTTCAAGTTAGGGCATGGTACGGCCGATGTACTCAGCTTCACAAGAGCAAGTAAACTGGTATATGCACGTTGAAGTGGCCCAATGCGACAGCTTGCCTTTCGCGTTTCTTGCAGGAAAACGTCAGTCGTAGGCTAGTGGCGAAGTATGTTTTCCTCAGAGATTTACAGAGGCGTTTACGAAGGATTTCTGCTTCAATGTCACCTTTGAATTCTAGATTAAGCAGAAGTATCTTCTTCGGGACGGACTGAACTTGTTCGGAAGTCTTCTTTGATTTGAGATTCTTGTCTATGAACCTAGGCGGAAAACCGTTTTCCATCAGGGTTCTTCGGAGATTACTCAGTTCTTCATCAGTCACTTCCTCACTGCATATCTTCCGAATTTTATTAATCTGACCCTTGACCGGAAATTATTCTGGAACTTTCCTACCCATTTATCATAAATACACGAATGTACAGCCTAGTTGATGATTTCGTTGAAAAGAAAATTTTCTTCGCTGCAACTGTCTTTTTATTCCCTAGGATATATGGTAAGGCTAGAAAATGACTGTGCAGCTGCATCGATTGAGACCGCTAGGTCACATGTTACGCATACCAAGCCATCACATTCCTCAACTAACAGTGACGGTAAACATACGATTAGGTTGGAAAAGAGATGTTAGTGGTAAAATCAAAACGCAGCATCAGTCTAGAGAGTCTTTGAATGTAAGTTTAAGCCATGTAGACTTTCTGGTCTGGATCCACACGATACTAAGAATCAGTAACTGCAGACTACTAGTAAAGTAACTTAAAGTCGTTCTCATTCACGCAGATACATTAGCTCCTTATGATCTCCCAGATCCATCATATCCCCACTACACTTCATGTAGCTGTTATTACTCCAATACACTTGCGTTCATTATAGTTATTCTGCATTTCTTTTTCACCTTTAATTATTAATGCTTTTATGAGGTGTGAAAACATGGATTGCTAGAATTTTACTCCAATTTTCGCAGTGCAATTCCACTCCATTTCACAAGAGCTCTTACTTTCCGTTATCGTTTGCGGAAATAGAAGAGTTTTTATTGAAAACATGTGCTCTTTTTGCCTTCATTACCACCAATTCAAAAGTGTTTAGTTGGGCAGTACTGAAAACTATATTATCGTTAATAGGTATCACTCTGTTAAATAATAACAATAATTGTTTTTTAAGAATAGTTTCATAATTAAGAAGAATTCGATATCCACTGAGAAGTGTTTGACGTCAACTCAGTTAACATTATGTCACTAAAAGAACTTTTGAAAATCAAACAACAGTAGGCAGATATTCGACTTTGTTTCTGAGATCCTCAGTTTTGAAAACGTACAGTTGTGTGTATAGTTGAGCTTGGGATTGTCAGATATCACAACACAGCAGTAACCATCGAGCTAATGAGCTGGTCTTATTTTACTCAGTATTGTGAGACAGCACTAAATGATAAAGGTGTTATTCACGAACAAGATCAAGGAGAAATATCAATCACAGACCGAATGGTAGACTGAAAGGAGACAACAGAAGGTAGTGGGCGAACAACGCAACCCACTTGAACATTATGGCTATTTTCTAAATGCAGAGACAGAAAGGATTCCTACTATGTAGTGGAAACAACTGTTGCAGGTTTGATCACGAGTTGATATCAGTTAGAGAATCATTAGAAAACGCAGGGTTACTTGGCAGCTATTTCGTCCTAATCTGGGATTCATCAGCAATACTCACTTACCAGGGTCCGAACCCAGGACCTTCCGGTTACAAGGCTAACTCATAGACCAGTCAGCCACTAGGATCTAATCCAATGGCTCATGAATCCCAAATTCTGGCAATTCATGATATATGTAGTGCGACAGCAACACTTGATATAAGTGACTCATACACATTCCATATAAGGTGAAACTTATATAATAAATAATTATTATAACGGCGCGAAAAATACCAGCCAGTGATTTTGTGTGTTTTATTTATGCACTAGACTTTGGAGATATGGATCATTGTTTTGAGTACTCAATTTTCAGCCAACAGGTTCATAGTTCGAACTCCGTCAGCTATTTCAACCTTTGTAGTATTACCAGCTCCCACACAGTATGTATGGCTCATAGCCTCGTACATGACAGATTTGTTCCAGGTAAGAAGGGGAGCTTAATATTCCACTAAGTTACCTAAACTTGAGGAAATTGAAGGTCGTTTGAATCATATAGCCTAGTGACTAAAAAACGTGGTTTTCGAGGCGTTATTTGGCATCTTCTGAATATAATTATTGCTAAATAATGTACTTTAACTCTTACAAAAAGCGTCATGCTGTCCCTTTTATCACTTGTATTATTACCATTGTTACCATTAATAGAAGTGAGGCTATGAAACTGTATGAATCATTACTAATGCCTTGGAGTCAGTCAGTACATGAAAAGACAAATCAGATAATTCAGTCTATGCAATGGGTTATAAGCGTTAATCAGACAATTGGCGAATTATCAACACTTTTAAACAATGGAAGAGAATGTTTGGAATTATATAAATACCGGGTGAGAATTTGATTGTAGTTTTTATTTCATTACTCAGCGAAAATTCAACTTAGTTTACTCGATGAGCAGCAGTTAGCAATAGAATCCAAGAAGCACATTTGGTCCTATTTAGGACTTGTCAGCTGGATGTATCTGCATTTCCAGTGAGTGATGTTCTCAGGTACATGAGACTGATGAGTAGCGAATAGGGAGAAACATGCATCCTGGATTCCACTGCTAGTCAGTACTAATCAAGCAACATCATATTTGTCTCTAGGCACTGTCAAGACGTCAGTATTTGGGGACAGACTGAGAATTTCAGTTGCATAATACCAGACAACCGGGAATTCACAGTATATCCAATAAATTTCAATCTGCTTACTTTAAAACAAAGTACTATTATTGTATTATTATTTTCTTGAGTTCCGAGTAAAGCACATGGCTTCGACAGTACACCTTCATTTCATCCTGTTCTTTGCAGTCTTTTTTAGTTGACCCTATGACTTCTTTCATTTCTTCCTCACACTGTCTTCTCCATGTAACTCTTAGACATCCAACTGATCGTTTCCCATGCGGGTTCCACTAGACTGTCTGCCTGACGCTCAGTGTCACTCATTGGTTTCCTCAGAGTGTGTCCAATCCATCTCTACTTCCTCCTGTATATTTATTGGCCAACAGATTCCTTGGTAGTTCGTTTTCAGAGTTCCTTGTGACTCACTCAATCTAGCAGGTCATCTAGTCTCAAGTAACGAGCCAGGCAGCTATTGATGACAGCCTACAGCAGCCGGTCGGAAATGTTTGTGGTGACGCACCATGTCTCTGAACCATACAGAATTGACTGACTTGACATTAGTGTTTAGGATCCTAATGCTGAGTACAGCAGATTTCCACACTGGCTTCAGGTTACTGATCCTGCCTTTGAAAATTAGTTTTGCTTTGATTATCAATATAATCACAAATTAATATTAACCAATGAATAACTAAATACAAACAAACAAACAAACACAAAGCTTCGTTATTTCTTTTGCCTTGTTACTCTTCTACACGTCTCATTCACACACTCTAAAATGATGAAGTTCAGGGGAGTCATAAGTTGATAACCATCCATATTGGATTCTATTCTGGTGGTTGAATTTTTATGTAGTTGTGTTTTTTTTGAAATGGATGGATTACTTATGAAGCTTTCATTGCCTGACTGGGCTACATCCTTAGAGCATACTTCAATTTGGAGTGAGCTTTTAAAATTCCTTACCACTTTATTAGTCATCTCACCTGGTAATCTTGTAGCTGATTGATGGATTTTGTGTGTTTTCTCACCCTCTGGTCTAGTTGTATCGGTATTACCAATACGCATAATTCCATATTAATCTGTTTGTTGGATAAGTCACGTAGTGAAACAGCATTACTATTGACTGGATGATGTTTCGAGCACTACTGATTGTTCATAATCACATCAATTATTACTGAACACAACTTCGAAACTTGATTTTCATAGTTCTCCTTCTTCTTTCCCATAAAAATAGGAGTAAGAGAAGTACAAATTTTTAGATGTCCCAGCTAGGTGTTGAGTCATTCTTATTACATATATATATACACCTGACTTGATAAATAAAGTTTTCGTTATCAGTCTCTCTTTCTTTACCCTATCGCCATGCCCCATCCTATTGTGTGCTTAAATGTAAATGCATGTAATGCTACATCTGAGCTTTTTTTCTAAATTCATTATTTTATTAGAGTGAACTAATCTAGATTTCTCCAGGCTTTTTGGCTTCGGTAGGTTAATTGTCCCTTGCCTGCGACTTTAACCTATATATATATATTTCACCTCACACCTATTGCAGAGTGTTAGATAAACTAAATTATATTGTTTAATGGGATTCACAGAAACATTTAAGTGATAGTTTGTTTATAAGTAAGTTTGTTAAGAACCCTACATAGGGATTCATAGATTCCTTCACTGTATGACAGCATTACTGATGTGCTTTAAATTCCATATTCTTGGTATTGTCATCTTTCGGTGTATATTTGTCACTTATGTTATCCTTATTATTACTGTTATTGTTATTACTAGTATTCTTGTGATTTCCTATATATCACAGGATTAATTTATCAGGGTAATTATTAAGTGTCAAAGCTTCTTTTATATTTTACTTCTTGCTGTAGATTTCCCCTTGCACTACTTAGCTGTTTTGTCCTATACTTTTTGTCTTCATCAACCTGAAACCAGTTTGGAAATCTTCTGCACTACACTCAGCATAAGGAACAAGATCCGGATTTTCAACACAAGTGTCAAGTCGATCCCTCTTTAAGGGTTAGAAACTTGCACTGCGACCCACGAAAAGGATTTCCAACAGGTTGCACACTTTCAACAGCTGCCACCCTCTCTGGCTGGCTCCATAATAAAGATTTAATGGCCAGAAAGAATTAGTAACAAGAGACTCTGGCCGGGAAGAAACCAACCAAGAGCCGATCGCTCAACAAATACGTAGGAGAAAATGGAGATAGATCGGGTGTACGTTTAGAAAACCATTGAATGACATCGCGCTCAATGAAGGCCATTGCTGGAGTGCAACCTGAATGGGAAGCAAAGAGCAGGTTGTTAGTGCGAGGGTAACATGGAAGAGATCGCGTGTGGAGGCGATGAGAGACTATTGGCAATCGTGGATCCAGCTGAAGGGGACAGCAGAGAATAGAACAAAGTGGATATGTGTTGTTGAAGCTATGCGTTCCACTCGGAACCAAAGGGAAAAATAATAATAATTTTCACTGATATGGAATAGGATGAGCTGAAATCCGAACATCGAAGTATCATCTATTTCAATGTTGTGATTTATCCTTTATGTTAAATTTTCATTTGATCACTTTTTCATTATGCTCCTTGTAGAAATGATTGAAACTATTCAATTCTATTATATCTATATTTCAGAGCTTATTTCAAACTTCTGTCGATTGGATCAATAAATTAGTGAATGTCTCTAAATGCGGAAGTCTATTTAATGATACTATCGAAACGAATACTAATCAACTTTTTATTCTTATTGATTACACTCCATTATTAAACTTATTATATAATGAAATAACTCAAAAGTTATGCCAATTATTTATGCCATTTATAACAAATATACACAATTCAATAAAATCAATGAATAATCACCTTGATAGTTTAATTCAGGTGAGATTTATTTTCAAAAGATTTTAAAATTTCCAAGTGTTGGATTGTAAAGATTTTAATTGGCTTCAGGTTTCTTCAGGGATTGAGATCAGTTGAGGAACAATTGAGAATCAGGGACTACAGGGAAACTTTTTCGTCTTTGTTTGGCACTATTCGTCAGTATGCACTACCTCGGGGGATCGAAACCAAGACCTTGAGGTTACAAGGTGAACTTGTTGATCATTCAGCCGCTGTGATAGAGTCCAGTGGTCAATGAATTTTAATTTTTGTCACCTCGCTACTTTTTAGTGCTAACGTCAGCCGATGTTAACAGTGAGCAGTTTTCTTCATATTCGATCTGATGGACAGCATTATTCATGACTACTCACTAGAACTCCAGGTAACTTCGTCCTGCGGTTAGTCAACAGAGAGTATCAGACTAATTTTCAAGTGTTAGATTTAACTATATTAAAAACAGTTGAAAGTTCGTTCAAATGTGACGATTAGGTTCCAATCCAATAGGCAAATACTACAGAGTCTTTGGATCGACCTAATAATAGATTCGTAAGCACGAGCAGATGAAAAGTCATAAACTGGGGCGGATGAGCTATTCAGTTTTCTTTGTTTTTCGGTAATTCTCTGTCTGATATCAACTGTGGTGGCTACCGATGTGTTTCATTAATTCTTGCTTTAAACCTCAAACTCTCTTTTTGGTAAAGTTTTGGAGAAAGAAGGATGGCGTAATAGACATTAAATTAAAGACAGGACTATAATGTAGACTATGGGAAAATTATTTCGGAAACTACTACTAGAACTGTTAGATATTTTTCCGCACCGACAACAACTGAGATAAGATGCAAGAAGTTGGTTTTAGGTGATTAAACCCTTCATTTAGTGTTGAGACAAAGAAGGAGAGAGGATGGTATAAAACGCATGAAGGATTTTTAATAGTTCCTTTTATCTTTAGGCTTCTTGATAATGTCAATATCTGTTCTACATGTATGAAAAATGATAAATTAAGAAGTAGTCACACGGTGAGCTGATCTGGTCACTAAGGGAGAAGGGATGTTTGGATTTGATAAATAACCATTAATGAGTCCTATATGATAATGTTTCAAGCTCTAAAGTTATATGATCTTTTGGATGCTACCCAGGTAGCCAGTAAGCGCCTAAAGATGCTAACCCGAAACCATTGACGTAATGTGATTAACGCTACATTATTTCCGTCCAGTCCCATACCTATTAAAAATGGAAATTACGGGACCACTAAGACGACATCTTGAACACCTGTCCAAACAACCAAAACCAGTACCTGAAAATGACATCACCTTTTGGAAGACCGTCTTCACTTTGTTTAAACAGCCTACTTTGGACGTCAGAATTACTGACAAAGTGTAGCCACCTAGTTAGTACAGGTAACTTTAGGGATGCAGTAATGTTCAAACACATAAATATGCCTTACAATAAGCAAGAAGATTGTATTCACAGAAAGTTTCAACTTCTACAGTTGATAGCGGGACTCACATTACAATGACACCGAAAGTAATACAGACTAGTATATGTTGTTTTGGTTTTCAATATGTCAGTTGAGATTTCATTCATCACACCACCAATATAAACACAGCTCCCCGGATATATTGACTTTTGGCCACTTTTGGAAGTTCATTTGTGAGAATGAGTGTAGGCAAGGGATTATATCAATCTTGACACACTATTTGCACATAAACGTTGCAAAGAAGGTATCAATTTCACAAACATTGACTGTCACCTGGCTGAGTGAGATTTCGGAAGTATGCGTGTCACTGCACAGGAAGAGAATATCCTGCACCTACACGAAATCAAAGTGTTATTCTCTAGGTAGAAGACCTACACTGCCATCATGGAAGTCTCCCAGGTTTATTCCCAATATGTCGTCAGTGGTAAAGATAAAAAGGAATGAGGGAATAAAGTAATTCTACTAAATAATATAAGCGGTTGAAAACGATAGTGACAGAGGATTGTACGTCCTCCCTCTACTCTAGGTGTTTGTGTACAAGGTTTTCAAAATGCTGATGATATTTTGTAACAAAGAATGGTAAATGGTAATCTTTTTTTGACGAAGTGAGGACAACTTTCATATATCAGTTTGTGTTTTTCAACTTGAAAAGATTAAACAGGTGATCAGTGCACTCAATTTGAAAGAAGCCCAATTCACTTTCGAAAGAAACTACAATAGGCGTTATCACTAAAGTGCATGATAACCGACTAATACTCCTCCGGTGATTGTCAAACACGTTACATAGGTCTTTTATAAAAGTGAGAGCAATAATATCCTCATTTGCAACATTCAGTGTTCATATTCTCTCCAATAATCGAGTCAGTTCTATGACTACAAAAAGTCCAATGATTCAAATCCTATGCAAACATTGCGGTGTTACTACAAACAAAGTTGTGTTAACCATTTAGGGTAAAGCATTAATTAATTTGAAGAAAACACTGACAGTGTAGATTTTGTTTTCATTTCTTCTTGATTTGTAAATATGATACACATGGCGACTTCAACTTTCAGCCAAAAGTTTCAGCAAACAATTAGGTCTTTGTTAAGTACAAGGTTTACGGTACAATTTCTATTAGGAATCTGATATAATTCATACTACAATAAAGGGGGAGATATGAAATCGTGAACACCACTAAGAAGGCAAGCAAAATTAACTGGTCAGAACCAGTGGGGATAGCTGGCCAGATTGAGATGATCTGAATTGTGAGCTGTCGTTTCACTCCTTTTAGACTACTGTGTAACTGGATCGACTCGAGTCAAATAAGTTCGAACTATGTGAATTCTAGCTAGTTACCATCTTTGATATATTTATTAAGGTTATGTGCAGGTCAAGAACTATGTTTTTCATATTTTTGGTTTCTAAAAGAACAATGAGAAATTTTGTTTCCATCTCAATATTTTGAAAATGACTATTTTAACTCAAGTGGTTATCAGAAGTTCTGCTGGTTTGAATTGATTAGAATAACCTAGTTCAGTCAGTCTGAGTATACCACTAACGAGGTCAGTCCAAAAGCAGAGAAGCGGCTATTTTATATTCATATCAACATACTAACTGATTTGATTGGTTTCCTACCATCCATTTCAGTTAGTTGTATGTGGAACGGTAGTACAGCTCTGTCAGTTTGTCTCATAAGAATCCTACAAAATTAGGTGATAACATGTCATCCTGAAATAACATAGGAGCCGCTGTCTTACACTGTCGATTTATGTCTCATATTTCACTGCTTTATTTTCAAAAAATGTTTATTACAGACAAATACAAATTTCCAACCTGACTATGATGGATTCATGCTAGTTGTCAAGTATCTGGAATGCGTACATGGTCAACATGAAGGTATATTTTCGAGACATGATATCTTATGTCGTCAAGTTGAAGTAAGTACTACTGTCCAGTTGTTTAAAGCTTTTGTTTTAACTAGTTTGAGTGAGGATATACAGGTTTTCGAGTTCTTATTATCTGAATATTTCAAAGAGATACCTTCATTAAGATTACTTATATTGATGGTTAAGGAATTAAAAACATTGATTTTTGTCTTCAAGTGATTTAGTTAGCGAAAAATCCCTGTTGATTGATATTGGAATCACAAGAACAAAAGAAATCAATTCATTTTGCTCATTAGTTTTATGCGGTTCATTAATGTGAACTGATGCTTCGCTGCTCTGCGTCTAACGTCTGTCCTAAAGCCGTGTCTCATGGTCAACAGACTCTATCATTTATCAGGAATATCACTTAAAGACCTATGAATAAATGGATATTTACCACTACAGTCACGTGTCTAATACAAAACCATGAGTGGCACTGTGGTGTCGGTTAACTTGATAGCCACATTTTAAATTTGATCAAATGATTCGACGCGCACCCTGTCCAAGAGGATTCAAGAACACTATCCAGCATGGTTGTGAAAATGCAGTAGTGGTGCAATAAGGAGTGCGATAATTGAACACCTGGTTAACATTGATCAATCCATTTCAACAAACGCCTCCTTCAAAGTAATCTACAGAGTCAAGAACAACCTATCAAAGGCAATACGGTTTCGCCTTCTTTGTATCGCTGAAGCTCTGGCCATTCACATAGAAAATCCGGAGCTGTGCATACAAAAGAGGATTATTCAACCACTTCTACTGTCTTGGTAACAACTTTTTTGATTTGATTTGATTTTTTTTATTTTGATGACTTAAGTTTGTGTCTTTGTCTCTTCTTTAATTGCTTATAATTCTTAAATTCATTTAGAACTCTTATGTAATTTCGTATTATCTACTTTGTTCCTGGGTAAAACTCACTCATCAAACTATTTATACTAATAAATAACTTCTTTTAACAACTGTTTGTGACAACTCATCACCTTTGTTACTACCCTAATTTCACTAACACCTAATTTTCTTGACTGATTTTGTATTACGTAACTCCGATTACCAATCTTTACCTGTTTAGTTAAAATAACTATAACCAATTGTATTTTGTTTGACAAACTTAATGTACACATACATACAAAATAGCACATATATATTTGCGATTGTGCAGCTAGGAAAATGAATTCACCGAAAAGAGACTCTTTGCTGATCTACGTGTTTTGTTTTCATTAATACCTGAATGGAGATTATAAACAAATGATTTTAATCCACATACTTAGTTTTCCTGTTCCTTAGCATTAATCAGTCTTACAGCGTCGTGATTTTAGTAGTTTAACTGTAATTTAATTGACTTCAGTACTAACTGACAATCCTCGAACCTCCGAGAGGACATTACTTCCCTAGAGGATGCATTACTCCTTGTTGACAAGTGCTGATAAACACGAAACCTGGATTCAGGACGTCCTACAGATAACATCCAGCCGCCTAAAAATAGTATTCTCCCCAAGATTGAGGATATTCATTGCTGGTGATTGCAAATAAACAGGAAACCTTTATTAGATATAGCTTCTTAACATTTAACCCTTAGTATTTATAATTCCTATTTTATATTGTCACTGCATGTGAAGTAAGAACCAGTAAAACAATTCATATTCAAGATAATGTATGACCCGGCAAAACTCAGCATGCATCAATAAATCATACTGATAACATTAGACTTCATAAGTTGAAGTAAATAATTTAAAAATGATGATGAAATAAGATCAAAAAATTCAACAGTTTTCATTACTGAGCATTTTATTTTCGCAGTTTGTATACACTTTCACCTTACGTATCTTACTTAACTATTTAGAGTTTTTGTTGTAACTAGTTTCAGGAGTTTGTTATCAGACGTCTCATTACTGTTCATGTTTTCAAATTTTTTAGGCGGACTATGACATTTTATTTTTTGTATAAACAAAAGCGAATAGATACCTTGGTTACAGTTTCCATTTTTTTATCGAAATATCTTGGTGTAACTAATGAACTACAACCCAAAATATATGCTTGACTTTTATCACTGACATGTATATTCTTTTCTTTGGAAGGTATATCATGTTTATGATGAGAAATAATGTGGAAGACACATTCAGTGCCATTGATTTTCTTTTGAAAATACTACTAAAGTGAAAGATATTCAAATTACTTATGGTTGCGAATAGTGAACGTTTTACCATTGGCTCACAGGTTTTAAGTCCATCACCTCTGTTCTGTTTTGAACCCATGTTGGATCAGGGTGACAGAAAAATACTCCATATTACTGCCTAACTGATTCACTTATTAAAAGTCAATCAGTTCAGTTTACCACACCTAACAGTCGCATACTTTAAAGTTGAGAAAAGAGATGGAAGGGGAAATTTTTGTTTTCCTTTCACCTTCGAGGTAGAACATAGGGTTTCAAGCTAGAGCTTAGCAGTTTTGGTAGCAGTGGTTATTTATTTTTACAGGGTGGAATTGCTAGCCTTACCCCTGACCTTCCCTCTTTACTGGGATTACTAACGGCTAAGAGAGGTTTAGAAGTGTTTTGGCCAAGCACCTAACCCCGGACCATATGCATATTTTTCGAGTATTCTACTGTTAAACCACTGACGCACGGAGAATGAAATGAATTTAATGGAAATTAGTGAGAAGTTTTATGGTTTGAAGAGCGACAGTTAATGAATACACATGTGGCTTTGAGAACAACTGTGAAATGTTTTACTTAGAGTCGCCAGCCTTTTATCCTTAGTATTCCAAACTACTCAACCATTTGATAAGTGTCATTGTCTAGTTCACGAAATCTCAGCACGGATACAGAAGATTCTTTTGATATTCGCCTGCCAACTTATGCCATCTGTGGCGTAGATATGATATCCGGCTATTGACCAAATGGCATGTGTACTGCTCAGCAGTTCGCTCTGTCCTTCTTTATGACTGTGAGACATGAACATTGAAAGTGGGAGATACAAAAAGGCTAGCTGTCTTCGATCAAAGGTGTCTGAGTTCTATCTCCCGTGTTAAGTAGTATAATAAGGTGACCAATATTGAGGTTAGGTATCCGTCGAGTGCTAGGTGAGGAGGAGAAATCAATAGATGAGGTTGTGAAGTTACACCGATTGAGTTGGTTAGGATATGTTTTACGCATGCCTAGCCATCGCCTTCCTCGACAAGCAATGTTAGCTGACATAGGATCAGGTTGGAAAAGAGGTAGCCAGTGGTGGTCAAACCAAAACATGGACTCATCAGTCAATGGAATCCACAACAGTTAGTTTAAGCCAGCCACGTAGGAAGTTGTAGACTTCATGATTGGGGTCCTCTGGATGGTAAGAACCAATGGCGGCTGGAGACGATTGGTGATATGGCTCAAAATCATTTTCAGTAGTGCAGATGCATCCACTCCTTGTGACTTATAATATCCAATAAAACTATATTGTTCTTCGATGTTAATATTCTTTGTGCCTCATATCTCTGTTTTGCATTTCTTTTTACTTTCTTCTCTTGCTTTGTGTGCTAAGTGAAGTGTGGCGACTCGAACTACTGCACATCGGTGCAAAGTTCTACGTTGAAACCAGTCTGTCAGCCTAGTGCACAAACTCACACATGATGGCTGAAGGTTTATGCTTTTATTATGCTGCAATAAAACTCACTAGAAATGTTTCAGTTAATAAAACGGCAAAGAAAAGGTAGCACTTAAGGCAATGATTCATATTTCGTAGATTATTCCAAGATTATAATAATCCCAGACTACAGAAAACGGCCGTTTGAGCATTGTTGTGAAGTTCGACGTCGAAAATTCAGTTCAATTCAACTGCATTCTCTCATTTAAATAGCCATAAATATTTCACAAATTGAATAGTAAATGCATTCTCTTAGTTTTCGTCATACTAAAACCTGCGCTGAAGATGTTCTATAGATCGGTCGGTCGGTTTTCGACATAGAACTTTGCATTTATGTGCGGCAGTTCAAGTCACCACACTCCCTCCTTGTAGCACACAAAGCAAGAGAAGAAAGTAGGAGAAAAGCATATTACAGACAGTAAACAGAGGTATAAGAATAAAACTTGGGCACTGTGGTAGAGTGTAATTCCATTATGGGTAAACTTTTATTTTGATAGAGTCTCACAGTGTTATACAGTAATATTTACTGATGACGTTTCGAGCACAGTTTATTGCTCACAATCATATCAAGTTGATATGATTATGAGCAATAAATTGTGCTCGAAACGTCATCAGTAAATATTACTGTATAACACTGTGAGACTCTATCAAAATAAAATTTACCCATAATAGAGTAAACAGAGGTGTGAGACAAAGGTATAGTAATAACGAAGAACAAAACAGTTTAATTAGAAATCATAAGTCACAAGGAGTGGATGCATCTGCGCCAGCCATTGAGAACGATTTTGAGCCATGTCACCAATTGTTTCCAACCATTATTTTCTACCGTTCCGAGGACCCCAACCAGGAAGCCAGTCTACAGCTTCCAACATGGCTTAGACTAACTGTTGTAGATTTCATTGACTGGTGCCATGTTTTCGTTTGACCGCCGCTAGCTCTTTTCCAGCCTGGCCCTATATCAACTAACATTGCCCATTGTCGAGAAAGGCGATGACTAGGCATACGTAACACATGTCCTAACTATCTCAGTCGATGTAATTTCACAGTCTCGTCGACTGATTTTCCCTCCTTACCTAACACTCGACTCCTAACCTCAATATTGCTCACCTTATCATACCACTTCACACGGGAGATAGAACGCAGACACCTATGATGGAAGACAGCTAGCACTTCCATGTCTTCCACTTCCAATGGCCAGGTCTCATAGCCATAAAGGAGGACGAAGCGGACTGATGAGCAGTACACACGCCCTTTGGTCGATAGTCGGATATCACGTCTACGCCAGAGACGGCGTAAACTGGCATATACGAAACTAGCCCTCTGTATCCGTGCTGAGGTTTCGTCAGAGATCAATCCGTTGGGGCTGATGGTACTTCCCAAGTAGGTGGAGCGGTCAACGTGCTCTACCACTTCACTTCCTATTTCTAATCTAGGGGTCGGTGTAGTCCAATTCTGCAGCATCATCTTACATTTTACAGGGGCGAATCGCATGCCAAACATACGATCTACAAACCTTCTACATTATTTCAATAAAATAGAAAAAATGTTTGACTAACATTGACAAACTGTTCACTTATTAAATACTCGTCCCCCCTTTTTTATAACCTATTTGCAACTGTACATATATACAATAATGGCATTTGTTGTTATAGAAAAGAATTAAGTAATTAACTCTAACATGGTGATATTTTTCCATTTTCTTTTAAAGTTTTTACAATATTTTCAAAAATGTCTAATCAACTGTAAAGAATTAAGTGAAATCCAGCAGATTAACTGGTCACAATATGAACAATTTATTATCAAATGGAAACGATTTACAAATCAAAATGAATGGGCAAGAAAAAAATTCACACGATATCATCAGGACTTTTGCCAGTGGTATAATAAAAAAATGAAGGTAGGCGTTGTTGCAGTTTATTGTTGAGTTTCATTTTTTGCCAAAGTCATTAAGTTCCAGTATGCTTGAGAGATAGTGTTAAATTGGAAGTGATAACTATTTCAAGAAGTTTTAATATTGTAGTAGTGATTTTCGGAAACATTTCTCATGTGAATTAAAGATATATTCCCTTGTCATTTCAAAGGATGATTTTATACTGAAAAAATCCCTATTTAGACATTTAGAAAACAGAAAGATTGAGCGAAGAAATATTTACTTTTCAATTAGATCCTCATCTCACTCTGGCTCTACTCTAATATACACGTATAGCATTTTTATTACAATACACAACAATTTACCAAACAAGTGGCTGATATGTTTGTTAACAATAATTAGTAAGTGTCAAAATGTCAATGGGTTGATAATTAACGAAGAAAATCAATACACATTTAAAAGGTAGAAATGGTTAGAATAAATTAATTAAAGATGAAGTAGTCAGAAAAAATAAAATAATTTGGACAATTATAATTTTTATAATTTTTAAATGTTTAGGGGGAGGGGGATGAAGTAGTCCGGTTTATACATTCATGTAACGATGGCCAAGGTAAGGAAAGTGGCTGTACAAATTCCTTCTGAACACATAGGCTTGGCTTCTTAAGGTGGATTCCGATTACTTCAGCTGTCTGTAGATGACGAACTCGTAGAGCCGTGCTGTCGGTGGCACAGCGGTAAGGACTCTCGCCGACCATGCACATGGTCCGAGGTTCGATCACCCGCCGACGCACACCTGATATCTATGGTCGGCCTGCTAAATGTGGGCTACCGATATCACATGATGAAAATTTCATACTTGTACCAAAATACTGTGTGGAATCAAGCTATAATAAAAAAATATTAAGAAAAATTAAGATTAGTAGGAATGCGATAAATAATTTTAAATGCAGTAATAACGTCAACCTTATATTCACTAGCATCTACAAGATGTGCTACAATACAGCTACGAATAGATCTTGTTTGTCCCTTGCTTAACCATGTTGGATGATGTTCGGAAATACGATGATGAACCTGCCTAATTGTACGCCCAATGTAGCTGGCTCCGCAGCTGCAGTCAAACTGGTAGATACACATAGAAGAGGCAAATTTAGGTAGTTTATCCTTATTTCTCGAACGTAGAATTATTTTATTTTTCTGACTACTTCATCTTTAATTACGTGTTATCCTTGTAAAATTAATTTATTCTAACCATTTCTACCTCTTAAATGTGTATTGATTTTTTTCGTTAATTATCAACCCATTGACATTTTGACAGTGACTAATATACACGTATAGCATTTTTATTACAATACACAACAATTTACCAATGAAGTGGCGATATGTTTGTTAACAATAATTAGAGTAGAGCCAGAGATGAGGATCTAATTGAAAAGTAAATATTTCTTCGCTCAATCTTTCGATTTTATATTGGTCTGTTGAAGTGATGATAGGTATCTTGAAATCTATTTTTCAGGAAGATACTTATAGGGTGCTTTTCCTCCATACTTCTTCTCAAGACAGAATTGCTGTAGTGTGTTCTTACACTTGGGAAAATGTTTTGTAAATAGCTTCTTTGTGGACTGTTCGGTTGTCTGTTGTAATTATGTGATTCGTCTGTATGGGTTGTCTTTTATATATACCAATCACAATGAGAATCACTAGGAAAGATGAATATTCTATCCATGAAGAACTCTTAGAACTCACTTCACAATAAGGTTAGGGGTGAAAAATGTTGTCCAGGAGGACGACGAAAGCTTTGCAATTAAACTATCTGGCTCAGGGAATTCAGCAACACCAAAAACCTCTGTCTGAGCTATAAATCTTCTTCATTATCCCACGTTAACTTCGTCTTCGTCACTATATCGGACTAAATAATCCTTGTATAATGAAACATTATCAATGTTGTAGAGCTGTTGAGGTTTGAAATCGTCAAAATGGTATCTTCTGTTGAATTTCTTGTTTTCTTTTTGACAACTGTCTTGACAATGAATTTTTGTCAATATTTAATGGCCCATTAGTATGTGAAATAAATTGATTATTGACGTTTTCACTTTATTTTTATATTAGGAGTCTCTAGATGAAGTGAAGCGTTTGGTTCACTTACTCACATCCGGTAAATATTCTGATATTACAAGTGATTCAGTCAGTGTACTCAAGGATATGAAGGAGGTAAGTTACACTAATGTATAGTCGTTTGCAAATTAACACTTTCTCTCTCTCTATATATATATATGAAGCCAATTTCACTCCTACGAGATGTATCTGTTCCATTAAGCATTATCATCAGCCACTAGGGTGGTCTTTAATGTCCAGCTTCTACTGATTTCTAAGCAATGTCATTGATAAGCATTTGTCCAAATATTTAACTTAACGGACCTTCTCGTTTGAGAACTACGCTGAATTCAGTTAGTTATAAGGGGTCGATTGTAATGAAGTCAAATTTTATGAATATTCGACTGATTTAGAGGTAGATATTGAAGAAACTTGTTTTATTTCTTATCGATAAAGAAAAGCTTAGTAAGTGCCGAAGAAATCAGTACGAATTGTAAGTAGAATTATTAGAAAGCCTAAATAAGAAAGTGAAATGGATAGAAGATGTATAATTACCAAATAACTGCCTCAGAATTTAATAAAAAATTTAAGAAGACTCGCAATAAAAGAAGAAACAGTGATGAATCTATTAACTATGACTTAAATAAGTAGGGATTTAAGGCATCCACAGTGTTATCCTATATAGAAGGAACATCTCAAACCCTATCTGTGATTATTAACAGAATTGGAGCTGAGGTCTGATTTAGACATAAAAACCAACTCACAAGCAGACTCAACAGACTGAAGAACCCAACTTTCCTAATTAGACAAAACAACCTAGTCTACAAGATACCTTGCAATAAGTGAGAGGTCAGTTCAGTATGGTTATCGGAACATAAGAATTTATCTAAGTACGGAATGACTGACTTTATGGAATTAGAATGCAAGTAGTCACTTAAAAGTTACACAAATTAAGGTAATAATTAAGCACGGTTTCTGTTGAATATCTAAAATATTCAGATCGCAATATTTGATCCTCTTGACATCATCAGTGACATCAAGAAAGCAGGCGAAGCTGAAAGATGATATGGAATACTGTCTAATCCAGATGAAGTTTTCATCTTAGACTGTGAAGAAATGCAGATGACGAGTTGTAAAACCAAGTGGGCATGATTTTCGATACACTCATAACATACTGAATACTATATAGATTCTATATATTTCATTTCCAGCTCATTTGTTTATTTAACTCTCTGTTATACCAGTCATCACTTTTGATACTAAGTTTTAGAAAAAACTGCGATTATATTTCAAATAAACATTTCTCATTGACACAAATACTATCCCATTATTTGTGCTCGTAATTTAAAATTTACATATTGAAGTGAACACGGCAAGTCTTTCAGATCCATTTTTAGATATGATGGAGAAGATTTGCAGCTCAGGTGGATGATTTTGATGTGGTTCTGTTCTCTGAGCTGGATAGTTAATTTGCGAAGCTTTCATCACCCTACTAGGTGACATATTCAGCGCATACTTCATTTCGATGAAGTGAGCTTTCAGATTTCTCCACGAGTTTATTAATCATCTCTCCTGGGGTGACCTTGGACGTGATTGGTTGTTTTTGTATGTTTTCACACCTTCTAGGTTACTTGTATTGTAATTCATTGTTTCCTTGACTTGAACTTTGACGCTTTGTGTGTGAGGTTTCTTTCTTATCGGTTGACAAATTTTGTCTATCTCGATGTGTCTATTGATTGATGATTCACTGGAATGCCAAGCTTCTAAAAATTCTCTAGCATTTTTGTTGTTTCCTCTGTCTAATATTTGAACATTGTCCCAATCGAACTGATGTCCGTGGTTGTCTGTATGTAGTGATATGAGGGAGTGGATATCATGTCTTTTGACGGCTAGCTTATGTTCGTGGATACGAAGACGAAGGGGACGTCCACTTTGGCCAATGTAGTGTTTTTCGCAGTTGATACAATCTATTTTGCAGATGATGTTGGTTTTATCTTCTTTCGTTGTTGAGTCTTTTGGTTGACATAGAACTGAGTGAAGTGATTTTATTGGTTTGTGCGTGACGTCAATTCCTAAAGGTTTGACGAGTCTTGCAGTGATTTCTGATATATCCTTTATATATGGCAGGGCGACTTTCTTTGTGCTTTCCTTGGGGGCTTTTGGTTTGATAGGTTGGCTTGGGGGTATATGTCTTTTGATGAAATTCCGTGGATATCCATTCTTTTGGAAGATGTCCACTACATACAGACAACCACGAGCATCAATTCGTCTGGGACAACGTTCAAATATTAGACAGAGGAAACAACAACAATGCTAGAGAATTTTTAGAAGCTTGGCATTCCAGTGAATCATCAATCAATAGACACATCGAGATAGACAAAATTTGTCAACCGATAAGAAAGAAACCTCACACACAAAGCGTCAAAGTTCAAGTCAAGGAAACAATGAATTACAATACAAGTAACCTAGATGGTGTGAAAACATACAAAAACAACCAATCACGTCCAAGGTCACCCACCAGGAGAGATGATTAATAAACTCGTGGAGAAATCTGAAAGCTCACTTCATCGAAATGAAGTATGCGCTGAATATGTCACCCAGTAGGGTGATGAAAGCTTCGCAAATTAACTATCCAGCTCAGAGAACACAACCACATCAAGATCCATTTTTAGCATATATATAGATGTATTGTTGAGAATGCAGCTGAAGACTTAATTGGAGAAGTCTATTTTAAAGTAGATACGTGGACGATGTCATAGTTATCTGTGAGAAGTTGATAGATGCCACGGGAATTTTGATTCGGTTGAATACAATACAAAACAGTATGTCCTTAACATATGTAAAAGAAAACAGTGACTGCATTTCATTTTTAGATGCACTCATAACTAACGGACATGACAGGTAAGTGAAACGAACTGTCTACAGAAAGTCCATCTAAAGGAGAAAGTAGCTAAATTACTATGGTTTTGTCGTTGGTCAAATACTTGCCCACATGTATTCCACACATATGTATTGAGGATACAGTTGGGGCAGAAATCGAAAACCTCACTAAAATATTACTTGATAATAAATATCCTGCGTAATTCATCAGACAATATAGGAACATCAAACTAAAGCTCTACAGATCCAATCAACCCCCAAAAGGGTGTTTATACACATTTACTCCTCTAGGGTCATTGGTAAACTCTGATCACTAAACAAAGGCTCAGAGCTGCAATCTATAGAAATTACTATGCAGCCAACCTGATATTTATATAGAAACAGAAATTTATGTTATGCTGTTCATCCTCACAGCATTTAAACTATGGTATCACATCCACCTGTGTTTACCACTTGGAGATATGGTCACGCATACATAGGGAGGATCCAAGACCTCTGCATCTTAGGGCTACTGAACATATTTCCTGATGTCTACAAGAACAAATGAAATCAGTGGACTCATATGATCCTTAAAATAGATACTCGACGTCATCTATCGCAGAACGCATGGTATAGATGTATCGTAAGGCTGACTTCAATAATGCCTTTAAATCCATATATAAAACAGGTTTGAATCACATGTTTAAACTTTTTCACGTTCTGTTAACTTTCATATACAGATCTATGACAAGTGTGAGTGTATGTGATCAGATTGTCTGAAAAGTGTTTTACCGAATTTAAACTACACGTTTCATATAAATCAAGTCTCCTTATTGTTTTTTCAAAATACATAAATGGAAGTAGTTGCTTTCGAAAAATCAACTTGTTTTCCCAACTTAGTTGGTGGCGACTAACAGCGGATTTCAGGATGTGCATTTCATTCTGTTTGGGACTCGTCATCTGGATGTACCCACAGTCCCCAGTGGGTGATGATGTCTCCATTGAGATTCGGTCCCTGAAGTCACCGTTTCAAACGCCACTATTAGTCACCATCATTCAAAATGATTTCATGTTAATCCTTAGGTATCGTCAAAGCATCCGCACTAGGAACTGGTATGTCGTCAGAGGCTAAGCATTTCCGACCAACATAATAAATCAGTAGGCAATGTAAATGAACCTAGAAACAAATTATTTCCAATATTACTGGTTAGCCTTCGTTTTATAGTACTAATATAAATATATTTCGTTTGTTCCCTTGTTTTAAATTATGGTTTTCTATTTTTATAGCCATATTCTCAACTAATAAAGTTGGAAACTTTTATTCATCAACTTGTCGCTCAGCATAGAAGTGTTCAGAATTGTCGACAGTATCAAGAATCATTTAATAAAGAGTGTAATAATCATAGAAAGATGAATAAACCACTTGTCATGACCATAGTAGATAAAGCTATGAAATGTAAAATGAACAAGAAAAATTTCATCTGGGAAGATAATTCAGATTTAATATCAATGGATAATGAAATGAAAAAAGCGAATTGTAGATATGATGCATGGCAATTAAATAGACAAATTGACGAATTTAAAGTAGAGTTATATAAATTAACATTGGATAGAGTGAGTAGAGGTTTCACTTTTTTTTTTTCTTTATTTCTGGAGTAGACTTTGGTATTTTCCGTTTTCCAAACTGGCAATAATGCTGTCTTCCAAAAGTCGGTCAAGGGGAGAACCCACGGCAATTGTTCGAAGTGATAGACCAGGTATATGCATCTTGGGTAGACCATAAAGCTGGGGAATAGTTGTCCCAGTCGGTCTCAGGTGCTCAAGTAGGTCTTTATTTATCGGACCAATTCCGGATATGTCAGAGTCACCCTATCATCAAATTGCCAAAACGTTGTAATGTTAACCTGTAAGATAACATTTATGTAGGTACTGTCTTCGAGACACTTTTGAGTTTGAATAAAGCAAGAACAACAGTTTTTGCAGAATAAAATGTTACCATCATTTATTTCGTTGGCTTCTCATAAGCTGTTTGCAGGCCAAAGTCATTATTAAGTATATCTACAGAAACAATTTTAACAAACTGCCACAGAGTTCATTTTCAAACAAAAATCAATCAGTCAGTATATGCATACAATGCTAATAATAGTAATAATAATCACTTTATCCCAAACAACAATAATAATCATACACAATAGAATCTTTCGGCGTTACGCAGTCAGATGAAAGAGAGGATAAAAAAATCGAGTTACCAGGGCAAGGAAAGACCTATAACCGCTTCTTTGTGAATTGGATTTCAGGCGATTGATGGAGATTGCTTAGGCACACTTAAAATGCTTTCTATAGCTAAGCTTAACAATGTCTTTGGCCTGGAAGCAGTTGATAAGAAGCCAACAAAATCAATGATGGTACCATTTGATTCTGCAAAAACTGTTGTTCTTGTTTTATTCAAACTCATTAAGGGGAATAAATGTAGGAATTTTTTAAATTTGTTGATTGCATAAAAGATTTGAATGTAACTGGCGGAGGTATGTTGCCTGTGAATGTAGAGTCGCTATTTACCAACGTGCCACTCGCGGAAGCTACCCATTTTTTATGCAGATGTTTGGATGACATGAATCTGAGCATCAGGATATGCAACTCATGTCGAAAAGATCTGTTATTGGGATGCACATTTAATGTACGGTTTGCCTTCAAAGAAGATATCTACAAACATAAAGGTTTTACTGTCATGGGCTCTACCCCTGGTCCACTTTTGGCAGGTAGCTTCATAGTCAGTTTAGAAAAACGGAATCTGAAAACCATCAGTCGACAAATTACTATTGGTATTTTCATTTTATCAGTTATTTTTAATAATTCCCATTGTAGCATTAAGAACACAATATTCAGCGAAGAGACTCTTTTCAACGAATTTATTATCAAGCTGTACAATCGTATATATATGGTTTTTTTTAAAGAAATTATATCCGGTGAGGGAATTAGGTCAAAGGTGTAAATACATAAAATAATAATAGTATGAAATGCAGTTAAAATATTTGTGATTTATAATCATAGTTTAAGGTCAAGTGGCACAATAATTAATGTCGTATATAGAATAGTACATAAGGTGTATCGATTTTGGAAAAGGGTACATAATTATAAGATTAGTAGACGAATATAAAATGTTACATAACATGGTATGAAATTTGATAAGACAGAATTCAATATTGTAAAAAATATAAAAATATGAAAATTAATAATTTTAGGTTTAAAATGTCAAGTAGGTCAAGTGAACAAGATTCAGAGTGAGAATAGTAATCATAATAATGATAATAATATTAATAATAATAATAATAGTAATAAGGGAAGAGTACATAGAATAACTAAATAAACAAAATAAATAAATGTCTATCCCTCTACGGCCAAGGCAGAAGTAGGGATTGTACATACTTCTTTTGTACACAAAGGTCTGGCTTAAAGTCATGAATTGCCAAGGCCTCAGCTGTCTTTAGAAGTCTGTAACGAATAAAACGCGGGAAGTTAGCATGGATTCTATATATGATCTTAAAATCATGGTCAGGGTTAACAGAGTGACAGAAGTCGATCAGGTGTTCCAAAATAGAGCTTCTCACACACTTCCTTTCTCCCTTATAAAACCAAGCTGGAATATGTTCTCGTATCCGTGTGGAAAGCGTCCTCTGACTACGGCCAATGTACCTTGCTCCACAGGAGCAGGTGAACTGATAGATGCACATGGAGGCGGCCAGACGGGGTAGCTTATCTTTTATAGAGGTAGAGAACAACTTGCGGCTAGTGAACGTCATATGTAATTTTGCTGCATAGAACGTCTTACGGACTGATTTGGAGAGACGATTTTTGAGCATATCTGAATCTTGATCACCTTTGAATTCCAAGTTCATGAATAAGGTTTTCTTTGGAACTGTGTCGGTAACCAATTTAGACTGCTTTTCTTTCATGTTGCTGTCAATAAATCGGCTAGGGTAACCGTTTTCTGCCAGCGTGGCTTTTAAGAAATCAAGTTCCGAGTCAACGGAATCAGGACTACAAATTTTCCTTATCCTATAGCAAAGCGAATGAATTAAATTCCTTTTCCTGGAGATAGGCACCCAACTGTAAAAATTAGTTAGTTGTCCGTTCCATGTACGTTTCCGGTGGATAGATCTTTTGAGAGATCCGTCATCACGTCTACTAAGGCACACATCAAGAAAGGGGATACTTAGTTCAGATTCCTTTTCTACGGTGAATTGTAACGAAGGATGGCAGTTGTTGAAAGTAAACAGGACATCATCAAGAATTACATTTTTATCGCAGATAACGAAAGTGTCGTCTACGTATCGTTTATAAATGTCAAAATGACCGATGGTTTGACTAAGTTGAGAATTTTCAAGCTTAGCCATAAAACAATCAGCCAACAAGGGACCCAGTGGTGATCCCATGGCAATGCCGTCTCTCTGTCTAAAGATCTCATTATTGAAGGTGAACTGAACATTCAACGTGCATCTCAATAAAAGCTCTTTGAGGTAGATGGTCGGCAGTCCTATTTCTAAACTATGTGTATCAATATAATCACATAAGTAACAAACAGTTTCCATGAGAGGAACATTGGTAAAAAGCGACGTTACATCTAATGAGAACAAGATTTTGTCTGAGACATTGAAATCTTTAATGCTATCAATAAATTTAAACGTATCATCAATGGAAAACTTAGATACTTGCCTTCTGACTGGTTCCAGTATTTCAGCTAGCCATTGAGCGATTCCGTGATAAGGAGAACCCGCCATATCGAGGATAGGACGCAGGGGTAATCCTGTTTTATGAATTTTAGGTAGTCCATACAAACGTGGTATCATGGAGCCTACTGGTCGGATCCGTTCATATATTTCCGACGAGATTACTGACTTATTCTTCATGTTCTTTAAGACATCAGTCAGTTTAAACCTAAAATTATTAATTTTCATATTTTTATATTTTTTACAATATTGAATTCTGTCTTATCAAATTTCATACCATGCTATGTAACATTTTATATTCGTCTACTAATCTTATAATTATGTACCCTTTTCCAAAATCGATACACCTTATGTACTATTCTATATACGACATTAATTATTGTATTTGAATAAGGCATTAAGAAGACAAATTTCGCGAGATGATATCATTTCGTAGTTTCTTTACAACCGCTTTACATTAATTATTGTGCCACTTGACCTTAAACTATGATTATAAATCACAAATATTTTAACTGCATTTCATACTATTATTATTTTATGTATTTACACCTTTGACCTAATTCCCTCACCGGATATAATTTCTTTAATAAAAAAACCATATATATACGATTGTACAGCTTGATAATAAATTCGTTGAAAAGAGTCTCTTCGCTGAATATTGTGTTCTTAATTTTATCAGTTGATGGACCATTGTAACCTTTTTTGGCAGGATGAGAAGAACTGGTAAATATTCTTGGGTCAGTATACCTGAACATTCGTCTTTTAGTCTGAAACTGCAGTTTCTTTAGTGTAGTGTAATCTAAAATCGACGAAAAAATGTCATCAAAAAAAAGACAGCATTACTGCATACTACAAATAGAATCTGTATCTCACGTATAAGGAATACGAATAAAAGTCAGTTCAGTTAAAAATACTAAATCAAAAGTTAAGTAAAACTTAGTCAAGGAACATAAACTTTTCTGCCCAACTCTGACAGTCAGTTATTGCTTCGTACACTTTGTCCCTTTTATGAATCTGAATAAAGCAAGAATAACGGTTTGTACAGAATAAGATAATTCTATCGTTTATTTCGTTGGCTTCTCATCAGCTCCGTAAAGCCGAAAGAAATTGTTAAGTTTATGTACAGAATAGTTTTTAACATACTCGCACATATTACATGATGTCACTTGACGGGATACACCAAACTTAAGTAAACAGAGCTCATAAATTACACTTATATAACTTGTACACAGAAAGCTCAAGTTTAAACAAAAGGTAAATGATAAGATGCAATAACATAAGGGTTATGTAGTTAAGACAAGGGGTAAATAAGATGATGGATAACTAATATGTCGAGTAACAGCGTGGTGAATTTAACCCAAGTCATAGAAATAAGAGATAAACAAAGTTACATTATAGAGGAAGGGAGGAGGTTAAAAACACAAATTACGTATTCAAATGAATAGCCAGTTATTGCCTTAATCGACTAATAGCAAATTTCATTGATTAACAGACTCATCACCAAGCTAGTGAAATGGCAGTCCAGTGTATAAGTCACTTTGGTCTGGTTTGCGAGCATTACCGTTTTGATGTGAGTGGTTTTCAACTACTTACACGAATCTGTAGTAGATACCAAGAGTAATTTATATTTTACTGAATAATTATAACCTGCAGTTATTTAAATCTCAGTAGGCCGAGACAAGCATAAATTTCTGACTATTAATGGTAGTATAGTCAAGTACATTGATTACTGAGTTATAATTTCGTAATATCTAGTTTGAGAAGGTGAGACTGACTTATTCAACAAAACGGTATTGTTTTCATTTAGAAAAAACTTGTTGGTTAGTTGACGAGAGGATTGCGTTGTATGAAAAAAGACTAACTGATGAAACCATACATATCTGTTGAGTACTTTTCGGCGCATTAATAATCTTTTTAGCTGATATTTACAAATGGACCGGTTTCTGATGAAAAATTTTAATTTAAGACTGAACTATGGCTTTTATCCTATCTGTCCACAGGATCAGTCAATAATCAGAAGGTAGCTTTAGGCATAGGTTTCGTGCTTATGAGTCCTTGTCGGTAGGACGTGTTCGCCATCCCAGTGCTAACGTGTCTGACTGCAGTTCAAATTTCCGATAATACATAGGTTTCTTTGAGATTAAAGGTATGCATTACTGATGGGTGGCAATAAGCAAGGGAATTAGGCCAAGGGCTTCATACTGATTACCTCTGGTCATCTAACATTATTTCAGATTACATCGGAATGATCAGTCACGTAGCTTGGTGACTAATAGAATTTACTCAGCAGAAGCACTAAGAGTTAGACACCCCACTGAATAATCTGAATTCTGTTTTTTTTCCAGTCTCTTTTAGTTTCCTTACAACTAGCCTTAAGTTTTCTAAGTGTTGCCTTGCAAGGATTTGATAGACTGCGAAACAGGTATCATTCGAAGAACCACTGAAAACCGTCATATACAGATGTTTCGTCCTAGTTTAGGAATGATGTCGTAAGTCGATCAAGTTACCATTCTGCTGTTAGGACTAAGCTCAATGGGTTATGAATTCTGAATTCTGCCAAATTACAGATACCAATCCACTATTCATCAGTGACTAACTATGCGGTGAATTTCCTGGAGTTATAGTGAGAATTCATGACCGTTCGTGTACACCTAGCTCAGTATGAGGACAGATACTCACCTTCAACGTTGGATGGCAATAAAAAAGCTAAAAATTAAAGGCCTTTTGATTCCATCTCATTGGCTGAGTTGTAACGTGTCCAACTTGTCTCATGAAAGTCCTAGGTTCTATTCTCGCTGGAATTGCGACTGAATCTCTAACTGATATCGGTTTGCAGTCGAATCTGACTTTAAGTTTGTTTATCAAATTTTACCAGTTCTATCTATCTTTCTTTTGCGTTGTATGAGATCTGTTCATGTATCCTTTAATAATTTCATATTTACTTATTTATTTGTTTTTATATTTGTATAGATTTCTTTAAAAGGGATCAATGAAAAATTTGACAAACTTTTAACAACATGTAACAATTTGTCCCATGATGACATAATCATTCAGTTCAATTCTAAGTGGCTAAAACATATAAAGAAGATTATTAAAACTTTGTATTATATTACTGATACTGAATTAATAGTGAGTAGTATATGTGTTTATACCGATATATAATCTTATTTTGTGGAAAAAAGGCTTTATATATATATATATTCTACCGACTAATAACTCTCCAGTATCTTGTTACTATTCATTTAATGGTAACAAGAGGTGAAACTTGTGTGGTGCGTTTCGTCCTTTCTAATGCTCATCAGCCAGATGTAAGAAATTTATTCCCCTTTTTCTTAAGTTATATTGAATTGGTGACATTTTTCGACTGTGACCATGTATGTCCCCATGCTGAAACAATGTTTAAGTTTGAGAGATATTATTCTAAGGCGAATTGTTCTACCGAAAGTTTATATATGTGATAAACATTTAAATACTCTGAAAATACGTATATTTGCGTTCGTTGAACTGGATAACTTCATCGGGAAATTAACATTGAACATGTCCGGAAGAATAATGAAAACTTTGTTGCTTGGCTTGATATTCAGCATCCAGCTGACAGAATGAAATTAAACCAAAATCATCCAACTAAGCTGTAAACCTTTATTCTTACTCAGACTTCCAGTAAATTATTATTTTCTATAGTTACGAGGGAAGCAATGGGAATTAGAAATACATCTGCATTTCACTCAGTTCTCTGAATTCTTTCTTACCCTCGAACTTCCATTTCTTCTTCGTACGATCTCCTCCATGTTACACTTGTATTCATATCCAACTCGTTTTTCCCCATTCGGGTTCGACTTGAGGGCCTGTTTTGTGTTTGGTTTCACTCAGTGGTCTCCTCAGAGTGTATTTAGTCTACACATTTATTCGGCGATGGGTTCTTGTTTAGTTTGTCTCCAGAATTCCTTGTTGTTTATTGTTTCTGACCATCTGATTTTCACTATCTGTCAGCCGAAGTCAGCTGTTGATGAAATTTTGCAATAGTCTACTGAAAATGCACTTAGTGTAGCGCTCTCCAGCTGTTTGAACAAAATAGCAGAAAAATTAACTTGATATTGGTGTTGAAGGTTTGGATCTTGATCATTATTCTAAGTGCAGCAGATTTTCACACTGATTTGATAGCAGTGAAGGTATGTCCCGCTTTTCCGACCATCATGGCTGACTTCGACATCATCGTCTGTGTCATTGCCTACAGTGGAAACGATGCTGCCTAGATAGGTGAAACAGGAGACTCCCTTTAGGTTTGTCCTGCTAATAGTATCAATAAGACAAAGAAAATAACTACTGGTAATTGCAAGGAATGTTTTATTTGCTCATCTACAAGCAGAAATCATTAAAAAATCTTCCTTGTTTTGTAGTTTGTCGTTTTATTAAATGAAAATAAATATTGAAACAACTATTCTGTGTGAATATTTATTTCAAAATACATTTTTAAGAAATTGTTTCAGTCCACAGTAGGCACATTATTTATTTATTATTTAAACGCAGAAAAACTTGGTACAATATGGCACCAAGAAAGATGCGCCACACAATAATAATAAAACAACATAGATTAAAAGTAAAAATATAAGTAGAAAACGGATAAAGAACTTCATCTGGAAGGAAAACAGTCATGTTTAACAAGTTCAAAAAGTATTCGTTAACTATCATCAGGAAGGAAAAAGAGGAATTGCAACACGTTCGCCTGCACATTTTTCATAGATAACACGCTGAGGAGTCATTTGTCAGAATATAGCAATAAAGTTAGCATTCTTGTAGAACTCTAAGTCAGCTATCCCCGAATTGCTAAAATATACTCTTTCATTATTGTTCCAAAAGAATGACAAATCAGCATTGATCATCACAGAAAAATGTATTGATAAAAATGAGGAACAAGCTGTAATATACAACAAACAGTTCAATGTATAAGAATTTAGGGTGATTTGAAAAGATTCAAATCTCTGGGATTAGTCGTTCCTGGTACATTTTTCACGAGATCTGTTCGAGGCAAATGTGGCGATCGTCTGATGTTTAGACCACTTCGATCTGCGTAGAAGACAGTAATGCTCTATTTAAGTGATCTGTAACTACTCATATCAATCAGTAGTAAGCAACGTATCGGGTCTATTAGATACTCCTTCTTATTTATATTTTGACTCTGCCTATCGAATAAATCAAGGTCCGTATAACCATTGATGAGTATGATTCATATCTGTCCACAAGAATCAATTAGGTATTCAATAGCGTCGATCGAGAGGTGCTTTGGAAACTACTTCACTACTATGGGGTACCACCGACAATTATACATCCCATCCAACAGCTGTAGGACAATGCTGCATGCCAAGTAATCCACAACGGGAAACTTACGGAATTCTTCGAAGTGAGGACAGGAGTAAGACAAGCTGGCTGCCTACTATCACCAATGATTTTCCTGATTGCAGTAGACTGAATAATGTGACAGACAGCGGCGGGCAATGAGGAAACAGGCATAAAATGGATTCACACAAAAAGAGAACTTGGAGGATCTGGACTTCGCCGATGATATATGTCTGATTTCCCACAAACTGGAAGATATGCAAGTAAAAAGCAACAAGTTGGCAGAAGAAGCATCCAGAGAAGATAGGACTTCAGGTGAACATTGAGAAAACAGAGGTGATGAAGATTCCTGGCCAACACCACCAACAACAGCAACAACAACAACAGACAACAATCAGCCAGCATAAATGGGAGGAACCTGAAAGAAACAACCTCCTTCACCTACTGACATGGGAAGCATCGTTTCAACTACAGGAGAACGGAACTGACGAGGATATCAAAGCAGCGAGGATCGGGAAAGCAAGACAAGCTTTCACTACTCTCAAGTCTGTGTGGAGATCAACAACACTCAGCATCAAAAATAAGATCCGGATTTTCAACTCCAATGTGAAGTCAGTCAGTGCTACTATACGGATCAGAGACTTGCACTGCGCGTCATAAAGAGCATCTCAAACAAATTGCAGACCTTCATTAACAGTTGTCTTCACTCAATACTCAAGATCAGATGGCCGGCCAGAAAAGATCAGCAACAGGGATGGATCTCTGGTAATGAGCGAACCAACACAGCAGGAACCGATTGTGAAACAAATAGGCAGGAAGAAATGGAGATGGATTGGCTGGCCATACTCTGAGGAAACAATCCATCAAGTGACATCACTAGACAAGCCTTTGCTCGAGTGGAACCCGAAAGGGAAGCGACGAGTTGGTCGTCAGTGCGAGGGTGGGTGACTTGGAGGAGGTCATGTGAAGAGGAAATGAAAACGTGTGGGCAGACTTGGAAACAGGTGAAGACTCTATCAGAGAACCGAACGCAATGGAGACGCACGGCTGAAGCCCTATATTCCTCTAGGAATTAAAGGATACAGTAGTAATAAACTGTTGAGATCAAACAGAGGGAAATTCACAGGTTTCAGTAAATACTGACTTAAATCTTTTCAACAAGACCTGGTTCTCACCATATGTCAGCTTAGTGGTAGGTGCTGGGTATGAGACTCAGAGGGGACAATATCACTTACTTGAATGTACGTATATTCAACTAGCGAGACCCAAATAGGGCAAGACTTTATTCCTGGATTCCACTGCTAACCATCTATAAAACTAAGCGAATATGTAACAGTATATATTAATTATGTTTGTTTTTCAAATTTTAATTTAAAGGTCTCATCACCAGACTACTGGAATAAATGTTCAGGTTTATTGGAGCTTCCATTAACAGTGAAATGGGAAAATTGTAGCATTGAAAGTTTAATGAAAGAAGGTGACAACAATAGTAGTCTTTTGCAACGAAAAAATCAATTAAAAGAAACCTGGAAAATATTTCAGTATTTAAAATCTACACAAGAATGCCATACAATGCTTGAAAATCAATGGTCAACGCTATATATTCATTTTATTCATTCAGTGAATCCACATAACTGTTCGGTGAAAAATGTCCAATGTTCAGTGGATAGTAGTTCTGTTGGAACATTGAATCAGGTAATAAACCTCCTCCATTGTGAATAATTTGAATGAATACTTTTTTTGAATGAACAGTTATACTTTCTTTTATTGTTCTAAATAACAGGCGAAAAAAAGAATGAGCAAAGAATATTCTTTTCAATAACTTCCTAACCTGGCTGTACAGTTACATATACATAATAACTGAAGAGTAATTGTTGTTGACAGTACTGATATTGTTTAAATGGATTACAGTTCGTAAGTACTACGAATAGACCTTATTTGTTCTTTGTTTAACCGCGCATGATGATGTCCGGAAATCTGATAAAGAAGATGACTAACTATACGCCAAGTGTAGCTGAATCCACAGTAGCACTCAAATTGGTAGATACCCATGCAGGATGTGATATTAAGTGATTTATCCTTAATTCCCGAATGTAAGTTTGCAGTGGTTGGGAAAAGACAGTGTATTCCTGCTGTAATGAATGCTCTGTTTAGTGCATTCCTTAGGTCTCATGTTATTTTCCTTATGGATTTTACAATCAAGCCACTCCAGTTGTATGAACAAGGGCTTGCCTTGGAGTTAAATTCAGATATTTATCAAGAAAATTTTCTGGATATCCATTTTACTAAGTCGTTCTCGAATCATTTTGAGTTCTTTAAGTTAGTCATTAGAGCATACCAACCTAGCTCTGTGAATCAAACACTTCCCTAAATTGCATTTAAATTTCAAGGGTACAAGACTCATAAAAAATGAGTATACTGACCAGATGATGCAAGTTTTCCATTGATCTTAACAACACAACATTACTTAAAAAATATGGACGTTAACAATAACAATTATTCGTTAAATATTATGCGTATAAAACAGTATAGCCAGATGGGGATGTTACTGAAAAGAATATTCTTCATTCAGTCTTTTTGTCTTCTATTTTTTATTTATTTTTGATTACAGCTTGATGCCATACTGTATTTTCAGTCCAAGTATGGCATTTTCAGCATGTGATATCGGTAGCCCAAATTTAGCAGACCGACCATAGATATCGGGTGTGCGTCGGCAGGGGATGGAACCCCGAACCATGTGCATGGTCGGCGAGAGTCCTAACCACTGTGCTACCGATGCACAAGAATTTTCACTGTATTGAAAATGACAAGTTCGAAAACAAACTTTTGGTTCTGACTATATGATGAAGTGATAAAGTTCTGAGTAGAAGATCTTACACTGGTTTTAAGGCTAGAAAAGCTGAAAGGTCCCAAAGCATATTTGAGTAGACTTTTTAATGATTTTTGAATTCATCTTTAACCTGAGAAGAAGTAATCTGAAATCGGTCAGTCTAGCACAAAACATCCTATTGAATAAGATTACTCATTCTGTAAAAAGTACTTTAAATACAAGTAAATCTTTGGGAACAACGAAACGGGAATAAGTATTGAGCAAGAAGTATGTTTAAAACGCTTTCCTAAGAGAGAATATTTATTTGCTAATTAGACAAAACTGTTAATACTGTTCTGGTTTAGTTAAAGTGGTGAGACCCAGAAATCTGATAAACATTTTTGAACTATGTTACGGCTGACAAATCAATGCATAACATGAGAAGAATGATGGTAAGATAGAGAAAGAAATACAAGTATGATGATGAGGATATTTAAATGAAGAAATAGGAAGATGATGTGGAGTGAATATATCTGTACCATTTTGAGCGATTTGAACTATGCGTAAAGCATTCATAACTGGTATTTATCAACTGATGGTGTGTTTTGCATGCGATCCGCCCTTGTAAAATGTAAGATGATGCTGCAGGATTGGACTTCACCGATCCCTAGATTAGAAATAGGAAGTGAAGTGGTAGAGCACGTTGACCGCTTCACTTATTTGGGAAGTACCATCAGCCCCAATGGGTTGATCTCCGACGAAATCTCAGCACGATTACAGAGGGCTTGTTTCGCATATGCCAGTTTACGCCGTCTCTGGAGTAAACGTGATATCCGACTATCTACCGAAGGGCGTGTGTACTGCTCCGTCCTCCTTTATGGCTGTGAGTGAGATATGGCCATTGAGAGTGGAAGACATGAAAAGATTAGCTGTCTTTGATCATAGGTGTCTACGCTCTATCTCCCGTGTGAAGTGGTATAATAAGGTGAGCAATATTGAGGTTAGGCTTTAGTCGAGTACCAGGTGAGGAGGAAACATCAATAGACGAGACTGTGAAATTACATCGGCTGAGATGGTTAGAACATGTGTTACGCATGCATGCCTAGTCATCGCCTTCCTCGACAATGGGCAATGTTAGGTGATATAGGGTCAGGCTGGAAAAGAGCTAGCGGCGGTCAAACGAAAACATGGCTTCATCAGTCAATGAAATCTACAGCAGTTAGTCTAAGCCACGTAGGAAGGTGTAGACTTCCTGACTGCTTGGGGTCCTCGGGATGGTAAAAACCAATGGTTGGAAACAATTGGTGACATGGCTCAATGGTTCTCAATGGCTGGCGCAGATGCATCCACTCCTTGTGACTTATGATTTCCAATGAAACTGTTTTGTTCTTCGTTATTACCATTCCTTTGTCTCACACCTCTGTTTACTGTCTATATTATTCGTTTCTCCTACTTTCTTCTCTTGTTTTGTGTGCTACAAGGAGGGAGTGTGGCGACTTGAACTGTCACACATATGTGCAAAGTTCTATGTCGAAAACCGACCGTCCGACTACAGATTTTGAAAAGCATGAAACCATATGTTTTGTGTTAATGTGGTTATGAAGAAGGAATTACAAGATTATGTGTTTTTTTTTCATTGAGTTTTATTCAGTGATTTTCTTACCCTTCATGTTTTTATTCTGTTTATTTAATGATTTGATACACAGTAGTAAAGTGTGATTAGCCATATCTCAGAGAATTCCATTTACACGTGTAGAAACAGGTTCTCTTTCACTTAGTTCATCACTGACAGAGTTCTGTAGCAAAGTAATTAATCTGAATATTCCTTCATGAATGGTCTGTTTTCAATATACCTTTTTCTCCTGACCAGTATATCAACATTTAAATATTCGCATATCACCTTTTCACTAGATCTTTACCATCTGCCGTTGTTTTCGGTTGATTCCTACTTTTAATGATTGACTTTTCTGTTGTGTAATAGTGGACTGTCGATAACAATGTTCTTTTTAGATTGCGACTTAGTTTGAATAAATTCGAGCCTACACCGTAGAGTGACAACGTGACTTTTGACTGTCTGTTTGATTCTCTCAGATACAGTTTTAATCCCACTTCTTTGAGAATATTCTTATTGATTCTCAGTAAGTATTTGGTGCCTGATAAACTTTTGGACTTTACAGCTGCCAGATGGTGCTGTTGAGGTAAATCACAGAACCACTCAAGCTAAATCGTGTTGGAACATAATTTTCGACTGTGAACTACTGGTGGGAGTTTTGCTAGCTATACAGAAAGTCATTCCGGTTGATTTCCCGCATTCAGACTTAAATATTTGGGTTTCAGTTAATACAAATATGTGCAGTTTCATATCATGATCATACCGACCAAATGGTTTATATATATTATATATATGACGTTTTGGACACAGTTCATAACTCAAGTTGATATCGCGTCGAATGATACTTCATCTTGATGCCCGAGTTCTGCGTGAATATTTTTCTATTTATCTCACTGTCTTTTTGTTTAAGTTAACTTCCTCTGACGTTATGACATGCGACGGCGTAACGCTCTATGCCTATCCTTGTGTTTTTTAACTATGTAGAATAAATGAGTGCTTTGTCAATTTTCAAAAAATTACATTCTTCGCTTAAGAAGTGACTGCTGTGACTCAGTGGTCCAGTAAGTCCCACTTTGACTACGAGGTTGAATGACAACAAAGTTATTTAAAGGGATTATATCCACCCAGCTGAGGAGTTTCATGTAGAATGAAAAGCACATCCTGGATACCACTATCACAATGGAACGAATAAAAAAAATTAAAACTGCGACAATAAGGGTGTGTCGGTTTAAGCAGCAACAAGGAGAGTAGAGTGATTACATTGCTTCATTGTTGGTAATCATCGAAGTTACACAAATGACAAAGCCATTTTTGAAAACAGATTAACATGAACAGAAGAATAAATAGGTCAGAAATGGAATGAAGTAATTCATTCGACATGTTATTAGTCAGATAACAGGTATTTTCGATTACTCATTGGCGAGTTAGCAGTGTCATGTCTCTAGTCCTTAGTAGTGATGTTGTTTGAATTCGATTAGTCATGTTTGCAATATGGTTTCCAAGCTAGGTAGCTCGCCATCTCGTTGCACTTTGAGTTAATGTTAGGTGGACGGAAGCAATTCACAAAGGGCTTTGGAACTAGGTCTTGTGTGCTTGTTGGAGTTTGTCAGTATGGTGTATCTGCTACTTTGAAGGAAGTGATGTTTGACCTCGCTCCAGACAGTGTTACAGTCAGTGACCCTACCAGAGAGCTTTTTGTGCGAAACATAATCTCTGCAGTGGCATTATTTCCTTCGATGTTGCAGACCGGCTTTGCTGATCTAGGCCTTCTTGTCTATTTCCTCCTATCACTTTACCATGAACGCTTTGTTTATTTTAAATGAGAATTTGCTGTATATTTAGTATGGTTCATGTATAGAAATAATAAGCCCGTCCTTTTTGTTATCACTAGTCTTATCTATTTTTATTTCTCCTGCTCACCTCTTTTTTATTTTAGAGCACTGCAGGCAGTCATAATACTTCCTCTGATGTCCAGTTTCCACGGATATTTTTAAATATCACTGATTTAATTGAACACTTATACAATATATCAGTTAAATTACAAAGTTTATTACAATCTGGATTGTTATATGTAAATAAAACAGTCAAAATGAAGCCAACATCCACCTCCTTATCAACAGCGTCAGGAAATGAATACCTGGATGAAAATGACTCTGTAATATCTGCACGTTACTCGTTGAAACAATTGAATCAAAGCATAAATGTGTTAACATGTGTCAAGTCAATACAAGATCATGTATGTAACCAGTATTAACCAGTATTGAAATCTATGTCTTTCCGATGTTTAACTTGTATGTAGATTAATTAGTTATTAAAAGAATGAATTAGTGAACAAGGAATATTCTTTTCGTAAAAAAATTATATTTGTAAAATCTCAGCGAGATTGAAATAAGTAATTCCAACGTTTCGTTCGGAAATCTGGTCCGAACTTCTTCATGGAAATTAACCGAAATCAACATAACATAATAATAATAATAATTTTTGCTTTATTCCAAAAACAGTATTAATGATACAGTAAGGAATTTTCAGCATTCAGTACAATATTGTACTCCATGTACATTTTTTTTGCATCTATTTACTCAACAGAGGTTTATATGTAAAAGGAACATCACTTGTTTTTATAAACTTTGTCCAATCATGAGTCATTCAACAAGTAAAATAAACAAAATTTCAGCTCAATCTTCAGAAAGAAGACAAAGCAATAAGTCCGACAGGGTGCTTCTACTAAACTCCAATCCTAAACACCATAATTTTGAAAATACGTCTAATCATAAAATTCTAGATACTAACAGTTTGAACAGACATGAAGGCGTGATGTTAGCTGATGCATAGGAAATCCTTATTAATAAATAAAAAAATGGATATGTATCACTAATTATTAATACTTGGTCAAAATTCTCGACTGTCCATATCTTCTTATGGAAACGTTAAGAAATGTTTTACAACTGTTTACCCACACACACATACACACTCTGTTTAAAGTGTTTAACAAAGGTAGACCAATATTTGTAAGTCCGAGGTCAAATTTTGATCACAGCTCATAAAATTTTGTTTATTATACTTGTTGATACTTGTTGAATGACTCATGATTAGACAAAGTTTTTAAAAACAAGTGATGTTCCTTTTATATATAAACCTCTGTTATGTTAATTTCGATTAATTTCCCTGAAGAAGTTCGGACCAGATTGCCGAACGAAACGTTGGAATTACTCATTTCAATCTCGCTGAGATTTTACAAGTATAATTTTTTACAAATGTCTACTTCTCACTCGGCGCCCCAATATTTTAGAACTATTCTGTCAAATCTTGACGACAGTTTATCTGAATATGCTTTTCAATAACTTCATCAGATTCTACAGTTACATGTCAATAGTAATTAGAGAATTATTGTGATTAAGAATATTCAAGTTATAAATGACATTGGATCAGTAATATAGATGGATTACAGTTCGAAAAGCACCTGTGGCTAGCCTAGGTTCTTCGTCTTTCAGTCTACGAATCACAACTGATCGTGTTGAAAATTTGAGTTACAGCTTACCGGCATTAAAAGTCCTACGAATCGATCTTCTCAACTTGTTGATTATTATTTCGCTTGGGATATCACCTTTGAATTGAAGTTGTACATATAGAAGCTCCTTGTTAACAGATACAGAAACGTTCTTTTCTACTTACCTGGCCACACAGCTAGCACTGAAGGGTATTTCTCTATCAACTGTCGGCTGCAGAAATGGTTGCTAGAAGCCTCTAGATACTGAATTCTCCAAACAGCAGACACCATTGCAGTTCACGTAAATGAACCGGAGCTCTACGTGGAAAAGAGACAGGTCCGATCACTGTTGCTACCCTGGCTTGCCGTAAAACCCATAAATTCTCTTTCATTTTTCATAATTTATCTGATATTCAGTTTAATATTCTATTTTTGTACATATTATCACTCACAGATGCTGGTGCTTTTAAATGACTCACTTCACTGGGCAGAGTCAAACTAGGAACACCGCCTATAAGCTTGGCGCCAAACGACGGAAACGACCATCTGGTATTTTGTTCATTTCGCTATAGCTAGGTAGGGTTAACTACTGAGAGATGTGAGCGATATCCAATTACCCATATGCAGCGTCAAGCCTGTGGAAGATCTAAATGGAAACAGTACTGCTCGCTCTATATGTTTTGTTTTAACATTCTAAAAAAATATTAATCGTCAGAAATCTCTAGACCTAAATTCCAGGCTTACTGACAGTCGCAAACAAGGCGTATTAATTACAAAAAATGCATGTTTTAAGATTTTATCGATCCATTAAAGAAGAATAGCAGCTATCCTGAGGTTTAAGGCAATTAAAGTGTTCCACCGGATAACTTTTACAATCTTATGGGACTAATGTTTTAAGGAAATAGTAAATTCACTTAATTTGCATTTAATACTGATAAGTTTAAGTTTGAACGGGGATTTTGTATACAGGAATATGCTTTTATTTAGAAGTGAGATTATTTTATTCTTTCTTGATCATCCTTGCTATCAGTCTTATTTACTTTTCATTTTTTAAACATCTGCGTTGTTATGCATAATTACATTCTTTTGTCTTGCATGTGACTCTTAGTAATACATAATTCTTTATTCCACCATATCTTGTACTTCAAATAACCTATAACTATTGATTAATAGGTGCGTCAGTGGCATAGTGGTTAGGACGCTCGCCGACCATGCACATGGTTTGGGGTTCGATCCCCGGCCAGCGCACTCCTTTACCTCGCTAAGCCAGAAATAATGCTGGTGAAGAGGAAAGGTTGGGTATGAGGCTAGCAACCCCATCCTGTAAAATAAACACTGCTATAGAAACTTCAAGCCACTAGCTTGAAGCCCTATGTTCCACTGGGGAATGTGAAGGAAAAAAAATTGATTAATAGAGCTAAATCATGTGATGTTACCAGCTAGCCGAAAAAATGGAGATAGACTGGACACAGTTTGACAGGACCATTGAGTGACGTCGCGCGTCAGGCCATCGCTCGAATGGAACCTGAATGGACAACGATGAAGTGAAAGTCTGAGAGTGACATGGAGGAAATCGTGTAAAGAGGAGATGAGAGCCTTCAGGCAATTTTGTAGCCAGATAAGGAGGAATTCAGAAAACAGGACCAAGTGGAGATGTAAAGTTGTAAAGCCCTATGTTCCCCTCGAAAGCTAAGGTAATAATAAGGATACCTATTGGTCGAGAAGACTTAACATATCTAGAAATCCTTAAAATGTATTCAATCGGTAACTTTTATTTACTCTCCTAACCAATGTAGTTGGAATGTACAGTCTTTATGTGCATAACAGCTGGGCAGAAAGTATAGTCTTGTTAAAATTCTTACTATTAACTTACTTCGTATTATTTTATATCTAGTGTTCAATGTTCAATAATTATCTTCCCTTTTAAAATTTATTTTATTATATAGTGGTTATATTTGTATCGATTGCATTCATTGAAACAAACCTGTGAAGAGGTAAATTCAAGTGGATTTATTAGTTTAACAGATAAATTTATACAAATGACAAATGATTTATTGACAAATAATGAAATAGAAATTATCCAGTCTACTGATCATTCTGAACGTGAAGATATTGAAGAAATGAAATTGGCGAAAATGAACTTGAAGTCATTCATTAGTTATATTCACTTGAAATGGGATTCATGGTTTATTTTAAAATCAAATCTTGAAGAAAGTGTTAAGAAGTTTAATAAAGCAGCTGATGAAATGTGTGATGTAAGTTTCTTTTAATGAAAAAGAAAATTAATTTTACTTGTTAGATTTATTCATAAAATGCAACTGCATTTGGTTAGCACTAATTATTTTAAAGACTTTTTGATCCTTAGGAAAAAAGATGAGATTCATGGAATTTCAATGTAGATTCTGGAGAAAAATCGACATCTCCGAAAGCCAGGAAGCACTGGACAGCTGTTTCATACTGGTTGAGGAATCTTCAACAGTTCACAGTCGTGACCCCATCAGGGATTCAGTAACCCTTGAATTCTAACTTTCATCAATTTGAGAGAAATCGAAAGCTCATCAGTGGCATTGACTGATGGTAGGGCAATACCACGTGAATTAACAGAAGTTACATGTCAAAGATCAGTGAAAAGTCAATGGGTTAGTCTCGTATTCTTAAGTTCATGGATTATATCCTTTGTCGGGTCGTGAGTTTACACTGCCTAAGATTTACAAAGTCGTACGAAATAGCTCTCCAGTACTTTGTCGTTTTCAAAGATTCTTCAACTGATTTCCGTTCTCAATGAAATCTACATTCTACTTGATGAAAACTCCCATGAAGCCCAAAATCTGAGGGACTTATAAAGTTTTCACGCATTAATGGTATTGGATAGGTGAGCGTTTAAGAAAGAAATGGTGCGGAAACTCCATATTTAATCACCATTTCGATCCACTGTCATTGATATGCTGCAGATATATAAGTATAAATGTGAAGACCGTAACTGAGTGAGATCTACAGAAACCAGCAAACGCAGTTTATTGATCTCTTGAGAGCTATTTAGTTTGTAGGCTTCACTTGATGAATGTTCTGAAGATAAGGAAAAGTGAATACACATGAATCGCTGTTATTGACATAAAGTCATAAAACGGTTGTTCCCTAACCATTTCAAGGGTTACTTACATTGAATTAATACTGCATACTATTGTAATCAGTCTAATTATTCTGTAGAGCATTCCATCATACACATTATCAAACCATTCCATTTGATATAGTTTCGAGAGTTAATCATCACTAGTTGTGATAATATTTGTGTTGAATCAGCTTCAAAACTGCATAGTGAGTAGAGATCCTTGTAAAACTATACACTGTTTCTGGGTTTATCAATAATCAATAAAATATAAGATGTGTAAGTGATTTTAAACCGTACTACCGTCAACTGCACACTAAACTCTTGGTATGACTAATTTTCTCAATTTTAAAAGTTCACATTTACATATTGAGTAAAATTAATTACTATTTAATTTAATTTCTTATTTATCTGAATTTATTTTAGACATTTCCTCTATTTTGTTTACTAACTAATATGGAAAGAATGGAACTTTTAGCAAATTGGTGTATACCATATCATGATTATGCAGCTCCATTCAATTGTTCAATTCATGATGAAAACACTCGCAAATATTGTTTTAATAATTTACCTAATCGCGGATTAACTAATTTAAACAAATGGATTACTCGTTTATTTCCATTTATAATAAATTTAAATCTGATATGGTGTAAAAAAGACAAGTGTTGGAAGGTTAGATATTTGTTTAATTATTTTTTAAATCATGGAAAATTCCCATTGTAACATATAGAAAATCAAAACAAATGATTCAGCGAAGAGACTCTTTTCAACGAATTTATCATCAAGCTGTACAATCGTATATATATATGGTTTTTAAGAAGTTTTATCCGGTGAGGGAATTGAAACATAGGTGTGAATGCATAAAATAATAATAATATGAAATGTAATTAAAACTAAAATGTTTGTGATTATAATCGTAGTTAAAGGTCAAGTGGCAAAGCATATATATACGATTGTACAGCTTGATGATAAATTCGTTGAAAAGAGTCTCTTCGCTGAATCATTTGTTTTGATTTTCTATAATTATTTTTTGATGTATTTTATTCCCAGTGGATTTACTGATGTACGAATACAGTTACACACTAGTATTTGTGATGTGTGCCTTCAAAGCCCTGATAATAATAATGAAAAGTTTATTTAAGAAAATGCAATCGTACACGAAACGGAATTCCCAGAGTGTTTTATTCTCATGTAGTATTTACTCCTTCAGCGAAATCTGCAAGTAAAGTAATAACCAAGTGTTAGTTTGTATTTATTTGATTGGCTTCAAGTTGGATCACTGGTCGTTCTGTATATCCCTAATTATCAGGAGTCAGGGTTTGAGAGCTATATGGCGCTGTCTCAGTGACTGATTGGTTATAGAGGTCGCTTAATGGCTTGAAGGTAATAAATTTAATCCCCGTGGAACTATGTGAATATACTAATGAGAAGTCCAAACTAGGATAAAACGACTGTCCCTCTGGTCTTCATTAGTTATCTAACGGATTCATCGTGAAGTAGTATTGCTGTGTCTGAAGTATGCTTCGAAAATCCGCAGTATTTCAATTTTATTTTTTTCAGTATGATTCAGGGACATCACTGAGTGATTGAAACAGTATTAAAATTATTGATTTTAGTAAATACAAGATTAGGTTGCTCAGTGATTTAATTAGGCCTCCGCATTCAATCAAGAATATTTGTGGAGAATTTAAAGAGGCGTAAAATAGTTGGTTTCACTCAGTTTCATGGACTTTAAAAAGGACTTTGACAGCATTAATTGCGAATTAATTTGGAAACTACTTTAACACTGTGGTGTGCTCGAAATCTTTATCAACCTCATTCGACAGCTATATGACAGTGCCACATGTCAGGCAATCCACAACGGAAAACTTAGCGAAGCGTTCGAAGTGAATACAGTGGTAAGACAAAACTGGCTGCCTATTATCACTGATGATGTTCTTAATTGTGGTATAATGGGTCACGCGGGAGACTATAGGGAGAAGGAAGACAGAAATACGTTGAGCATAGCAAGAAGACTCTAGACGATCTGGATTTCGCAGGTGATTTATATTTAATGTCACACGAACTCGAAGACTTGCAGGAGGAAACCAATAAAAGGGCTAAAGAAGCAGGCTGCGAAGACAGGACTCCAGGTAAACATAGAGAAGACGGAGATGATGAAGATAACCAACGAACAGCAACAACAACCAGCAACAATCACCACCAATAGAAGAAATTTGACAAATAATAACTCCTTCACCTATTTAGGGAGCATCGTTTCAACTGCAGGCGGACAGCAAGGATGACAATATCAAAGCCAGCAAGAATCAGGAAATCAGAACAGATCTTTATCACTCTGAAATCAGTTTGGGACTCTCCTGTAAGCAGCATAAAAAGTTTTCGGATTTTCAACACCAGTGTCAAGTCAGCTCTTCTTTGTGGGTCAAAAACTTGGCGCTTGCATCGCGAAAAGCATTTCCAAAAGGATACTGCAGCCTTTATTGATAACTGCCTTTGATGATTCCGTATTGATGACCAAATAACCAAAAAGAATCACCGACAAGAAACTCTAGGAATGAACCAAACAAAAACCTTTTTGCTCAACGATTATGTGGGAAAAAATGGAGATGGACTGCACACATGCTGAGGAGAACTTCACATGATATCGCGCGCAAATCCGTCACTTAAGTGGAACTTGAATGGGAATTAATGAGCTGAGCGTGTGTCCAAGGGTGACACAGAGGAGATTTTGTGAGGAGGGGATGAGAGACTATGGGCGAACATGGGCATAGCTAAACAGGACCGCAGGAAGTAGGACAAAATGGAGGTGTATTGTTGTGACCCTATGTTCCACTTTGAACTCAAGGGACCAGTAATAGCAATAAAAACATTTTTTAATCGGAAATTCAAAGACAAATGAATGAGATCTAAATTTATAGATGCATTACGTATTACTTAAGAATGACGGGAAGGCAGGTTTGATACATTGTCTGGAGGTCCTGAACCACAAGACAGCCCATGAGAAGGAATTAAAATGAGGTGAATATAAACCAAGGTTGATGGAGGGAAAAATGACACCGAACAGAATATAATAGAGATTACACTGTCAGGTCACATCTTTGTTTGTTCTCTTTACACTGATTATATGCATTGGTTGTCAGCTAATTTTGCTGAAATTATTTTTTCCGTTTGCCTCATTACATTTTACAATATTGTTGTATTTTACATTTTGACTGTGATAAAAAGTGTGTTCAGTCAGAGCTTATATGTCTGTCAAAATTCGAACCAGGTTATCGTGAGGTAACTTTTAGTAATATAAAAATGCCGTTAATAGTGATGCTATCTCAGACAGCCTTTAGTTGGTAGCTTGTTACTGATATGGTGGATGATGAAAGTCTGGATCGTGACACAAGTCGAACCATCGGGCTCCAGTGAAGTGATGACCACGTTAATAGTTGGGTCTTGCAGTCGAATTGGTAGAGCAGTGAACTAGTTCCTAAGAGGCAGGTGGTTAGAATCAAACGAATGGTATATTTTATACGCCTTATATATTTCTTCTGACTTAAAGTACCTTCCGTATAAATTAGTAGTGTAGATGTAAGACTTCATTTGATGAGTGACGTGCATTGACAATAGCCTATTTAATATATCATTTTGTAGATGTTTAGAAAGTATGTTTTGGATATTGCAAATTACGCAGATATCTTCAAGAGTTTAAACGAGTGAAGTCTTGAATGAAACTAGTGGTGAAACCTCTCAGATTTTTGTTTTAAAAAACAACGTAAAAAGACTATGGAAACGAAATGAGTACAGAATAAGCTTATCTAGATAGTGTGGCGAGGAGTCGTTTGAGGAGTTCTGACGGCAAACGAATGTATGCACTACCGAAGAGTCTTGAAGTTCGGTGAAACAGCTGTTCATTACTCTCTCGTTTCTGATGATTCGCTAAATGTTGTCAGTTTGTGATGAAAGCCAACTTAGAATCAGTCAGATCCCCATACTACAACACTTGAAAATGCATGTATATCATGGTGATCAGTTTTCAGATGTTTGCTGGACTTCAGTCAAGTAGGTAAAAGTACAAAACATATGTTGTACTGATACTGGCCTTCTAAAATAAACCATCATGATAATGGACAACATATGAGTCTATCACACTTAAAGTGACATCATTGTTTGGAAAGTGGAATTCTCATAGATCTTCTGGGTACATCTTCCAGCTGTGAGACTAGCTGTGAATTTCGGCTTTTTGACTTAATAACGAATTCAAGATTGGTCAGAAACTGACCATAGAAAATGAGAGAATGATGGATAGCTGTTGGGCCCTAGTTTGGGACACTTCAACAGTGTACACCCATGACCCCACAAGAGATCGAAAGCAAGATCTTCAGGTTACAAAGCGAGCTTACTGATCATCCAGCTATTGGGATGGATTTCAGTGGCCCATCAATTCTAACTTTTATGAACGAAATATTCCCATATTGAGTCATAAGAAAAGGCACAAACAGCGAAGAAAATTTTCTTTTCGACGATTCATTTTTATGAGCTGTACAATCGTAATTATAATTAACAAAGAAATCGTTAGACCAATCAGATACTGGTAAATTTTGTCCTTGGAAAATTGTATTACATAATATAAGGTGTAAGAAGGGATGACTAATTGTAAGTTAGAAAGGAGACAGAAGTTGGCATGACGTAATAAGTGTGAGATAGTGAATAATCAATAATCTCGTGTAAAATGGACAGGAACTAGTGGAAAGTCTATAGTGTTTTTGTATAAAATATGTATGAAAAACAATGTTATTAATAAACAGTAATAGAGTGGTAATAAAATGTGGATGATGGGGACAAAATGATAATAAAAGTATTAATAAAATAAAATAATAATGGTAATAATAGTGAACTTACATAATAAAGGAAAGAATCAAAATTGTGATAAGAACTTTACTCTGGCCATGGTAAGGCAAGAGAATGTATGTATCGCTTTTGTATGCAGAGGTCCGGTTTTAGATCTCGAATAGCTAATGCTTCAGCTATGTACAGATGGCGAATCCGAAGTCCCTTTGTACGATATTGAGGGACTCTGTGTAACACTGTGAAGCATTCATGTGGGGGTGCTCGATGTCCAGAGATGACAAGGTGTTCGAGGATCGAGCTGTTGCTATTCTTCTTTTCTCCTCTGGCCAACCAAGCGGGGCAGTGTTCCAGAATATGTTTTTGGACTTGACGTTGCGTACGGCCAATATACTTTGCTCCACACGAGCAAGTAAATTGATAAATACACATTGAAGTGGCCAAAAGCGGTATCTTTTCCTTAGCGTTAGACTGGATTAACTGTCTGCAGGAGAATGTGGTACGTAGAGTGGCTGTTGGAAATGTCTTCTTCAGACATTTAGAAAGGCGGTTTCTGAGAATTTCCGCTGCGACATCACCTTTGAATTCTAGGTTCATGAAGAGAGTCTTCTTCGGAACCGTTGCGATGTTTGACATCGGAGGCTTCTCCTTCATGTTTTTGTCAATGAATCTTCGTGGATATCCATTCTCCAGTAGGATTTTACGTAATAAATTTAATTCATTCTCCACCATGTCTTCCGAGCAGATTTTTCTAATCCTTGAGCTCAACGTACGTATCAGGTTTCTCTTTCGAATTAGTGGGACGAAGCTCTGAAAGTTGATAAACTGTCCAGTCCATGTTGGCTTGCGGTATATTGATCTTTGGATCGTATAGTCGTGTCGTCTGGTGAGTAGTACATCAAGGAATGGAAATGCGTTGTTCGATTCTCTTTCTAAGGTGAAACTTATTGATGGATGCGCTGCGTTGAAGGTTTTAAGGAGAGAATCTAAATTACAATTTTCATCACAGATTATAAACGTGTCATCTACGTATCTCTTGTATAAGTGCAGTTGACTTATCAAGGGATTGAGGATGTTGTTTTCCAGATTTGCCATGAAGCAGTCGGCTAGGAGTGGACCGAGAAGAGACCCCATAGCTACTCCATCTTTCTGTACATAGAACTTTTCATTGAATTTGAACTGGATATTGAACGTACATCTGAGAAGTTCCTTCAGGTAGTTTATTGGGAGAGGAACTTCTAGGTTGTTGGTTTCGATGTAATCACAAATGAAGCATATTGTTTCAGTTAGGGGGGTGCTTGTGAATAGAGAGACGACATCTAATGAGATCATTTGTCTTTCAGACACGTTGACATCCTTCACTGAGTCGATGAAGTCAAATGTATCTCTGAGGCTATATTTTGTCATATGTCTTTGAACTGGTTCGAGGATATCAGCTAGCCACTTCGCGATTTGATGATATGGTGAGTTAACCATGTCTATGACCGGTCGAAGTGGGACATTCTCCTTGTACACTTTAGGCAGTCCATACAGTCTTGGAATAGTTGAACTGCAAGGTTTTATTTGCTCATAAACCTCCGGTGTTATGACTGAATCTTCTTTCATTCTCTTCAGCAGTTTTGTAAGTAGGTTTTCAGTTCTTTCGGTTGTGTCTTTCTGGTTGGGTGATTCGAAGAATTTGGTGTTATCTGATAGTATATCTGTCAATTGGCCGTACGCAACGTCAAGTCCAAAAACATATTCTGGAACACTGCCCCGCTTGGTTGGCCAGAGGAGAAAAGAAGAATAGCAACAGCTCGATCCTCGAACACCTTGTCATCTCTGGACATCGAGCACCCCCACATGAATGCTTCACAGTGTTACACAGAGTCCCTCAATATCGTACAAAGGGACTTCGGATTCGCCATCTGTACATAGCTGAAGCATTAGCTATTCGAGATCTAAAACCGGACCTCTGCATACAAAAGCGATACATACATTCTCTTGCCTTACCATGGCCAGAGTAAAGTTCTTATCACAATTTTGATTCTTTCCTTTATTATGTAAGTTCACTGTTATTACCATTATTATTTTATTTTATTAATACTTTTATTATCATTTTGTCCCCATCATCCACATTTTATTACCACTCTATTACTGTTTATTAATAACATTGTTTTTCATACATATTTTATACAAAAACACTATAGACTTTCCACTAGTTCCTGTCCATTTTACACGAGATTATTGATTATTCACTATCTCACACTTATTACGTCATGCCAACTTCTGTCTCCTTTCTAACTTACAATTAGTCATCCCTTCTTACACCTTATATTATGTAATACAATTTTCCAAGGACAAAATTTACCAGTATCTGATTGGTCTAACGATTTCTTTGTTAATTATAATTACGATTGTACAGCTCATGAAAATGAATCGTCGAAAAGAAAATTTTCTTCGCTGTTTGTGCCTTTTCTTATAATTCTAACTTTTGCCAATTCTTGAACGCTAAGCATTCTGAGAAAGGCATCTTTGAAGTGTCAGAACCCAGAATCTAATCTTCCTGAAAAAAAATATTGTCTAGTAATTCTTAAGACACTCTTGTTCAGTAATTCACTGTGCAATTCTTTGACTGTTTGAGTGTGTTACTATTTATTCTAATATCTTTCAGTATCCAATTCCAATTTAACTTGAATTTTTATTGGAAATAATTATTCCTCTCGTTATGTGTTTTAGGTAACTGAAGTTATTAATGAATTCAAACAAAATATCCCATTAATCCAACCAGTTAAATGGATCCTGTCAGTTGGTCAGTGGTTCACACAATTTTATTCCAACTTACAACTAACATTAATGAGGTTAACATTGAATTCAATGTTAAAATTAAATGATTATAATCAATGGTTAAAGGATTCCTTGGGAAAAGAACAAATGTTGCCTGTAGTAATACTTGAACTAGCTGAAAGAATTATTAGTTGGAAGAAATTAGAAGAGATTTTCGACAAAGAGAATAAATTTGATGAATTAGATAAAACTATGTGAGTGGTTGTTTAGAATAATTTTTATATTAGTTGAATATTTCACTTCCGTTTGCATGAGCACAGACGATTTCTTTGGTTTCCGAATGGTTACTTGATGGATTATTATTATTGTCCCCTTGGGTTTCTAGTGGAACATACGGCTTCAACTACGCGTCTCCACTTGCTTCTGTCTTCTTCTGTACTTTTCACCTGTATCCATGTTAGTCCCTTCTGTTTCAACTCCTCTTCACACGATCTCCTCCATGTCACCCTTGCACCGACGAACCACTCGCCGCTTCCCTTTCGGGTTCCACTCGAGCTATGGCCTGACGCGCGATGTCACCCAGCGGCTTCCTCAGCGAGTATCCAATCCATCTCCACTTTCTCCTGCATATTTGTTTAGCGATTGGTTCCTGATTTGTTTGTTCCCATAGTTTCTTGTTGGTGATTCTTTCCGGCCATCTGATCTTCAGTATAGAGCGAAGACAGTTGTTGATAAATGTCTGCAACAGGCTGTTGGAAATATTCTTTGTGACACACTGGCCAAGTTTCTGATCCGTATAGATGGATGAACGTTTAAATAACATATCTTATAGACTCTGCTACTATCTATGAAGTTACATTGGATTTAATGGAATAGCTGTTGACAAAATCTCAGAACGGATACACAAAGCAGATTTTTGGTGTTTGCCAACTTCCATCATCTTTGGTACAAGCATGATTTCCAGTTTTCTACCAAGACACATATGTACAACTCAGCGATTCCCTAATCTTTGTGGCTGAGAGGTACGGTTACTTCTTCATGTTGTGGAAACCAGTGAAAGACTTCAAGACACGCAATTTTATCAATACTTTAAGCTAATTTAAATATCATCCTTTTCATCATCCATGTCTGTATTCCTGCTGATATTTGAAAGCCAAGAGGTCATCTAACTTTTTTCAGTACAGTTGATATCGACACGATGTTTTCAGTACAGCTAACTCATGTAACAAAATATGCTGGCCTGTTTGAACTGAGACAGTGGATAAATAGTGTACAAACTAACCTACATTGTTTGAAATCCTATTGCGTGATGAGGAGATTAGGTCTCATTGGGGGGAGCAAACATTCACCGCGATGATTTTGAGATCAGATGATATCATCTGGAAAAATCGGATATCTTCGCATCAGTGTGATTCACTTCCTCAATGCGTTATATACTCATTTCACAACCAATATTTTTTAATGTGAATAGTCGAAATGGAGTATCGTCAAACAGCATCAGATATAAATGTTATGGGGCAAAAGTAATAATAGGAAACAAAAGAAGTGTTTTTTGATCGAATCAACCATCTGATATGACTTGTAATTAGACCTAGCAGACTGCATGAGATGCGAACTTACTAATACTACTACTACTTAAATCGCTAGTCACAATGTCGATCACACGAACATCAATACTGCTGTAACGCAAAAACAACAAGGGAAGAGAGACCATATGTGAAAAGCTTTGATGGTCTCGAAAAGCAGTCGGTACCCTTGGTAGTAACTAAATCCATTACGGAATTTATCTGGTTAATAGTTATTGTGAGTTCCACCTTCAGAAAGCGTGGGAAGCACAAAAGGCTCCAAATGTGGATGGAAACAGAATTATAGGGTTATAGACTAATATAAGGCAAGAATTAGGCAACATTAGGAGAGTATGCAACAAAGATAAATAATTGCAGGATTTACAAAACAGCCTAACCGAAAGATCATATAGTTCTAAATAGAGTTACATTAAAATATAAATTGCTGGAGACACCGAAAAATTGTTCTACTTCAGAAATACACCAAGTAATTATATTGCAAACTTTCAACTTTTTGTTTATTCAGCTTCCAGACACAAAAAGGTGATGACCGAACAAAATGTCTAACGGTTAATAAAGGTGTGAATTCAAACAAATAATATTCAATAGTCCAAGATGTACAACAAATTTGTCTAATTAATATAAAAATGAAAGAAAAAAAGTATAAATTGTAATATAAGTACTTCACAGTACATTGCTAAATTTAACACTTCCCACCAAAAGAACGTTAGTTTCTTTTAAATAGCGCTTTAAAATGGGGCTTGTCCAGGTTCATGCATTCAGTGTGTGTACACAAACAAACTATCATATCATAGTGGCAAATTGACTACTAGGGATTAAAAAAATACGCCTGGCACCCATGTAGTACAGTTCTTTACCTTGTCCTGTAGAATTTATAGCAGTACTTCTAGATACCTTCCCAATGTTACTCTAATGGGTCCAGAATAGTCTACATCCACTGAAGGGAGACAGAAGAGTCGTCCATAAAAACTTCTGGCTGTCGGAATAAGTGCCATTAACTTGTACTCTGATTAATTTCTTTTGCAACTTTGAAGTTTGATTTAGCTTATCATTGGCTTTGTTGTTTTACTGTACAGCAAAATATACAAAAAGATAATTAGGAAGTTTATGTTTAATTTTTTATGAAGTATTAAATTTCACTCTAAAAAGCAAATGATGCATCTGTCTGGATGGGCTTCGGTGTTAGTCTAAGTTTGTCAGGTACATTAAGTGTGTCTGTGTACTTTTCAATCTTGTTAAGGTTTGTAATAAAGAACTCAAATATTTATTTCACAAGGAATTTTCACTATTGCTTCCTTGGGTTCCGAGTAGAACATAGGGATTCAACAGTGCGTCTCGACTTTGTTCTGTTCCCTGAAGTTCTCTTCAACTGGCCCCTTAACTGTCCATAAGCCTTCTCCTCCGTGTCACCTTCGGACCCACGCCCGATTCGTCGTTTCCCGCTCGGATTCCACCCAAGGGCCTGACACGCAATTTCATTGGACCGTCTCCACAGCGTATGTCCAGTCTATCGCCATTTTCTCTGGCATGTATGTTGAGCAATAGTTTGTTGGTTAGTTAGTTCCGAGAGTTTCTTGTCAATGATTCTTTCTAGCCATCTGATGTTGAGTATGGAGCCAGTGAAAGCAGCTATTGACAGAAGTCTGCAATCTGTTAGTAAGTTTGACAAGAAAAGACCAACGGTACTCTCTGGTAAATGAAAAAAAGAAGAACTGCGCTTGTAGTTGCTTGGTTGAATACTTAGGTTATTAAAACAACTTTTTATACTGAAGGGTTTTATTGAATTTACAGGTAAGTGAATTAGTCAGAATGATTTTCACTTATTTTTTTGTTAACATGCTATTTAATGTTTTTCCCCTTCTATTTCTTAATAAGTGAGTATTTTAAAGAAAAACTGGACAATACTAGTGTATTATTAAATTATTCATTTGGCTGTGATAAACAACTAACTTCAAGAATTGAACATTTAACATGTCAATTTTTATGCGGTACAATTTTAGGATTTATTCATTTAGCACAAGGTGAGCTTATTAACTTGTACACTTCTGATGTATCGTATGCAGTTGTATATTGTTGCTTTTAAAATTAAATAAAGAATGTTAGAAATTGCTGAAACCTTTCAGATCCAGTTGAGATACTTTAAAAGTTTGAGAAAAGAAAAATATTATATGCATAGATATCAGATTATTTTTAATGTAATAAATCCAGAAAGTTCTGTAATATATATAGAGATTTCTTCTTAAACAGTGAATTTCACGGTATAGATTTCATTGTATGTCTTATTTCGCTTTCATGGAATCAAGCATCTATCAGGCATCAAAAGTTTACGCAAATGCCACTAACCACTGTTATATCACTGATTCTATACAGAAATGAATAAATCCATTATCTATTTGATAGTAAGATTGGAGGCCTGTGTTTTAATTTTAAAGTGATTTAACATGGACAACAGGTGGTTTTCAAATAAATGTGCGTTCATCTAAGATTTGATGAAAAAGATGAATATAGCCGTCCATAGCTTGAAGTTATGTAACATTTCATGATATTTTCAAGGATAATGAAGACAAGTTAGTAAAAATAAAACTTAGGTATTGTTTGTGTACTTGTTTGTGGTCTGAACTCAGGGAACCGATCTCTCAGTCCTACCGCATAGCTGATAAAACTTCCTTGAGACAGTTTCCCGTCGTAAAATCTGTGTTGTTCTACTCAACAGTGATAACATCGGAAACCAAAAATTACATCGATATCGCCGGCAAAGTTAAACATTAAGCACCAGTAATTACCAACGGACACATGACCTTGAACGCACCAGCCAAATGATAAAGGCGATTTTTGTGTGTAAAATACATATATACATTCATGAAAATAATGAATTAAAAGTCATGGAAGTGTTACACAAGAGTCCATTCTCTGATGTGTGACAAAAATAGCTTACAGTTTTGGATCGGAGTATCAACAGAGTAATTTAACCACATTCTGTGCATGTAATTATCTAGTCTTCTAACCCCAACAGTAACCCTAATCTTTCCTTAGCCTAACAGTAACGGGAAAATATCCCTAAACTAACCCTAATCTAACTCGAATTAGGTTGATCTAACCCTAACCTGTCCTTAGCCTAAACCTTAATCTTTCCCAAGCCTAATCTGAAACATGCTAGATATCCTATTGAATAAAATAACACTTCAATAAGCATATTTTATTTATGATTACAATATTGTTTACAAGATTTCACTAACTTGCTCACTGAGTATTTCAAGGTCATCGGTGCGGTCGCGGTCCATTGGTATTTACTACTGCTTAAAGTTTAACTTCGACATTGTGCCGCTACGTATCTATACAGACAATGTTATTTTCCAAGTATAAAACAAGTACCATAGAGAGAAATATATTACTTCCAAAGGTTTAGTTTACCCCAGCATGATTATTTAAATTTTGAATACTTGAGGTTGAAAAATAAACAGAATCAAGCTAAAACTCAGCTCACAAGTTACAAGTGCTCACTAAGATGAAGAGAGAAATTCCTTGATGACTCATAATGAAATGCTAACGATAGTAGTTGAGGTTAAAGATTTATAGTGTAACATATGAATTACTTAACTAAAAAATTCTACTTGGAAAAAGGAATATTGAGAGTTATTCGTTGGTTTATTCCAACCGATCTCTGCCGACTTGATGTGGTGGTTGGGTTTGGCTATCGCAACGATCAAGAGACCTGCACTAGTTGAAACAAATGCTTCTACTGGTCCTGCCGTGCTAGAAAGGTGGTTTGAACGGCAGTTTGGTTGAAAGCAGTCACCATCATAGTATAAGTCATTCACACTATGCTGAAGGTCTGAGGGCAAATTTGTACTGCTGACAAAGAGAAGTATAACTGCAGAACAGTGTTCTGCTGTCAAGCGACCAGCAAGCCAACTACGTTGTCTTTACCCTCTGGTAGATACAGATTAGAAAGTGTCAATCTCAAGAACTGTACAACCTGATTTACCCTAAGGTGGTCTATTGCTGGTAATAAAATCATCATACGGACACGACTCCGAAACCTCTTCAAAGAGATAGTGTGTTACCATCCTCAAGTAGTTGTCCCCTGTGATCTTCAGTCGTGCAATCCTAGTCCTCTTTCATTCGCTCACTCAGTCATTATTTTGTTTCTAAAACTATGCTGGAGTTTTATTTATTTATTACAGTGCAAGGTATTGCTACATTTCCTGTTCAATGTGAGCCTAAAATAGTCATTCAAACAGGCAGTAATAACCACTTAGCTGAACCATACAAAAATGTAGTGGAATGAATTTTGAAAACTGTTGAAGATAAATTTTGTCAGCCTATTCTGTTACCTTATTTAGAAAATTTATATCTGAATACACAATTAACTAGCCGGACAGTATCAGGTGCATCTCTCAAGGTTTTAAAGTCGGTTGAAGTAGGTGCAACGAATGTTCTATTCGGCCATAAAAGACAAACGTTAAAAATCACTTGAAATTCATGGTAAAAATTCTCTGACTATAAAAATGTATAAAACAAGTTTGAATCTTCAACAGAACATTAGTTTTTTCTTAACATTAAGGGTACGCTTTGTTGATGAGTATTGATGTTCTACTAACCTATATATAACATGGCTAATCCACAATGGGTTCCTAACGTCCAATGCCGTAAATATATCATAAAATGAAGGAAAACATAAAACTATGCTTCTGTGGGTTCTGTGGACCATGCAAATGAAACTGATAATACCATAGTGTTTTCATGTATTAAATTGGTTTTAATGATACTTTGTAATAATGCAACTTCTTGGGTGTCACATTAGAAAAAGTTCACCGAAATGGATTTTTGAAACTGTTGACTGTGGGAATATCAAATATGTATTGTTTTAAAAATTTCCTTTCCCATTATATTTGGATAAACTATGTAAGACAATAATAAAACTGGTAAATGTCTATTTATTGAGGAGTCCTGAGAAGGACGAAACTCTGTGTTCTCGGGTTACATTATTAATTGAGTATTAATCCTTCAAACACTATTCTTTATTCTTATAGATTTAAAAAAGGATGCAAACCTGAATGAAAGTAGCTTTACCTGGCTACAACTGATTAAAACGCAACTTTTATCTTCAAGAAGTAATCATCATGTCGATAGAGAAATAAAACAATTTGATGAAATACCATTTATTGGAATTAATCAATTTTCAACAGTGCATGTTTATAAATGGGACAATCAAAGTCTACTACTAAATAATCATAATACACCATATATACCATTGTTAAATACATCGACGGAATTAATACAGCTAGGATCTGCTTTAATTAATCATGAAGTAAGAGAATGAAAGATTTCAGTATCATGTTTTAAAGATGTTTTTTATAAGCTCGGGAATCGCCCAACTTAATTTCAGATTTATGTATATATATAAATATCACAGTTACTCTGTTGAGGGACTTTGTGGAAACTCATTTTCCCAAACCGAAGTAGATGGAAAAATTAGATCCTGTTTAAGTGGGTGGATGACCAAGTGGCTTTCCTCCAACCCGAAGGTCATGGGGGTGTATCTCTGAAGATTTCCAAACTAGGGGGGAATAACTATTCAGTACTGCCTGGTCTTCAGAGGTTCTCTAACTGATTCCCGTTCATAATCTAAGTTGAAATCAGTCAGATTCCCTGGAAATCAAACCTTTAATAAAAATCTTAAATTTGAGACTCACTGTTTGCAAGTTTGTAACGACAGAAGACAAGGGCCAGGCAACAAACCCTTTATTGAGAAAATCAACAGATATTTATGGATTTTTATGTACATTATTATTAGCGTTTTTGTTAGCAGAGAAGCAACGTCTTCTGATTGGTTGTTTTCCTGCTGAAGATTATTCTGTCATCTCTTTGTTGCCGTTTCTTAGACAGTCCGGTGATATATCTGCTAATCGTATCCGCCCACGCTGAGTCTGCTGTGATTAATTGTAGAGTTCCTCAGGGTTAGGCTTTTTTCTTGTATTTTCTCATGACCCCGAGTTGGGATGTAAATATTGACGTCAATTGTTGTCTACAATTTTGTCTTGCATACAGCTTTCACCACAAGTTAAGCAATTTAGTTAACTAACTATACGTTCTCAACTTAGTACTATTATCATTGTTATTTCCTTGCGTTCCAGGAGCAACATAGGATTTCTGCGGAATATTTTTATCCTGCCCTGTTACTTGCTTTCACTTCATGGGCCTCCATCACAGACCACAAGCTGTGATTTTCACCTCATGTGGTCTCCTGTATGTCACCATCGGACGTCCAAACTGTCGCTTCCTACTCAAGTTCTGCTCGAGGGTCTGTCTGATACATGATTTCATTCGAATTTCTCCTCAATGTACGTCCAGTCCGTCTCCATTTCTTCCTGCTTATTTGTTTGGTGATAGTTCCTTGGCTGGATAGTTCGTTACATGCTGCTAATCCTTCCTGGCTCTCTGACTTGTAGTATGGAGCCAAAAAAGTTGTTGCTCAAAGTCTGAGGCAATTTTATTTTGATAGAGTTCACAGTGTTATACAGTAATATTTATCAGTAAATATTACTGTATAACACTGTGAGACTCTATCAAAATAAAATTTACCCATAATGGAATTACACTCTACCACAGTGCCCAAGTTTTATTCTTATATCAAAGTCTGAGGCCTGTTAAAATTATTTTTGGGATACTTACTGACTTAATATTAGTGTTTACACTTCAGATGCTTTTCCTTATCCTAAGTGTTTTCCTTTCTTTAATATCTTCTGAATTAATGGTATGACTGCATCCACTTAGATTGTAGGGGACTTAATAGCGAGCTCGGTAACGGTACAAAATATCCGAATAAAAATCCAAGTTAATGAAAGAATATTGTAACAGTATATTATAAAAATACAGTTAACCAATTATGAAAGTTAATGGTTGCTTGAACTGGAGTTACAGTCCACTACTACAAATTATTAATGTCACCCACAGATCTATTGCAATGCTGGAGGTGTGACCGCAGGCAGAAGTTGTTTGCCGGCTGTAAAATGATCTACGGACGAGGATAGAATATTCCTGCAAATTCCAAAGAATACAACTCGGTTATTAGTGGAGTAAGAGGGTAATAGGAGCCAGTGAGAAAGAGAAGTGATGGGCAGCACAACTATACTTCCAGGTGAACGCCAAAGTTATATATTGTTGACAAGGGAGTCAATTAAACAAAAATTATGTACAATGTGTCCTGTTTTTAACACTTACCAAAAACTTTACAGATCTATTATTTAGGACTTCACTAGGTCTCTGGGTCTGTTTTTTTCTTCTGAGAGAATTCCATCTATTCCTTCTGTTTTTTGTCTTACAGCTGACATTATGGCCTTCAAGACTTCGATTTTTATCAAAGAGTTGATGTTCACTTTTTGTTCTGTCTGCTAGTGATATTTCCAGACGAGTTGTTGGTGATGATCGATTGAGGGGGCCCTTGAAGTGATCAACATGGCATTCCCTTTGTTTCGTCTCTTTGGGTTTCTTCCACTAGTTTTATCTGTGTCGTTCTCTCTCTAGATAACACCCAGTTTTCTGATATAATGCTGTGAGGTCTTACCTATTTGCGAACTGTTTTGCTTCAGTTTCCAATATGTCGTGGAAGTGTCTCTTGCCCTTAGTAACATTTTTCTTTACTCCTTTCTCCATAGAGAACCATTCCCTAAGCTACCTGTTATTATTACCTAATTTGTCAGTTTATGTTTCCTTCCACGCCTCTGGTAGACAGAGGGCGGGGAAGAAAGCTAGTATGATATTTTCTACTGCTTAATTTCCATTTGTCCTGCTGTTTTATACCCCAAGTTATAGATAGTTTGGCGACTAATGAATCTGAAAGTGAAATGTAATGTACTGCACTCTTTGTATTTTGATTAGTTTCTGGAAAATATAAACTACAAACATGATAAACATATCCAAAAGTAACTGAATTATTCTACGATATAAGCCATTGATTTCAGTGGTGTAATAAGGCTGGGATCTCATATTTAGTATCTTTTGAGTAGGTCAAATCACTAGTTGAAGATCAAATAGCATAGCTGAGTGCTTTCTGCACACCGTAATTTTGTAAAGGAACTATGAAATAACCTAACGGATCTACTCATCAGGCTAAAGATTGAAATCGTTTGGTGTTATCCGAGATTTCATGTTTCATAGTGAACGTGTAGTATCATCGGCACCAACTACATTGAGAAATTGTCCAAGTGGTAAATACTCCTCAAATCCTCATCAAGATTGTATTGAATATGTTAGCAAGTCTGTTGGTGAGTGGTTCTCAAATAAATGCAAGTGCTTGGAGAAAATCAGTCTACAATTTTTACTTTATAGAACTCGGCTTCTGATGTGATCAGACTTAAGTGATCTTAACATCGAAAGCAAGTTTTATCATTCTGAGGATGTGCCCTTCATATAGACTGATTTAATCGAGGTAGTCAAGTTTTAGTCAGTGACTTGGGTCTAATCAAGACTTTTCGTTTTACGAGGAGATTACATATACTCTTAAATCACTTCATCGGTTGGTTCATGACAAAATCTATCTTGAATCAAATTCATTCTACTGAAACCCAAGTAATGAAGATACAATTTAGATAGATCGGTCATTAAGGAGTTACCATTGTCATTTGTTTAGTCATTACTATTGGTGTTCGTTGACAGTCAAGTTTGCAGTGTGGTGACTCACCATCAATGTGTAATTCTCATTGGTGTTAAATGGTTGGAGGTAATCAGCAGGAAGCCTGGCTTTCGCGCTTATTGGTACTCGTGGGCAGGTGTATTTGTTGCCTCAAATGGACTGATATTGTATTTTAGTGCTGAGGAACCTACAGAAATCAACAAATGATTAGCTTTAACATCTTTGCAACATAAAAATTTTAAGATTTTCTGCATGAATGTCAAGTAAGTTATTCTGTATGGTTCAGAGACTTGGCGCGTCATGAAAATCGTTCCTAGAGGCTTCAGAATTTCATCAACAACTGTAATGACTCCATACTAAAGATCCTAAGATCAAAAAGAATTAACAACAGGAACTATGGGAATGAATTTACAAAAAACCTACCACTCAGCAAATATGTGGAAGAAAATGGAGCTAGATTGTACACACGCTGAGAAGATCGTGGAATGACATTGAGCACTGTGTCCTCAAGTGAAATCCGAATAGGAAAGGATGAGTTGGATGGGGGGTCCAAAGGTGACGTAAAGCAGATCTTGTGAGAAGGAGATGGGATCTAATGAGCAATCTTGCAGCTACCTAAATACGATTGTAGAGAACAGGATCAAACGGTGATGTTCTGCTGAACCCGTATGTTCCATTCGGAACCTAAGGGAATAATTGTAATTTACATAAATTATTTCCTTTTATTTCATGAAAAGAAACCTTCTAAGCACAATTATTTTACTTTTTATATACTTTACTTAAAGTTTGGACTATTGATTGGACCAAATAACTGTGGTAAACAGACTACAATTCGTCAACTTGCTTTCATACTTGGTCGCCGTCTTATAGAATTCTCTACTTTACCTTTTAACAATAATCTTGAAGGATTTGAAAGGCAGTTAAAAATTGATTTGCTTAATTGTGCTCGTATCGGGGGTTTGTTTTCAATGATGAATATGCATGTGAGTATTTAATTCTATGTTAGTTGAATGGTCATTTTTATTAATGGTGGGATTATTCTAAGAAGCTGTTATTGGTTAGACTTTTATTTTTAGCGTTTATATTGTAGTCACATGTTATTTGGTCTCGATGATTTGTTTATAAGGAGGCCATGAAATTTACCAGTGACCTCTGTGTACACGAAGAGACTCTAACTCAGTTTGTCTCCGACCATCTAATATCAACAATTCAAAGTGCACAGTGATGCTGAGCCACCACATTGCAAACGTGATTGATAGAATTCAGTCTGCACCAGATAGAGAACTAGACACATCACACTAGTTACTCACTATTGTCCATTCCAACAATAAATATATCAACTACATTAAGACCGGATAAAGAATTTATTTAGCAAGAAGAGAATCTCAATAGGATATCGACGGTTCATTGTCCATAGATCGAGGTGCAAAACTGACAGACAATCTCAAAGTGTGTTAAATGGTGCGGATGATTGGTTGAGTGCTTTTAGGCAATACAACCGTATTGAAACAATGGAAGCTGCAACACAGATGGAAAAATTTATTTCAGAGGGTAGTTTGTTGCTATAAGCCGGTAATAATTTCTGTTCGCCAAGATTTATTAAGTGTTAATAATCTTCTGCTATTGTGTGATACGTTTAGACTGCCAGGCCTCAAATTTTCATACCGACTCAGGAATCAGTGTTGGTTTTAGTTCATACATCACAGTGGCAGCTCACACCTTGCTAAACGGGAAGTTGAAGATATTGTAGATTACATTAGTGTCATTTTTTCATCATCCTTCATCTTCATTAAACCTAATACTGTTTTAGATAACACAACACATATGAGGCGGTAGGTACAAATGATTAAGGTATGTCCGAATCACTTCAATCGATAAAATGTTTCCCTGGCACCCGACTCTTTTATCTGTATCAGAACTCTACAATTAACTTTTATACTGTCAACTTGATAAATGTACCAGACACCGTCGACATTGAGAAAGAAAAGGTGAACCACTAGAATTATTTTCTGAGTTGGCGTGTTTTCTAGTAATGCAGGAAAGATTCCGTGCACTGCTTTGAGTCCTGTGACAGCTCACCAGGACCGTAAATCAGTAGAATAAATAATAGGTTTTCTCAAGCCATGTCGGCATTTCATTGACTACCAACCCACAATAACTAATGCATTTTCATATTAGAAAAGTTTATCTGATTTAACATTTAGTAAAACAGTACCAATCCCTAGATAACGCTTTGAGCATACTTTACTGTTCATAATCATATCAGTGTGATTACATGAATTTTTCTAACTACTTCACTCTCTTACTACCAGATTTGATCGTAGTAGTGAACAGCATTTAGTTTGCAATGGAGTATCATTCTGAGTCGATGCAATTTATTAAGCGATGACAAGTGCTAGAGTCAAGAGGGTTAACTTAGTTTTATTCTACATCATGTGTTTAAAAGAATTTACCTTCTGGCCAGGTTGTATTAGGCAATAAAACAAAGATCGACTAGAGAATCATTGAAGATAGAGGAGCATTTGACGACTGACTCATTCTATTTTAGGACGATCAGAACTAAAAATGAGAAGTTGTGATTTTTAGGATCCACCATGTCAGGTGTACAGTGGATGCTCATCGATGGCACTAACTGGCGATATTATGAGCGAATTCATAGAATGGACACGGAACAAAGAGTACTCTTTTCGATAAATTCATCATCAGGTTCTACAATTATATATACATTATAATGAATGAATGAATTAGTCTTATGAACGACATTAATGTTTAAATAACATCAAATCAATAATATTGATAAATTACAGCTGAACAGCATCAACATAAAATAAACTGAATGTCAGAAGAATTAGGAAAGGTAATGGTACAAATTCATGAGTTTATAGTCTCTACTGAAGGTTGGCCAGGACAGTAGTAGGGGCTGAACTTGTTTCCTTTGGACACAGAGCGCTGGTTGTTTGAGGCGAATTGCAATAGCCTCTGCTGTTTGGAGCATGCGGTGCTTTGACGACTTTGGTAGTTTGTTAGGCACCCGGTATATTATGGAGCAGGATTCTTCTACGCTGGCTGGCTTTGTGACCGGTTTGCACCAGATGGTCTAATATCGAGCTGTTAATAGTTTTAACTACACCTTTACTTAGCCGTAGTGGGATATGTTCTCGAGGGAGCACGAAAAATCAAGTTCCTAGAGCAACGGCCAACGTAACTCGCTCCACGAGCGCAGTTGAATTGGTAAATACAATTTGAAGTGGCTAGTCTAGCTACTTCATCTTTCAGTCGAAGTAGCAATATCGGTTGTGTAGAGAATAATACGTGTAGTTCGCCAGCATTAAAAGTTCTTTGAACTGATTTTCTTAATTTCTTCGTTATTAACTCGCTTGGTATATCACCCATGAATTGTAGTCGTATATAAAGTGGCTTCTTGTTTACAGATAGTGGTTAGTCCTTTTCGGCTTTCTTTGTCATGTGTTTCATGATAAATTTGTCAGGATAACCATTTTCGATGAAAGTATCATATACCATGCTTAATTCATCTTTAATAACTTCTTCAGAGCATATAGCTCTAACTCTGTGGCTAAGGGTCTTCACTAAATTTCTTTTGTACTTGATAGGAACGAAGCTGTGAAAATGTATGTGTATATTGTCCTGTCCAAGTACTTTTTCTATGCAAATTTCTTTTTATGTTACCGTCTGGTTTTCTTGTAAGTAGGACATCCAGGAGGGCAATTCTGTCTTGAGATTCCTCTTCGCATGTGAATTTCATAGCCGAATGTACTTCATTGAATTCAGTAATCATTGTACTTCTATCGGAACCATTATCACAAAGAATAAAGGTATCATCCATATATCGGCAATAAAATGAGAGCTTACTGATAAGGTTGTTCAGAGGTCCATTTTCTAGATTACTTAGAAAGAAATCAGCCAGAATGGGACCCAATTGGGAGCTCTTCGCCACCCCGTCCACTTGCCTGTAAAGCGTGCCGTCAAATTTGAAGTTTACATTCATGGTACATCTTAATATCAATTCTTTTAGGATTTCAACATGGATTCCGATGTTTATCGACTGCTTGTCCACTTGTTCACATATATAATTAACTGTTTCTATTAGAGATACATTTTTGAATAACGATGTTATGTCCAGAGATATCATGGTTTTGTCCTTGATATCATTATCTTTTATTTTGTCTACGAATTCAAATACATCTTTGACGCTATATTTCACTATCTTCTCATGCAAAGGTTTGAGAATATTTACTAGCTATCTAGCTAGAGCATGGTAGGGCGAATTTTGCATATCAAGTATTGGTCTTAACGGTTTATGCACTTTAGGTAGGCCATACAATCTAGGCGTATACGTGCCCATTGGTCTAATTTCTTCATTTAAACTTTCAGAAATTATCTGCTCCTCCCTTAGTTTCTTCAAACGTCTGGTTAATTCATTCTCTATTTTGCTACAGAAGTTGATTTTATGGGTCACTGTGTTCCAACCTGATGGATAAATGGTCAATGAACTGACCTCATAACCCAGTTGTCATGGATTCAGGATTTGGTTGGATAATGCGTGCTCCCAGATGAGAGCTCCTAAACTAGGACGCAACAGCTGTTTAGTCATTTTGAAGCAACCGACCCCGTGATTTTCGGTCCTTAGTGCTGACCGAGTTCTGCCACCAAGATAAAGGAGACTTCGAAGTACCTTGAAGTGAAGTACTCGTTAACGGCAGCACCCACCTAAAACCTAACATGGTGGATTCTATAGATCACAGCTTTTCATTATTAATTCTGAAGAGTCTTAAACTGGGATGAATCAGTGTTCTATTGCTATTTCATATCCAGTAACTCTTTAACTAATGTCAATTCGTATTGAAATCTACACTGAAATGAAAAATAACGCTTATCATTCCAAATAGATTCAGTAAGATAACATTTGAAGCAAACTAAGGACTGAAAAAAGCGGTTAGGTGTTGCTACTCATTTTTATATTATTAGTAGTATATCTTATGGTGAAGCTCATATTATATTCAGAAAAATGTTGATGCATACTTAATGAACGTGAAATCCGATAAGCAGACTTCGTCGATATTGTTATAACTGAAGTGTAGAAATGATAAATTAATCCACACAGATAAATTTCATTATTTCATGTTCCATTTGTAAAGAACATTTTACAATCACGAATATTTATTTTTACAAAAAAAACATAGAATCTTGAATTTGGAAAGTTAGAAATTGTGATAAATTGTTTGAATGAAATACAGAAATGCCCGTCTGTGAAAACTGACAAAAGTGAAGTGAGTATTTTTAAATTTCTCTTGTTGTTTACTGATTGCTTTACTTTCTGAATGGAACATTGGGCTTCAAGTTCCTGAAGTTTTAGTATCGGTGGTGTTGTTTTTACCGAAGTAGGATTGCTAGGCTTATATACAACCTCCTTTCTATTCTGAGTTTACTATCGGCTGGGAAACTAGGTGATTTAAGTGTGTGTACACCGGCAATCGGATACGAGCTACATGGCTAGTTGGAGAGGATTAACTACATAGTTATGCCCTTCATTTATTGAAAATGCTAATCTAGGAAGCTTTTTATTTGTGATATCGAGAATTAGTTAAACGGATACTGATGTCGTGGCATCTAAAGCTTTTGTAACTCAATAAGAAAGAATTTAGCATAAACTATAAGTACTTTATGTTGTATTACAGACCTAGATGGTATGCAACATTCTTTGAGCTGCTCAGAGTTGTCTATAAAACTCAAGTTAGTTTATTCCTGTCATGTGGCGAATTATTACAATGTTTTTAGAATGCTAAGTGCATTAATAGCAGTAAAACTGATTGCTTCACTGTGTAGTGTGTAGTGACAATTCTGTGTCTAGAATCAATTTCAATTGATTTTGTTATGTAAGACTGTCAGAAACATTAGAAATGTATCATACGACGGACATTGTGCTAAAATATTCCAAGAAACTAATTAGGTGTTATTTTTTGTAGGTGTGGTTTCCAGTTGATAATTATAAAATGGGCTGAAGGGTGTCATTTTGGTATATGGGTCTCTTGAATGGTTATCTTCATGGTACCATGCTTTTCCTCATGAGGTTGATTGTTTTCGATAATGATTATATGTGAAATCCAGGATGCAAATTTCTTTCCGTTTTGGTGTGCCATTTCCGTTGAGATTTGAACCTAGAACTTATCGTTTTAAACTGCAAGGTGTTATCCAGTGTGCTACCCATTGCACGATTCTTTACTATTGTATTATATGATCCTGGCTAGACTAAACACTGAATCACTATGAATTATTTAAAATAATCCCAGCGTGTTTAAGGAAAAATCAAAACATGACAAGATTTTTCTGAACGTTTCGCTGTGTAAGCCACAATTTCTTAAGCAGAATTATTCGGATTTTATTAACCATCAAAATACATAGTCAAAAGTAACATAAATTGAAATCAGCTCCTTCGACAGTAACTTGTCGGTAGACGTTTGTACCAATAGAAATGTGTAAACGGTCATCACATATTTGTAATGACTATTGTCATAATGTCATATAAGCCTATTTATCTCTATGAGTGTGTGTATGTTGTTTGTTGTGTGGGAAACATATCACAACGTGACAATGTTTCATAGTGGTCATGATATGGGAGTGAATTTTATTTCTCTCACCTGTTTTGCTTCATCAGAGTCTGTCAATTTATGTTATTTTCGACTATATATCTAAATGGTTAATAAAATCCTAATAATTCTGCTGAAGAAACTGTGGCTTACACAGCGAAACATTCAGAAAAATCTTGTCATGTTTCGATTTTTTTCTTAAAAACCCGCTGGGATTATTTTAAATAATTATTAATGATTCAGTTTGGCTCAGTGGTCAAATTATTCCAGGAAATTTGTAACATCCACAGTCTGGAAACTAATTTACATTAAATCTCACAGGTACGGACTTGAGAATAACGATTAGGCTTTCAGGTGATGCTACCTTCTATTTTATTATTCCATTAGTTTAAAAGAGGTCAGCTTAGTTTACAACTTCCTGAGAACAAATACACTTCTGGTTGGTTGACTGAAGTCTATTAGTTCAATTAGTTTTTCAGTTTTATGCGACACAGTGTGACAATATAATTTACCCTTAAGACTTTCCGTTTTCAACCTCAGAATATCAAGCTCTAAGCAACCATTTAATGCACACTGTTATGAAATTAGAGTGAAATTATTATTTTACATGTTAAAATGCGGTGAGAACAGTATTTGTAGAAAAGATAAATTTATTTTATTCCTCCATTAGGCATACAGCATTTTTGTAAAACTGTGAGGAATGAATGAAAGAAATAGTTACTTAAAAAGACTTTTTTATTCCTCAACGTTCCCAGTGGAACATAGGGCTTCAAGTTCGAGGGTTGAAGTTTCTGTAGCAGTGGTGTTTATTTTTACGGGATGGTGACGCTAGCCTCATGCCCAATCTTCCCTCTTCACCAGTCTTATTACTGGCTTAATAAGGTAAAGGAATGCGTCGGCCGGGGACCGAACCCCGGACCACCTTCATGGCTGGCGAGTATTCTACCACTGTGCCACCCACACACCTCCTAAAAAGACTGATCAACTTTTTACACAGACATTTTCCAAATTTTGATGAAAACAGGAGTCTGACATAAAAGTATATTTCTTCCAGACTCTAGGAATATTTTCAAATAAACAAGATGAGATTGGTGAAATTATCATGATTTTGAATTTCCCGTTGATCTATTTTATTGAACCAAAATGTTCAATTTTCACTAACACATCGTTTCTTAGTTTAGATACTTCGACGACGCCTGGAGGTTAAGATCATTCTAATGAACTGACAGCGATTAGTAACAGAATTCAGAATGTGCGTTCCCTCCTACATGAGTGCATATATTCAACCTCCAGTCACCGTAAAAGCGTTAGTGCTAGAAGCCATTGTGTCAACAGGTTTGAATATTTCTGTCTAATAAAAAATATTCAACGGGAAATTCAAAAATAATAATATCAGAGAACTACAAGTTATACCGGCTACACAAGAAATGGTTCCCGTGACTCAGCAGTCTAGTGGATAATCCTTTGGTGTTTGAGTTACGGTCTCAGTGAGAACATTGTTACTCATTTAGGATATAGGCGCATACAACTAGTGAGTCGTAACATGCGTGCTGGGCTCCAGTACTAAGCAGTATCAATCAAAGAAGGTTACTTTGAACCTGAACAGAAGCATTTACATGGTCATATGGAAGTAATTATTTATACGAAGTTGAAACCAATTGAAATAAACAGCATTTATGATAACAAATAGATATAACTCATGATGAGACATTCTACAGTTATTCTGCTTAAGTTTATTCTGAAGTACAAGCCCAGGAGTTTGAGGATAAATTAAGCTCTGCACTGCCACTTTATCATTTTGCCATCGGATGGAAATCTAGCTCTTCATGATTTAAAACTGCAAACAGTTTACATAGTCTTCATCTAAATTATTTAGCTGAGTAACTATCCTCAGTTTCGATTTATTTATAATAATATAATAAGCATAAATTAGATAAAGACTGAATATTGTTTATGAATGTTGACGAGGAGGATTTCAACTGAATTTCGGGTGAAAACATTCCTAGAGATTTATTATATAAACTGCATAATAAGCTCTTTAGCTGAACCAATAGATTTCTTTACAATTAATTTTTTCTTTTTTAGGTTTGTAGCTTCACAGGAAATCTTCAACAAGCTATTGAAGATATTGACAAAAATAGTAAGTGTTACTACCAAAAGACAGGTCATTTTAATGTGTCATCATTTGCAAAACTTAACCTGTATGGAAATAAATAAATGAATATTATAGACGGTAGTCGGTGGCATAGCGGTTAGGACGCTTGCCAACCATGCACATGGTTCGGGGACCAAGTTCTGGCGAACACACACCTTTGCCTCTCTGAGCCAATATTAAAAAAAAGCTGGTAAAGAGGAAAGGTTGGGCATGAGGCTAGCAACCCCATCCTGTAAAAATAAACACTGCTACAGAAACTTCAAGCCTCCAGCTTGAAGCCCTTTGTTCCACTGGGAACGTGAAGGAATAAAAAGAAATAGACGTTAAATTTACTGACTAGTTTTATTGAAACTGAACTATAAGTGGATGCGGTGGTCATTGAAAAGATTCAGATTAGAGGAAAATAGATTATAGTCTTATTGTAACTTAAACTTTTATTTTTAACTGCAGTAATCTCTCTGTCGGTGATTCAGCAGTAGAATTCTCGCCACCCATGCAGGTGGTCTGGATTCGATTCCCGTCTGATGCATTCCAAAACCTCTCCTATCTAGTATTAATCCCGGAAAACAGGAGGGGGGAGGTTGAGCATGAGGTTAGAAATCCCGCCTTGTGAAAGTAAAACATCACTATTAGTGAAACTTCAAAGCTCAAGCTTGAATTGCAGTGGCAATGGCATCAGAGAAGGGTCTTTCTTAATCAAGGTCAGAAAGAGGCCTAACTTACAGTCTAGACTTAAAACTACAATCGTAACACTATTATTAGGTCTTGTTTATTTTTCTTTAATTCCTTGATGAGGAGTTCCAGCAAGCAATTTCAATTGTAATACTTTAGGTGAACAATTGTAACTTATTTTAATTCTTTCATGTTAACCCAAGTACTTATAAGAGAATTCTTTTTTTAACTCCCCCAAAAAATGTGCTTCGCTAACCCACTAATATACACAGAAGAAGAATTAAGCCTGAACCAAATAGTCAGACTGGACAGAATCAAAACATGAGATGAATCCATGATGTTTTATGACTGATGACCTGGGTCATTTAGGTTAGACTTCTTTAGTTAAAAGAGAAGGCAGATAAGTAGGGACACCAGGTAACACTTTGAAAAATTAATACAGCGAGAGCAACAGTTTGTACTGAATAAGCCGGTACAGTCACATATCTCGTTGGCTTCTCATCAGCTGCTTACAACCTGAAGAAATCGTTAAGTCCATGTAAAGAATAATTCGAACACACAAATGTTACATGATAATAACTGACAGGGTTGTCAAGGAACTTAGCCCTAAGTTCCTATTCTAGTGAAGACGTTTTCGTTTTGAACTGATAAATACTATGTATATATCTCAACTTTAAATCCAAAACACCAGTATTCCTGGAACGAAATTATATTGTTTGGCAATTAAAGCGAGACAAAATACAAAGTCTGCAAACAAATGTTAAGTACAAATGAAGTTATAAGTTACTTTTATTTGTGTTCTTTCCACGTTCTTCCAACTTGCAAGCGATCGTTCCATTCGCGCCTTCAATTGCCCGCCAATGGTTGCCAGTTCCGATAAAACAAACGTTCAATGTTCACGTCCATTGACAAGGATGCTCAAACTTAATAAACAGTGACCAGAAGACTTTACTTACATAGTTTGCTTACAGTGTCAACGGAGTTAAATAATGAAGATAGGAAGTGATTTAGATGATGAGTAACTAATAAATTGAGTAACAGTGTGGTGAGTTCAACTAAAATCATAGCAACAAGAGACAAGCAAAGTTGCACCACATCAAAGGGGGAGGGTAGACAGATTAAAACCAAAGATTGCGTAGTCACATGAAGGAGAGAATTAAGACATCCAGTTACCGGGGCAAGGATATATATTCAGTTTCAGTTATTTTTGTGAGTGGGAATATCTGTACTTACCATTATTCAGTAATCCTGTCACCTATGGCATGCAAATAATCAACATAGATCCCTTTCTGACTAATAATTCCTTCAATGTGATTGTCGTGTGATTCATATTGCATTTATATTCACCGCAATACTTAAAATATTCCGTTTCTTTTCTTTTTTTATATCTGTGTAGAACAAAAATCTTTCATATACTATGGAAACAAAGAGAAATCTTATCCAGAACAATGTTTATTTAACTATAATGTGAAAATTAATCCAACTTTTGGATATTTTGGAACGTTCAACTTACAAAGTTTTAAAAATATTTCAGAAACTCAAAAAGTGAGTTAATCACATAACTAAATTCGTTATTTTACTTAAACATTTTATACTTTGTAAAAAGTGTTGATATGAATTTCGTTTCACATTTTATGCAACATACTGTGTATTAAGTTAACTCGTGTCTTTTTCTTGCCTATTACATGTTGAGGTGATATGAATTGTCTTTGACAGCGTCGATCGAGAGGTGATTTGGAAACTACTTTGCTACTACAGGGTGCCACCGACAATTATACATCTCATCCAACAGCTATACGACAATGCTGCATGCCAAGTAATCCACAACGGGAAACTTACGGAATCCTTCGAAGTGAGGACAGGAGTAAGACAAGCTGGCTGCCTACTATCGCCAATGATTTTCTTGATTGCAGTAGACTGGATAAGGCGACAAACAGTGGGTAATGAGGAAACAGGCATAAAATGGACACACACAAAAAACCAACTTGGAGGATCTGGACTTCGCTGATGATATATATCTGATTTCTCACAAACTGGAACATATGCAAGCGAAAAGCAACAAGTTAGCAGAAGAAGCATCTAAAGAAGATAGGACTTCCTTCAGGTGAACATAGATAAAACAGAGGTGATGAAGATTCCTGGGCAAGAACAACAACAACAGACAACAATCAAAATGAATGGGAGGAACCTGAGAGAAACAACCTCTTTTACCTACCTAGGAAGCATCATTTCAACTACAGGCGGAACTGACGAGGATATCCAAGCAAGGATCGATCGGAAAAGCAAGACAAGCTTTCACTACTCTCAAGTCTGTGTGAAGGTCAACAACACTCAGCATCAAAAATAACATCCGGATTTTCAACTCCAATGTGAAGTCAGTCAGTGCTACTCACTATACGGATCACAGACTTGCACTGCGCGTCATAAAGAGCATCTCGAACAAACTACAGACCTTCATTAACAGCTGTCTTCGCTCAATACCACTCAAGATCAGATGGCTGGCCAGAAAAGATCAGCAACAGAGATATCTGGGAGCGAACTAACACAGCAGGAACCGATTGTGAAAGAAATAGGCAGGAAGAAATTGAGATGGATTGGCCATACTCTTAGGAAACCATCAAGTGACATCACTAGACAAGCCATCGCTCGAGTGGAACCCGAAAGGGAAGCGGCGAGTTGGTCGTGAGTTCGAGGGTGACTTGGAGGAGATCATGTAAAGAGGAGATGAAAACGTGTTAACAGACATGGAGCCAGGTGAAGACTCTAGCAGAGAACCGAACTCACTGGAGACGCTTGGCTGAAGCCCTATGTTCCTGTAGGAATTAAAGGATACAATAATAATAATAATGAATTGTCTGCGTTGTTGAACATTTAGGAACATTCAGCTGAAGTTTTATTTCATACCAATTTGTGTGTAGAGCTATGGTTCATTAATCAAGGTGGTCGACTTCCAGCCTGTGGGTTAGGGCTCCAACTCCGCTCTATCTACTAAGGTTTGTTCAACCTGTTAGTGTCATCAGTCCTCAGGCAATAGATGTGACTCATTGTTAACTTCATGGAATTGTAAGTGATTGTTGAGTGACATTCTATTTAATACGAACCTACAGCAATAATGTAGAATACAATGACTTATAACAGTCTTATTTGGATCGGTATACATTCAGTATGAAAATGCAAAAACAGACTATTATTCAGTTAATAAACTATTTGAATCTAATTAGCCGGTGTTTGTTAGTTGGCTAGTTGAATGAATATTTCAGTAAGTAGTAATGACTAGCATTGGAATTCAGAATGTTCATTTCAAACCATTTGGGACTCATTCAGTAGATGTATCTGCACCTCAGTGGGTGATGTTGTTCTCGCCTTATCTACGGTCTTCCTTGTATCGTCTCGAAAATTCAAGCTGATATGCTGCAACAACAACAACAATTTTCTATACTCGGGTTTGGTGTTTATAACCAGTCGAAATTCGGCAAGAACATAATTTTTCTCTGGGCTACAGGTTTACCCAACCAGCAAGTTTCAAACAGGACACCACTGTTAGCTTCCAACACACAAATACATAGGTACAGGAAAAAAATTCCCTGAGAGACATTCCAAGCACCAAGTGGATGAAATGACAGGTCACTGTGTGCAAGTGGAATCCCAATATTACCAAGGTCCTAGTAACTGTCTTCTCTATAAGTCTTAGCGCCTGTCATCTGCAAATAATAACTAAAAATGACATACAGGTTAATGGTGTCTTCTAAACTGGCTATATATTAAATTCTTCTTAATAGTTTAAGTCAAAGATTAAAATGTGGGACACGCATCTTGCATTTAAACAACCTTTATTTGCAGATTACTGGAAAAAGTTGGCCCTCAGTAATGGCAGTTGATGAGAGATATGTATGTAGTTTGTTGGAACTCAGTTACCTGCAGCAGAATGGTAAGAGTTTGAGCCAGTAACTCATATCTCCAAGATAGAAAGATTACATAAAATGTTACTGAAACATGCATAAATACTTGTAATCTTATCATAAGGCTAGACAATTTTTTAGTGTCTGGAAAGAGCACTTCGATTATCCTTTAATTCTATGAGTATATATATGCGATAAAGAAAGCATTCATGCTGTGTATAACAAAATCGTTTGAAGTGGATTATGTTAGCTGAATGAATTAGGTTTCACTTGGTTTACAAAAATGAAACATAGCAGTGAGAATATAATATAGTTACAGGTATTTAGCGGTTAACTGAGAATAAGAGTCAGAAAAAGACAGTGAGTGACCTTAGGCTCTATTACATAAAACCAAAACGTCTTTATCACATGTCTTCGATGCTACTTTTCAGCCATTTGCCCTGTCAGTATTAAGTGTCCGAGTGATGAAAGAGTTTTGAAACTACTCATGATGAATATGAATCTAAAATCAAAGCAGCCCAAGTTACCAATAGTTACTAAGAAGGCCTTATTCTTACAAATTCAGTTCCTTGGGGACAGCATCAGCGAGATACTAACACAACGCCTTAGAAATGCGGTAAAAGAAGCATTCTCTGCTGCTAAATTACGCTGTGTCTTCAAAACCACTCCTCTTTTGCGTTCGGGAGTAAAAGACAAACTGCCTAATTTCGCCTCTTCCATGTGTATTTACCAATGTAACTGCTCCTGTGGAGTGAGCCAGTTACATAGACCGTACAATTAGGCGTGTTTCTCGTCGAATTTCCGAACATCACCCTGTGTGGTTAAGCAAAGGACAAACAAAATCTATTCTCAGTGCTATTCTATCTCATCTTGTGGATACAGAACACATGACTGATGTTAACCAGGCTTTAAGGGTCATTTACTGCATGCCAACAAGTCTCAATTTCGCCTGAAGAGTTCGTCTACTACATATTCCTGAGACTGGCTGTTGGGATCCAGATTAAGGAGCCTAATTTATGTGTCCAGAAGAAGCTGGTTCAGACATTATCGCTATTTTTGGCCATCTACGTTCAAATGATCCTCAGTTTGTTTGCGGAAATTTCTTTAATTTTGATATTCTATTTGCTGTTATATCTTTATTATTATAATTTAAGCATCTTCAATGAATTGTAATTCCATTGATCTTACTTAACGAATTGATATTATTTAAAAACACTGATATAGTTACTGACTACTATTTTGGAATATTCTATTTATATAAACAAATATATAGTTGTAGAGCCAGAAGAGGAAATTATGGAAAAGGATATTCTTTGCTCAATTATTTCGTGTTTTTATAGATGTCTGAATGAATATTTTCGCTATATTGAAATTATATTAGATTTATCGGGCTTTCGTTGGCGCTCACTGCTGAAGAGTTTCAAATAGTGTTGAAATAGCTGACCTGTTTTAAGTGGGTTTCAATGATTCCCTAACTGAAATCCTTAACAAACCCCGAAATTCTAAATGCTAAATATTTTTGTTTTGAATACTTTACACTCTCTTATTTGTTTTGCTATTTTGTCTTACTTAACAATGTTTCTTACGCTTCTACTGTAAATGAGAACATTTTCTGACTTGTTCATATCTCCATTTAAGATGGTCAAAGTCTCATAAAGTTTCAGTTTAAACACTATAATGCTGCAGATCAAATTGATAGTATCTTCAACTTCTGACATCATTGTGGTAAAGCAACTTGTAATCACCAAACATTCATTAGACACATATCTGTTATTGTTCTCAATCAGTGTATTGACTACAATCTGGTCGATTGTCAAGCTGAAAAGCAAAATGAAAAACACCTCTAACTGTAACATTGGATAACACAGGTTCGAATCTACTGGACAGGTCCTTATGCGATTGCATATACGCCCTTCTGGTGTGTGTCATTAGGGAAGAAACTTTGGTCGACGGTTACCTACCAATTGCCTCCAACTACATTAAGTGCATTTTACCTAAAGGTCTTTGATGTTATTTTCTATTTGGCAAATATTCAGGGGTTTCTGCTTAAATCTATGTTAACAGGTTTTTAATTTTATGCCTGTTATCTTTTTTATTTCAAACAGGAATCGTTTCGTGTAATTACTATCCACAATCCGAATTGGGAATTCATTGCAAAATGTCTACTTATGTTTTATATACCAGGAGGATCAAATAATCAATTAATCTCACTATTAACTAATTTATTAGCACATATTACTGATAATACTACAATGAATGTTTATGATCAAAAGAGTACACACATCTCCTGGTCACTTATAATACGATCATTTGAATTCGCCCAACAGTTTTGGATGAAGAAAGCTGACCAAATTCAGTTAAAGCGTAAAACAGCTGCACTACGATCAGCAATTGTGTTAAGACAAGAGGAAGATAGATTAGTCAAGAATGCTCTCATCTATGGATTGATGAAAACATTTCGAGTGAAATTACCAGTCAACAGGGATACTTTGAAATTTATGACAGTCAATGCAAATTTTGATTGTGTTAATGAGATTCATTATTCCACCTGTGAAAAATATCTTTGCTTAAATTCTGCGATATCATGGAGCTGTGAGGATGAAGAGGTTATAAACTCTGAAACTGATATATATCCTAAAGTATCCTTGGATTTTATTCATAGACTGTTGAAAGAGATTCGTGTACGTAATCTAGAAATAATCGACAGTCAATTGATAAAGGTATGTTATTTGTGCTCTTGTTACTAAAATACTGTTCAAAACATGTGACAGTAGGTATAAATATGTTTAAGTATTTATTTGGATGAGCCATATTCATCCAAGAAATTTTCCTACTACATAATCAATAATTAGTATATTGAAGTTTGATATCAGTTAGAGAACCATTAAAAACCAGGGGGTTATTATTATTATTGTTCCCTTAGGTTCCTAGTGGAACATAGGGCTTCAACTGCACGCCTCCACTTGCTTCTGTCTTCTGCTGTACTTTTCACCTGCATCCACGTTATTCCATACTGTTTCAGTTCTCCATCACACGATCTCCTCCATGTCACCCTTGGACGTCCCACTCGCCGCTTCCCTTTCGGGTTCCACTCGAGCACTGGCCTGACGCGCGATATCACCCAGCGGTTTCCTCAGCGAGTGTTCAATCCATCTCCACTTTCTCCTGCATATTTGTTGGGCGACTGGTTCTTGTTTTGTTTGTTCCCATAGTTTCTTGTTGGTGATTCTTTCCGGCCATCTGATCTTCAGTATAGAGCCAGCGAAAACAGTTGTTGATAAAGGTCTGCAACAGGCTGTTGGAAATATTCTTTGTGACACACTGGCCAAGTTTCTGATCCGTATAGAAGAACTGACTGACTTGACGTTTGTATTGAAAATCCGAATTTTGTTGTTGATGCTGAGTTGAGTGACAGCGGAAGATTTCCAGATTGGTTTCAGGTTGATGAATGTGTTTCTCGCCTTCCCGATTCTTGCTCGATTTGACATCCTCGTCCGTTCCTCGTGTAGTTGAGGCGATGCTCCCTAGATAAGTGAATGAAGTAACCTCTTTCAAATCCTTCCCGTTGATGGTGATTGGCGCTGGATGTTGTTGCTGCTGCTGTTGTTGTTGGTTGGTTATTTTCATAACCTCCGTCTTGTCTATGTTCACCTGGAGTCGTGTCTTTGCTGCGAGCCTATTCGACCAGTTTGTCGGTTTTCGCTTGTAAGTCTTCGATTTTTTGTGGTATCAAACATAAATCATCCACGCGCGAAATCCAGGTCTTCTAGGTTCTTCACGTCGGTCCAGGATATCCCTGTCTTCTCGTTTCCCACTCTCTGACGCATAATCCAGTCGACCACAATTAGGAATATCATTAGTGATAATAAGCACCCTTGTCTCACTCTTGCGTCCAGGGAGTGCTGGACAGCTGTTTTGTTAGCCTAGTGTGAGACTCCTCAGCAGTACGCATCCACCAACAGTGTTCGAACCCAGAAGCTTCCGACTACATTTGAAGCTCGTAGACCACTCACCCACTGGGACCGATTCAACGGGACATGAATTTTACTTTTACCAATTCATGACGGGTCCTGAACTAGGACAAAACAGCTGTCCATTACTTTCTGCTGGTTTTCAATAATTCCCTTACTGGTATCAATCAGCGGTCAAGCTTGAAAAAAATCGAATTCCCTATAAACTAACTCTTGAAAATTAGTACATCTCAGAAAAACTGATTATATGAGTGTCTACTCCCATTTGCTTTAATGGCCAAAAGTAAATGTAGATACTCACTGTGATCTAGATCAAAAAGCCAGCAAATGATTTGTTGGTGGTGAAACTATCTGGGTTAATCCTGGATTAGTGGGCTGTTTCCTTAATGTTAGGTTTGGGTACTGAAGTTGAATTGAAGATGTAAGTAGCGATAGTATTCGGACGAGCTCCGGACTAGTATTTAGAAGGCCACTAGATCGAATTCTGTTTTGACTGAGATTTTGCTTTCATTTTCATTCACCATCAACCACATGTAAAAAGAAATTTATGTGTAGATATAACAGTGCAGAATATTTTTTAATAATGAGTTAGTCAATATCTTCAAGTGTCTAACAGATTTAAGCTATTAGATAAAGAATACACGAATTTCAGCCTACATGTATCGTTAACAGATTAATTAAACTTCCCGTCAGAAAGGTTTATCCAGTGGTCGGTGACTAAAACTGCTGATTTTAAGGCATGGAGAATAGGTTTATTTTGCATCTCACGCCAACTGGTCACCTCATCTGCCTCATAGCTACCTAGTTAGAATAAGAAGACTTTCTTTTATTGAATAAACCAAGAACAACAGTTTGTGCAGAAAAAGATGCTACAATCATTTTTCTCGTAGGCTTCGTATCACTCGCATACAGCTTGCAAATGTTACATGATGTCAGTTAACAAAAGGCTTCAAACTTAATAAACGATGTTCAGAAGATTGCACTTATATGGTTTATGCTCAGACAGTTAAAGTTTAAAAAAAATAAATGTTTGCTTAAAACAGCAAAGGAGTTACGTTACAAAGACAAGAGGTGAGTAAGATGATGAGTAACTAATAAGTTGAGTAACATTGTAGTGAGATGAACTCGAATCACAGAAAGATGAGACAGCACAAAGTTACACTATATCAAAGGAGGGGAGGAGGGGTTAAAGTCGAAGATTACGCAATCAAATGAAAGAGGTAATAAAGATATTTAGCTACCAAGGCCAGGAAAGACAAATAACGGCTTTTTTTCTGAACTCGCAAATTGGGTTTCAGGCATTTGTTAGCGATTACTTTCGCAAACATAAGGAGGATTGAGCTATTTTGTCTACTGATAATTTTAAAGGATTTCGCAATATCCACCTCATGACACGTATCAAGGAGATGCCTAGCAATGTCACTATTGTAGGCGTTTGTTCTCTTGAGACGTAGGCGTTTTCGTACATGTTTATGAAAATCGGAAGTGTGCCCTTCTTTCTGTTCTTCCAATGTAACTGCTCCCGCAGTTACACAGTTGAAGTTAACATGAGAAGGGTATCTGTCGACTTTTGATTATATCAAAGACCTTGTCCGATAGAGTCAGACAAGGGTGCTCATTATCACCAATGATATTCCTAATTGTGGTGGACTGCATTATGCGTCAGACAGTGGGAAACGAGAAGACAGGGATATCCTGGACCGACGTGAAGAATCTAGAAGACCTGGATTTCGCGCGTGGATGATTTATGCTTGATGTCACACAAAATCGAAGACTTACAAGCGAAAACCGACAAACTGGTCGAAGAAGCTGGCAGCAAAGACAGGACTCCAGGTGAACATAGACAAGACGGAGGTTATGAAAATAACCAACCAACGACAACAACAACAGCAACATCCACCGCCAATCACCATCAACGGGAAGGATTTGAAAGAGGTTACTTCATTCACTTATCTAGGGAGCATCGCCTCAACTACACGAGGAACGGACGAGGATGTCAAATCGAGCAAGAATCGGGAAGGCGAGAAACACATTCATCAACCTGAAACCAATCTGGAAATCTTCCGCTGTCACTCAACTCAGCATCAACAACAAAATTCGGATTTTCAATACAAACGTCAAGTCAGTCAGTTCTTCTATACGGATCAGAAACTTGGCGGCGGGTTACAAAGAATATTTCCAACAGCCTGTTGCAGATCTTTATCGACAACTGTCTTCGCTCTATACTGAAGATTAGATGGCCGGAAAGAATCACCAACAAGAAACTATGGGAACAAACAAAACAAGAACCAATCGACCAACAAATATGCAGGAGAAAGTGGAGATGGATTGGACACTCGCTGAGGAGGCCGTTGGGTGACATCGCGCGTCAAGCCAGTGCTCGAGTGGAACCCGAAAGGGAAGTGGCGAGTGGGACGTCAGTGCAAGAGTGACATGGAGGAGATCGTGTGAAGAGGAGTTGAAACAGTATGGAATAACGTGGATGCAGGTGAAAAGTACAGCAGAAGACAGAAGCAAGTGGAGGCGTGCAGTTGAAGCCCTATGTTCCACTAGGAACCCAAGGGAATAATAATAATAATGTCCGATAGACGGAAACCATTTTAGCTGCAGGATCAGCTCTGCCTAGTGACGTCCTCAATCTTTTGTTGACTATTGCCGCAATATTTTCACCTTTAAAATCGAGTTGAATGAAGACAGGTTTCTTCATTGTGATTTGCTTGGCGTCTGAGTCTTCACATCTTCAGTACTTATTAATAAATTTCTGAAGGGTAGATGTTGTTTTTCAACATCTTTTCGAGAGTTAGGAGCTCCTCTCGTAATTTTTCATTAGGGTATATTCTCCTGACTCTGTGAAACAGACTTCCGAAGAGTAATTCCTTTATAGCTATTTGGAAAAAAAACCCATTAAAATGTAAGTACTGTCGATTCCATGTAGGATTTCGGTGAATTGATCTCTGGAGACTACCAACTTCCAGGCGTTGCATGGACATATCAAGCAAAAGAAACTTTTCATCACTTTCATGTTCCATAGTGAATCCAGTAATTGTGTATGCATCGTTGTACAATCCGAGTAGGTAGGAAGCATGACTTTCATTGTTGCACAAATGTGTCATCAACATATCGACTATAATAAGTTATTTCGTCAGTTGCAGGCTTCAACTTTGTTCTCTCATTGTTGGATTTGAAGATGTTTTCTAACACAGGGCTAAGTGGACTGCCCATAGCTACAACATCTATTTGGTGGTAAAAAGTGTTGTCAAACTGGAATTTTTACATACATGATACACATTAGCAGTAGGCGTTTGAATTTCGACATCGGAAGTGGAAGAAGATCAGAATGATGACAAATGATATTGATAGTTTCACTGGTCAGGATTCTTGTGAACAAGGAGGTTACATCAAATAACACCATGAACTTATATGAAATGCACATGTAGTTCAGGATTTTGGCGAAATAAAGCGAATCTTTCATGGTGCATGCAGCTAGCCGCTGATGAATGGGTTCCAACTTCTGTGCAAGCCAACAAGCAACTTTGTACTGAGGAGAGTTGATTATAGAGGTCTTGGGGGAAATGTTCTTTGTGTGTTTTCGGCAGGCCACACATTTAAAGCCAATGGGACTGTCAGGGTTTCAAATCATTTTACGTATGGTTGTCAATCAGTTTCTCCTATAGGAAATTTTTCAATACGACTGTAATGCGCCGTAATCTTCATTTTTTTCCTATGTTGAAAACATCTCGTTGAAAATTTATCTATCTATTTACAAAATCACTTTATTTTCAGATTATTGAATTATGGCAGTTGATAAATTTAAATCGTCCAATCCTAATTATTGGTCCTGTGGCATCTGGTAAAACAACAATTTTAAGATTGCTTATTTCTACAATTAACTGGTACCATTACATGACAAATAATAATAAGAATAACACCGAAAAAACAACGGATCCACTTCCATCATCTGAATTAACTGTTTCTCCTTTGAAATTAAATGAGCAAAATACCAGTAATGCTACGGATAATAGTAGTATAATACCACCCTGTCGGGAAATGAAGTTTGACTTAGGCATCCCTGAAAGGCTTAAAGTATACCTCAGTGATTTAGATCTTATTTCAAAAAGTGATGATTCAATTGAGAATGATTCAAATGGAAGAATTATTCACATAAGGCACTTATTTCCATATTCAGATGAATACATCAATGCAACCTGTGGTAGAAATGAGAAAATTAGTGAAGTCACTAAGAATGATTCATTCAATAATGTAGAAGAATGGTCAGTATTAGACTTCAGTGATCAACCTATAGAAAATTTAACATATTTAAATGAAAACAAAGTTGTACAACTACTGGAGATATTTCATTCTACACAGCGTAAGTTGATTTTCTTTTCAATATTGTATGATGCTGCTCATATTTACATTTATTGGGTATAAAAAAGGTCTGTTATTCAAGAAGAATCTTTTAGGTTTATGCTAGCAGAACACTAGGCAGTTTCAGACTTTGAATTTCGTACCAGTTACATTCAGTAAATATTATGGTGTTAACGTTCCAAAGCAGAGATACAAGAGGATACACTGATTAGTTACTAGGCATTGGGCAATATTATGCACATAGTCCTTATTATTAGTGTCGACTGACAGACTTTAGTCAATGAGAAGTAGATCACCAGAAGTATCTCTGACTACAGCTCTGGATGAAGTGGGTTTAAGTCTCTAGGAGTGCATCAGTTTTTTTGCGGTTGCATTTATTCCTTACTAACGAGCGCTAAAAAACAACTAAACCTTGGTTGATAGTTTCCTGCAGACTGTCTCCGAATACCTGGTATCAATACAAGTGGATAAATATTGAGAAGGACAGATAGGCAGAAAAAAATATGATAGTTAGATAATGTTAAAGTTAAACCTAATGAGGTGACATAATTAAGGATTTAACGGAGATAAGTATTTGTTGAAAATATTTTGAAAACTTCACATAGTTAATTTAGCCTCTACATGTACCTTATCATGAAATGATGTCACTTTAGAGATATTTGGAAACCAAGCAGAACTGGATGGGAATTATAATCTAGTTTTGGGACCTTTCAGAAGAAAGCACCCATAAATCCCATAGATTGAACACAGAACTTTCCAACCCGTTCGCTTGAAATCTGAATATCAATTTCCTGTTCAATAAAAGCTACATGATAGATATCTTTTAGTCCTAGCTAAAAGTCGTGACCGATAGAATCCACGGTGTCGAGGATGAAAAGAATGCTTATCGATGGCGTTGACAAGCGATAGAGCTTTATCGCAAATTGACAGTAATTGAAAATACATTTCACTAAATTTCAGTCTAGTGGTTGAATAGTCAACAGAATGGCTTCACAACCTGAAGGTCTTGGGTTCGATTCCCTGTTGGGTTATGTGTGAGTACTGTTGATGGGTCTCAAAGTAGAACAAAACAGAAGTCTAGCACTTGCTTGTTTTTAATGGATCTCTGTATGGTATTAGCCTTAGATGAAATCTGCAATCTGAATCTCTGTAACCCCTAGAATTTAAGGCATCTTACTCATTATTGAATACTTCCTGTTTTGAACTCTTTTCTCAAGAGGTACAACATGAAGGAATCGCTGGAGTATTAAATTCACATAATGACTTTTCTGGTAAAATTGATTTATCATGAAATCAATAAACCCCAAATAGTATTTAGCTAAGAAATATGCTTTTTCTGCTATTTACAATTTCAGCTAGGAGAAGATTATTCATAGAAAAAGTCTCTTTGAATGAATTGTCACCTGGTTTTATCAGTCAATTTTCAATTTGTTCAATTGAAGTGAAAAATGAACTTAACTGGTTACATATATGGAGAAATTGGTGTAGAACAAGTTATGGATGTTATATGGCAATCAGTTCTATGTGAGTAGTGATTTTGAGTATAACAGTACAGAGATAACCTTGGAAAAATATATCTGATATTGCCTAGTGGTAATAATCAGCGAGAACAAAGATGAGAATAATAATTATTATTATTGTTATATTATTCATATTTACTTCGTGTTATACGAGGGGAACATAAGGCCTAAGCCGCACATTTACGTTGGCCTCGGTTCTCTGCAGTCACTTTCAGCAGGCTTCATGACTGCCCATCTTTTCTATTGCACCCTTTTGAAGCCCCACTCGTCATTTCATATTCCAATTCTACTCAAGGGCCTGTGGTGTGATGTCGTTTCAGGGTATATCTAATTTATCTCAGCTTTTGCTTTCGTCGTTCATTTTTGCACTAATTCGTTTCCTGCTTCACCATCCTTCTCTCTCTTCTATCAGCCTCCAGGTGTCCATAGTGACCAAATTTTGTTTTTCCACTTCTTCTTGACTAAGGCGTTTATACAGAATCCCTTCAACATCTCTTTCAGAGAATTCCAGGATTCTTTTGCACAGATTCCTTAGGTGGTGTTGACTAATGTCCCTATCTTTTTCTTGATAACTGTCATGAAGGTAACCTTTCTAGCTTTATGCTTCAATTTTGAGTTCTGAATATAATGCAGTTGCTAGTCCTATGCCAAATCTTCCCTCTTTTCCTGGTTTAGAACCAGCTGGTAGAATAAGCAAAATTAAGGATAATGATCGCTTAATATAAAGTAATTTCGTCCTGATTGCTGATGTAACTGGCCACTCTACTTCACTTTGCTAAAACTATTAATGAATACAAACCAACTTTGAATTATTGTCTTATATCTGAGAAGATTGAAATGCATGCTCGCAGTTGACAGGAGAACTTATCTTGTTATGACACTTTTTCATGAATGACTGAATAAGTATACTTCCTGGTTTTTAGTAGTTGACCAGTTGGGTGTTAATGAATAAAAATGCTTATTTAATGGTGTTAGTAAAATACACAAATGACAGGTTGGTGTCATTCTTACGCTGTTCCATTTTTAGTAAAGGACGTTGTTTGGCGTATAATATTCATGTGATGCTTTTAAGGTAAATATTTTTTTATCAGATAAATTCATTGTTTTGTTAGGCTGACATTGATTTCTATTGCAGAATTAGGTTGTAAGATCACAGTTCATATGTGAAACAAGGAACTCCAGATGTTAGTGAAAGTATGAATTTTAGGCTGATTCGACATGTAGGAAAAGATTATTATCAGATATCAAGTATATTTTACAATTTGAAAACCAACCTTACTTACAAGAAACAACTCATGGGATTATGTTTCATCAGCAGAATTGAATTCATGCAAGAAACACCGGGAACAAATGTGTTTCAATCAATGCAATATGACTATGAGAATGAGTTTAAAAGATGTTTTTTGCATGGAACAGACGAAGTATCATAAAGTCTTGAAGAAATGGCACCTTTTCAGATACTAGATGGTCGTCTTGACTAAGTACACTTCAGAAATTACTATTTATATTCTTTCAGGTTTCATTTGGTGGAACCTGACTGGCAGTGGAATCCAGGATGCACATTTCTTCCTATTCGGGACTCTCTAATTCCCGGCTACTGTGTTTCTGCATCCACTGTGACTCAAATCCACACCCATTATTTCGAACGCCAAATCGTTGTCTACTAGGCTACAAGAGGCAGTCCCTTTGTGATGGGGATCAGTAATTATTTCTTTGCGTGAATTTCAAATTCCTCGTTGACTGATTATATTGGGTCGAAATATCGGCCGTTGTTGATATGTTGGCTCCTAGTGCGGACACTTGAACATGATGCTATTCGGTAGATGGTGACTGACAGTGGAGTTCAGGATATACATTTCGTCACTTTTGGAACTCTTCAGCTAGATATGTCTACAAGACCTAATGATTTATGGTGTTTCTGCTGAGACACGAACCCTACACTATTAGGTTTAAGTGACTGTTTTCGGTGTTGGTATTTTAATTTCGAAGCTTTCATTGACCTCCTAGAAAAAGCTTTCATTACTAACTCAAAGATGAATTTATCTCGGAAGAGAATGTAGAATTCAAAATTTAACCATTTGGAGCAGAAAAACCAATACATCACCAAAAATACTATCAGATTTATATGATAATTATATTTTACTATGATTTGATTTATTTATTCCATAAATTTATTTTTTTAAATTATTTCTGTAGATGGAGTAAAATACTCAAAGAATTAGATATTATTTTACCGGTGTTATTAGATCGAACATGGGAACTTCTCAGTCAATGGTGTAGACATCACAGTGATTACACTTCTAATCCACTAAATCTACAAGATTATAAAAATGCATTTTATCATCAAAATATTAATAATTTTTTAGCCTTAATATCGGAATTATTAAAGAAATACTTCTCCAAAGAATTATGGGAATTGCGTATAACAGGAGGGAAGCCTAGTGAGTAAACATTACTTATTCATCCGATGGTGAGACTATCTGAGATAGTTTTGTGTTGACAAACTGTCGATGAAGTTGTAGTTAATGACAGAAGGTGAAATGAGAATCTGGTTTTCCACCAGGATTCGACCAAGATCAAGCCTCTTCCAGATGAGCTACTAGATCCAACTACAATCACAATGTGTAACACCTAAATGCTATGTGATTCAGTGATACGTTACTACCCATTTGTCGTCACGCTAGTTCCTAAGCTAGCTGAGTAAAGAACCAGTAATTGAAAGACTGCCGGTTGAAATCCTGACACTCACCAGATTTCCATTTCACTCTCAGTCAACATACACTAATTATTTTTTTTCGTACGATAGTTTTTGCATGTATGTTTAATTTTAATGCAGCCATCATCAGTTAACGGATGAAATTTGGAGACAATGTGTTAATTTTTTTAATACTTTCTTCTTTCCTGCCTAGTTCTAACGAACTTGGATTGCTTCTGTTATCCGATTAATTGTTAAAAGGCATTTCGTTCGATTAGCCTTTGCTGTTATAAGATATGACTATCACATGTGATGCAGTTGTTAGGTCTATAGAACTGCATCAAAGCCAGCTATATACTACTGATTAAAGTTGTATAAACGAAAAGGTGAGTAATACAGAGAAATGCTAACTAAGTAAGGAAGACATTCAGTCCGTGAAACTTCAGATGTTGAATGACTGGAATAATGATTCGGATGTAGAAGAGTTTTGTATAGAAGCTTTTGGTTTACTGATTGAGCTTCTTACTGTATCAGTGATTCTTAGATGCGATAATGGTCATTTTTATCAAGGCGACCAAATTCTGGCTAATTGTTTAAATTTCATGAATTATAGACAACAGTTAGCATGAATCAGAGGAGAACATTAGCAAGCTTTATTTTCCTTTTTGTTCAAGCTGGTATATAAATATATATTATATATTGTATCCTTTAGTTCCTAGAGGAACATAGGGCTTCAGCCACACGTCTCCATTGCGTTCGGTTCTCTACTAGAATCTTCACCTGCTTCCAAATCTGCCCACACGTTTTCATCTCCTCTTCACATGACCTCCTCCAAGTCACCCCACTCTTACACTGACGACCAACTCGCCGCTTCCCTTTTGGGTTCCACTCGAGCAATGGCTTGTCTAGTGATGTCACTTGATGGTTTCTTTGCTCAGAGTATGGCCAATCCACTCCACCTCCATTTCTTCCTGCCTGTTTGTTTCACAATCGGTTCCTGCTGGGTTGGTTCGCTCCCTCCCTGTTGCTGATCTTCTCTGGTCAGCCATCTGATCTTGAGTATTGAGCGAAGACAGCTGTTGATGAAGGTCTTTAGTTTGTTTGAGATGCTCTTTATGACACGCAGTGCAAGTCTCTGATCCGTATAGTGGGCAGCACTGACTTCACATTGGAGTTGAAAATCCGAATCTTTTGATCTTTTTGATGCTGAGTGCTGTTGACCTTCACACAGACTTGAGAGTATTGAAAGCTTGTCTTGCTTTTCCGATTCTTGCTTTGATATCCTCGTCAGTTCCACCTGTAGTTGAAGCGATGCTTCCCATGCAGGTAGGTAAAGGAGGTTGTTTCTTTCAGGTTCCTCCCATTTATGCTGATCGTTGTCTGTTGTTGTTGTTCTTGTCCAGGAATCTTCATCACCTCTGTTTTCTCTATGTTCACCTGAAGTCCTATCTTCTCTGGATGCTTCTTCTGCCAACTTGTTGCTTTTCGCTTGCATATGTTCCAGTTTGTTGGAAATCAGACATATATCATCGTCGAAGTCCAGATCCTCCAAGTGTCTTTTTGTGTGAGTCCATTTTATGCCTCTTTCCTCATTGCCCTGCTGTGCAAAAATACGTTGCTGCCTTAAGAGCTCTCCTACTTTGATGTTGATTTATCAGAAATGTGTGGAACACCTTACTGTGTTGAACAGTCTACTCACTTGGAAGGTCATATTTATTCTAGTTCAGCCCATATAAATCTCTGCTAGTCTCCTCTTTCTTACTCGACTAATAGTATCCGTGATTTATGTTATAGTAGTTATAAGTGAATCTGTCCAATGGGATAATTATAAGGTTTAAACGTGAAAAGTTCGATAATTTCTATTTTCAATAAAAAATAAATCTATGTTGTTAAGAACTATGGCAGTACATCCCGATGCGCGTCTATGCAAAATTCTTACCAGTTATGAATAAGGAAAAAGACTCATTATGGCTTTCAGTGTTAACTAATTTCAGGAAAGCTGTATTTGTCAAGCTAACAGACGATACTGAAAGGTATACTGCACTATGTTTCATCTAGATTATTCACAGTTAAAGTTCTTATTTGATAAAGACACTGAATACTATATTACCAGATGGTAGTATGACTGTTCATCTCTTTATTCGTGAAAATTAAATTTTTTATTTACAACAGCTGTGTAATACAGAAAGGCGAATGAAGTTTTTTCATATTAGATAAGTGTACTTAATATAGGGCATAGTAATTAAACGTCAATAGCTGAATGACATTCTTAGCACGGTTTACCGCTCATAACCATGTCATTTTGTCCACATAACCAACTCACTTGCTTTAAATAACCTTTACCTCTGTTCTTTTTAAAACAGAGAGTTCTATATATATATATCGTATTGCTTTTGTAAATTACTTGACCTAGTGAAGTTAACCCTTGAAGATTTAGCTTGATTCTGACATTCTGATAACTGATCCTTATCTAATAGTTTGATCTTAGTAAATGACCTCGCAGGCATTCAAATGAACTGTCGTCAAGATTTGACAGAATAGTTCTAAAATATTTGGGCGCCGAGTGAGAAGTAGACATTTGTAAAAAAATTATATTTGTAAAAGCTCAGCGAGACTGAAATGAGTAATTCCAACGTTTCGTTCGCAGGCATTACATGTTATTAAGGAGATTACACTACTTTTCCTAACTTTGTCTATTTGATCCTTAAGCCGAAATATTTTTGTCTGTGAGTTAGCTGGTTGATTTAAATGATGTTCTAAGTTCTAACTATATTGAGAATTCTACACAGGATCTCTGCTGTTCTTTCCTAACATGGTATACAGTTAGGAAGTTGTGTTGTACGCATCAGTATGCTTGTAGGCAATGCATCGTGCTTGAAAAGTCATTCAGGTATTAATATCGTTTTACTCTCTGCTGGACTAATTAAACAAATTTAAGATGGAATTATATTCTATGCTTTTTATAAAAGTTTCTCTATAAATATTTTTATTATAATTCAACTAAAACACAAACACTAAAATGGTAACAAACTTTCTGTTGATTAAATGTTCAACTAAACTTTATTTTAGCACCTGCTCATCGATCAAAACTTGAGCTAATTGATCGTTACTGGTCGAATTGGAAAAATATTGAAGATCGTCCAGAATTTTATAATTTATTGATAAGAAATTTATTTGTATTCTCATTCATATGGGGTATAGGTGGTTCAATGGCTGGTGATCCAAGATTAAGAACAAGGTAAGAGTTACTTTATTATTTTCATAGCGTTGATAATACCTGGCTTTTTTTGTAGTGTGTGTGTATTTGTGTGTATCTGGTAGACTTTTTAAAATGTGATATGAACGAAAAGGATACTGTTGTTTGTGTTTTATAACGTCTCCGAAATTGATATGAGTTGGTATGACTGGGGCCAGCATTAATGCTGAAAAGATCGATACGCGAAGACGGCGTGTAACTCCACAGAAGACCAAATGCCAGTACTGATTTCTAAACATCTCCGAAACCTAAATCATACTCGAATAAAGGTAGGAGATAGGCTAATCCTAGCCAATGATAACAAGTTGAGTTAATTATACGAAAATACATTACAAACACCTCGGAAACTTAAACCCATAGAAAGCTGACTTAACTGGCGACAAGTTTGGGCTTCAATGTTGCCCAATTGCATTTTAATAAATATTCTGTCTTTACTCGGTGGTTTATATCTGTTCAGATTTGTTATAGTTGGCTTTAGCTTTCTTTTAAGTTCTGTTTTCAAGATTAGTCAAAATCAGAGGTATATAACAAAGCAGATATTCGGTTTTCCCTCTTTCTATCTCTAATGACTGATCATTGTTTCAGTAAGGATCACTATCACCTTATGACTATGTCGGGTCGTCGGTGTGTGAGCTTTTTAAATATTAGGAACACCTAAATACATCGCTGGAATGTAGCAGCACTGGACAATTACATCATTCTATTTTGAAACCAATCGTATGTGAATGAAGCACAAGGTGGTCAGTTTCTGAAAGATGCACGTTATCCTTCACTTATTCAGTGAGAAGTCAGTACTGCGACTTTTCCATTTTCCATCAGTGTGTGAGAATGCTTGATTGCGGTCTGACGATACCTGCTTTAAACTTCCACCTAGAGGTTATTGATCATTCACCATTGTCTATTGGGTACGGATAACTGATGTGTTACATCTCAGGCGAGTAAACCAACAGTGAGGAATTAATCTAAGCTTTCGAAGATTCAGTAACTAAGTGATTTCACTGGCATACACCACGATTTATTGCTAGCTATCGAGAGAAACAGTAATTTTTAAAAATGGGGAAAATATATTTTTACTCATTGGTGTTGACAAGTAAAGAACCTGGATCAAAATCGGTTTCTTTCCAACTGATCTCAAACATGAAATTTTAAAATCAATCAAATATAAATGATATGAAGAAAATAAAAGACAGATTCAGCGAAGAAAATTTTCTTTATCGACGAAATCATCTTCAGGGGCTGTACTTGCTCGTGTGGAGCTAGTTATATTGGCCGCACAAAGCGCACCTTTTCCAAACGCATCTCTGAACATTATCCGGCATGGTTAGCAAAGAGACAATGTAAGACAATTACTAGCTCAATTCTCGAGCATTTGGTGAACTCAGGCCACGTAGCTCCAGCAGAGTCGTCTTTCAAGATCATCTACAAAGTGAAGCCAAATGGTACAACAAAAGGCGTCAGGTTTCGGCTTTTGTGTATGGCGGAGGCTCTAGCAATACATCAATACAACCCTGAACTCTGTATACAGAAAAAGTTTGTCCAGTTTCTTATTCTACCTTGGTCTTAACCTCTTCACTAATCGTTCCTCGTAAATAAAATACATTTTTATTTTTTTTATTTTCATTCTAATTTCACTTTTAGTTAGCTTTTGCTTTAATAATTAATTCCCTGTTATCACTCTCATATGCTCCTTTTGTATATTTTCACACCCTCTTCACACTTGTTAAATTGACACTCAAATACCTTTATTCTCACTTAATAGCAATTTTAACCTTATCAAATTTCTATCTTTTTGCCGTTGAGTACCACGTAATTTTCAACTTCTAATTTTCACTTCTAAAGCCACTTCTGAGTAATTATGTCACCCCTATTACTCAATAATAGACCACTATATATTTTTGTAAGTATAAATACGATTGTACAGCCTCTGAAGATGATTTCGTCGATAAAGAAAATTTTCTTCGCTGATTCTGTCTTTTATTTTCTTCATAAATGGTATGCTTTCTTTCTAAGGTTTCCATCATATTTACTGAGTGTTAGAATGGGTTTCGTTATGTAACTGGTGATGCTGTAATCTAAACTTCGTGTTTCTTTGTACTGATGATTATAGTCTTTCTGTAACCCTAAGGAAAATTGATTTTATTTCATGTTTTGTATCTCAGTCACACAATAGAGAGGTCAACCAACTCATCTCTACATGATTCAGTTCACAACCCGTCCCAATACGTTTCTATGTATGTATATGTGTAATGTAGGTATACAAGTCAGTTACTAAATTAATTCTAATGCAAGTGTGCTGTTATGGCATGTCCTACTCACACGAATTTGTAAGTAGTATATATGTAACAACTAAATAACAAGAGAAATGTAGGAAATTATGAATCACTCTAGAAATCACGAAATGAAGAAAAGAGAGGAAGCAGATACTTTATGCACATCATAGGTTTATTGGAAGTTTGTTGCATGTTACTATTATTCTAAGTCAGTAACTCTACACCGTATAACCTCTGCTTCCTCCGTGTCAGTGTGTTTATTTATTTTATTCCTTTGCATCTCAAGTGGAATATGGGGCTTCAAACTTGAGCTATAAAGTTGCATCAACGATGGTGCTTCCTGCCGATTGCCTCCAACTATCCACTATCATCAAATCAGTGTACACCGTGATGGTGAGCGTTGGTGGTACAGTGGTTAGGACTCGCGCCGACCATGCACATGGTCTGGGGTTCGATCCCTTGCTGACGCACACCTGATATCTGTGGTCGGCCTGCAAAATTTGGGCTACAGGTATCACATGCTGAAAATTTCATACCTGTACCAAAAAATATGGTATGGAATCAAGATGCAATAAAAAAAATAGAATGGTGGCTGCATTGCAAACCTGACTGACAGAATTCAGTCTGCACCAAAGAAAGGACTACGCACATCACACTAGTTAGTTACTAGTGTCCAATGAAAATATCCACTACAGTGCTAGAGAAGGTCAGTCGCGAGCCCAAATAGCTCAGTGGTAACGTCTCTGACTGCAGCACTGGATGACGCGGATTCGAATCTCAGAAAGGGAATGAGTTCCTCCTAGACTGCAGATACGCCTTGCTGAATGATGAGTGCCAACTAGCACGAAACGTAGGTCGAAGGCTTCCTACCGATTGCCTCCAACTATTCAATATCATCGAATGATGCTTCCTTTTTACGGGGTGGGGTTGCTAGCTTCACACTCAGACTTCGTCATAACTGGGTTTACTACCGTCTAAGCAAGTTTTAGGAGTTCATTGACCAAGAACCGGATCCTAGACCACTTGTGTGGTTAGCGAATATTCTATTACTGAACCACCGATTGTTCCTAATTAAGTGTCATGTGTGTAATCAGGTTTATTTGTTTTTTCTTTCTTTATTAACGTATTTCAGGTATTGTTCATTCAATTTTATTGCATAGTGTTGCAATTGCTTTAGGAAATACTTTTTCAGATTTTAGTTTTTTGTAAAAATTGAGATTAATTTCAATGTGCCATTGAACACTTAGAAGCACTGGACTGTTGCTTCATCTTAGCAGCAGTAACAGTAGTGCGCAGCCATAACGTAACGAGAAATCGAATCCAGAAGTGTCAGATTACGAGGCCAGCAAATACATTTTCGGTGTTACTATAAAAAAGATTATAAAGCGATTAAAAATGAATGTGGCACTTTTTCATTCTATCATAAAACATTAAAAATATGCAAGTGTTTCTTTTCATAACTGTTCATAAGTTAAGAAAGGCAAGGATTGCCTTTTATTGAAGGTTTTATACACTCGAATCAACATGGATTCTTGGTTTTCCCACCTTTTTGACTGTTTTTGTAATTAAACTGTTAGTTATAAAGGTACTTTAGTTAGACTGGATACTAGTTACTAGTGTGATGTGTCTAGTCCTCTGTTTGGTGCAGACTGGATTCTATCAGTCAGGTTTGCAATGTGGCCACCATTCTAGGTAGCTCGCCATCACGATGCACATTGATTTGATGATATTAGATGGTTGAAGGCAATTGGCCACAGGAAGCCTTGAACCTAGGTTGCGTGCTAGTTTGCACTCGTCGGCAAGGTGTATCTGCAACCTTGAAGGAACTCATGTCCTTTATGATATTCAAACCCCCGTTACCCAATGCTGCAGTCATAAATGTTGCCACTGGGCTATTTGGGCTCTGTTGGACACTGCACTACATATAAGCTTTTGTATGACTTTCCGTCCGCATTTCATTCACTTTTCTTTTCAGATTTGAATCAATGCTAATAGAAACTCTAAAAGATTTTATTCAGTTACACAGTTCATTGAACACCGATGATAACAGTGATTTATCATCACTTGAATCCTACTATGCACAACAAATCAATCATCATATATGATATCATCTGATATTGACTGGACTACTGAAGATGAAAAAGGAGATGGGGAGGAAAATGAAATAGGAACCCATGAAATAAAGTATAGTCTATTCAGTTGTCTTGTAGACTTAAGAACTGGTTATTTAACACCATTTTGGTATACAGACAGCTTGGATATTTATTGGCCAGAAGAATATGATATTATTATTCCTGGAAAAAAATCACAAAATAACAGAAATCCATTTTTACCAACATTATTTCATGTAAGTTGTTATATCTTGATAAATGCTGGTTATTTACATTTACTGAAGCGAAGAGAGAGTTTTGGTAGACATTTGACTCTGTATGCTCATTCTTCGAAAATGTGAGTTGTTTATGATATTGCTTAGTATTATTTCTATCAGCAGTATGAACACACGCATTTCTTTGTAATAGATCAACAGGGGTATACAAACAATATTAATGATTGTTAATACGAACGTTTATTGATTTGATAAAATATCAAGTCGCATTTCTAATTGGTTGGAGTTGTGTGCAATTGCAGATTTGATCTTTTTCGAGGGAGGTTTTGTCATGGAGTGAAATAGTTTGCAGAATTATTAAAAAGCCATGAATAAATTTGTCTGTCAGGGGCAAGAATTAATGAGCGATTGGTATATGTTCTGTACATCTAATCGTTACCTCCTAGGCTAATTTCATGGTGAGCTTGTAAGTATGCAAGCTTGGAGAATCCCCAAAGTACTATCAAATAACTGTTTAGTGATTCATGGTTTTTAATGATTCTATGCTGATATCGGTTTGTGATGTAATGTGCCCTAAAACTACAAGATACGAATTAGAATCAACTTACTTACGCACTTTAAGTAATTATTTCACAGTGACTTATATTCCTATTAAAAGGCGACTGGAAATGTAAGAACGCTTGAGTATTTAATATCCTTGGGTAATGCAGACACCATTACACCTTATAACAGAGCAAAGAATACTTCTGATGGTCAGTTGACATGAATAATAATTGCTTAGTTTGAGTTTCAGTTGCATCGGTGGCACAGCGGTTAGGACGTTCGCCGACTATGCACATGGTCCGGGGTTCGATCCCCGGCCAACGCACTCCTTTACCTCGCCAAGCCAGAAATAAAGTTGGTGAAGAGGAAAGGTTGGGTATGAGGCTAGCAACCCCATCCTTCAGAAATAAACACTGCTACCGAAACTTCAAGCCTCTAGCTCGAAGCCCTATTTTCCACTGGGAAGGAATAAAAAAAAGTTTGAGTTTAAAAGGTGATCTGTTATCTAGATAGGTGAATATTCAAAAGCAGTTGATTACGAAACATTTGCTCAGTTTTTTTAGTAGAAAAGATCAAATGAGTAAAGTCCTGCTGCCTGACAGAATTTTTATTGGATACAGAAACTTCCTTTCTGAGTACTTATAATTTATATGTGACACCGGAAATATCTCTAGCTGTAGCAATGGTCAATGAGGGTTTAAGCCTTTGTTGGACATCCTTTCATCGGCGCTGTTGACAAATTCTACAAAAGTAAGACAACGGACAAAAATACTTTGGCCCTAGGTTTCTTTTGAGTCGCTTCCAGCATTTTAGCATCCATTCAAAGTAAATCGAGATGCTGAGTCTCATAGCTTCGAAAATTCACTGATAGGATTCTATAAGTCCTAAGGATTAGAAAATACGACCACTATTACTCTCCATTATCCATGAAGTGTGTATATACTCAGAGTTTAAGAATGAATCTTGTTTTATACCTAAATAGTTAAGACTGCCTTTTTTGTAACCGAAATTGTTAGTGGCAGAACGTAACTACTCAAAACAGGTTTTTCACGCATCAGCCTGTGAGCCACATGTATTATGTGAGGCCTTATGATACTGCCTAGTTTCGAAGACTCAATTGGGTGAAACAGGATTCGAACCCCGGATCCACTGGTTGAAAGCACTGTGCTTAAGCCGACGAATCAATGGCTGTAAATGCAGGAGTGTAAAATTGTATGCTAAGTAACACAGTATGACAGAAGTATGCATATCTAGATATTCGTTTTTTCTCAAAAACCACACAAATTGTCTTCTTGCAGTATGACATGCAAGTGCATATTCCCTTAAGTTGTTTTGATTTTCTGTTTATTTACATACCGGTTGGAATCCCTACTGATCGTTTGCCTAGTCTTAAGTATTGATGTTGACTAAATTCTACCAATCAGGACTGGAATGTGATTATAAGGCTAGATAACTCTCAGTCACGAGGACTTTTAAAATGATGTTCTATGGTTGTTGGCAAATGTCAACAAAATGTATCTTCAACCTCGAACGGAACATATATTTCCTAGGAGATTTAAGTCCGCACCACCCCCTTTATTCCCAACTCTTGCCTTGTATCTCATCAAGTAGAACCAGAAGTCAGCATAAAATAATATATGCTCGTACAAACAAGTACAGGAACTCAACGATACCATACTTGGCCTGTGTTCTAAGTGTCAGAGACAATGTTAAGCGCGAAACCTATGACTTGCTTTGTTGTTAATAACATAATTTTGGTTCTTTTATTTCTCTCTTATTTTGTATTCTATAGTGAACTCCTTCTTAAACATACTTAGCTACCTAAATTATTAACATTGGCTTACTTTTTGTACTTTACTGTATTCCTTCTTTTGTGTATCTACTGGTTCCGACTATATTAGCACTATGAGTAGTACAAAATTGTCCTGTCGTTAACCATCATGTAATTATTAGTTTTTGTCGTTGTTTTTTATTTTTTAATTCGCGAAATATACCCATTAAGACATTGAAATAAGAACAAATTAGTTCAGCGAAGAGTCTCTTTTCGGCGAATTCATTCACTTAGCTGTACAGTCGCAAATATATATACAATTATTTTGTGTGTGTGTGTACATTAGGTTTGTCAAAATCAAAATCAAAATAACAGTTAGTGTGGGTTGTTGATTATGTCATCAAAATAATGAAGAAGTTAAAATGTGTGATTAATAATCAAAGTTGTAACTAAGTGGGGTGAAGATTGGTAAGATGTGAGTAGGGTTACGTAATATAGATATGTTTAGAAAGATTAGATGCTAGTGAAGGAGTTTGGAGACAATTATGAAAATAAACTAGATAATAGGTGAAAAGATTGAATGGGTTAGTTACTAAAAATTGTTATACGAAAAATTGCAAAAAAATTTGATAACAAAATGTTGATGACAAATAAACTTGAAATTAAACCCACGGTAGTAGGAAGGGGTGGAGAAGTTTCTTCTGTGTGCATAACTCAGGCTTTTCGATCCAAATAGCTAACGCTTCAGCAATACAAAGTATACGGAAGCTTGTCGATTTTGGAAGGCTTCTTTTGACTTTATAGATGACTTTGAACGACTTCTCCTTGCAAATCGAATGACCAGTGTTGAGTATATGCTCAATAATGGCGCTCCTTATTGCTCCGTTGTTACCTTTCCGTAGCCAGGCGGGATAGTGTTTTTGAACTCTTTTAGATAGAACACGCATCAAACGACCTATATACCTCGCTCCGCAAGAGCAGGTGAATCGGTAGATACACATGGAAGTGGTCAAATGCGATAGTTTATCTTTAGGGTAGTTGAAGAACAATGGCCGGGAGGAAAATGTCAGTCGTAGTGTGGCAGCGAAGAATGTCCTTCTGATAGCAGTAGATATCCTCTTCTTCAAGGTGTCAGCCAGAAGGTCAACTTTGAAGGGTACATTCATGTAGACCATCTTCTTTTGCACTGTAATGGGTTGTTCTTTGTACGTCTTAGGCTTAATGTGCTTGTCTATAAAACGGGGTGGGTAGCCATTCTCGAGCAGTGTCTTCCTTAAGAGGGCGATCTCTTCCTCTATTGATTCAGGACTACAGATTTTTCGGATTCTAGTCGCCAGAGATATTATCAAATTTCGCTTGCGACTTATTGGTACCCAACTGTAGAAGTTTGTCAACTGACCGTTCCATGTAGGTTTTCTGTGTACTGATCTGTTTAAGGTACCATCGGTCTTCTTACTTAGACGAACGTCCAGAAAGGAGATTGTCTGATTGGTTCCTACTTCGATTGTAAATTTGATGGCAGGGTGGCAACTATTGAAAACTTGAAGAACAGTATTTTGATCACAATTGTGATCGCAGATGACGAAAGTATCATCGACATACCTTTTTATTTTATTTTTATTTTTTATCCTTTTCGGCAATATTAACTGACAATCACTGGTTGTGAAACGCCATTGTCACCCTTGAAATTTTGTATTATGCAGGATTACTCACACTAGCACTACAAACACTGCATTAGACCTGACAATAGAAAACAAAACAACAACCCTGAAATGTTATTTTATGATTGTTTAGTATTGTTTCAACCAAATTAACTGATCATCTTGGCGATAAACATTCTTAAATATCATTTCATAACTTCTTGTAAGACTATAGCTTTACTGTCACTATACATAATCATATCATAGCTTCCACTACCCAATACTGAGTTATTATTACATACTGTTTATTTTCCCTTCTTCTTCTTGGTATTTTTTCGCATTTTTTAAAATTATTGTGTTTTTCCTGTTTTTTTTCTTTTGCTGCTGGTGTCTTAATATTTATTTATTTTTTCTGAAATACTCCTTTTAAATGTTTGATAAAATTAGATGCAAATGTTGTAGATATGTGCTGAAAATTCCACACTGTACCACTAGTACTGATCTGGAATAAAGCAAATTATTTTTATTATTATTATCAGAGACTTTGGCAGTGAGAGTGTAGGCGCATCTTGCTAATCAGTGTCCATAAGCACGAAATCTGTAAGTTGGGCTTCCTAATGATAGCCTTCAACCACTTAACATATTCTATCAATCCTCGTACTCAAACTTTTTATCATAACTAATATTTATTATTGTCTATTTTAGCTTTCAGTTCATTTATTCGCTGGTGCATTATTTATACAATCTGGTCATCCAGTAATTATTACAGGTCCATATGGTTCTGGTAAATCTCAACTAGCTATTGCAATAAATCAAAATTATAATAGACAAAGAAGGCTGAATAAAAGCAAAGTTAAATCATTCCGAATAAATTCCGTAGATTTTGTCGGAAAGATTTCTTCAACACTAAAATATTCAAAGGATGGTGAAAATATCAATAAGATTCATACACTTCATGGATCTATGTTGAATGAAAATAAATTCATGAATAATATTATCATTTTGGAAGATGTACATTTGGTGTCAAAGAGGCCAGAAAGTGAGTTAAAATAACAAGATAAATGGACGATTTGGACATGATTGTGTTCTTTGAACAGAGTGATTTAATTGCATAGCTTTCATTGTTCTTCTGAAAAACATCTTCGGTGCTTACTCCGGTGTCAGGTGAGCTTTTGGAATCCAGCATGAATTATGTAACTATATCTCCTGATGATCCTAACTGTAACTGGTAGTCTTCGGAGGTAGTTTTACCCTTCAGTTTCGACTGTTTCACTGACCTGGAGTTCAACCCTTTTTGACATTTTTACAATGTGATTTGTTCTTTATTGTGGAATAAATTTAATCTGTACTAACATATATGAAGGCTGATCTGAGTACTGGGCTTCTATGAATTCTCTGTGATATTTAATATTTCTGCTGTTTGAAATTTTTACACTAGTATCCATAATTGTGTGCCTGTGTTGATATGTAAGCAAATATGTCAGGTCTTTTGACGGCCAGTTTATGTTATTAGATTCGAATTCAAGACCGACGTCCCCTTTAACCAATAAAGTGTTGTTACAACTGATGAGATGATGTTGATCAGGTCTTTTTTGCTATTGGGTCTTTCAGACATTGAAACGATCGATAACCATACAAATGAATGCAGGGATAAGAAAGTCTCTGAAGACAACTAGTCATGGTCAACGTCATCAGGATAAATAGTCACAAAATCCAAGTATAATTCAAAAATACTCACTTGTCTGTGAAGACGTTGTGAAGAAGGACAATGAAAGCTACGCAAATAAATTACTCAGTTCAGAGAAAAACATCAGTATAGATATGTTAGTACATAATTTGATCACATAAGGTTTTGGTGTACTTACTTCCTCTAAGCGGAACTGACGAGGATATCAAAGCAAGAATCGGAAAAGCAAGACAAGCTTTCACTACTCTCAAGTCTCTGTGGAGGTCGACAGCACTCTGCATCAAAAATAACATCCGGATTTTCAACTCCAATGTGAAGTCAGTCAGTGCTACTATACGGATCAGAGACTTGCACTGCGCGTCATAAAGAGCATCTCCAAAAAACTACAGACCTTCATTAACAGTTGTCTTCGCTCAATACTCAAGATCAGATGGCTGGCCAGAAAAGATCAGCAACAGAGATCTCTGGCAATGAGCGAACCAACCTAGCAGGAACCGACTGTGAAACAAATAGGCAGGAAGAAATGGAGATGGATTGGCTGGCCATACTCTGAGGAAACAATGCTTCAAGTGACATCACTAGACAAACCATTGCTCGAGTGGAACCCGAAAGGGAAGCGACGAGTTGGTCGTCAGTGCGAAGGTGGGGTGACTTGGATGAGGTCATGTGAAGAGGAGATGAAAATGTGTGGGCAGACATGGAGCCAGGTGAAGACTTTAGCAGAGAACCGAACGCAATGGAGACGCACGGCTGAAGCCCTATGTTCCTGTAGGAATTAAAGGAAACAATAATAATAATAATACTTCCTCTAAGCTAACTGATTTTATTGTGAAGCTTTCATTTCTCTTCTAAAGAGCATCTTCAAATTGAAGTCAGCCTTTAGAATTCTCCATGAATTTAATAGCCGTCTCTTCTGATGACTTTTAAAGTGATCGGTTGTCTCCGAAGACGTATCTTTTACTTATGTTCCCTTTCCATTCCTACTTATTATTTTGTTAATGTGATATTCGACCTTATTTGAAAAGCCCATTTTTTTGTTAAGATATTGTTTGGAAAGACAATGAAGTTTTTACTTTAAAATCCTCTTCGTTAGAAGACACACATACATCAGATTCGTCCACATGAGCCGCAAATCTTCTCCATCATCTTTATGTCTACAGAAAAAATGTAATGATAGTATGAACTGTATAATTCTAATAAAAATAAGGTATTGTTGTATTAAAATAAGAAGCCTAGTATATTAGCAAGGTTTGGTGAGTTGGGTTGACAGTATCAACAGTGATCACAGTTCAGAAAGCTTATGAATGTAATTTCATTGAAGGATTACAGTCACAGAAGGATTTGAGTTAACCGTTTCAAGGTTAACACCTAATGTTTATTGACTGACACATGAAATTTCACTATTCGGTGGAGCTTGACCTTCTACAACTATCAAGATGGACAACAATAGTAGTTCTTAAAACACTGAATACATTAAAGTGTATCTTAAAGTCAGGTAGTAGATGGTGGCTAGGAATTGAATGCAGGATGCGCATTTCGTCCTATTTGGGACTTGTCATCTGGATGTACCCGCATTCCCCAGTGAGTCATGACGTACCCACCGAGGCTGGAACCCAGTGTCCATAGTTTCAAACGCCAAGGCGTTATCCACTAGACCACTTGATGAGTCCCAAATAGGACGAAATGTATTCCACTGCTAGTCACTATCTACCAGTTGACTTCAAGTTAAATGATCAGACATCGTTGAAACATCTGCACATGGAGCCGAGATGTCAACATGAGACCGAGCACTTACGTCCAGTCAATCAACGGGAAAAATCGAAATTGAATTCAATAAAGTGTATGTTTGGTATTCCAGTGACCTCAGCTATATACAGTAAATGATCGCAGACAAATCACCATAAGTGGTTCATCTATAATATTAATTTGTAAAGTAGTGTATATTAGAGTGAAGCCTAATGAGATCTAAATGAAATTAATACTGTTCGCTTACATGTGTTGTATTAGATTTCTCTGTTTTTCCTCAAAATTGAACTTTTGCATACAGTGATGATGATGATGACCTTTTCATTTTATTTTCAAAGTGCAAAGAATGTGGAGTCAAGAATTACGTTATCATATGATGACAGTTAATTCAAAGGCATTTGGTTATTCCTCCCTACCTTCATCGTTGACCTCTTCATCTGTTCACTACACCTCACCATCACCATCGGCATTACTACACTCAAGCAGTTGTCAAGATAGTGTTCTACCAATTATAACAACTTTAGATAATCATCAATCTGTTCAAACACATCTCCATTTTCCAACTAAATTGAACAGTTTATCATATAGATTTGCATGTATTGCATTAACAGATCCATGCCTATTACATCATAAAGAAACAGTAAATATGAATAAATTTTGGTATGAACAGAATGTTTATGGTTTCAGTCCAGTTAGTCTGTTATGTCAGTTAATAATGAGTTATGAATTATCAAGAATTAGTGGAATGTTGATTGAAGTAAGTATGAATTCATCTTTTTTCTGAAAAGGTTTTTTTAATGCCGGTGTCTATTGGATTACTGTTCTGTCTCTATTTTTTTTTCTTATTATTATATTATTATTTCCTTTAATTCCTACAGGAACATAGGGCTTCAGCCGTGCGTCTCCATTGCGTTCGGTTCTCTGCTACAGTCTTCACCTGGCTCCAAGTCTGCCCACACGCCTTCATCTCCTCTTCACATGACCTCCTCCATGTCGCCCTTGCACTAACGACCAACTCACCGCTTCCCTTTCAGGTTCCACTCGAGCGATGGCCTGGTGTGTGGTGTTACTCACTTGATGGTTTCCTCAGAGTATGGCCAGCCAATCCATCTCCATTTCTTCCTGCCTATTTGTCTCACAATCGGCTCCTGATTGGTTCGCTCCCAGAGATCCCTCTCTGTTGCTGATCTTTTCTGGCCAGCCATCTGATCTTGAGTATTGAGCGAAGACAACTGTTAAGGAAGGTCTGTAGTTTGTTTGAGATGCTCTTCATGACGCGCAGTGCAAGTCTCTGATCCGTATAGTAGCACTGACTGACTTCACATTGGAGTTGAAAATCCGGATGTTATTTTTGATGGTGAGTGCTGTTGACCTCCACAGAGACTTGAGAGTAGTGAAAGCTTGTCTTGCTTTTCCGATTCTTGCTTTGATATCCTCGTCAGTTCCGTTCGCCTGTAGTTGAAACGATGCTTCCCAGGTAGGTAAAAGACGTTGTTTCTTTCAGGTTCCTTCTATTTATGCTGATTGTTGTTGCAGTTGGCCAGGAATCTTCATCACCTCTGTTTTATCTATGTTTACCTGAAGTCCTTCCTATCTTCCCTGGATGCTTCTTCTGACAACTTGTTGCTTTTCGCTTGCATATCTTCCAGTTTGTGGGAAATCAGACATATATCATCGGCGAAGTCCAGATCTTCCATGTTTTTTGCATGAGTCCATTTTATGCCTATTTCCTCATTGCCCACTGTTTGTTGCATTATCCAGTCTATTGCAATCAGGAAAATCATTGGTGATAGTAGGCAGCCTTGTCTTACTCCCGTAGTGAAACATAATATTGAATGTTATTCGTATGTTGGTAGTTTTCTTTCCTCACTTCGATAGTTTCCGTAAGTTACCCTTAGTGGATTACTTGGCATGCAGCATTGTCGTACAGCTGTTGGGTGAGATGTATAATTGTCGGTGGCACCCCATAGTAGCGAAGTAGTTGCGAAAGCACCTCTAACATGACTTATTTCATTCTGATGAAGCCAATTTTGCTAAATATATCGACGATCTGGCTACTTCCATATAGTTTACTTCCTAATGTGATTGTCCAGAGATGAACAGCTTTTTATTAGAAATTAGTCAATCGTTGTTGTCAAATGGTACTGAGGTAAATCCCTTCAAATGTTAGATTGTTAATTCCAGTTCCAGACAAAAAGATTACTTACAATAGACTGGTTCATTCCCGTGACTCTTGTATTATATAGAGCACTGAAGTAAAAACTAAGTCGAATGTTAAATGCCTTGGATTATTTCTTTCCTCTGATCTTTCCTGGTCTTCTCATATCATACTTATTTCTAGAAGTATATTTTGTCTAATATTGTGTGTAAAACATTTAAGACAATTAAGTATCACTCTGTCGATACCTTTCTGTCTGTTTTCGACATAGAACTTTGCACATATGTGCACCAGTTAAAGTCGCCACACTCCCTCCTTGTAGCACACAAGCAAGAGAAGAAACATATAGAGACAGTAACAGAGGTATGAGATAGAGAATAGTAATACGAAGAACAAACAGTTGATGAATCATAAGTCACAAGGGTGATGCATCTGCACCATGAGAACGATTTGAGCCTTTATAGGTTGTTAACTCTCGTATTCTACCTATTCTTCCTTACTGCTTCCCCTTAATCATTTCTGGGCTATTTGAGAAAGACTTCGTTACATTGTCGACAGCACTAAAAACTGTCGAAAGGGCAAGTGCTAAACAAACTGGTTAATATTATTATGGAAAAAATACTTGAACTTATGCAAGAAACTAAAGAAAATCATTTTGTTGACTCTTAGCACTCTCTTTATAAAAAACTGTGGCCTTGCTTCTCATCAAGTAGGATTAGAAGGAATTACAGAAGACTTTATCCTCGGATAACTAAACATAAAAATTCAGGCATATCTTATTTGGCATGCGCTTTTTATGATCAGAGAAGTGTTATTCATGCGACTATTAATTTCTAATTAGACACAAGTCAGTAACTAGTGTAATTGTAATGAGAGATGGCTGCCAGCCAAATTGGTAGACAGTAATTGACGTAAATGTTTATGTCTCAAATATTAGTCATGTGAAAACAAGATCAAAGACGGAAAGCAGACTTTGCGTAGGTGGATACAATTAGCAGATAGATGATTTGACACTCAAGAGACAGCCACAAAGAGATGAAAGATTAACTTTTAATGAGGAACAACCAATCAGAAAACTGTTTGTTAGCTAACAATAATCTATAATAATGTACACGAAAATCTATAAATATGTGTTGATTTTCCTTAATAAACGATCTGCTGCCTGACTCTTGCCTTCTGTCGTTAATAATGTGTGTCTATTCCTATCTTCGATGCAGACTGAATTCTATCAGTCACCTTTGCAATTTTAATTGGCTTGTTATTACTGTGTACTGTGAAGTGTTGGTATTAGATAGTTGGGGATAATCGGCAAGTAGCAAAAAGCCTAGTTCCAAAACTTCCTGCCGATTGCCTCCAACGATCTAATACCAACAATTCACAATGAACTATTAATTTATTGCTCTTTTTATTCTCCCTATTACCAGTATATTGTTGTTGGTCTTTGAGACTACAAGAATCATAGGGAAGCAATGTATCACCATGAATTCGAGGATTAGGGGCTACCTCATTCCTTAGCCAATGTTGGTTTGGTTATTATGAAAGTTAACAGGCTACTAGCTACGTGCTGTTTTCATGAAACTGTGAGACCCATATGCTAAGTCGACCTCAGTTCCATTTCGCTAAACAAAAATGTTATCCAGATGCTGTGCTTGATTTAAGCTAGTGAAATGAATGTTGTTCATTGTTCAGTATATGGACATATAATCTGTTACTGAGTAGATCATTTCTTTTATGCTTTCCGCAAATACAATGAGGATAAATTGAAGTGGTCAAGTAGTTAGAAACGGACTTTTACCACGGTCTTTTTTAGAATGGGATGTTCTGATACCTAAAAGTTACTTTATCCCCTTAGGGCTTAGGTCATTCGAAGTGTGACAGGTATCATTAGGTTTAAACTGTCAAGTTACTATGATGCGAAATTTCCCAAAAGGCTTAGTTTGCTAATCAACATCTCTTTAATTTATACACTGTTGGCTAATTTTGAAATATTGGTATTGAACAAATTAAGCTAAACGTCTACACCAAAAGTCAATTTAGCAATTCAGAGACTTGACTAGAGTGTCACCAAGAGCATTTATAACAGCCTGCTGTGGAAAAAAATAAATAAATGAAAATTTGCCTTTGCTGACTCGATACGGGAGTTAAGATGACCAGCCGGCTTGAAAGGATAGGCAACATGAGACTCTGGCAGTGCAGTAAACCAGTCGAGAACCTATTAGCCAACAAATATTTAAAAGGAAATGGAAGTGGAATGAACATACTTTGAGGTGATCTTCAAGTGATATTACGCACCAGAAAGCCCTCGAATAGAATATCAACCAAAAGCGGGAGTTGGTGGATGGGGGTCGAGGATGACAGTAGAGAGGCTAAAATGTGGAGGAGATGAAAGTGTGTGGGCACTTGTAGAGGCAGTTGAAATTGATGGTAGAGAACCAACTCAGAGGCTACTGCGCTCTTGCAGTAGCGCTCTTGTCCACTCAGAATGCAAGGGGTGAATAATAATCATATAAATGATACTAATCTATCATAGTGATAGGAATTACTGAGTAAATTTTCAAAAGCAGACAAGTCGTTTACTCTCTACTTCAGGATATTTTCAGACTGGTTTCTAAAAAACTCGTAAAAACAAAACTAACCCTTACAAACCAACTATAGAAAATTAATTTGATGCTTGCTAGTAATTTGCTACAGGATGGAGTTTCCTAGAGTTCTAGTGAGAAGTCGTCACCAGTGATATCCATCCAGTCACGTGTGAGGATGGATTTCCCACTGATGACATTGGTTGGTGGTCGCGCTAAATCACGAATTGGTAGAAGTTAGAATTCATGGGCTGACCATTGAATCGGGTCCCAGTGGCTGAATGGTATACGAGCTTGCCTTGTAACCAGAAGGTCCTGGGTTCGAACCCTGTTAGTGGGTGCCTACTGGCGATGATTTTCAAACTAGGATGAAATAGCTGTCCAGTACACCAGTGCTTGTTTTCAATGGTTCTCTAACTGATATCAATCCGTAATCAACTCGTAAAAGCGGAAGAGATGTGATCTTGATTATCTAGTTTCCTTTTTTACCAAGTATTATCATAATTACATTAAAGGAAAATAATGGAGATAATAAGTGGAGAATGCATATTGGTTTATATTTTGAATTATTATCAATTTCTAGTGAAGATATTCTCAGATGTTTTGCAGTAGCTCATGTGTATTTGAAAACTTACACGATAACTTTAAACTTCCTTTTATTTGCAGTCTAATCTCCCGGATACGATAAAAAGTCGACGTCTGTCAAAAATACCATTTTACATTTATATATATATAGTTTTGATATTAAGTTAATGAAAGGTTTTATTTAATTAGTGGTTAAATTGTTCAACCTGAGGCACTCGTCATTTTAATTCCGTATTAAGTAGCACTGAGAACGACACTTTAACACCCGAACCTCTAATATCAGACATAATCCAATACTCGGAGAACAGTAAAACTAAGGGTGAATTCCCTAACAGTTTCCTATATTTTCATACTACCAGTTCCCCATATTAGTTTGAATAAAGGAAGAACGAACATACTGGCAGGGTTATATGAGCTGGTCTTATTTTTAGCAGATTCTTTTCAGCAGTGTACATTCTAAACATAATCAAGTTATAATTTACGAAATTTCTGAAAATACTTCTTCATAGTGAATTTGAGTTATAAGAAGTACAAGCAACATAACTCCAAAAATGATGTAAGTAGACGAATTATCCAGTATTAAGAGTAACTATTTATAGTATAATGAAACGCAGGGAGGACGGTAGAGTTCAAATTTCTCTTGGAAACAAGGATGGACTAGGGACTAAATACCAGATGGAAAAACAAAATGAATTTACACATATTATAATGGAGAGTTCAGGAAGATCGGAGTGAATAGTGAATTAAAATCATAGCACAGACAAAACAGTTAACGAGATTTGGAAACTTAATAGTGAGTTCAGCTCACTTAGTGAGATTCAGGACAAAACACTAAAGCACATGAACAAAACAACTAGGGTTACCAGGCTAGTGGGCGATTAGTCACACACTATCTTTCTGTATTCATGCGTTGGGTTGAAGCCTTTTGATAGCATTGACTTCTGCAAACTGAAGTAAATAGATGGTTTTCTTTGTGTATTGGTTATTTCGAAAGCCTGGCTAATTTGTACTGTATGTACCGTGTCAATTAGGTGTATATTTTTGATTGAACACTAGTCAGTAACTAGTGTAATGTGTCTAGTCCTATCTTCGGTGCAGACTGAATTCTATCAGTCCTGCCGATTGCCTCCAACCATCTAGTACCAACAATTCACAGTGCCCCGTAATGGCTAGCCACCTAGCATGGTGGCCACATTGCAAACATGACTGATAGAATTCAGTCTGCACCGAAGATAGGACTAGACACATTACACAAGTTACTGACTAGTGTGCAATCAAAAATATCCAATACAGTCCTACAGGAGGTCAGTCGCGAGCCTGAATAGCTCAGTGGTAACGTCTCTGACTGCAGCACTGGGTGATGCGGGTTCGAATCTCAGAAGGGACATCAGTTCCTTCAAGGTTGCAGATACGCCTTGCTGATGAGTACCAACTAGCACGAAGCCTAGGTCCAAGGCTTCCTGCCGATTGCCTCCAACCATCTAGTACCAACAATTAGGTGTATGGCAGTTTCACTTGAGAACATTATGCTACTTTTCAAACGCAGAATTTAAGAAATATGCTTGGAGAAAACCTAGTAAGCTCTTATATTTTCAATTATTCTATTTCATTATTTCTGTTATTTTACAGAGATTTAGTTGGATAATTTGGTCAATGCATTGTAATTTAATGAAAGAACGTTGTATTCATGGAAATTCATGTGTTGATTGGTTAATCACACAGAAAATTGCACATTCCATTGGATACCATTTAAAACGATATTATTCTGTGAATGAAATCTCATTAAATTGCTCAATTATTGAAAAGAATATAAATCAACACATTTATTCAAGATGGACGCCCCTGCGTAAGTGTTCTACAAAATAAAGCATATGTACTTATCTTGTGTACAGTTTTCAAAAGACTTTGAATTTGTTGGTAATTACGGGTCAATTTATTTATTGCGATAAATTTTCATGTACCTCCTTAGTGAGGAACTTCATGTGATATCACTCACAACACGTGAAAAGCAGGAGTTCGAATGAAACTCTAATGGAAAGTAACGTTTGGGTGTCAGATAGTGACATGGAGAAGATCGTGTGAGGGTGTGAGAGGTTGCAGACCTAGTTGAAAGTAGTGGCTGAGAAGCGATTTGTGTAAATCAAGTTCCATATTCTACCTGGAAAGCAAGAAAGTTATAATAAATAATAACCGCTTAGAAGAACAGTGCCAGCGACGAAGTGCATACAGTATGTGCTTACGTATTCGCTGAATGACCGTTTCGATTAGTATAAACTACATTAAGATACGTAGTCAATTCACTGCTTCATGAAGTGTTGATGTACTGAAGATGATATCTGTTACAGAGTGGAAAGATTTGTCAAACGAAATCCTAGTCTGCAGAATTAGCTTAAAATGAATTTTCAATGTAAAGCTTTGCAGCAGTTCAAGTTGCTACACTTCAAAAAAAAGCTGGCGAAAAGACGAAATGAGAGGAAACTACAATAAAAGTTAAAAAAGAAAAGGTACTTCATGGAGAATAATAATAATTTTCAGAATCATGATGGTAACAGAGTGAATTCATTTTCTTCACAGAGGGCGATATTTGACCTATTCATGAACATTCTAAAACCATTTGTTCTTAGCATATCAGAGACCCCACTCAAGGGGTTTACAACCATCTTAATTGGCTCAAACCAACTAACAAAGTATTCACCCCTGGTATGATTTGCTCTGACCATCTTTAATTATCTTCCAAGTTAGTTTATATCAGCTGATACTACTGTACAAGAAATTCGGTAGCTGGACATGTGTTACGCATATGTTAGCCACCTCAGTCTTTGCATACTCACAGCCTCGACGAGTGCTTTTCCTTCATGACTTAACATTATACGTCAAATTTCATTGTTTCCGAACGTATTATGACATCTAACATGAGAAATTAAACTCAGACATTCATGATAAAAAAACAACTAACAGCTTTATATCACCTACCTTCAACGGTCATGCTGCACAGCTGTAATAATAGAACGGAGCAAGCAGTTAAATAGTACACATACACCCTTGAACTGATAACAGGATATCGCGCATAAACTAGAAATGGCGCAGGTTGGCAGACGTCAAGCTCAAATTGCATCATCACTTGGTGGATTACGGCTAATGCAGATCACCAAATAAGTGGAGTAGTTGACTCCCTCTACCACTTCACTATCTATCTTTACACTAGGAATTAGTTCAGACCAGTCCTACAGTCTTTGATATGACAGAGAAAATGCGGCGTTTTCTTCGTTACAGACTTCTAAAGACAGCTGAAGCCTTGGCAATTCATGACTTTAAGCCAGAACTTTGTGTATAAAAGAAATATGTACAATCCCTACTTCTGCCTTGGCCGTAGAGGGATAGACATTTATTTATTTTGTTTATTTAGTTATTCTATGTACTCTTCCCTTATTACTACAATAATTATTAATATTATTATCATTATTATTATTACTATTCTCACCCTATGATTATAATCACAAATATTTTAATTGCATTTCATACTATTATTATTTCATGTATTCACACCATTGACCTAATTTCCTCACCGGATATAATTTCTTAAAAAAAACCATATATATATATACGATTGTACAGCTTGATAACAAATTCGTTGGGAAGAGTCTCTTCGCTGAATATTGTGTTCTTAATGCTACAATGGGAATTATTAAATGCATACATGTTTCGTTTGCTTAGACTGAAGTCTAATGATGAAAAAAGTCTCATATATGCATAGCCAACTTCAAAATAGAAATTACTTCTTACCGTGAGCTAAACATTAGTTAAGTTTACAGTGATCGGTCATTGGAAATTAAGTAATGTGATGTGTCTGTCCCTCACTGTTGATCTTGACTGAATTTTATGATGGAAAATACTCATCAAAACATTAGAGAGAAAAGAACAAGAAGTTCAGCAAAAATATTTTTTCATCGATTTCATTCTCGAAAGCTGTACAGTTACACTTACTTTTCATATCAAGTTGAAAATTATCATTTCATTTATGAAAACTATTATCTCAGTTTGTTTCCATACTCATCTTGTGGTGAGAGCAAGCTGCTAGCCAATTGGTAGACATTGATCTACGCTGATTGGTAGAAATTAATCTAGGCTGATTCAAGGACCAATCACAGCTGACCTTGACATGGACAAATATGATTCGCAGACAAGTGGCTCGCATTTCCGAGAAACATTGAAAACGAGAAAGCAGAAGACTGCGCAAACAACCAATCAGAAGACCGCCTTCTTTCTCCGGGCAGAGCCTTATTGATGTACGTAAAATACATATAAATACCTGTTGGTTTTCGTAATAAAACTGATCTGTTGCCAGCCTTGTCTTCTGTTGTTACAATCTCACCTGCACCTATGTCGTTAAAAGAAACTGTTTTATCTGTAGCGCAACTATTTTCTAATTCTTTGTAATTTTGTTTCTAAACCCCTTGTAATCTATATTCACACCTTTTAACTTTCATATCAAGTCGAAAATTACTATCACCTTTAATTTCCTTGGTTATTACGTGGAAATTAAATAATAATTGTATCTATGAATTCTGTCAGTTACGTTTGCAGTATGGTTACAAAGGGAGGTGACTGGCTACCGTGATTTACTTTGAATTGATGTAAGGACGTCGGAGACAATCGGTATGGAAGCCATGCATCCAGACTGCTTTCTGGTTGCCTCTCATCACCTAACATTATTCAATTTTATTTGTACGACATGGTATAATTTTGTTATCATAAGAGCTGAAATTGTCAAAGTATTCGAAAACGTTTTGAATTAGAATATATTTTGTGCAATGAATAATGAGATATATCAGAGTTTATTTCTTAACTTCTACTGTTTCATTTTCAGTTCTAAGTGAAACTATCCAAATCGATTCAACCGGCCAGTTAAATAATATTCTGGAGTCAGTCACTATTTTATGTCATGAAATAAAACGATATTTTACTCCATTGATACCACAGAATTCAAGTTCTCAGTGGCTTTCCAAAACTTTATTGAAATCGTTGGAATACTATCTAGTAAAACCATCTCCAATGGGTCTTTTAATTCCAATTTCTTATCTTCTTTTTGGTCCAGCTGGTAGTCTTTTTATTGATTCTAAATTCACCAGGCAGTCGATGCTAAATTCACAAAGCACAACGGATAAGAGTTTGATTAAAAAATGCGACTGCAAAAATGATAATGCCACAATATCTGTTACGTCATCATCTTCTTACACAACTTCTATTACATCGTTCACAACGTTGACTAGTTCTACAAGTCTTAATTCATCCTCGCCATATTCATCACTCACGACTTCTGTCACTAATACTACATCGACTTCTGCTGGCATCTCATCATTATCTACGCTTTCTTTGCCCAGTTCATGCAGTCAACCATCTTCTTTGAATCCATCTTCTACTAATCCTTCATCCATAGTCTCCTCTTCGACAAATTCTATAACAGTCTCAACATTATCTTTGTCAAAATTGAGTTCATCTCTTATAGAGTGTGTTCCAGTGCATACATCTAACACATCCATCCACGAGAAAGTCACTTCTATTGATACATTACATATTAATGATGATTATGATGAGTTTACTACACATATTGCGTCATTATGTTCTAAACTGAATAATGAAACTGAGACTGTTCTATCAAAAGGGAAAAAACACCACAAAGTATTATCATTCTATCATCATTTAATTAATGATAAAATTATTTATAAAAGTTGGGCAAATTATGGATTGTTGAATCCACATCTTGCACCGTATATCAGTTTACCTGGATGTATTGACCTTTCAAATGATTTGTTTACTTTAGACAAAATGTCTATTACATCAGGCAGTATCATTTCGCTAAGTGATATTGAAATGAATACTGATAACGAAGCATTTCAACATGCGATTGAGAATACAATCAATTTACTTACCAGGTAGGTTAAAGCAGACTTTATTGATATCAGTAAAACGTTTGAGCATAGCAGACTGTTGTATCCCGTAATTTTAATCCTTTACAGAAAAAAACCTTTTGATTTGGCAAAAATTTCAGTTTTGACATTTAGAAGACAAAAGAAACACACGAAGTAAAATTCACTTTTCAATTAGAATCTATGAAACACAAAATAACTGAGCAAAGAATATCCTTTTCAAGAAGATGAATACTATTCTTAATGATAATCTAAAATACCAAAAAATCTCCTCTTCTCTTGATCCGATTGAAAAGATAGAGAAACAGTTAATGGAAACATTGGGAAGACTGAAAGAACAAGGCTCCGTCTCACAGAGTCAGTACACATCACTTAAACAAACTGGAACGTTCACACCAAGATTATATGGCCCGTCTGAAGTGCACAAAATCGGTGCACCGCTTCGACCAGTATTAGATATGTTAAATTCACCATACCATCCCGTAGCCAAATGGTTAGTCGAACTCTCACAGCCTTTTCACACCGAGTTTGTGAAACACAGTGTAAAGGATACTTTTGGATTCGTTGAAAGGATAAAAAATTTAAATGTTGACAATAAATTCATGATATCATTTGACGTATCTTCTTTATTCACCGATGTAGCACTTATGGAAACAGTGGACATTGCATGCGAAGAACTCATGAGACGAAACATCGATGTTGGCATCCCTATATCTTTTATGAAAGAGCTTCTCTTCAAATGCACAATGAATGTTCACTTTTCACTTAATAAGGAACTATATAGATAAATCGATGGTGTGGCAATGGAGTCACCACTAGGACCCACTCTAGCAAACATTTACTTTGCGAAAGTAGAAATTGGGCCTTGGAAGGATGTTAATAATGAACTCGAATTCTATTGTCGGTACATGGATGATACATTTTTGATTATGAAAAATGAGAAGGAAGCAAAGAACATCCTGGATGCATTTAACGAGGTTCATGCCGCAATAAATTTTACTATTGAGAAAGAAGAAAACTCTAGTATTTCATTTCTAGACGTCCTTATGACCAGGAAAGAGGATGACACAATATGAAGAAGTGTATATAGAAAACCTACATCAACTGGTCAATATACTCATTATTTCAGCTTTGTGCCCTTGAAATACAAACGCAATCTGATAAAGTGCTTGGTTCAAAAGGAAAGAGAAATCTGCCCGGATGAATGTCTTGATGAGGAACTTAATAATATTAAATGGTCGCTAAGTGAAAATGGTTACCCAGAAACGTTTATTGATAAGAATCTGAATCTGAAATCAAAGCAGCCCAAGTTACCAACAGTCCCAAAAAGGGCCTTATTCTTACAAATTCAGTTCCTTGGGGACAACATCAGTGAGTTACTAACACAGCGCCTTAGAAATGCGGTGAAAAGAGCATTCTCTGCAGCCAAATTACTCTGTGTCTTCAAAATCACTCCTCTTTTGCTTTCGGGAGTAAAAGACAAACTGCCTAATTTCGCCCCTTCCATTTGTATCTACCAATTTAACTGCTCCTATGGAGCCAGTTATTGGCATAGGCGGTACAATTAGGTGTGTTTCTCGTCGAATTTCCAAACATCACCCTGCCCAGTGGTTAAGCAAGGGACAAACAAAATCTATTCGTAGCGCTATTCTATCTCATCTTGTGTATACAGAACACACGATTGATGTTAACCAGGCTTTCAGGGTCATTTACTGCATACCTACAAATTTCAGTTTCGCCTTAAGAGTTCGACTACTACATACTGCTGAGGCTGTTGGGATCCATATTAACAAGCCTAATTTATGTGTCCAAAAGAAGCTGGTCCAGACACTATCGTTACCTTGGCCATCTACGTTGAAATGATCCTCAATGTTTTTGCAGAAAGTTTCTTAATTTTGATATTCTATTTGCTATTATATCTTTATTATTATTATTATAATTATAATTTAAGCATCTTCAATGAATTGTAATTCCATTGATCTTACCTAACGAATTGATATTATTTAAAAAACACTAATATTGTTATTGACTACTATTCTAGAATATTCTTTTTATATAAACATATATATAATTGTAGAGCCAGAAAAGGAAATTATGGAAAAGGATATTCTTTCCTCAATTATTTCGTGTTTTATAGATCTCTGAATTAGAATCTAATCTGTGGCTCTACTCCAACATATATGAGGCAGTTTTGAATTCAATATAGAAATTCACCTATGCAGTGGTGATAAGTTCGTTAACCATAACTTTCCAATATCGACATGTCAAAAGGGGAGACAACTAACTAAGAAAACTAATGCAACAATGAAAAGATAGAAATATTTGCAGATATCTAAGCAAATGGTTTACTCAGTGCATAATTTTGGAGATATAAGGGGAGTAGTCAGTTAATTAATAAGGTTTCAACTTGAGTTACTGCACGAATTTCTTCTTAACAAACAAGTCTGGCTTTTTCAGGTAGATTCCGATGACCTCAGCTTTATCTAGAGGACAAACTCGTAAAGCAAAATTGATATTGACCAGAAAGCATTGAATAAGTTTAAGTGGTTTATTACCAACACGTTTATGCTCATTGTCTACAATGTATGCTAAAACAGAGCTACGGATAGACCTTGTTTGTCCCGTGATTAATCACTCAGGGTGATACTAAAAAATCAGAAGATGAATAGGATCGGTGTAACTGGTTCCACAGAATAATGAATCAATAATGAATCCACCGAATAACACCGATTTGAGCACCAATACATTCTAATGCACGTGTAAGCCTCTGATTTATTTAAAATTAATCCGTATTTCGCGTTATTTGATCATATCTGACCGCTCTATCCCAAATCTCATTTGACACATAAGCTACTAGTAGGAACGCCTCAGTGATTTCTGAAGACTAACATGATGTTCGTTGAAGTGGAGTCTAGGACGCATTTGGCGTTTGAAAAGATGGACACTTGGTTTAAGTCACACTGGGAATATTATCATTTACTAGGGTTGTAATTACATCTAGCTACCAAGTCCAGATATGATGAAATATACATCCTAGATTCCATCGGTGGGTCTTGGGCGGAGAAGTCCAGTGTTCGATCCCTGGAGTACTAACTCCTTTACCTCGCTTAGCTGGTTATAGGCCTGGCAAAGAGGGAAGGTTGGGCGTCAGACTAGCAACCCCACCCTGTAAAAATAAACCCATTGCTACCAAATACTCAATGCTCTAGCTTGAAGCCCTATGTTTCACTGGGAACGCAAAGGAATAAATTAATAAGTAAAATAAATAAAATAAAGATTCAGATGCTAGCCACTAACTGCCAGTTAACTCTGTTTTAATGTTTATATAGTTAAATTTAATTTTTTGTATACTTGCGATTTGAAACATTGTCATTTTTTCTCTTCTGTCTTCTAATTTCATCCTAAAAATAAATATTTCAAGTGCTCTAGTACACAGTCCTTGTTATATACTGTTGAAGAATTTAACCCAACAAACTTGTGGATCATATTTCTGTGTACAAAAACAAATTATTGAATATATCAATAAATCAATGGGTTATAACAAAGTCTATTATACTCAGTGGCGGGAATATCCTGACGAAGCAGTTGATAATCATACTATTACTGAACAATTAAATGATTTATCTTCTATGCCATATGAAATTATAATCATTGACTTACTAAACAAACCTTCTAATCAGAAGTGGAGTTATTCAGAAAAAGCAATTCAACTCGTCCAACAATTACACAGGATTCGTTTTAATTTACCTTGGGAAAGTGATACTTATCAAAGTGTATTGAAAGGAGTTATTGTTATAACTTCATTGAATGGTAAGTTTGTAATTAGTTTTAAATTTTAGTCTTTCTAACTGGTATTAGTGCTGTGTTACTTCAGATTGTGAAGGTGAGTTAGATCTGTTGTGTAGAAGAGCATAATAAAAGAGGTATTTTTCATCTATGGTGGTTGAGATGTACTGTTGCGTGTCTGCCATATCCTGAAAAAATCTTAAACTTTCAAATATTCCGTTTATTTTGTGTATATGAGTTTGACCACGATCGATATCAGTTAGAGAACCACTGAAAATCAGTACTGGAGTACTGGACAGCTGTCTCATCCTAGTTTGAGAATAATAGGCAGTATGCACCCACTGGGGTCAGAACCCAGGACCTTCTGGTTACAAGGCAAGCTCGTATACCATCCAACCACTGGGACCCGATTCAGTGTTCAGTCCGTGAATTATAACTTCTACCAATTCGTGATTTGACGTGACCCCAACCAATGTCATCAGTGGGACATCCATCCTCACACGTGACTGGATGGACCTCACTGGTCACGGCTTATCACTAGAACTCTAGGAAACTCCATCCTGTAGCAAATCACTAGCCAGCATCAAGTGTGAGGATGGGGTTCCCATTAATGACATTGGTTGGTGGTTGCGCTAAATCACGAATTGGTAGAAGTTAGAATTCATGGGCTGGTCACTGAATCGGGTCCCAGTGACTGAATGGCATACGAGCTCGCCTTGTAATAGGGAGGTCCTGGGTTCGAACTTTGGTGGTGGGTGCGTACTGCCAATGATCCTCAAACTAGGATGAAACAACTGCCCAGTACTCCAGTGCTGGTTTTCAATGGTCCTCTAACTGATACCAATCCGTGGTCAAACTCATATAAACAAATCTAATCCTATGAAAAAGAGAAGACGTTCAGCGAAGAGACTCTTTTCGGCGAATTCATTCACATAGCTGTACAATCGCATTTATATATAATTATTTGTGTGTGTGTACATGAGGTTTGTCAAGTTAAGATAATTGATTAGTTAATACAAGAATGATGTAATATAGAAACAAAGTTAATCGGACAGCAACTAAAGTAAGATTGAGTTAGTAAGCTAGATGACGTAATATAACTGACCGAAATGTTTCAACTTAGATCAGAGGTAATTACAGGTAGAGACTAAAAAGAAGTGAAATTTAGCAAATAAGTTGGATGACGTAACATAAATGACTAGAAATTGAGCGTTGTTCAAGTCTGTAACAGTGGTAGTGAGGTGTAGAAATTGAATCAGGTGGGGGTAGGGAACAAGAAATTGGATCGGGTCCCAGTGGCTTAATGGTATACGAGCTCGCCTTGTAACCAGAAGGTCCTGGGTTCGAATCCCGGTGGGTGTGTACTGTGAAGAGTCCCAAACTAGGACGAAACAGCTGTCCAGTACTCCCAGGTTTTCCAATGGTTCTCTAATTGATGTCAGCTCATGATGAAATCCTGTAACCAATCAAATCCCTACAAACCAACACTTGAAAATTTGAAAATGTAAAATATTACAATTGAGAAGACAAAATAATACTAATGAAGAGACTGAAGAAAAGGTTAGTTAGAATTTACTTGTTGGCTAATAAGATAGATTACGTCCATTGCAAGTGTAGTGATTGAACGAACTTCTTCTGTATACAGAGTTAGAGATTTAGCAAGTGAATCGCCATTGCTTCTAATCTAATCCTTACAAACCAATCTCTTGAAAATTTCAGAGACTGCTGAAGATCTTCATAAATATACTTTAGTGGATAAACTACTTCTGAATCGCCTAAATTTGTCATTTTGTTTGTATTTTTTAAATACATCAGTAATCCCTCTCTGTGTATTAATGAAAGAATAAGACAAGTGAAGGAGCTCTTTATTTCGAAGAGTTCATCGTCCTCTTTAGCTGTACAATGGCATTTATATACACTTATTACACGAAAGAGGAAATTGACAAAAGTAATGAGTTGTTATAATCATTTCAGTTAATATTAATCAATACTTTGATTGGACACTAGTTAGTAACTGAGTATCATACGTCTAGTCCTCTGTTTTCTGTCAGTCAAGTTTGCAGTGTGGCCACCATGGTAATCGACGTCACAGTGCTCTGTGAACTGTTGTCATCAGATGGTTGTAGGCAACCGGCAGAAAGCCTCAGACCTAGTCTTCTTGCTTGTAGGCACTCACCGGTCAGCAAGGCGTATCTGCAATCTTGACTTATAGAATTAAGTCAGCACCAGACAGAAGGACTAGATGCCTGATACTATTTACTAACTAGTGTCCAATCAAAGCGTCTAATACAATCCTACAGGAGGTTAGATGCGAGCCCGAATAGCTCAATGGTAACGTCTCTGACGGCAACACTGGGTGATGAATGCTGGAATCTTAGAAGGGAATGAGTTCCTTCAAGTTTGCAGATACGTCTTGCTAACTGGTGAGTGCCAAAAAGCACGAAATCTAGGTCGAAGGCTTCCTGCCGATTGCCTCCAACAGCTTAGTAATATTAATCAATGCATAAGATAAGTTGTATAAGGGTACTAGAGTTACGTAAAAAGATAAATAATCTAATGAATGAGCTGTGATCAAAATGCATATAGAAACGCGGAAAAATGTTATATTACTCCAGAGTTCGAAAGAAATACTGGATGACTTGCAGTGAACAACTGTTTACGATAATTTCTCCTCAGGCTCTACAGTTATAAATCCACGAATATTATAATACAAATAGTCATTAAAGGCAAGTGAAAATTATATCGGAAACTGTACTGGGGAGCACAGGAGTCAAAATGAGCTAGAAAAACAAACAAAAAACAGGTTGTTAAAAAACAGCAAGATTGTTATCATTACAATAGAAGTGGTTGAATAATTTTGTTTTGTGTGCAGAGGTCCAGTTTCTCTATCTGAATGGCTAAAGCTTTATCAATAGAGTGAAGACGAAAGTTTTTATCTTTTTGACCGGTTGTTCTCCACATTTTAAATTACTTTGAAAGAGGAGTTTTTTGAGGCAGAATGACCAACACTGAGGTGTCAAACGACCAATGTATCTGGTCTAACCTGAACAGATGAACTGACAAATACACACAGAAGAGGTCAGATGAGGTATCTTGGTAGGCTTCTGAAGACCATCACTCTTAGCTTTGCTGTGGAAAATCTTTTTCACAAAGGTGATAAAATTCTTCTCATAAGGATATTACAGGTTGCATCTCTTTTAAAATAAGGGTTTGTGTTCATTATTTGTTCTAAAAAAGAAAACTTTGCCTTGTTGTTTAATGTCCTAATCACCTATTAAACTTATTAATTCCCTCACCCCACATTCTAACATCCATACATTCCATGTTTAACTATGATTATAGTCACAAATATTCTTGTTGCAGTTTAAGCTATTGTTCCAAAAGAAGTTATATAAAAACATGATTGTTGAGCTTGATAGTAAATATCTTCCCCTCCGCCTCACCCGAAATGTTCATGCATCAGTTGATAAGGTCATCTACCAGTGTAACGATTACATTTAATACACATTTTCAGTTGATTCTGTGTTTTTTTCATATGTTTTAGATGATATACTCAATCCGTTACTTCAATATGTATCTTGGGATTGTACCATCAACTTCAAAGAAACTTCAAATTTACAAGGGATTAATACACAATTAGAAAATATTACAAACACTGTTAATATTGAACAAAAATCAATCTTGAACAATTTCATTCTAAATTACTTGAATAATATTCACGATGATGACAGTAATCGCAGCAATAAAGTTGATCTTATTCTATGTGATGTATTTACAGAAGCACATTTACTCGCTTACCAGTATTCTCTATCATATCAAAGTCTTACAAAAAATAAGCCTTCAATCAACCAACTAAATTCCTTCGGTTATTTATTACAAACACTGAATGTTTGGTTATATCTACAGTATCATCAACAGCAAGATAATATAAAAGAAACTCTACTCAATGAATTACACGAAACATGCTTACTAACGGATTCAATAAAATCTGGTTGTCAGTCACTGGATAACCAAATTACTCAAGCGAATACTTTTCTTGATTTATTGAAAAAAGATTTAGATAATTATCTAAATATTTACTTACCAGAAGCTAAATTAAATCAGAAAAATACAATTGAACAGATAGAGAACTTAGAAAATGAAATTAAACGTAAAGAAATTGAACTGGAGCATCTGAAGAAACCAATGGATCGTGTTCAAAAATTAGCTCAAATTGAATTTAATAAAGTAATTTTTTTATTTATTATAGTAAGCCTACTGATAGATTGTTAGTACTGTGATTCGTCCTTTGGAATCCTAGTGCATTATGGGGTTTCAGCAATATGCCACCATTTCACTCTGTTCTGTGCTGTTATTTCTAGCTGACTTAACAAGCCTTCATTTTGTCTTTATGTGGTCTCCACTGTTAATCTCCATGTCTGCCGCATGATCTAGACCACCATAATTATGAATATTGTCGGTAATAGCATGCAAACTTGTATTACTGCAGTCTTCACATCAGAAGCTTCACTGGGTTTTCCGTTGTCGGTCACTTGACATATGGCATCAGCATAACGCTGTTGAATGGGGTTTGTAAGGGTTTCGGACACTCCTTAGTTTTACAGGATTTCCAATATACTTCATGGTTAACGATATCGAAGGACTTTAAAAGTTGATGAAGTTGAGCCGGAGGTTTGACTGTCGTTCTTTTCTCTGTTCGATGATGATGCGTATGGCTGCAATGTAATCTGCAGGTAATTTATTTTCTTATGAATTCCACTTGTTCCAAACGCAGTTGTGAATCCAGAGCAACTTTTAGTCTCTTCAAGGTGGTACGGTTTAATATTTTGTTTGGGGTAGACAACAGCATGATTCCACGACAGTTCTCGTGTTAGTTCATATCACACTTATTCCACACAACAAGTACCTTTCTTTCCTACCAGACTTTATGCAATATCGGCGTGAGAAAATTTACCGGGGTCTCTTTATCCGTTTTCGGTGCCTCATGGTAAATTCCATCTGGCCCTACTGCTTTCCCAACTTTCTGTAACCTCAAGGTACTGAAGACTTCTGCTTTTACAGGAGGGTTGGTGTTTACTGGTAGTTCCGTGTCTTCTGACAGTATTTCGTACGTGACGACCGATTCAACAGCAATCTGAATTGATCAGCTTAGCGTTTTCCTTATTTCACTTTCTTGCTAATTGGGTTTCCTTCACTATCTTTGATTTGATTCTCCTGCTTTGATGAGAGTTCTCTCTTAAATGCGGCCTTCTGCTTCAGCTTTTCGTCGTCTATCTTCAGTTTTTTCGTAGGAGTTTAGTTTGATCTTTAAGTTGATAAACATCAGACGGTAGTGTGAACTTCCACCTACAGTGACGTAAGATCATTCAGAATTAAGGTATAAAATTATATGCACCTAAAGTTTCGAGAAATATAATGATAATAGCTCTATTTCAGACAGTACTTTTATTAACAGTAAAGAATTATTAGTACACCTTTTTATGCGACAGTTGCCACTTGTTTAGAGTCCGTGGGCGGAAAAATTTTATGTTGTGTATCTCATCATAGAGCACACTCTAATCTTCCCCAAGTCATTTTATCGTCGGTGTCCTCTAGAAAAGTGATCAAAGGTAGATAGAAATCTGTTTAAAAATGGCGTACATGTGGAAAATATGAAATGGATTAAATGAAGACACTTTTTTGTTAAATGCAGCCTAGTAGTTAAGGCAAACGGAAAACCAATAGTCCAGCATATTTCCAGTACAGTTCTGAAAATATCAGCAGGCTGTTTAATAACTTCCAGTATTTCAACAGTTTCCTGTTCAGGATGAAACAGCAGTCTAATGAAAATTCTCTTCAATAAAAACAGTTTTAGGGACTTAATTGTTTCCTCTTAGAAGCAAAGTACCTGATGAATGTGAAATAATGGAGATTTTTAACTAAGGTGGATGATATTGAATTAGTTGTGTTCTCTGAGCTGGTTGATTTAATTGCGAAGCTATCGTCGTCCTTCTAGACAAGCTTGACAATTAAATCAACCAGCTCAGAGAACACAACTAATTCAGCACAATGAATGTAGCAGGAAAGTGATGATGAATGTATATTAAGAAAAAGAATGTTTAACCACTTAGATATTTTAACGAAATAAACTGTACTTGTATTAAATTTTGTTTAGCATTCATATCCAAGCTAATTTGCTGTATACATTAAAAATATATATATGTTTCAATACTAAGGAATTCAGTAGCTCACTGAATTTCGAAACATCGCTTGTCAGTGTCACTATTTATATATATTTTCTTCTGTTTAGTTGGTAACTTAGATGTCCTGATATTTCCCCCTTACTAGCAAAGTATTCAACCTTATTTCCTTTCCCAGCGAGCAGTGTTGGCTTAAATAAGATTAGGTTGTAACAGAGATACTGATATTTGGAGTGAAACATGACAGTAAGTTAAAATGTCTTTCAATGTTGGTTTTAACCAAGTAAGGAGGTTTACACTACTTGTTTAAGTCCTTGTGTAACTAAAAGTCGCTGGTTAGAGATTGTTAGTGATATGGCTAAAAATTAGTCTCAGTGGCGCATTTCTTATGATTACCTCATTATCTTCCCAATAAATTACCTTTTATTGCATTTTCTTTGCATTTTTTCGGTCTGCTTTTATGTGTACCATTTATGAAGTGTGATCACTTTAGCTGCTGGGCTTTTGTGAAAACTTCTACACTGACAATTAAGTTAATTGTATTCAGCCTCAATCTAGGTGTCATTTGCAATAATTTTCTCTGAGAACTAAACAGTATATCCCCCTTTTCAGCATTCATAAAGGTTATTTATGATTGACTGAATAAATAATGAGTTATTGACTAGGATTCTTTTGAGTTTATTTCTGTTTATTGCATACATCTACGATGATTTCCTTCAGGGTCAGTAAGTCAGGCAACTGGCAGTTCGAGTTATGCAAGGGTCTGATGCTTCCTTCATGAGCTTCATCATTACAGCGTAATAAAACAATCAGATAAGCAGGTAATATTCCTCAAGTAGTCATTTTATTTACCTTCCCTTTCCTTTTCCTTTTTATTTCTTGTTTTTAGTTGAGAGATTTATATCGTTTAGCTGTTCAAGGCTTACATGGCTTATCAATTGAAGATTTAGATGAGATACGCTCATACCGTGAACCACCAGATGAGGTAAAAGATTGTGTCTACATCATTTGTATGCTGATGAATGAAGCAGAAAAGTGAGTTGTAGTTTATTTTCATTTGTATTTTTATCTTTTCTCATGACTTGTTTGCTAGAAATACAAAGATTGATAGAAATACTGAAGCATTTATTTGTATAAAGTTATATTTACTTTTAGACACATTCTAATCTCTCAACATTGATGGAATTATAATATAACAGCTGTTAGCTGTTATCTACTATCTTGAAGTGGTGGTTGAGCTTGCACACTGTAATAACCTAATGACCCATAATAGCTAAGGCAAATGTTTCTTCAGGTTCTACCCTACTGGTGTGTAGGAATGTAAAGGTAGAAAGGCAATTCTCTCAGGTAACCATCAGGTTGTACATGCTGTTTCCCTTTTCTAGAGTTAAAGACTTTACTCTAAAACTTTAAACCATAGCTTACGCGACGGTAATACAAAATAAGTCATTAGGTAGTCTTTACGGATGCAGGTCCAAAAGCTCTGCCCAGAGTTGTTGCTAAACTCTTTCGTTACCTTTCCTATTCCAGATACTTAAATGAGACATGAATTGCAACAGTGTGAGTAGCAGAGAGTTAGTTACCATCCATTCACTTTCTTGTGCACATTGATGTATTGTGTTCATTACCCACTTGCTTTATCTTCTTGCTTTCCTTCCACTTTTACTACTATCCCAAGATAGTTCTATAAAAACTTTCCTAACTTATTGACTACAGTGTGCGAATTGAAACATGAAAACATCACTGTCAGTGCAATAAAACTAAACGATCAACTTTATACTGGGACTTCTAACGGCCGTATGCCTAATCGGCTACAAAGCCATTTTCATTCGAAAGCTCAGTGGTATTTGTTCACTTAGTTGAAGAGTTCTGAACTACTCAAAACTCTTTTGTGACGAAAGAAACACTAATTATTTATGGGGATTTTGTAAAGTTTTCAACATTCAGAGACTTATGTTTATAAAGACTTCGAACCAGACAGATCAAAAAACAAGGATTTTAAGACATCGTCAAAATTTACTTTTTAGTCTCGTTAGACAACATTGAAGAGGTATGTTAGTTTGGTTAAAAGTGAAGTAGTACTTCTTAGACTCGGAATCTTTCATCTCTTCAGGATTATGACAATTTAGGTAGGAAGACCATGTATTGTGATTATGAAGGAAACTAAAGACATCTCAGAGGGTGAGTGTCTTCAGTCGACAATGTTCTGCAAATTTGTGGAGGCAAAACTGCCGCTTTGGATCACTTCAACGTTTGTTTATAAATTTAATTACCTCTTTGGAGTTTTTACTCTTTGCACAAAACATACAATTTCCAGACGCATCTCAGGACACTATCTGATGTATATATGTATTCAGGAAGACAAAGGTAATAAATTGCTAGCCCAGTCTTTAAGCATCTGATGAATTTAGGCCATGCAGCTCCGCCTAAAATATCCTTTGAAACTGTGCATAAAGTAATGTCAACAGGCTCACGAGGTGTGTGGTCTTGATACTCCGGACTATGTGTGGAGCGAAAATGTATCTGGTTTCTCATCCCAGCATTGTCTTAGACTTACTCCAATTTGCTTACTTCAATTTGTTGTAGGTAATTCACTATTACTACCCTCACGTGTCACTTTTGTGCATTCCACCAGTCAGGTTTTTATTGTCAAACTTATCAAGTGAACGCCCGAAAAATCCTACTTCTCATCTAATAACAGTTTCCATCTTATAAAATTTCAAAACCATATCCTTACTGTGTTATTCATAATTGCGTAATTACTCCCACCGTTAGAGACCATTTCTGGGAAACTGTATCAATTATGTCACTGATGCTTATTGCTCAATAAGAGACTAATATGAGTCTTTTTCACTCCTTTGTTTTCCGAGTGGAGTATGAGACTGTAAGAATGATGAATAGCGGTGATGCTTTTGTATTGTGGAATTGCTAGCCTCAGGCCTAAACCTACTTCTTTGTCAGACTCACCAGAGAATAGGCGAGGTCTAGCAGCTCATTTGACGGTAACTGAACGCGGACCACATCTGTGGTTGGCTGGCATTCTACCACTGAGCATTGTAGTTAATACAAATACAACTGTTCAGTTCTTCAAAAGTAATTTCTTTTCTGAATTGTACTTTATCTTATTCATGAGTCAGTGGATTTCATCATTATGTTTCTGATAACATACAGACGGAAACTTTTCATTACAACAAAGAAGGAAGGATCCATTGTCTCATAATATATCGCCTAATTAAAATGAAATACATAGAAGGTAAGACTGAAAATTAAAAAAAAACACATTTGAACTGTACATAAACAATAATTCTTCAGCTAATTCTTTTATTCTTTTCATTTTCTCATTAACAAATTAGCTGGGAGAATGCAAAACAAATGATGGTTCCAGTGAAATTTATCAGTAAAATTTTAAAACTTCATACTCAATTACTGGACAAACGAAAGCATAATGAATTAAGACAACGTTTAAATAATTCTGTAATTATGACACCAGAATATTTACTGCAAGTAAGCAATATATTTTTTTAATAGGACATAGAACTGGAAAAAAAATATCTATCTGTCTTACACTTCTTTCAGGGAATATTGTCTTGATTTTCAGAGATTTGTTTTGAAAGCTGTTCGATTTTAAAGTGATATCATTGGTGTGTACTGCTAAAAATGAAGTACCCGTGATGAGAATGTGACAAATATTCAGCGCTTCTTTGTCTACATTTGTCTTATCTGATACTAGTTTATGATGAAATTCATCTTGAAAGTACTATTTAGTGACTATCATTCTGAAGTTCATAATTATAATCTACTGAATAATTAAACGAAGGCGTTCTACAAACTGAAGAAACTACTTAATTGGTTATGGTTTACACTGGAATGATAGATGCACGTTTCACTCTGTTTAAGACTCAGTAATTGGATATAACTAAGGTCCTAGGGAGTGATCTTGTTTTCGATGAGACTCGAACTTAGCACATATCGTTTGAAAGGCTAAAACGTCATTCATTAGGTTGATGAGCTAAGAGGACTACCACGGATATCAGTTGTTATTTATTAGCATGTCAAGAGGGACAGAACATTTTGGTCCATTACAGTGAATCAACTGGAGATTCAAAGCGGTTGTAATAAATAACAACTAAAGGAGTTGTAATAAATTAATTAATTGGCGTCTTATGATATGCACACTGTGGTATCTGAGCAGAAGAATTCTTTTCTCGGCTACTTGGTATAAAATTCCTTATAGATCTTCTGGATTTCTTCACAGGGGTAAGTACTGGGTGATGGTTTGTATTATGAGGAGAAACCTGTTTGGCTTCTGAAGTTGTCTTCTTCAAGAACGGCATGGTTACTGGATACGGGTGAAAGAGATGGTTGCAGAAATTTATCCATGGGTGTCTTATTTCCATTGCTGCTGTTAATTGAAACCATGTACTATATTTTTTAATTATTTATTATTCCCTTGGGTTCCAAGTGGAATATAGGGCTTCATTGGCACATCTCCACTTTGTTCTGTTTTCTGCCATCCTCTTCAGCTGGATTCACGATTGCCCATTATCTCTCATATCTTCCATGTCATCCTTGCACCGACAACCCCCTCGTCACTTCCCATTTGGATTCCACTAGAGCGATGGTCTGCATTGCGCGCGATGTTATTTGACGGTCTCCTCAGTATGTGCCCAGTCCATCTCCATTTTCCCCTACATATTTGTTCAACGATAGGTTCTTGGTTAGTTCGTTCACATAGTTTCTTGTCGCTAATTCTTACTGACCATTAGATCTTCAATGAATAAGGAAGACAGCTGTTGATTTAAGTTTGCTGTAGCCTGTGGGGAATGCTTTTCGTGATGTACCAAGTTTCTGATCCATATAGAAGCAGTGGCTGGCTTAACAATGCTGCTGAAAATCTGAATCTTGTTCCTTATGATGAGCGTAGAAGATTTCCAAACTGGCTTCAGGTTGATGAAGGTGTATCTTGCCTTTCCAGTTCTAGCTTTGACACCTCTATTCGTTCCGCCTGTGGTTGAAACAATGCTTCCCAGATAAGTGAAGAAAGTAAACTCTTTCAAATTTCTCTCGTTAATTGTTGAGGTTTCTGTAGCAGTTTGATTGGTATTCTGGGCTAGGGTCGATAACCCCACGCCCAAGGCCCCGCTTTTCCAGGGCTTGAGACTAGCTAGAAAACTAGCGAGCTAGTAAATTAGGCGGGGTTAGTTGGAACCACGTAATAAATGATATGATTTATGTCGAATGTCTACCAATGAAGGTAAATCGACTAATAAGACAGTTGGTCTAAAGCCATCAGTATAAGTGTTAGGTGATCGAATTCAACTAGCGGGAAGCCCTGGACTTAGGTTTTGTGCCTGTTCATATTCGTCAATCTTGAAGGAGACGATGTCCTCTGTTGGATTCAAACCCACCTTACTGAATCAAAGTCCTTACCAGCAAGCCATTTGAGTCCACGGTTGACCTTCTAATTCATCGTAATGGATTCCCCGATAGGTCACTAAGAAGTTACTAATGCTGTGTGTTTAGTCCATGGTGTTGATGTAGTGAGAATATGTGTCACACATATCACAGTCTTCTTCCTCGATGAACGGTGTTACTGAATTTGAGACTGTAATGAAGTTAGTTGTGGTTAGGGAAAAATATATCACTAATCAATGAGGTTTATCGGCTATTGTTCCGAAATACATGGAAAAGTGTGGATTACCTGATATACTTTTTTATTCCTTCAAGTTCCCAGCGGAACATTGGGCTTCAAGCTAAAGGCTTGAAGTTTCGGTAGCAGTGATGTTTATTTTTACGGAATAGGGTTGCTAGTCTCATTTCCAACCTTCCCTTATTACCAGTCTTGTTACTGACTTAGCGAAGCAAATGAGTGCGTCGGCCGGGGATTGAACCTCGGATCACCTGCGTGGTCGGAGTGTATTCTACCGCTGTGTCACCGACGCACACCTGATATACTAAGAATCGATATTTACAGACTTTCGGTGAAACAGCCTAAAATCATTCACCATAAAGCATACGATTTTATTTAGCACCATATCCGAAATTTTGAACGAGTTCACTATTCCAAATAAGATCTAATTCTATTTGACACATTTTCATTATTTACACTATTGTTCTATCTCTGTTTCATTCTTTTCTGTGCACCGTTCTGACGGGTTGACGCTTGAAGTAGCGCAGTCTTGTAGAAGGTTCTGTATGAATACATTAATCAGATAGTTAAGGTTTGATAAAAAGCTAACATCGATCGGAGAGCCATTAGAAAACCATGGAGTACTGGCGTGCCGTTTCGTCCTAGTCCGGCACTTCTCATCGGTACCTACCGACCAGTGTATCCACCCAAGCTTGAGCATTCATCCACTGAGACCCAACCTAATGGCCCATGAAGCAGCGTTGTTTTATTCTTGTTCAAGACTCATTAGAATTATGAATAAGGGATACTGTTGGAAATAAAATCTAAATTCATTAACTTGTCATCTGACTGTCCTAAATTCAACTACTGATTTTCCGACTTCTGTTAAATCGCATTATACAAAAGAGGGCTGTTTGCGTTTGTAGATAAGTCCCTGTTGGTAAATCTGAACTGGTTAACTTCACTTGTTAGACTTATGCATTAGGACTTTGCGTTAAATCTTTTTGAAGATAGTCAATCCGAAACGTCTTTTATCATATCCTAGGAATGTAATGTTGAAAAGTGCAAAAAAATCTGAATTAATCAGCTGCCTACAATTTCTTACTTTGTTATGATTTTATAATTGTTCTCAGTTCATAATGAAAACAAACTAACTCTTCAGCTGATTGAATCCACTTTTCTTTGTTATTTACTACTTAATTTATTCATATAAGTAGGGTGGACATCTTTTTTTTACTCTTCTTATCCTCATAGATAAGTGTAGCAGCCTCCAGATTATGTCAGTGGTTAAGAGCATTGTGTGAATGTTGTAATGCTGGTGAACGTTTACAGAATCATGTCAATAATTATGCTTCAACAGAATCTCAAGTCAATCAAATTGAAACAGCACTTGCCAATCTGCATTTATCCTTACAAATGACTAAGCTAAACTTAGAAATGATAAATAATCATGTAATGGATTGTGAAAATCAAATTAAAAATATTTCAGAACAAATTGATGTGAGTTATTTTACTTGACCATAGTGACTTTGATGTTTTTTATTATCTTCTGGAGTTGTGCTAACGGCTATTCGCCTATTTAAGAATAACTCAGTGGGTTGAAATAGTACACTCTCTGGTCAGTCTTGAAGTACATTGTCAGCTTCAAAACAAGAAGTTAATCCATTGAATACCGAAGCGTAATAACTGTCGGCTTATCGAGTTTAATAGTGTCATACAGACACAGTGACCACTGCTAAAACAGATAAATGTTAACACCTCTGTCTGTAAGTTTGAATCAATTGTATTGAGCAGAATCGTTTGTTTTTTGGTTGCCGGCAAACGTCTACCTCAACTTCATAGACTTTGAGAAGGCCTTCGACAGCGTTGACCGCGAAGTAATTTGGAAACTACTCGAGTACTGCGGGGTACCCCAAATATTCATCAACCTTATTCAACAGCTGTACGACAACGGAAAACTCAGCGAGGCGCTTGGAGTAAACACAGGAGTCAGACAAGGGTGCTTATTATCACCAATGATATTCCTAATTGTGGTGGACTGGATTATGCGTCACACAGTGGGAAACGAGAAGACAGGGATATCTTGGACCGACGTGAAGAACCTAGGAGACCTGGATTTCGCGCGTGGATGATTTATGTTTGATGTCACACAAAATCGAAGACTTACAAGCGAAAACCGACAAACTGGTCAAAGAGGCTGGCAGCAAAGACACGACTCCAGGTGAACATAGACAAGACGGAGGTTATGAAAATAACCAACCAACCAACAACAACAGCAGCAACATCCAGCGCCAATCACCATCAACGGGAGGGATTTGAAAGAGGTTACTTCATTCACTTATCTAGAGAGCATTGTCTCAACTACAGGAGGAACGGACGAGGATGTCAAATCGAGAATCGGAAAGGCGAGAAACACATTCATCAACCTGAAACCAATCTGGAAATCTTCCGCTGTCACTCAGCCTGCATCAACAACAAAATTCGGATTTTCATAACAAACGTCAAGTCAGTCAGTTTTGCTATACGGATCAGAAACTTGGCCAGTGTGTCACAAAGAATATTTCCAACAGCCTGTTGCAGACCTTTATCAACAGCTGTCTTCGTTCTATGCTCAAGATCAGATGGCCGGAAAGAATCACCAACAAGAAACTATGGGAACAAACAAAACAAGAACCAATCGCTCAACAAATATGCAGGAGAAGGTGGAGATGGATTGGACACTCACTGGCTGAGGAGGCCGCTGGGTGACATCACGCGTCAGGTCAGTGCTCGAGTGGAACCCGAAAGGGAAGGGCGGCGAGTGGGACGTCTAAGGGTGACATGGAGGAGATGGTGTGAAGAGGAGTTGAAACAGTATGGACTAACATGGATGTAGGTGAAAAGTGCAGCAGAAGACAGAAGGAAGTGGAGACGTGTAGTTGAAGCCCTATGTTCCACTAGGAACCCAAAGGAACAATAATAATAATAAAAATAAAATACATAAGTTATAGGACATAACAGAGAATTTATGAGTTTATAGGCTCGTCAGCGGGCCATGGTTGCAATAATGGTCGAACCTGCTTCGTTTGCACACTCAGCTCCGGTTAGTTTAGGTGAATGGCAATGACCTTTGCTATTAGGATGAAAACATTTTCCTATGAAATCTCCTGTCAGTTATTTCCCACAAAAGAACATTATACTCATTGCTACTAATGACTTCGCTTACTCAGATTTAGTTTGTTTAATTTTATAAATCAGGTAATAGAGTGATGATGCAACACATTTTGATCCAACTGCTTTAAGGTGAATTTGTTAAAGATTAGAATGACAGAAAACCTGTATTTACAAAAAATGACAAGCTGAATGGCTCTACATCAAGATGACATCTATATATATATAGTTTTATATCAAAATTATACCAGTCATGTGGATATGTTTTTTGATTCCTTTACGTTCCCAGTAGAATAAAAGGCTTCACGCTAAAGGCTTGAAGTTTCGCTAACAGTGGTGTTTATTTCTGTGGGGTGGGGTTGCTAGCCTCATGCTCAACCTTCCCTTATTACCAGTCTTATTACTGGCTGAGCGTGGTAAAGGAGTGCATCGCTGACCGGGGATCAAACTCCGGATCACATGCGTGGTCGGAGTATATTCTACCGCTGTGCCACCTACGTACATTGGGTTATGTTAATCAGTAAGAATTATCAGTTTAGAAGGGATGAAAATAACTAAATGAAAGTCATCAAGATAGCTGGTTAGTAGAATTTCGCTACATATTCTAAGTCACCAAGAAAAAAAATTTTCAACGCGTAAGAAGAGTGAAAATAATTACTTAATTCAAGGTCAATTAATTTGTAGAGATTAGACACAAGTTATTACACCATCGTTAATTTGTAAAATAATGATGATTAAGAATAAGTTGGTGTGATACAGACAATGTGTTCCAACGGAAAATTATTCTCACTTATTCCCACAGTTCAGTACTGCGTTAGCAACAGAATACTCTATATGTATTTGAACATTCTATTTCCTGTAGTTAAGTAAAATCACACGCTCATTGACTGGTTAAACAGTATAAACTGTATGCATATGTAAATAGCTCTCTGATAAATTAAAAATAAAAGTTTGTTTCCATGTCTTGCCTTCTGCTGTTACAAGAAGACTCGATGTATAAATTAAACATGACCCAAAGATAACCATTCAGTTCTTATTCTAGTCATTATCCAACAAATGCTCAGACATTATCGGAGTAGGTGTACTTGGGTCCGATGTGTCAACACAGATTTAACATTTTAGTTCAAAGATGATTAATCAACGAGAAGTACAAAATTCACCTAAACAAGTTAACAACAAGTCATTAAGTAATCGGTAATTTGTAAAATAATGATGACTGGGGAGAATAGATAAATGAATGAACTCTTAACATATTATGCGGATAGCCACTGCAAAGAAAAGGACAGCACAACATTTTTTTGAACACACAAATTTATCTTATGTAAATGAATTCCTATTTCCTCTGTTGTATGTAGAAGTCATACTTGTAGAATATGCTCGATGTTGGGTGAAAGATGATAGAAAAATGTTAGAATAAATCTATTTTGTCACCAATACACTTAGGAATAGATAGAAGTAGACAAAATGAAGCTATTATTATATCTGACATCATTACATATGACAAAAAGGTTGCTAGACAGTTAGTTGACTAAGTAAGATAATTAAACACTTGCTGATCGATAAGTGGATGGCGTTCTTGATTCATTTCAAGCTTGAATACTGTTTTCATTTAGGTAGACTGTTCACTTAATTTATACAGAGAACAGTGGTGAATTGTCAATTTTTGGACAATATTATAATTACAGTTTACTGTTTATAGTGAATATGGAAATCTAAATTCAAACATTAATTGCACAAATCATCCAATGGCCAAGAATTTTCCCCAAAATACCACAGGATTTCTCATTTAAAAGACATAAGGTACACAAATAACATATGTACCGAAAATAGTCGAATCTATCGATGCCAGTATACTGAAGGGCATATTTACTTTTTATTAAGCACCAAACATGCGTCAGTGGTTCAGTGGCAGAATGCTAGTCACCCACATATGTGGTCCAAGTTCGATTCCCCACTGATGTACTCCTAAACCTCGCCTAGTCAGCTAACCGGCAGTAAGCCTGAGAAAAAAGGGAGAATGGGCTAGCAACCCTATCTTTTGAAAATAACAACACCATCACTAATGGAAATTTAAAGCTTATAACCTAAAGGAATGTAACAAAAATGAATTCTACTCAGCTTATCAACTTAACTCTGATTTATTTTCAAGTGAATTCTACTCAGCTTATTAACCTAACTCTCATTCATTTTCAAGTGAATTCTACTCAGGTTATTAACTTGACTCTGATTCATTTTTCATTGAACCCTAGCAATTAGATTACGTCACCCAACCTACTTTTGTAACTTTATTTTAGTTTCTAACCGATTAACGCCTTCTAAATTACGCAATTTGTTGTCAAAAATTAACAATTGCACTAACACATCTTTGGAAATATTCCTTTTGTTGCCAAGAAAAAATTACTATAAATTTACGGTTTGTACAGCTTGAGAATGATATCGCCGAAAAGAGTAACTCTTTGCTGAACGCCTTTTCTTTTCTATGACCGAATGGGAATTTTCAAATTACAAAAATGAATAAGTAATTGAAATTTCAGTTCAGTGTACATTTTGCTTGGAAAATAGTCGGTAACTAGTGTATTGTGTGTCTGGTCCTTTTTTGGTGCAGACTGAATTCTATTAGTCAAGTATGCAGTGTGGTCACCATTCTAGGTAGCTCGCCAATACGTGAACTTTGAACTGTTGGGCATTAAATGGTTGAAGGCAATCGGTGGGAAGCCTTTTACCTGCGTTTCGTGCTGGTTGACACTCACCAGTCAGCAAGGCGTATCTGCAACCTCGAAGGAACTTATTTCCTTTCTGAGATTCGAACCCGCGTCACCCATTGTTGCAGTCAGAGACGTTACCACTGAGCTATTCAGGCCACATTACAAACTTGACTGACAGAATTCAGTCTGCACCAAAATAGGACTAGACATACACATTACACTAGTTACTGACCAGTATCCAGTCCAAAATATCAAATACAGTCCTACGAAAGTTCGATTGCGAGGCTAAATAGCTCAGTGGTAACGTCTCCGACTGTAGCAATGGGTGACGTGGTTTCGGAATCAGGGAAATGAGTTCCTTCAAGAATTCGGACATGCCTTGCTGACCGGTGAGTACCAACTAGCACAAAATCTAAGTCGAAGACTTCTTGCCGATTGCCTCCAACAATCTAATATCAATTTAGTTTTATTGGATAATTATTTCTAATACAATGAAATGTGAATGAAGACACACGGAAAAATAACTGATTATTCTTAAACTATCTATTCTATTTTGATCCTAAATGTTCACTGACTGCAATGAAATTTCATTGTTCGAAAGTTAATGACTAAAACAAAGCGCCAGCCAAATGACAGAAAGAGTATAAAAGGTTGTAGACAATAGATGAGAAATGAAATACGCAAGATAGTTTTAGTGAGTTTGCGGAAATATTTCCTTCTCTCTTAAAAAGGTACAGGATTTCAATTACGGAATCCCACCAGCTTTTATAGATAGTTTCATTTAAATGACTTGTTTTTGAGATTTATTTATTCATCCAAATTCTGTTGTTTAAATATAATGAGAGTCTCTAAATTCTTTTTTACTCATGTAAAGGGATTTGGGACTGCTTGGCCATTCGTTATCCGTGAGAGGCTGGTAAACAAAAGCCCATGAAATTCATGCCACAAATGACATTCATGGATTAATTAATAAATCGAATAGAGTGGTTGATTGTAATTAGCCATTTTTGAAATCACTAATTTGCTTGTTTAATTTATTTGGGTGCTCTTCACTTTTAATTAATTCATAGCTATACTCTATTTATATCTTGTTTCATATAGGCATTGGAATATACAATCTCTGAGGCTAAATCTCTTTTATCAACTATGCAGTCTAATCTAAACGAATTAATGAACAATGATGATGATCACATGTCAGTCGATGATTGGAAATCAATGAAATTCTGGCTTAATGTACTCGGTGCCCTAGGCGCAGTATATGTTCAAATATTTCCAGCCAAGCATAGGTAATTGTACTTATTTTTTTTAATGATATACATATATCCTAAAATGTTTAGAATACAAAGTGACGTCGAATAACTGTTATTAGTCCTGTATAATTTCCTTTTAGGAAACACCTATGAGCTATAACTGCATTCTAGAAGACAGGGTTGTTCATTTTATGAGTTCATTCTCCTATGTGAATATGAATAAAGTAAAAACAGTGGCTTGTACAGAATAGGTTGGTACCATCATTTATTTCTCCGAATTGTTATCATTTGCGTCTAACCTTAAAAAAAACATGTTTAATTAAAGCTTGTTATACTGTCAACTGGAATTTTTGAGGAGTGTATATTTAACATCATTGTGGACGATTTGTGTTGGCAAAAGCACTTTGGAGGATGAAAAAAGGACTTATATTAAAAACTTTAATAAAAAACTACCTACAACATGAGTACTACAGTAAATGAATCTATAATCTAGAGTGGCGCGTTTACAACATTAGGCTAAGTAAATTTTCATCCACAAAAATGCATCTACTTTTCTGCATTTACAGTTATGTCCTTCTCTCGAAACATGTATTATTATATGTATTATTCTCTTCGACTTCCACTGGAATTCAATGCTTAATCAGTACATTTATATTTCGTCTTTTTTTCTGCAGTCTTTATTAACCGGCTTCAGGAGTGTCCGTATCTTTCATTTCCTCCTCATATGATCTCTACCACATTACCTTCGGACGCCTGCCCAACTCGTCGTTTCCCATCCGAGTTTCACTTGTCTGTCTTCCGTTTGATTTCACTCAGTGGCCTCGACAGAGTATGTCAAGTCTATCTCCCTTTTCCTATTGCATACTTGTTGGGCAGTGGGTTGTCACTGAGTTCTTTACTGGAATTCCTTTTTGTTTGCATATCTTCTCTAGCTAATCATTTGATTTTCGGTATCGAAGGCATTTGTTGATGAATATCTTCAGCGGCTTACTGAAAATCCTTTTCGTGACGTGTGCACCATATCTCTGAATCATACAGAAGCACTCACTTTATACTGTTGTTGAAAATTTAGATCTTGTTCCTTATGCTGAGTGTAGCAGATTGCTACTAAGAGCATGTACTCAAACACATTTCTGAGTGCTTTTAATCTTCTCAAGGAAATGATGAACGAATATCATAGGGTATCTAATATAGATTCAGAAAGAGCAACTCTGAGTTATATGAAGTACTATCGACTCATTTTCTACTTGAGGGACACATATGAAGAGTAAATATTTTGGAATGAAATATGCTAAAGTTACTTTGCTGTGAATAAACATATCGTCTAGATTAAAGATGTCATTATTACTATTCTTTTACAATTATTGAACTGTCATTTAGTAAGTTTTTCTTCCTTGATTCTTACAGGTCGACTTTATGGAATCATTTTAAACAACTTGTTCTAAACAGAATGAAGGTAAATTTGATAAGGTCTTGATAGCATTTGTTTTTATAAACGTAATAAACTCATTTGGAACCGTATATACTACTAAATTGAGTGAGTATTTAAAATATTACTTACAGGCCATATGATAGATATCGTTATAGCACAGTAGATTCAATCCGAAGCATTTTAAAGTACACATAAACAAGCATTTCCACAGGCAAGCAGACACGCAATAGACATACAGGTGGACTAATAAATGCTACACTAAGCCAACAAATGAGGAATGAAAACTCAGAGTGAATAATCTAGACATGTCAGTACAACTATGGATATTCAAATGGATTTAGTTTGGTGGATTTCATCGTAATTTTTCATTATCACAAATGGCTAGCGAATTAATATTTAGATGCAGTGCTTGTGGGGATTTCATTGATCCTACTGGATATTAGTAATAATATGTAGCCAACTAACAGAAGTCAGAGTTTATGGTATTACATTTCCTCTCAATGGCTGAATGCTAATAACTTTCCTTTCTGATATGAAGGTTTTACGTTTCACCTTCATTCATCGATGACCACTGGGATAGCTGTGATATTTTGTGATTTTGTTTGAGTCACAGCATTGGATTGGGTAACTGCTTTTTTGGTGTGGTTGTGTTCTCTGAGCTGGATGGTTTGGTTGCGAAGCTTTCATTGCTCTACTGAGCAACATCTTCAGCGCATACTTCGATGTGAAGTGAGCTTTTAGAATTCTCTATGAGTTTATTAGTCATCTCTTCTAGTAACCTTGAACGTGATTGGTTGTTTTCGTGTGACATTTCATCCCCTAGTTTGCTTGTCTCGGTGCTGGCTGCTTCTTTGGTCTGAATGTCGTTAGTCATTCCTTCTGCTAACCTTGGACGTGATTGGTTGTTTTTGTGTGACTTCTCACTTTCTAGTTCACTTGTTTTGGTGTTGACTGTTTCCTTGACCTGAAGTTTGACTTTGTTTTTGTGTGAATTTCTTCGTATGGATTGGTATATTTTTGTAAGCCAAAGGACTCAACGGCAAAAGAAGACAAAACTAACGTCATCTACAAGATAAATTGCAACGACTGCGACAAACATTACATTGGTCAAAGTGGACGCCCTCTTCGTCTTCGCATTCACGAACACAAACTAGCTGTCAAAAGACACGACATACACTCCCTCATATCACTACATGCAGACAACCACGGGCACCAATTCGACTGGGACAATGTTCAAATCTTAGACAAAGGGAACTGCAAAAATGCCAGAGAATTCCTAGAGGCCTGGTATTCAAATGAATCAGCAATCAATAGACACATAGAGATTGACAAAATATACCAATCCATACGAAGAAATTCACACAAAAACAAAGTCAAACTTCAGGTCAAGGAAACAGTCAACACCAAAACAAGTGAACTAGAAAGTGAGAAGTCACACAAAAACAACCAATCACGTCCAAGGTTAGCAGAAGGAATGACTAACGACATTCAGACCAAAGAAGCAGCCAGCACCGAGACAAGCAAACTAGGGGATGAAATGTCACACGAAAACAACCAATCACGTTCAAGGTTACTAGAAGAGATGACTAATAAACTCATAGAGAATTCTAAAAGCTCACTTCACATCGAAGTATGCGCTGAAGATGTTGCTCAGTAGAGCAATGAAAGCTTCGCAACCAAACCATCCAGCTCAGAGAACACAACCACACCAAAATCATCCACCTGAGCTACAAATCTTCTCTATTATATCTAACTGCTTTTTGTCTAACCGCTATCCAAACAACCTTCCTGGCATGGTAGGACCTCAAGCGACATAAGTCTCAGCCAGTATAGCTTGTTGGGTCATTGCGGTGTTCAAGCCCGACCACCATGTCGCTAACTTACACCATCTCTGGCATTGGAGTGACATCCGGTTGTCAACCAAGGTACGTGTGTACTGCTCAGCAGTTCGCTCCATCCTTCTCTATGGCGGTGAGACGTGGCCATTGAGAGCGGAAGACATGAAGAGATTGTCTGTTTTTTGACCACAGATGTTTACGATCTCTTTCTCGCGTTAGGTGGTATAATAAGGTAAGTAATGTTGACGTTAGGCGTAGAGTGTTGGGCAAAGAGGGAAAATCAATCGAAGAGGCTATAAAGTTACATAGATTGAGATGGTTAGGTCACGTGCTGCGCATGCCTAACCATCGCCTCCCCCGACGGATGGGCATTACTAGTTGATATAGGTGCAGGTTGGAGAAGAGTAAGAGGTGGCCAAACAAAAACATGGCATCAATCCATGAAATCCCTGACAGTTAGACTGAGTCAGGTAGGGAGATGCAGACTTCCGGCTTGGGGCCCTCGGGACTCTAAGAATCAATGGCTGGAGACAATAGGTGACATGGCTCAAAATCGTTGTCAATGGTTCACGCAGATGTATCCAGTCTCTGTAATCTTTCATATTCCTTTCTACCATTACTCATTATGTTTCACTCTTATACTTGTCAAAATTCTATTGATTCTCTTCACTCATCTTCTTCTCTACCTTTGTATGCTATTTGGAACGTGGTAACTCGAAGTGCTGCACTTCGGTGCCAAGTTCTATGTTTAATCCAGACAGAGACAGACAGACTGGGACAGCTGACAAGTGTTGCAATATTTATTTACTGAACACGATTTACTTTTCATTTATTGCTGAAATGGTGAACTATATTCCCAAGGGTTGCGGCCATGGGAAACTATGGTGGAGGACCGTAGCGATTCTGACGTGCAAATAGGTTGTATAACGTGAAGCTAGGGATGAAAGAAGAATCAAGCTATCTAGTAGCTTCAGTCAGAATAGCCAACATTCTGAGAGACAAATAGTTGTATCTGACACAGCAGATGCTTAGAAGCATTGAAGGGGAAATATGCTCAACATATCCACATACTGTAAATGCCGAATTTCAAAATGTTCTGGTTATCAGTCAGAGTTAACAGAATGAAGGTGATGTTTAATTGTCAGAGTTTCATATTAGTTGAGTGCCGTAATCTCTTGATTACTACTGTGAAATGGCTATGTATTTTTCCTTCAGAATTAAACAAGTGGTTATATAATATGTAATTTTGGAGAAAAAGGAATTATTACGAAATAATGCAGTGTTCAAGCTGATTACGTAATAAACAGTTAAACACGAAGTAGGCTGATTACTATGGAAGTGAGAACATTAATAACTTGTCAGTGGGATAGGCAGAAATTGTCAGTTTTCCTACACTCATGTAATAATGACGAAGATAAGTGAAATGATTGCACAAATTTCTTCTAGACAAACGGGTTAGACTTCTTCAGGTGTGTTTCAAAGGTTTCAGCTATAAGTAGAAGATGAATTCGCAAGAAACATTAAGCTTAGTACGAATATCAACATTATGCTCACTATCTACTAGGGGGGCTAAAACAAATTCATGAATAGAACTTTTTTGTCCCCTGCTTAACCATCCAGGATGATGTTCATAAATTCGATTATGAACTTGCCTAACTGTACACTCAAGGTAACTGGCTTCACAGGAGAAGTCAGACTGGTAGATACATACAAAGGAGGCAAAATTACGCAGTTTATTCCCATATCTCAAACATAAAACTGAATTGGTTGTGAGTAGACAGTGTACACCTGCTGCATGAAGAACTGTTTTTAATGCATTCTTTAGTCGTTTTGTCATTGTTTCAGGAATGTTATCATCAATTTATTGTTGTTCTGCTAGTTACCTTATTATTGTGCCTATTTCATCTTTAATTTTATATCACGCGGCCAATCTGAACACCTCTCTATCTCAACTTCATCGACTTTGAAAAGGCATTCGACAGCGTCGATCGAGAGGTGATTTGGAAACTACTTCGCTACTACGGGGTGCCACCGACAATTATACATCTCATCCAACAGCTGTACGACAATGCTGTATGCCAAGTAATCCACAACAAAAAACTTACGGAATCCTTCGAAGTGAGGACAGGAGTAAGACAAGATGGCTGCCTACTATCGCCAATGATTTTCCTGATTGCAGTAGATTGGATAATGCGACAAACAGCGGGCAATGAGGAAACAGGCATAAAATGGACTCACACAAAAAACTTGCAGGATCCGGACTTCACCGACGATATAGGTCTGATTTCCCACAAACTCGAAGATATGTAAGCGAAAAGCAACAAGTTGGCACAAGAAACATCAAACATAGGACTTCAGGTGAACATAGAGAAAACAGAGGTGATAAAGATTCCTGGGCAACACCACCAACAGCAACAACAACAACAGACAACAATCAGCATAAATGGGAGGAACCTGAATGAAACAACCTCTTTTACCCATCTAGCTGGGAAGCATCGTTTCAACTACAGGCGAACGGAACTGACGAGGATATCAATGCAGCGAGTATCGGAAAAGCAAGGCAAGCTTTCACTACTCTCAAGTCTGTGTGGAGGTCAACAACACTCAGCATCAAAAATAACATCCGGATTTTCAACTCCAATGTGAAGTCAGTCAGTGCTACTCACTATACGGATCACAGACTTGCACTGCGCGTCATAAAGAGCATCTCGAACAAACTACAGACCTTCATCAACAGCTGTCTTCGCTCAATACCAATGAAGATCAGATGGCCAGCCAGCCAGAAAAGATCAGCAACAGAGATCTCTGGCAATGAGCGAACCAACACAGCAGGAACCGATTGTGAAAGAAATAGGCAGGAAGAAATGAAGATGGATTGGCTGGCCATACTCTGAGGAAACTATCAAGTGACATCACTAGACAAGCCATCGCTCGAGTGGAACCCGAAAGGGAAGCGGCGAGTTGGTCGTCAGTGCAAGGGTGAGGATGACTTGGAGGAGGTCATGTGAAGAGGAGATGGAAACGTGTGGGCAGACATGGAGCCATGTGAAGACTCTAGCAGAGAACCGAACGCAATGGAGATGCACGGCTGAAGCCCTATGTTCTTCTAGAAATTAAAGGATATAATAATAATTACCTCTCATTTAGTGCTCTTATTTAAACAAAATTATCCATTACACAATAACTTGTTTTGTTAAATATATGTTAAGAATCACTTATTTATTCTTTTCTAATTTTGACGGAAATCAAGTGTCAGTTAGATTGAAGAAAGGCATCTTAGTATTCAGATATCATTATAGGCGTAGTACTACTACTTTCTGAACGGGTGTAAGAAACACTCATCGATGATAGTGACTGGGGTTTGCGTTATGTACCCCTAACTGGCGGAAGCTAGAACTAGCAGCCCATTGGATTCCGTCTCAGGGGTTGAATAGTCAATGACCTCATTCTATAACCTAAGGGTCCTCGCTTTGATCTCAGGTGGGAACATGGACATTTACTGCTAATGAATCCCAAATTAGCATGAAAACGATTGTCCAGTACTCCCTGATGGCTTTCAGTGCTTCTCTAAATGATTACAGTGCAAGATCGAGCATGAAATCAAGCTGTAGTTAGTTTTCGTCCTTGTGTACCTTCAATAGGAATAAAAAACACAGAAGAACTAACGAAATCCTGGATTTAACTGCATTCAGTTTTCACCAAAGCTTGTGTCAGGTAGAACAAAGAAGAGAGGCTATTTGACTGGTCCAGACCACTGGCATGTGTGTGTATGTTCTAGATTTTATGAGGGTTCATCCTCAGTATCAAATAAATAAAGTCCAAAAACTCAATATGGAAGAAACATATCATAAGTTTTCAATACAGAAGTAATGTCAGCTTTTAATGAATTAAATGTTACAGCTAAGATTATCTTCATTACACTTTGTCATCCTACAAAAACTTTTTGATGGAAAAAGTAATAATTTAAGTTGCTCTCGAATTGGCGAATTCCTAAATTTCAAGCTACACCAGTTATTTATAGGACTATCCGAGAGATCCTTGAATTAGAAAACTCATATCATTGTAGCTCATGCTAATTTGAGAAGCGTGATCTCTCAGCTCAGTCGACTTAATTAAGCACCACTGGTTCGAACAGCACTGTAATGCATGTCTTCACTTCACCTTAATTCATCACTTATTACACAGTATTTAATTACATAGGTAAAACACTAAAACCTTTATCATACATTTTATTTTTCACACAGGAATATTTAAGCCAATTGGGAAAAATTTCAGTCTACAAGGAAAATTCAATTCAAAATGCACAATTATTTAAAATTCTTCAAACAAGACCATATGAATTATTGAAATGGTTGTCAAGTAATCGGTTTCCGTTGGAAGTAACCTTATTATATGATAATCATCAAGTTGGATATATACTTGAAGCAATTCTAGCAATACGTACAATAATTTCTTCTAATATGTCGTATAATATTGAACATCGAAATAGTTTTAATTCATCACTGCCGTTATTTATATTCATCTTCGATCCAGATATCATTGGAATGGATATGATCAGTTTACTCTTATCCAGGTGAATAAATGATGATAACGATAAAGTTAATTTTGCATGGGTTATTTTTAAAGCCATAATTAATTAAAAATAACTATTTCACAGTTACTCAGGGATTGACTTGCTACCAGGGAATAATCTCGTCGACTTAGAATATGCAAACGATATAGTCCTTCTAGGCGAGGACGCTGACAAAATGCAGAGTCCACTGAACACCTTGAGCTGCCATCTAAGAATGTTTGACATGCGATTCGCTCCCGCCAAATGCAAGATGATGTTACAGGATTGGACTTCACCGACTCCTAGATAAGAAATAGGAAGTGAAGTGGTAGAGCACGTTGACCGCTTCACTTACTTGAGGAGTACCATCAACCCCAACGGGTTGATCTCCGACGAAATCTCAGCACGAATACAGAGGGCTAGTTTCGCAGATGCCAGTTTACGCCGTCGCTGGCGTAGAAGTGACATCCGGCTGTCTATCAAAGGGCGTGTGTACTGCTCAACAGTCCACTCCGTCCTCCTTTATGGCTGTGAGACCTGACCATTGAGAGTAGAAGACATGAACGGATTAGCTGTCTTTGATCATAGGTGTCTGTGTTCTATCTCCTGCGTGAAGTGGTATAATAAGGTGAGCAATATTGAGGCTGGGCGTCGAGTGCTAGGTAAGGCGGGGAAATCAATCGACGAGACTGTGAAATTACATCGACTGAGATGGTTAGGACATATGTTACGTATGCCTAGTCATCGCCTTCCTCGACAACGGGCAATGTTAGCTGATATAGGGTCAGGCTGGAAAAGAGCTAGCGGCGGTCTAGCGAAAACATGGCATCAGTCAATGAAATCCACAACAGTTAGTCTAAGCCACGTAGGAAGGTATAGACTTCCTGGTCGGGGACCTCGGGACGGTAAAATCCAATGGTTGGAAACAATTGGTGACATGGCTCAAAATCGTTCTCTGTGGCGCAGATGCATCCACTCCTTGTGACTTATGATTTCCAATTAAACTGTTTTGTTCTTCGTTATTACCATTCCTTTGTCTCACACCTCTGTTTACTGTCTATATTATGCATTTCTGCTACTTTCTTCTCTTGCTTTGTGTGCTACAGAGAGGGAGTGTGGCGACTTGAACTGCCACACATATGTGCAAAGTTCTACGTCGAAAACAGACAGACATTCCTCAGTGAAGTGCGTCGTGTGGTCGTCGACCACGCCCCACGTGGTCTGGGGTTCGATCCCCGGTGGACACATTCCTTTACCTCGCTTAACCAGTTAGTAAGACTAGTAAAGAAGGAAGGTTGGGTGTGAGGTTAGCAACCCTATCCCGTAAAAATAAACACCACTGCCACTGAAACTTCAAAAAGGTCTAGCTTGAAGCCTTTTATTCCACCGAGAACGTAAAGGAATAGAAAATTTAAAAAATTCCACAGTGAAACGTATACTGCCTATCGCAGTTTCAATCTGACAATAGGTGCTAGAACACAATTGAGTTGTTAAGCAATAACTTCCTAGTGTAAAAACAGTGATGAGAAGTAGCCTAATGACTGATCAACCTTTGTACTGAGTTTATTTACTATCTGACCTAAAATGGTTAGACTGTGACGTACTTCTGATGATCTAAGTTCTCCAACTATTTTAATTCAGCTATTGTGATTTCGCAATCATAAATTATTTCAATGCAGATTTCATCATGAACTGATAATAACCAGAAATTCTTGAAAACTAGTGAGCAACGGTTGATTGTTGTAGAACAGTTCGAAACTCTTCAAAATTTCCCTGCCGGAAATGAATCAGTGTCTGAACTTGAAGTCTTCGCGTTACAAAATGAGCACCACTATGTTAAATTCCAGTGGGCTATGGATCAAATCTTTTACCAATTCGCATTTCAGCATGACGACTAGCTAATGCCATTAGTGACAGTCTTGCCTGACCTGTATTGACTTTTGTTTCCAACTGTTAGGCTTAACCGTATATAGAAGAATCCGTTATCCAGCCAGCTATTTAAACTATTATGGCTGTCTTTATTGTTCTCAGTGTTTTGATTAAATCCAATGGGTTTTTTCTAATCACACATTTTCTCATACCTTTCGATAGTGATCTTATGATCTCATTTACTTGTTTTGTGTACGTCAGTTTAGTAATCAGTGACACAGATTATTCCCAATTATCAAGTAAACAGGTGACGCGTATTTCTCTCCTCGACATTATTACAATAGATCCTGAGCTAGATGTTGTCGCATCGATTTCAGGCATAATTATTTAGAAATAGAGAAGTAGGCCGTTGATTGATTGTGAGATTCCGTGAGGTAGTCTAAAATGGAATGGTGATTTATCGCGAGATGAAAGCCTGGTTCCCTGGGGGATTTAAACTGGATCATCAGTTTATATTCCATCATCATCCACAATGTCAATATTAGTCCCATCAGTAATACAAGTTAGTTGATTAGATCACGCTGTAATAATTTCATACACAAATTTTCACTTTATGCAACTGAAAATAAGCAATAAGAACAATCGAAGTTAGGAAAAGACGAATACATTCTGCTCAATCAGAATACTGTCAACTTGGAATAACAGAGTTAATTATTGTATTTCGAAATTTAACTTACTAAACTTCATTGAAAGAAGCAAAATCTCATTTATTAGTGAAGATGAACAGAAACATGTTATAGCATAATGATAAATCATAATTAAGCTGATGGGAATTTGATGAAATCTTATGAATAGTGGAAATCATATGGAGATTTTAAGTAGGGTTTATAGAAAGAGATGGGTTAGCCTTGATATAACCACAGATGTGACCTAGCAGACTGTGAGCAATACAAACCTGACGCAGGAAGGAAACGGTTTCAGTCTTTAATTACAGAGTCAGCCAACACAACAATAAAATCGCTAGCATGAGGAGACAAAACTGGAAAGACAGAATTTACACAGAGAGCTTTTAATGTCTCAGAAAAGCCCAGTCGAAACAGTTACAACAGTCTAGAGTTATATTAAGGTTATGGGCTAATATCAGGCGACAGTTAGTCCAAATTAGAGGTATATATGAGTGATTTAACTACATATACAGAATATGGTGAGTTACACCTAAATTAGATCAATCCTTCTGTAAAAATCGAGGTTTCAACAGATGATGATTTGACTTATTACGAAAGTGAAATATACATTTATACACAAATGTCTGACATTCAAGAATTAGAAAAACATCTTCACATACTCCTCTTTATTTCCAGTTCATTTGGATAAAAAGATTGACTATGGGAAGGCCCTCTTAGTCGAATTATTTACAGACATATCCCCAGCTAATTTAGAGAATATCAAAATAAACAATGCAATAAAAATGGCAAAAATATGCACAAGTTTTCATCCTGTTGTGTTTTTAGAAAATTAAGAAGTCATGAAGTGAGAGGGATTAGTTTTGTCCCACACTGTTTGTCTTGGATACTTCAAAAATATTTCTTTAAATGCAAAGAAGTTCAGTGCATCAAAATATGCACTCTTACTATTTTATATGCTACTGTATTTATCGCGTTAATCTACGTTTCAGATCAACATGAGTTTCCTGTTTGTCTACCTATCCACCTCATTATGGTTAGTCTGGAACATGGAAGTTTTGAAGAGAGTAAATTCTACATATGTATGTGCAAATATAGTATACCCTGCTGCATTAGCTGCGTGTACTTTAAGAGTTTAGCAGTTGCTTATAAGAACATCAAGAATACCTGTGTCAGTGGTTAGCAGTTAATTTAATCTATATAATTTCCATATATTCTTATCTTTGTTTTTAGGAAACAAAACCAAGTGATTTCAAATCTCCGTATAGACTCTGATGACTTTATCAAGCATTTTAACAATGCCATTACAAAAAGTAAGCTCCAATCTTAAAATCACTTAACTTTATCAAAATTATGTTAGTTTTATGTGTCAGCTGGTAGTGATTTGATTAATTCCAAGTCAGATATGGTCATAAATCCATATGAGTTAGAGAACCACTATGAACACTAATGAGTACTGGGCAAATGTTTCGTCCTCATTTAAGACTCCTTGTCACATAGTTAATGAAAACTTCCTAGAAAATTATTTCATTTCAGTCATTTAAATTCTTGAAGATAAATGGTGTGACTTTTGGTTGGTTTCATAAGGTAAATACTGATTTTGAAAACAAGTCAACTTTTGATATTCTGTTGGAATAAAACGGTCATATATTCCAGTGATGTTTGGAATGGATAGTCATCTTTATTGATTTCGTTAGAAATATGTTTAGTAACATTTATATTGGCATCCAGACAACTTAACGGCCAATACAAATACATCCAGATCTTAAAATCCTGAGAGGAGACTCATTTCAGAGGATTGATTATCAAGCCGCTCAATCGTATACGTAAATGATTTTTAAGAAACTATACCTACCCATTTGTGAATACTTATAATAGTAATAGTCCAGTATCAAGCGATGAAACAAGTTATGTAATGTATTAACTAGTTCATAGAGTAGACGGCCTGTTTAAATCACTCGGTTACCGAAGTTACTTACCACCAAAATGCTTAATTTCATCTGGATTTATCATTGTTTTAATCGTCCAGTTATATCGTATGACCCATACATGAAATTGAGCATTGATTTACCTTGCTTCCAAGTAAACGCTGTGCGATTCTTCAACGAAATGTAGGTAGACTTCAAATTATTACTTTATATGTAAATCCTGTATGAGGAAAAAACGTATTTTGGAACTAAATACTCCGTCTGAAATAAAGCTTATTATTATTATTATGCATGTACAGATTTTGGTAAGGAGTGTAGGATTAATATGACCACTAGGCGAAATACACTTTACGTAACGAGATGGGAAGTTTGCTCAGATAGAGATTAGCATTGCAAGGAATATACTGAGTTGAAATAATAAATGGGACAAGTAAGAGTCGCAATAATATCAGAAAGTCACATAGATTAAATAGGCAAAACGAAAACCTATAAATGTTTTATCCTTCCTCTCTATTCTATCCACCGAAGCTTAAAATCTATTTCACCTAGTGAATAAATTTAACGAAATAAAGGTAGGACTGAACCTTATTCATCACTTTTGTTTTATTCGTTTGAAAATTTCAACGACAACAATAAATGGGAGAATAATAGTTGGGACTGATGGAAATAACAGTTTGAGTTCCTAGATTATCAGTGATTTTCTAGTCAATATCAACTGATGACTACACATTAGTTCGTAAAAAATAGATTCTTTTTAAAAGCGTTATTATCAGTGATGAATGCGCACTAGAACAGCATTGTTAAACAAACGGCTGATTTTTATTATGATTTGAGACTTATTTAAATTGCACACTGAAAATCCTGTGTGCTAGTCTGTCTTGTAAGGTATACCTCATCAGATTTAGAGATTTCAGTTCATTCGTCATATAACATGACTGCCTTTTTACACAACCAATGAGTAACAACCCTGACACATAACATAGATAGAATACTAGTTGTGTTAAAAACAATACTCACTGTGACTAGCGGCTGAATCCGGCAAATTTGAAGCTCCTCAGCTGAATGTAACTGCATCTCAGCGTGTAATGCTGTTCTCATTAAAACTTAAATTGAGATGCCATTCTTGGTTACTAAGCTACTAAGTCTAGTCGTAACTACTAACCACCATTTATCAAAGGACGTCAAATTGATACAAGAGACATTTCTTAGTGGTGAAATACCAACAGAGATGGTTTATTTCGGTTCATTGAGGATAGATGACCTGTGAATATAGACTTTCACTGGGTTTGAATGTTTGCTCTTTGAGTTGAGTTTGTCAACGTACGCCTAAGACTACTTTAGCGCCAAACAAATAAATTCCACTTTCGTCTAATATAAAACTCGTTAGTAGTATATCTGCATATACTTAAATATATTCCAAAGTCACATAAGTATTTTATTAGACATTAAACAGAGTTACGTGTCGCTTTTCTCTTTCTTATTTTAGACAGTATAATTCAAATCAATGTCGATGAATTTCATAGTTGTAAAGCTACAGAAAATATAAAGTATTTACTAAACTTTTATTGTATTCACTTGTTCGACAAAAATACTCATTTGAATAATTGTCAAATTATTCTATGGACTACTTATAGTGCGACCACTGAAGTCGGTAAGTAGTGTGGATATTTTTCTTCTACCTTGATTGTATGCTTTGGTTTTTTGTTCTTTACATGTTTATTCATTATTCATAAATAAACGTTATCGGCTTTCATTCAGGTTAATTCTAATATAAACTTTGTAACTATCTGCTTAGCTAGACATTTCAGCAGAGTGTGTTGACCACTTCACTCATTTCGGAAGTTGCATCAGCCAGCCCTAGCGGGTTGATCGCTGACGAAATCACAACACAGATGAAGAAGGCTCGTGTGGCATTTGCCAACCTGCATCATCTCTGGCGTATACATGATATACGACTAGTTATCGATCAAAAGACGTGCGTACTGCTCAGCAGTTTGCTCTATCCTCCTTTGTGGGTGTGAGTGAGACATGGACATTGAAAGTGGAAGACATAAAAGGACTAGCTTCCTTTGATCATAAGTGCCTGCGTTCCATTTCCCGTGTTAGGCGGTAGATGTAATAGAGTGAGCAATATTGAGGTTAGGTATTGGTTGAGCGCTAGGTAGGTGGGAGGGGAAATCAATCGAATAGGTAATTGTAAAGTTAAATCGACTGAGTGAGATGGTTAAGACATGTGTTACAATTGCCTAGCCTAGCCTTCACCTTCCTCGATGGGTAGTGTTAGCTGACTGACATAGAATCAGTTTGGAAAAAAACCAGTGATGGTCTAACGAAAACATGGCTTAGCCAGTCAATGAAATCTTCAACAGTTAGTTTAAGCCACGTAGGAAGGTGTAGACTAACTGACTGTTTGGGGTCTTTGGGGTGGTAAAAGTCAATGAATGCTGGGGACAGTTGGTGATATGGCTCAAAATCGTTCTCAATGATGGCTCAGATGCATCCACTCCTTGTGGCTTATCCAATAAAACTATATGGTTCTTCGATATTACTACTCTTTTTGCCTCATATCTCTGTTTACTCTTCCGGTTTTGCATTTGTTTTTACTTTCTTCTCTTGCTTTGTGTGCTTCGTAGAGTGTGGCGACTCGAACTGCTGCAAAGTTCTTCGTTGAAACCAGTCAGCCCAGTAACATCTGTGGTGGTTCTTACTAATTTGGATCCTTAAACTGACTTATTCTGGGTACCTCATTGATAGGCTTGGTCCCGAACGTGAGGAATGTTCTTTTGGTGCTCAGATCATTTCACTTTTGCTTGCAGTCATAATCACTCGACGTAAATGTTTTCCAACTGCTCATTTCAATCAGTAATACATCCCATTATGCTATATTGCTTGCTTTCTTAATTACCATTCATGGTATCAAACAGATCACATACTGTGATCTTGACAGTTTTGGTTTTTAAAGAAAATTCCGGTAAATTTTCATCTCAAACTGTATAATTTACCAGTTTTGAATTTGAGTCCAGCTTCTAGTTGGTAGGTCACAGAATTTGAATTGTGTTCTTGCCAATTAGCTTTGAGAGTTTACAAACCTGGCACACTAACTCCATCGTATAATTTATGAAATATGATCGACTTAATTTTATTCGTGTTGTTAATGACGTAGGTGAGATATCCAACTATATTTCAGAAGTTAGGTTTATGACATATTCAGTGCGTTAGTACAATTCAAAGTATGCGTTTTCGCTTATCAGTAAATGGTTTTGATATCAGTCAACAATAATGGGGGAAGTCTAAACGAAGGTGTTCGTTACACTGAATTCAGTATGTACGTCGGCGGCATAGCGGTTAGGACGCTCGCCGACCACGCAGGGGGTCCGGGGTTTGATCCCCTGCTGACGCACTCCTTTACCTCGCTAAGCCAGAAATAATGCTGGTGAAGAGGAAAGTTTGGGCATGAGGCTAGCAACCTCATCCTGTAAAATAAGCACTGCTACAGAAGCTTCAAGCGACTAGCTTGAAGCCCTATTTTCCACTGGGGAACGTGAAGGAAAAAAATGTTCAACCAGTGTCTCTATGTTGTTTCAGAGACTTGGCGTGCTCATTACCGAAGACATTTCCACCAGGTACCGTAGACGTTCATCAACAACTGCCTTCGCTGGATAGTGAAGATCTGATCACCAGCCGGAATGAATAAGCTTGGAAGAATTGTTATTATGATAAACCAGCCAAGAACCTATTGCCCAAAATGTGTGCAGAAAGGAATGGAGGTGGATCAGACATACGTTGAGGGGGTGGCACAGTGGTTAGGACTCTCGCCGACCATGCACATGGTCCGGGGTTCGATCCCCTGCCGGCGCACACCCGATATCTATGGTATGCCTGAATTTGGGCAACCGATATCCATGCTGAAAATTCCATACTTGTACTGAAAATACGGTGTGGAATCAAGCTGTAAATCAAAATAAATAAATAAATAAATAAATAATAAAGTGACAATATACTTCAGGCCGTCTAGTGGAACCCAAACGGTAAGCCATCAGTTGGGTGTCTATGTACGACATGCAGGAATTCATTTAAAGAGGAAATTAAAGCTTTCAGACAATCGTAGAGTCACCGAAAAATGACAGAAAAGAATCAAGTGAAATGAAGACATTTTAATGAAGTCCCATGTCTCGTCTGAAATACAACGGACAAATAACAATAATAGATATTCATAACATTCCCTTTCTGAGGACTTCTGGCAAATTCAAAGCCTAATTTGGGCTAAACTTCCTATAGATTAACTTCATAGCTATCTAACAACACTGAAAAGTGGTCAGTATCTGCACGCTTATGTTATCAAATAAATTTCCTAATATTAATTTACACCGAATACTATTCACAAGGTATAGTTATTTATTGCTTTTCTGTTTCATATTCTTTCTCCATTTATACACAGGAAATCAATGTAGACAAGTTTTCACTGAAATCGACTTTATATCAGTTGACTTATGCTTGACACATTTTGAATCAGGCAGTGGAATAACAGGATGTCTATTAAATTTGCTGCCTAAAAGTAACTTATTCAACACACTTCAAGAAATACGAAAGAATGAAATTGAAACCTTTGAAAAGATATATGAAGATCAAGTAAATTTGAAATTTGTATTTAAATTAAATGTAGATGAAATTATTTTATGATAATTGGTATATATTTGGTGCATTCAATGTATTCAGTTGTATTGTAAAGTGACTGAGAAGTCAACAGACATTTGACACTGTATGACTGAAGTCTAGAACTTGTTAGATTCCTCTAGCAGACTTATTGTGTGCACCATTGAGGAGGTGAGCGTCTCCTCTGTGTTTCAAAGCTGCACCAGTCACTTTACCAATAAGCTATTCTCATACCACCCGTATGTAAAAGAATCCATCGTAAAACTGGTACGAAGACCTTATTTAAGGTTCTACTGTAGTTTATTCACCAGTGAGGTCTACCGAGTGAAGTGTGAGAATATTTAGACAGTGATAGCATTGGATATTAGCGGTACTATTTCGCTGATGACTGTATTCAAAAGAGATGGCTGAATGATAATGTAATCACCTCGTAATATGATTATCTTGGGTTCTATCTCTGGAGGAACTACTGCCAAAGAAGCTCTTTAATTCTCTGTGGCTTTTAGCGACATCTTGACTCAGTCCAGTTTGTGACAACATACACTATGAGATGGACTAAATTACCCCATATACAATACCCCTTTTATACGAAGAGAATCGAATATTTTGTTACAGAGCTTCCAAACTCACAACTTTTTCGCACTAATCGTTAATAAAAGACGAGAATTGAACTAAGACTAATGGAAAACAGCAGACAACTTTAAATAAAATGTAGAGTACACCACTTGCTAATCCAGTTTTCTTTAACTTTTTTAAATGAGAGTATAAATGGTCAGAAAAAATGTACTGAGAGGAATCGGCTGATAGAATAAATCATTAGTTGAATGCCTGCTAACTACCTGAAAGGTCAGGGTTCTATTCCTGGTCGATACTTTTGTGGACCTCGCTCAGTTTGCATGCTGATAGTAAGCTCAGAAAAGATGGAAGGTTAAGCATGGGGTTAGCAACCTCACTTCATCAAAACAAAATGACTGCTATCGAGACTTCAAAGCTTGAAGTTCTGTGTTCCACTAGGAATTAAAATTATGGAAAAACTGAATTGGCCACAGAACATAGGTGGAATTCAAGTATATACTAATAACTTGTTTATGACTGATTTCTTGATATCTTATTCGTTTCTTCCAGGAGGATAATGTATTTTAGGCTGGTAGTCATTGGTATGATAGATGAGTACTACTATCTATGTTCAGATCGAAATGTGCCTCATAGTAAGAGGCTGCTTGATACCCGTAACATACGCTCTACTAATCTTTATCAGCGCAAGTTTATGGTCGATAATTATAACTTTTATTTAGATTAGAGTAGTCATTTAAATGTGAATTATTTTTGACTGGACACTAGTTACAAATCGAAAATATCCAATGCAGTCCTACAGGAGGTCAATCGCAAGCCTGAATAGTTCAGTAGTAAGGTATCTGACTGAAGTACTGGGTGACACGGGTTCGAATCTCAGAAGGGTCATGGGTTCCTTCGAGGTTGTAGATATGCCCTTACTGACTGTTGGGTGCCAACAAGCACGAAACCTAGGTCCAAAGATTCCTCCAACCATCTAATACCAACAAATATGAATTATTTAAGTCAAGTTTGATCACGAACTGAATTCAATTAGAGAAAGACTGAAAATCAGCAGCAAGTGATGGGCAGCTGTCTCGTCCTAGTGTGAGACTCTTCAAAACTATGTATCCACGACTGCACTCGGAATTGTATCCAGGATTCTCAGGTTACGAGGCCAGTCCATTATCCATTCAGCTATTGGAACGAAATCAGATAGCTCATGAATTCTAACTTCTGCCAATTCGCCATTATTCAGCAGAAAAGGTTTACTGTACTGAAAACTTTCGAACATTTTCAGACACTGATGATATTGATGCGTCACCAATAGCTATAAAAATGATGAAACTCTTCCTTAAACTTATTGGACTCACTGAATCTCAACTTAGAACTTCGCGCAGAAATGCAGCAGTTCAGGCTGCTAACTGCATGTACCACGCAGGGTTGGCGAACAGAAAAAAAAGATTCAAAGGAGTGGTAATATTTTTTCAAAGAAATGGTTACTGAACAAAGAATTCTTTTTAGGATAACTTCATCATCAGGCTCTACGGTTAAGTACACATAATAGTGAATGAATTAGTGTTGTTGACAACATTAATGTTGTTTAAATAACATTGAATCAATAATAATATCAATGGATTATATCATTAACATAACAATACGCCGAATATCAGAGAAATTAAGAAAGATAACAATACAAATTCATGAATTCATAGTATCCACTGGAGGCCACGGCGGTAGTAATGGCTGGATTTGCTTCTTCTACACACGAAGCACCGGTTGTTTAAGGTGAATCGCGGTAGTCTCTGCTGTTTGGAGTATTCGGTGCCTATATGTCTTTATCAATTTATTAGGCACACGGTAGACGATAGAGAAGGACTCCTCAATGCTGGCTTTGTTGCGGGTTTGGACCAGGTGGTCTAATATCGAACTGTTGATAGGTTTTACTACACCTTCACTTAGCCACTTGATAGATGTTCCCAAGCACGAAAAATCAAGTTCCTAGAGCAACGGCCAATATAACTCGCTCCACAAGCGCAGTTGAATTGGCAGATACAATTTGAAGTGGCTAGTCTAGGTAGTTTATCTTTCGACTGAGGAATCACCACCGGTCGTGCAGAAAATAAGGCCTGTAGTTTGCTAACATTAAAAGTTCTTTGAACTGATTTGTTCAACTTTTTCATAGTTATTACGCTAGGTATATCGCCCTTGAATTGTACGTATGAAGGCTTCTTGTTTACGGATAGTGAATAGTCCTTTTCAACTTTCTTAGTCATATGTTTCCTTGAGAATTTGTCTGGGTGGCTATTTTCATTCATGGTATCATCTTCAGTTACCTCTTCTGAGCATGTGGCTCTAACCCCTAGGCTGTAGGTCGTTACTAAATTTCTTTTGTACCGGAGAGGAATGAAGCCATGAAAATGTGTATATTGTCCTGTCCATGTACTTTACCTATGCACATTTCTCTTAATATTACCATCTGGTCTTCTTGTAAGGAAGATATCTAGGAAGGCAATTAATTCTATCTTGGGATTCCTCTTAGCACGTGAATTTCATGGAAGAATGTACTTCGCTGAACTGAGTTATTATTGTGTTCCAACCCGAATCATTATCACAAAAAATAATAATAAGCAGAAGTGTAGCATGTTTTTAATTCAGTCAACTCTTCGTTTAACTAATATCAATAATCTTAATTTCATTTAATGCACAAACTATTTTGTTTATAGATTCATTTGTTAAATATATCAAAAGAGCTTATAAAATTAGAATTATTCCATTGTGATTTAAACGAACCGGTAAAAAACTTTAAATCGATTAAACTGAATAAATCTTGTTTAAATTTAACAAGTCAACATATTGAAGCGGTTAAAATATATTCAAAATTATCAAATAAATATATGCAATTAAAAGAGTGTCAAATACAACGTGAACACCTAGATAATCAACTTAGTATGTATGCATCACAGAATGGTGCAATCGGATGTATTGCAAACTTTACACGTAAAGTTTCATTGCTACTGAGTGTTTTGGAAGGAGAAGGAGACAAGTCAAGTGAAGATTATATTACTTTCCGTTGGCCATGCAAAAGACTATATCGATACTTATCATCAAAATATACTCTTAATTCGAATCAATGTTTTTCACTGGGTACAACTGGATCCACCAATCAATCTGATTCATTTTTAACTCGAGAAAATGATATACGGGTAAGTGTGGATTGTATTTCACTTTTCATTTCATTTCATTTGCGTTCCAAGTGGAACATAAGGCTTCATGAATGAGCTTTGAAGTTCCAGTGGCAGTGATTTTGTTTTGACAGTGTAAGGTTCCTAGCTTCACATCCAACTTTCCCTCTTTGCAGGGCCGAGGTTTAGGAGTGCGTCAATCAGCGATCGAACCCGGACCACATGAGTGGTTGGTGAGTAATTTACCACTGAATCGCAGATGCAGTGTGCACTACATGTTGTTTGTTAGATCCTTAACAGTTGGAAACAACTTGAAGCCAAATGGATATAAAAATGTCATAAATTGAATTGAATTTTTAGTGCAGAGATTTGCGCGGAAGCTCAATTCAAATGAAGTTTGCTGACATCCTAAAAACATAACTAAAGGTAAAATAAAGAAGTGCGAAAAGCCGTATAAACGGAAATGCTAGGGAGAAAGAATAGCCTCACATAGGATGATAAAAATTTAGCGGAACAGACAGATCTTTAGGTGTAAATGCATACACGCTACTGAAAGTGATTTTAAGCAACGTCACCAACAATCTCCAGTTATAGATTCTTAGGTAGTCTGCACCTCATTGGGTAGCTCAAATCAACTTTTTAAGACTAGATGGATTGATACCGTGTTTCGGTTTGACCATGTGTATCTGTTTTCCAACTCAATCCTACGTCGTATTAGGCAATTCTTAAAAATAATTTCATTAACACGTACTATCTTTTTTTGTTATTGTATCGGATGTACACAAACAATACAAATGAAACTAGTATATTACTTGATTTTTACATTTAAAGAAAATGAAGTCGTTAGAAAGAGTCTAAGTGCGTTCTTTTCATTCAGTCTTTTCATTATGGTACGTACAATACATTCAGTAATTCGTGAAAATGAGTGTTAATTGAAGTAGGATAATGTTGCAAAACCGTAAGTAATGATGAAACTAAAACATGGTATCAGTCCACGAAACCACTGAATTTTGGTGTGAGATAACGGAGTGGATTGTAGTTACTTGGCTGGAATTTTAAAGATACTAAGAATCCATATTTGAAGACTCTTTGTAACATGCATCAAAAAAGGTTTAAAGTGATACACATTCTTCTCATTATCCAGATTCTAGAAATCTTAAATTCTATAACTACTCCCTTTGGTTTCAGGTGGAACATAAGACTTCAGCAGAACATGTCCATCTCACTCTGTTCTCTTCGGTCTTTTCTAGCTAGCCTCACGGTTACCCATAAGGTTTCATTTCCTCATCATACGATACCCTCCACGTCACCTTAATACTCAAGCCCGACTCATTGTTTCCCGTTAGGATTCCTTTTAAGGGCTTCTCTTTCGTGCAACCTCACTCAACGGTCCCCTCAGTGTATGTTCAATTTATCTCTGTCTCCTTCAGCATATTTGGTGGGCAATGGGTTCTTGGTTAATTCACTGCCATCAATTCTTGTTGCTTCTCCTTTCCGACTGGCTATCTGGTCTTCAATATGGAGTTAAGGAAACTGTTGGTGAAGGTCATTTTGTGATGTGTGCACCATGCCTCTGAATCAAACAGAATAACTGACTAATTGACATTACTGTTGACAATCCAAATCTTGTCTTTTTATACTGAATGCAGCCGATTTACATACTGATTTTATAGTAATGAAGGTCTATCTTTCATTCCTAGTCCTACCTTTGAAATCCCCATCTGTGCAGATTGTAGGTAGAATGATGCTTGCAAGATAAGAGGAAAAGTGACTTCCGTAAGATTTCTTCCGCTGATGGTGATTGGGGTTTTTCGCTGCTGGTTAGGTATCTTTACCACCTCTTTCTTCTCTGTGTTCACTTGAAGTCCTATCTTCGTTGACTGTCTGTTCTACCAACTCGTCGGTTGTCGCCTGTAGATCTTCGACTTTCTGGGACACTAGACATAAGTCGTCCTATGAGTTCGGATCATCCTGTGTCTTTTCATTGGTACAGCGTGTTTACATCTTCTCGCTCACCGGGGTATGTTGCATGACTCAATCCACTACAACCAAGAGTACCATAGGAGATGATTGACAGTTGTGTCCTACTCCTGTCTTCACTTCAAAGGCTTCACTTAGCTTTCTGGGTTTTTTTCAATCACTTGGCATGTAGCGTCATCAAGTAGCTGTTGAAGGAAGTTGACAAAGATTTTGGGCACTCTGTAATGTTGAAGCAAGAAAACATCAGATAATTTTTGAATTTCTGTGCATAGTACAGCGTTACTTCATCATTCAGAATCACTATAACTTCTTAAATCTAAGTGTAACATGATATGACCGGTTAAAAGTGATCATGTATGAAAGGCACTCATAGGTTACCTAAGAAGTGAATTACAATTTTATAAAATTTCAAAACACTCCCACTTATTTTGCTTCTATTTAATTTCTCTCTATTGAAGGATTTAACCCAATGGATAATACGTAGTCTTCTTGAGCTTCAACTGACACCTTTAGACAAGTTGGATAGCACTATGAGTTTAATTTTACAAATAAAAATATGCATATACTTTAATCTGCTTCACTATTCAAAGTTCACTAGTCATGAATTACAAAATTTGGAAAATGTGAGAGAAATTAAATTATTTAAACAAATAGTATACAATAATATATTGAATAGTGTGTTTAATGTTCAACACAGCTCTAGTGTCAATGATACAGATGTAAGTTTAAATTTAATAACGATTATACCCCACTGTACCTGTTTCTTACATGTGTAATGTGTATTTCTACAAAACCCATTAGGTGTAAACCCTTATCTGCACATTTAAGTGAACAAAATGACATAGAGAGTAGAAATACTGACTGACTACTTGACTGGTTTTAGTATAGAACTTATGACATATGTGCAGCGTTTCGAGTTGCCACACTGTACGTAGCATGCATAGAGGAAATAGTAATGTCGAAGGACAATGTAGTTTTATTGGATATGATAAGTCACAAAGAGTGAATGCGTTTGCGCCAGCCGTTGAGAACGATTTTGAGCCATATCACCGCTGACTGTGTCCAGACTTCATTGGTTCTTACCATCTCGAAGACGCCAACCAGTCAGGAAGTCTACACCTCCTTACGTGGCTGGCTTAAACTAACTGTTGAGGATTTCATTGACTGATGAAGCCATATTTTCGTCTGATCACCACTAGCTGACTCTTTCTCAACCTGATCCATCTTATGTCAGCTAACATTTCCTATTAGTCGAGGAATACGATCAGTGGCTAGGCATGCATTTGTAACACATGTCCTAACCGTCTCACTCAATCCATGTAACTTCACAACCACCTCGTCGACTGATCTCCCCTCCCACCTACCTAGCACTCACTTGATGCTTAACATCAATACTGCTCATCCTATTACATCAACCACCTAACATGGGAGATAAAACGCCGACACCTGTGATCAAAGACAGCTAGCCAGCCTCTTCATGTTGTCCAATTTCAATGGTCATGTTTCACTCACAGCCAGGTGGACAGAGAGAAACGCTGAGCAGTATACACGCCCTTTGGTCGACAGCCAGCCGAATATTACGTCTACGCCAGAGATGGTGTAAGTTGAAGTATGTCAAACGAGCCTTCTGTATCTGTGATTTCGTCAGCGATAAACACGCTGGCGTTGGCTGATGCAATTTCCGAAATAAGTGAAGTGATCAACACGCTCTTCCACTTCACTCCCTATCATTAAACTTAGAGTCAATGTAGTCCATTCCCTTAACATTATCTTACATTTGATGGGAAAGAATCGCAAACCAAACAATCTAAGATTGCAACTCAAGGTGTACAGAAGACTCTGCATTCTGTCAGCGTCTTCACCTAGAATGGGTGTAACGTCTGCATATTTTAACTCACTTATTCCACCCATTTCTCTGTCAAGCGTTTTACAGTAGAGTAACCTTTTTAAAAAATATGCGAAAACACGTGTAAGTGAACAATGTTGCTTTCAGTTATATCTCATCAGATTTAACTCTTATATACATAACTTTACAAGTAAATGTTAAATATAAACCAATCTTGGTAATTTGCGAATGGGATGATAAAACTGAGTATATAAATTGTGGCATTAGTCATAATAATTATAATTCTACTTATAACAAAGATGAAACGAAGTGGAGCGATTTGTGATAACAAGAATAAGGGGAAAAAGCGTCATGATTAAACAAACAAATGTTCAGGTAGACGTAATAGATGCTGGCTAAGACAAAGAAATGGTCCGATTAAGCAATCCAACTTTGTAACAGAAATAAATAAACTATGTTTTTTAATGAAGATGTAATAAGATGGTGAGGTATAGTAAGAAAAGGATTAAAATTATAAATATGGAGTGTAGTGACATCGTCAGTTAGTTAGGTCTTATTTGACCAAAAGAGGAGTAATGGCTATAAGTACGTCTTCTGAATGCATAGTTTAGGCTTAATATTTCGAATACTAATCGCCTCAAATCTATGCAGTAAACTAATATGGAGTTCATTGGAAAGATATGATGGGTTACGATGCATCACTTGAACATTTTCTTTTCCTCTACTCAATGACCAATTTCAACCAAATGTGGCAAAATGGAGCTTCTGACGAATTTGATCTGTCCTTTACCGAACCACGATGGGAGTTGACTGTTTAGATCAAGTGTTAAGGGAAGTATACAGTCAGTCACTGGGATGAGAGTACATCTAACTGACAAAAGCCAAACAGGACGAAACAAGCATTCTGAAATCCTCTACCAGCCACCAGATGAAGTTATAACAACAGTTAAAGAAGAATGCAACCTAAAATGTGAATAAATTTAATTTTCAGTATTTCGTGAAACAATAAGCAGTAAGAAAGATAATTTAGTGAATTTTTCAAACTGTGAGACGTCAGTTACCATTGGATAAGAACAACTTGAAACAAAATATTGAGTTCAATACCTAATGCAGTAATAGTAGAAATTTTTACAGCAGTAGGTCGTAAACTTGGTAAAGAGAAGGATTACTGCAGCTCACTTGTTATACGGATTACCAGGATAAAATAAGCATGATTACAAATTTCGTTCGAGCACACAATTTTGGCTTATTCAAGATAATTGCAATGGTTTCTGACGTCAGTAAAATCCAACTAGTAAAGTATGAGTATAGTTCGAGGAAACAAGAAGGATAACATTGATAAGCTTTGACACCAGTTACTGAAGGACTCGTATTAACGTGCCAAGCTAGCAAAGAGCTTCATGTCCATATTTTCCGCCTAATGTTTAACTGTAATGAATGGGTTTTCAGAATTCACCTTTGCAATTGCACAATGTAAATAGCCTGAGTGGAACTGCTAGGTGTTATCTAGAAGGACGACGAAAGCTCCGAAATTAAATCAACCAGCTCAGAGACCATAACTAATTCATTGACAACCTCTTCTCTCTATCCTCCTTATTATTATTGTTAAATGAGGAAATTATGCCACCACATATATGGAATAGTGGTGTTATATGGCACGCTGACAGATATTAAGAGCCTACGTACCAATGCAGTGTGCAAATAGTGAAGTGCCTATCTCGTAAACTGGTTATCCTGCGTTTAATCACTTGTGATATCATGATTTTCCACTGCTAAAGACTTCCAACCTCCAGGGTAAAACAGTGCATATTTATTTTCTATAATTTTTATAACGTCGAACAATGAAAAAATTCCCTTATGAAATTTTAACGAATCCCTTACAGAAACCAACGCATCAGTAAATTCTTTTTCTATTTTTCTACTTAAGGTTTTGAATCGTATTCAACTTTTAGAAGAAAATCTACCATCATTAAAAGGTTTGCATAAATCATTACTGGATGAACCTTTAATATGGAATGAAATGCTTGAGGTAAGTATGCAGTTTCACTTTATTCTTACAACTGTTTTATTTCCATAATATCTTACCATACAGCAAAGTGATAATTGGGTGGAACAATTAGTGTACAGAATGGAGTAGTCAAGATTTATTCTGTTTTCCTAACTACAGCTAATAGTTGAACTGACATATCACCAGTTACACTTTCCCCATTTTTAAGCCACTACTATCTCGGGCTAGTCTCATAAACTATATCTGGCTGGCTTTATGATGCAGTTTGCTGGTTTGTTCAAATATATTTCACCAAATATGTCTAAGTTCTAGTTCATTAATAATCCTGTAATAAAACGCCTAATTTTATTAGCTATATTTGTCGATATTTTCAGTTACTATTAAATGTTTTGGGATCTTCTATCTAAGTATGCGCTGTACTCGAAGCAGGGTACGTTCCATATTATTGAGCTGAATAATTCCATCCTTTTCGTAGACCTCTGTTCCTTATATGAGTGATGTCTTTTTTAGAGGTATTTTGCTGACCAAGCCTGTCGTTCATGAGTAATACCTATTGTTGATGTCTCCTAGATAAATTTCATTTTCATCCTGCCACCGCTATTCACATTACTTATGAGGATTTCTCTCTAGTCAGCCCTACCCTTCTACAGGTTTTGAAACATAGATTTACTTACTGTTTCCAACAAGTGACACGTTTCTTTGTCTGAAAGCTATAGGGTAATATAGTAAGTGATAATCTAGTTAAGCATAGTATTAGGTAAAGAAGAATGATTGGTTGGAGGACTTTATCATCAGGTGACATCAGTTAGAGAACCACTGGAAAACCCAGGAGTACTGGACAGCAACTTTGTCCTAGTTTGTCTTAATGGTCTACGAGCACGCCTTGTAACCGGAAGGTCCTGGGTTCGAACCCCGGTGGTTGCGTACTGATGAAGAGTCCCAAACTAGGACGAAACATCTGTCCAGTACTCCCAGGTTTCCTGATGGTTCTTTAACTGATGTCAACTCATGATGAAATCCTCCAACCAATCAAACAAAAATCCTTACAAAACCAGTATTTGAAAAGAAGAATGAAGCGTCAAATGGTGAAGTTGTGAAACTAATATGACTGAGTCACGTACTACGCATAATAAATCGTCGCGTTTCTTGTTGAGCAGTATTAGATGATGTATAAATTGATTGGAAAAAAGGTAAAAGTGACTAGACAGAAATGTAGCACTGATCCATTGTTCGTTGACTAAAAATTAGGGGGTTAGGAACTACTTGTGAGACGGCTTAAAAATGCTGATAGTGGCGTAAATGTATTTATTCTTTTAAATTATGAAAATCACCGCTACTATTGAATAAATTGTTTTTTTCTCTCAAACATCTTCATCCATTGTAGTTCCATTAAATTCCTTTTCAATTATTTATTGCCTGAGTTAATGAAGTGTCATAACTTGAGCTAATTAGATGCTATCCAGAAGTTTTCAATGTCTTTTTTTCAGTGGGTCAATTAGTCATACCACGTTAGATCCAAATTAATGGGATAAATTAGCTACTGATATTCTAGGATTTCACACAAATTATAACACATTACAATTGTATTCCTCTTTACTTTTAACTAATCATACACTTTTTAAAATTCTTGCTTATTCCTAACTCTAATCACTGTACAGACAAGTCTGAATTTCCTTCGTCCTTTGCCTGGATTCTCCGCCACAAAGATAATACCTGAAGCGCATATATTTTTAGTTTGGATTTCATTAAAACCAGAAAGGGTAAGTTGGTGCATTTATCCTATGTTTTACTTTTACATGTATTCATAATGTTTTACATGAAAAACTTAGGAAGACTCTACTCAATTAGTTTTTGTGATAAATTCTTGTCTCTTAGAAACAGTATACATTACGGAATGAAGTGAGTTCATTCCATGTTCTTTCCACCTTAAACAAACATATATATATGGGAAAAACTCAGCTGTGCGTATATTCGAGGGTAACACTGAGATCCTAATAGTAGGAAATGAAGATTCATAGGCTTTTGTGAAGTTATCTAAAAAGGACTTCAGAGAAAATTGTGAAATGGATTATTGATATAAGCATAAAACTCGGGCACTGTGTTAGAGTATAACTCCATAATGGTTAAGATTTTAATTTGATAAATCACACAGTGTTGTGCAGTAATATTAACTGATGACGTTTCGAGCATAAACTATTGCTCATAATCATTATCAAGGTACTCACATAAATTTCTTGCTTCGTTTATATACATGAGTAAAAATTGACTAGACATATGAATAAAATCAAAATAAGACTTGTGTGAAACAGAAAGCAAGATAAGGTACTAACAAAATAATACAATTTAGAAAATACCTTGCAGTGACTGTGAATGTGGCCAACTACATAGGTCAAACTAGTAAGTAGATCCAGAGTAGTGAGATTATCAGAACATAAGAATTTAGCTAAGGTTAGAATGGTAGACCCCGCGAAGATAAGAAATTTAGAAAAAAGCTCAGCGACTGCACTGCATGTATTAACATACAACCACACAATAGAGTGGGATAGAGTCAACTTTCTAAAAAGTAATATAGGTAGGTGGAGAGAGAGATTGATAACTGAATCCATATTTCATCGAGTCTACACCCAATACATGCAGTAGCAGTGACCCAACACGAATACCAGAGATATGGAAGATATTATTACCACCAGTCAAATCAGAGGATAATGAATAATGTTATAATGTATTCATTTCAATTCACATTATAACATTCTGACAAGTTATTTATTTATTTTACTATGAAAACATCTTATTCCCCATCTTATTGACTTACAATACTCGTCGTATTTCCTATCCTATTGTATTTAATTGATAACACTACTATTATTTACCAGTGTACATTACCTTCCTTTTTGTTTCACACAAGTCTTATTTTGATTTCATTCAAATGTCTAGTCAATTTTTACTCATGTATATAAATGAAGAAAGTTATGTGAGTATCTTGATAATGATTATGAGCAATAATTTGTGCTTGAAATGTCATCAGTAAATACTACTATACGACACTGTGTGACTTTGTCAAAATAAAATTTTATCCATAGTGGAATTGTAAAGTGGACATATGACACAGACAGTTTTAACCTTATTAGGCAATGTGGGGAACATGTACAGCCAATAGTAATAATAATTAGTTCATTTTAAATCATGACTTAATATCAAATGGAACTTTCACTATCTTCATATTGCATTAAATTTTCTCTCCTTATAAATGACATCTAACGAAATAGCTGCCAAAATCTGTAGGTTATGCTAACTAATGCAGGGGGACAGTCATTCGCTTATGCTCTTTGTACGCTTCATTGCTCATTGCCATTGACTTGTAAATTTTCTTTCAAAGTTATGGGGTTAGACAAAAAGCGATACATGAGTGACAAAACTATGATTCGAGGACGTCTTTGATTAATTAGAATTGAAAACGAGTAATTTGATGCCATTCGCACTTGATGGAAGGGGAGGGGTATTTTGATAACTTTAAACTCAAGTAGACCTTTAAATGAATTGAATGAAAATGAAGTGGGAAAAATTCTAAATATCTTTATTTAAGAAGGGATTTTACTCAAAGTTAGATGATAAGTAGTGTCTATAGTATTTTGCTACGTTACCTTTAGTAGAAGACGGTCGAGGGTTGAGTGGTTGTCAGTGAGATATACAGTACAATTACATAATATTACTCGAATATGTACAGAAATCCTGGTTATTTGTTTGAAGTTCACATGACAGTCGGAACATATGTTTGAAGACTGCATGTAATAATGCTCACTAAGAAGAATAAAAACGGATTCACTACTTTGTGTGAAGCGGTGCCCAGTGGGGTAAGAGAGACAAAAGGAGTTACAGTCCTAATATCTAATACAGTTAGGTGTATAAAAAGCTTAGTCATTCAGTGTTTATTGTTCGAATCAATATCCAACAAGTTCAGCGATGAGTGACGATAAATCAGAAATTTTTGATGATACGTTGATATGAATATTTGGAATGATTTGTGCAATATACAGCTTCAATGAATATTACTGTTTCAAAGTGTGATAAATTATCAGAAAGCAATATTTATTTCAATATATCACCTATTTAATATTTGACTGGGATAAAAATACTTGGAGTCATCCCTCTATGTATCACCTAAGTTTTAGTTATTGGTCGCAAGTTGAGGATTGTCAACGAGGTCACTGACTTCATTCCTCAATGAACTTTGTACACACTTTTTAATAAAAAATTTATTAAAGGTTCTAACTGTTTTCAAATATTAGACTGCTCCCGAATAACTCAGTGGTAACGTCTCTGACTGCAGCACTGTTTGATAAGGGCTAGAATCCCCAGGGAACTGTAATTCCCCTGAAGTATATAGATACGCCTTGATGTCGAGCACCAACAAAAGTGAAACCTAGGTTTTAGGGTTTCCTGGTGACTGACTTGAACCCGCTAATACCAGTTCAATGTGCACCGCGACAGTAAGTCATGTAGCTTGGTGATTACGGTGCAAACTAATCAGAAATTACTAGAAGCATGACATTGGTGACCAGCTTATGTATTGAATATTTTGCTTCCGTTCATAAAAACTATTTTAAGAAACACCGAATGTTATTTTTTTCCCTTTTTAGTTCTTCACCATTTCAAAAACTTTTGTAAATTTCATATTGGCTCAGTATATCATTACAAGTGACAGTATAAAATATTTTAATGATTCATTTGAAACTGAGAAGCGTCTACGTGTCAGTGGATTATTTCAACCACAAATCCAGAAGCAATCCCAAGGAGGATATTATTCAAATCAAGATAATTTTACATCTTCTGTTGTGTATTGTAAGTATTTTAAGGACTATGATTCCTGTATGTTTCTCTAAAGTATTTTATTTGTGAGTAAAATATACAAATTTCTTTATTTGACTATAAATCAATTCCATTGCATGAAGGCTATTCAGATATCCGTCAGTAGAGTGAGTCCAGTTCACAGAGTTCATTTGTTGAATGTCCAGTGTTTAAATTAATCCTTCTTTGTTCTAGACTGAAATTCAGGAACAAGATTATCAGTAGTATATAGTGAGATATATAGACAATACTTGGATTCATTGTTTGTGAAAGGAATAAATGCACACATTAGGAAGACACTATACCACCGTTTAATTTAACTAAGCTATCGATTACGACAGTTGAGCGATGGAAGCCAGCTTGCAATCACTTGATTATTTCAGTGAAATTATCATAAGCCACATTCAGTCATCTTGTGATTGACAAATATGTAACTGCCTGTCGGGATCTTTTACCGTCAGTTCTGATTATACTGTTACAAGAAGTAAAACAGGTTTTTTGATTGCCTTGATGAAACCGCCTGTAATGGTCTACGGTTAGCGGATGTAAGAATAATTGAAGCTAGACATTTTATTTTATGCAAAAACCACTCCTTATTCCTATTGGCTATCTCAAGGTCAATCATACGTTCAAATTGCTTGAATCGCTGTTTTTTGAGTTTGCTGTGCTACCATATAAAGAAGGAACATAAGAAGCCTTACGTAAGTTTCTAAGAAAAGCTGGAATTAGGGTGTCTTTTGGATAAACCAATACACTCAGAGAAAACCTTTGTCGGCTTAAGTGTCGGACAGATCTAATTAAGAAAAATGACATAATTTGCTAAATGCCATGTAATAACCGTGAGGTTAGTTACATAACTTCAACTAGTAGATCAGAGTCAGTTAGATCATCGGAACAGAGAAATTTAGGTAGAGCTAGAATGATTGACCATGCTAAGTTAAATACTCTGGAAAATACTCACCCACTGCTATGCATTCATTCACTTTCATGTACCCACACCATAGGGTGGAATAAACCAAAAAATATTATATATATACATATATATATATATGTATGTATAGATTAATCACCGAATCTTTGTTCATTGAACCAACACAAAACACGAAATAGAAACGACGTAACGTCCATATCCGATACATGGAAAACTACAGTGAATAACTAAGGGTAATGAAAAAATTTATAAAGCAAATTATGAAGGCATGTGAATACATGGATACTATTATGATCAACAAAACAAACAACCACGTGTTATCCAGGATACAACATCAACAGACGATAAAATAGAATACATCAAGGATTACGTGTCAAATGGAATATAGTGATATTTACGTGTAATACGAGTTCAGCCGATTGCTTAACAAATATATAGGGGAAAATGGAGATAGATCGGGCATACGTTGAGAAGGCCGTTGAATGACACTACGCACCAAGCCAACCCTTGAGTACAATCCCAATGGGAAGCGAAGATTGGCTTGTCCATGTCCAAGGGTGACATGCAGAACATCGCACAGGGAGGAAGTGGGATATTATGGGCAATCGTAGACCCAACTGAAGAGGACAGCACCAAATAGAACAAAGTGGAGATGTGTTGTTGAAACCCTATGTTCCACTTGGAACCCAAGGGAATAATACGAGTTCTTCTTCTGAATATAGCTGAAGAGATGGTAATCTACCCGAGAAAGCCCAACCTGTGTGTTCAGAAGAAATTCGTACGGTAAATTTCTTAATCTATACCATCAGTACCTGAATGTAAAAACACCTGACAATTTCCCCTCCTCTTAAACCATTCAAAAGTTATTATTGTTCCAAGTATCTTAATATTTTACCCCTTAATTGTCTCAATTAGTTTACTTACTAATTTTATCTGGTATTCGATTTAGTTTTCTTTTATTTTTGATTAAAGCTTGATTCCACACCGTATTTTTGGTACAAGTATGGAATTTTCAGCATGGATATCCGTAGCCCAAATTTTGCAGGCCGACCATAGATATCGGGTGTGCGTCGGCAGGTGATCGAACCTCATACCATGTGCATAGTAGGCGAGAGTTCTAACCACTGTGCCACCGACGCACTTATGCTCACTGGAAATTATGCATGTTGTCTAACTGTAACCTATTGATCTTAACAACTCAATAATATCTAAAAAAAACATCATTTTTGCTGTTATAAACCCCGAATTTTGCCGAATTTGTAAACCAGATGAACACCCACCCAGGAAACTTAAGCTAGCAAACAAATAGTTTAATTGGTTACATAAGTTCGGGCTTCAACACTGTCAGATCGTATTATAACAAATATCCTACCTCAGCCCGTTGGTTTGATTTATCCAGTCTGATTTAAGATAAGGCGAAATCAGGGATGTATAAGTGTTGTCAACAACAACTATTATTTACATATAAATGTCGAACATGTTCATGAAATTGTAGAAAAGATTATTCTTTGCTTGATATTTTAGTCTCTATGAAGCTTAGTGAATACCTATTCTGTACGAGGGTTCCTTTCAGTTGTTTGGGTTCATCATCGACATTATTTTCATTACAAATTCTCCGCATCCATGCTGAGAGAAAAATGGATTAGATTCCTTTTTCTGTCTATGGGGACAAAACTGTAAGAATTGGTCAGTTGTCCTGTCGACATCGATTTTCTGTAAAAAGATGTTTTCAAAGACCTGTCATCTCTCCTTGTGAGTAGCCAATAGCAAATTACGTAGAAGAAATACAGAGATTGACAAGGTAGCTAAACAAGTGTCGCACCTAAACTTAGAATGTAGTTTGTTTATTAGATGTATCACACAGTAAAACAGTATTATTTAGTGTAAATAATACTGTTTCACTGTGTGATAAATCTAATAAACAAACTAATTTGGAATTACTTACTACCACAGTTTCCAAGTTCTACACATATATTAGAATTTAGGGGTGACAGTGAAAATGAGATACTTAAAAATTGTCTGAATAGATCATTGAGAAAAACGTTCTTTGCTGCCAATTTACAAATAACCTACTCTAGCCGTCCACTGGTGCACTTTAATGTCAAGGAAATGTTACCTCGATTGTCTAATTGCATGTGCATTTATATGTTCATCTGGTCTTGTGGAGCTAGGTACATAGGATGTTCGTCGAGAAACCCCGCCGAGTTCGAGAGCACCTCTCAGTTTAGCTGAGCAAAGGAGAACGTAGAGGTAATAATTCATCTATATTGCAACGCAGCATCTGACACATCGTTTCGTATAGTCTACAAAGTTCGACGAAGTTTGTCGAAAGGGATAAGAGTGCATTCGCTTTGTATAGCAAAGGCTTTGGCAATAAGTAACATTAAGCCAGAACTTTGTGTACAAAAATAATTTGTACAATCTATTTCATTACCATGGTCTTGATTTAACTATGTAATCCACATAACAACTTTGATATCCGTCTTTATTCCACGTTCAATTTTTGTTTCATTTTATTCCACTTTATGTTATCATATTCTAAAAATTTTATCTAGTCTTCTGTTTTGACATTTCACGCATCTTATGTCGTCTCCATCATATTATATTCACATATTTACATTTCTGAATGTACTTTATTATTGGATCATATATTTCACATTTGTTTATTAAACTTTAGGTTATTCATTCATATATCTAATCAATTGTGATTCATAATCATAAACACCAATATTATCACACTTTAGTATTTCCACTCACTGTCAAACTTTAACAAACACAAAAAACTGATTGTTATTGTCGATTATGATTCATATATATCTTATCGTACAGCTTTGAAAATGGAATAGTCAAAAAGAGGTTGTTAAATCCCAAATAAGGAATCGGTTTACCGAAATGAACCACAACGAAGTACAGTATTCCACAATATCTCATAATACACTTGTCTGAAGTGTTTCTTAGAATTTTATATTGTGATGAGATGATAAGTTCTGTCACCCCGAGTCAATTGGTTATGCTCTTCATAAACTGTTGAATAAACAGTGAATAATGATGGCGTTATACAAGTTTGTCTATTTCACCCATGATAGGGTAAGAGGTATTCACTAGTAAAGTGTCTCCAAGTAGAATGAAATATCTAACAACTGCATCTTGATTCTCAATGATTCTTTGATTGATAGAGAATCACAACACCAACAAAGAACCATCATCAAACAACACAAGAAAATTCATCCTAGAATACATAAAAAATGTCTCTGAAATAAGAGCTAGAATATTGAAACCGAGTCGGAAGTTAAATACCTAGGCGTCATTCCATCTGCTGATCATTCCTGGTCGTCTCATATCTTGGCGATTTCTAAGAAAATATTCCGTCTTACCTTCTACATTAAGAAATCAAGACATTCTGGTATAACCTAACCCTTACTTTTACGATTCGTGAACCCTCGCATTCTGCCTATTATTCTCTATTGTTCCCCCTTAGTTTTTCCTGGGCTACTGAAGAAAGACTATAACACATTACGCAGGATGTTAAAGATTGTCAGCAGGGTAAGCAACTTGCCACTTAACCAGCTTAATAATTTTCTGGTCGAAAGGCACATGGACTCGTGTGAAAAGTGGGCCAAATCTATTTTATCTAACTCACATCACCCTCTTCACTCACAACTCTCTCCTTGCATCTCATCAGGTAAAACCAGAAGCCTATGTAAAAAACTATATGCTCGCACCAGCAAGTACAAAAACTCAACCATACCCTTCTTAGCTCGTGTTCTGTGTGATAAAGAAATCATTAGGCGTGACACCTATAATTCATTAAATGGTCAGTAGAACAATTGGATCTCGTCTTTCCAACTCATATCATTTATAGGTACAACATTTTCTTTCTTTCTTTTCCTTTTCACTCACTCTCTCTTTTTCCGTTATGTGCTGCTTTGTTTCCTTCTTCCGCTTACGCCAGTAAATATGATAGCGCCTACTTTTCTAACACCTTCAAACACTGTTCAGCATTGGCTTTGCTAGTGACATGCCAACATGTTGTTGTCATAATGAACTGAGATTTCCTTAATCTATGTAAAATTCTATTTATTGATAATGTACTAACTGGATATAATACTGTAGTAAAATTGCTGAGAATTCCATTCTGTATCACAAGTACTGTTTTGGAATAAAGCAAATTATTATTATTATTGATATAGATATAGCACACAAGCCAGTCAAATCGCTTAATCCGATATTATGCAAACCGAAAGATTCAACAGAAAAAGGAAATAAAATTAACACCATTTACAAAATAAACTTTGTGAACTGTAACCGGCATTACATCGGCCAAAGTGGGTGTCCCCTTCGAATTAGAATCCAGGAACACAGATCAGCCAGGGAATTCCTAGAAGCCTGGTAGTCAAACGAATATGTGATTAACAAACACGTTAATATAGACCAAATTTACCAACTAATAAAAAGTAAATCATGCGACGAGAAAGTTTCAAATCCAAGTCAATAGAAAATGGTCAATACATATGTAAAGTTGGTAACCGGGAGACGGAATTCTATCACTTATGGAGAATTTAAATCAGTTCGTTTTTTACTTAAACTTGCGCTGAAGGGGGATGTTGTCCAGAAGGACGACGAAAGCTCCGCAACTAAACCAATCAGCTCAAGGAACACTAATAATTGCAGATTCTTTGATTGATGTTGGATCATACCAAAGTCTAACATTAACATAGATTATGGTCGCCTGTTATGTATGTTTATACCATTTTGTGTTACACATTATGTTTACATTACATGTACCTATCATTAATAAGATCGCTACATTGTTTCTTTCACATTCCTAGTAATTCTTCCAAATAAATTAAATGAATATACAACTGAAGATTTCTTCAACTCAAATTGGTCAGGAATAGAGTTGAATTCAAATAAATTATTAAATGAATTACGCAATATGGCGGTTTATCTAAACAGAACTTTATTTTGTATCGACTGTGCAAGCACAAGTGATATTTCACACTGGCATTCATTATGCGGTAAGTTATATGCTAAGTACAGAATGTCTTTGTTGTCACTTGATAACTGAAAGGTAATTCACATGTTCTGCATTGATTATTATCTAAATCTTGACAAAATTGTAGAATAATATCAAAAACATTTTGAACGATGAAGTGAATGATACTTTGCGCCTAAGGTTTTATGGTAGAATGCTGGTCAGCCACAAAGGAGGTTTGGTTTCGGTTCCCAGCTGATGAGCTCCTAAACTTCGCCTAGCTGGTGATAGACTCGGAAAAGAGGGAAAGGTTGGGCATGAGACTGGAAACTCTACAGCTACTGGAACTTCAAGGCCTGAGGTGCTACATTCCACTTTTAAATCAAGGAATTAAAGAAGAAGATGCGATAGTTCCTTTTCAAATGAAGTTAGAATGTTCTGCTGTAAGTGGACTATAAGTTCTCAGTGGAATCTGACAGCCTAGGCATTGGTGCTTCGGTGGCACAGTCGTCAGGACTCTCGCCGACCATGCACATGGTTCGGGGTTCGATCCCCTGCCGACGCACACCTGATATCAATGGTTGGCCTGCAAAATCGGGCTACCGATATCACATGCTGAAAATTCCATAGTGGTACCAAAAATACTGTGTGGAATTAGGCTGTAATCAAAAAAAATCTGACAGCCTAGGCCTAAGCATTGGAGATTAGATAATCTTCTATCTCATCAGAATTTTTGATACTTTAAACAAATATTGAAAAATTTGTTTGATAGCAGGCTATCTCCACATGTTCACGTGAAGATATCCATTATCCTATGTCTCCTAGCCTTGTGACTGTCTCCCGCAAACAACTTTGTATTGAATTCGATCAGAAAAAGCTTGACCCACCTTTCTATCGTATTGTAAAGGGCAAGGTTGCTTAATAAGGTATTTGCAATGGCTTCAGAAAGAACAGTAAAACGCTTTAATCAACTGATACTTACATGTCAGTGATAAATGCTAGAAAAACAAATTAGGAATCAAAATGAAGGTTGAAATCAATGCCATGTGAATGTCATAGAATATAATACATTAATTCAAAGTCTTCTGAGGTAAATGAATAGAGCCAAATAGATTTCACTTCTGTGAGGTTCATACTTCCCTTTCTTTTTGGCATTTAAAGGAGAGAATCCTAGAACCTCAAACTGCTCGTTGGCAAAGGCTATCAATGCTTAATTCATAGATTACTAAACTAATATCTTGTTTATAAATGAGAGCCAAACCACGTAATACTGACTGACTGAAATGTTCGAGTCCATTTGAAATCTTATCTAATTAAGTCATCCTCACGTCTGTTACAGAAGAGTGACTTTAGGAAAGAAGGGAAAATCAGTCGATGAGACTGTGAAATTACTTTGATTGAAATGGTTAAGATACCTTTTATTCATGCTAAGCCATTGGTTCCTTCGACCAGTGGCGTTGGTTGATGAATGATCAGTTTTGCAAATATTTTGGTGTAATCAGACCAAGACATGGTGCGCTGCGAAGAGAAGCAACATGGCTTAAAATTGTTCTCAGTGGTGCAGGTGTATTCACTCTTCCTCATTTCGCAGATCCATTAAGTTCACATTAGTCTGCACATAATGATTCTTCCCCGTATATTTCCGTTGTATTTCTTTTCTCTACCTTTATGTAAACTTTCGTGAAGTGTGGGGACTTGAACAGATGCACTTTTGTGAAGTATTATGTGTTGGGAATTCAATTAGTATCATATCACTTTGGTATACTTACTTTCTAATACATAATCAGATTTGCCCAGGGAAACTTAACACTTCTGAATAATTTGAAATAACTGTCCTAAAATCTTCATATTTATTATCGTGATTTAGTTTGGTTAGTCTGCATTTGAACTCATGGTTAATTTGATAACCATAGAAAATAAAAGAGTCATAATGATCATTATTGTTTCACTTCACTGGATAAAATGAAGTCTTTCCGTTTCATGTGATCCTAACACTGTTTAAAATATGTTGACTACAATATATATATACCAACTTCCATGAGCTTGATTTTTGTAATACTGGTCCATAATGATCGATTTCTTTTCGTATGTCACCCTCTTAAAAGAAGCTTCACGACATTATTATTATATTTTTTTTATTATTTTTTATTACAGCTTGATGCCACACCGTATTTTCAGTACAAGTATAGCATTTTCAGCATGGATATCGGTAGCCCAAATTTAGCAGGCCGACCATAGATATCGGGTGTGCGTCGGCAGGGGATCGAACCCTGGACCATGTGCATGGTCGGCGAGAGTCCTAACCACTGCGCCACCGACGTACATCACTCCAATGAGGTCTTTACTGTGAGACTGTTTCTCCAGTATTTGGTTTATCAACGTAATTTGGTGCACTCTAGTTAGCACTTTTATTTCAGTTCAGATTATAAACTATCATGAGTTAAAGAACCATTGAAAACCATGAAGTACTGGCAGGTATGGTGTCCTAATTTACAACTCTTTGGCAGGACGACCGTTGACCCAACTGACAACCCATCGCTCACACTGGTGACTGACTACAGGATGAAGTTCCTCGGGTTTATGGTGGAAAGTCGTGACCGGCAAGGTCCAGCAAGTCGGGTGTTAGGACGAATACTCACTAATGACATTGGCTGGAAGTGACACTAAATATGGCGAACTCGAAGAAGTTTGGATTCATGGACAATTTAATTCCGTCCCAGGGATAAATGGATACCCTTGTAACATGAAGTTCTTGGGCTTGATTCCCCGTTAGGGTTTCAAACTTGGAAGAAACAGCTGTCCAGTACTCTCTGGTTTTCAATAGTTCTTTAATTCATGACAGTTTATCATCCAACTTGAAACCAGTCAAATCTCTGCAAATTAACACCTAAAAGCTTTTATTCCTGTTGAATTAACTGAATTAAACAGTCACAATCGAATAATCTTTAAGTATTGTAGGACTAAAATACAGGCGATATTTTATCATCAACATTTTTAACTAGTTTTTTTTAAAAAATTTTATAAGACTAAAAAGAAAACATTGGCATCTTTTTGTTTAACACTTCAGGATCCAGTACAAATACATTTCCATATCAAAGAGTTTTAATCTGTCTTCGAAATATACACATGATGGAGAGAAATTTGTCTAAAGAACTTCACGAATTACTTCACTATGGACTTTATAATTTAAGGGAACAATTTATGCATAGTGGACAACAACAGAAGGAATTTCTATTGAGTAATAACAATAATAATCATAATAATAAACTTGGAATAAGGTTTGATATTTTAATCGATTTCACATGTTGTCACTCAAAGAGACAAATTTCATCACTGTATAATAGATTACCAAGTAAGTTCTTTTATTCTCATTTTTATCTGGGTATAGATATATATGTAATTCTTCTTAAAAATGCCTCAACCTAGTATGATAATCTGTATCTGAAATTGAATGCAATTAACGTCTAAGAGAATGCACAGTGAAAGATTAGAGTTCCCCGTGGTTTGTTCTGAAAATCAGAAGTTTTGAGATTATAGTATGTTAAGAACATAATTTGATGTATATGAGAGTTTAAAACCACTCATATCAACCTGTCGTGTATGACAATTGAATATAGATAATCTTGACACGGGATGGCTGTTTCACTTATCAGTAATGTAGCCGGACTTACATAACTCAAAGAGCTGAGTGAGTGCTTTAAATGGTAGAATGCTTGTCAACTACGTGAGTGGTCCGAATTCGAACTCAGGGCGGTGCACTGCTAAACCTCACCCAGTTTACTAGTAAGCTGTTGCGGGGGGGGGGGGAAGTAAGGTTGGATGTGAGGCTGTCAACCTCATCCAGCAAAAACAACATCACCTTTACTGAAACCTCAAACAGCATGAAGCGCTATGTTTCGGTAGAAATTTAAGGAATGGAAAAAAGTATGGCTAAATCAGTTTACAGCACCCGAATTTTTGACATAGGTAAACTGATCAGTTCACGTACAGAGCAGATGAAATGGGTCTCAAGAGAGTAAGATGGTCTTCTGGTGTTTGGATAAACTCTGTCTGGCTAGTAAGCACTAATTGTTGATATGAGTGATCAGTAGTATATACTAACTTGTGTAGTTGGTTGAAGGAGGGTGGAAATCATATATTATTAAATACTGACTCGTGGACTAAATACAGACCTCCTCAGTTTTAGACCTAAGTGTGGTAGATTACATCATTGTTGTGTATTGGTGAGGCGGTTAAGTGTAGAACAAGATGTTTGTGTAAATAAACCCTACATTTGCTTCGTTCGCCTTCGCTTATCTTGTTTCAGCACTTACTTACATTATAAGACGGACACCATTTCATTCTCCTTTTATCTGTATTGGAATTCATGCATATCAACTTTGCTCTCAGAGTGAACAATTACCAAACATGGTGTTATTTGGTTGATAATGATCAGCAGTGGGATTTAGGACCAGCATTTAGTTGTATTTGGGACTTGTCACCTGGATGCACCTGAAATCCTCAATGAGTGATGCTGTTCCCACTAAAACTTCAACCCAGCGCCTATTGTTCCAAAAGCCAAAGCATTGTCCACTAGGCTACTTGGGTCATGAGAGCCACCTCTCGTGCAATGGATATCAGTTATTATTTGTTCTAATTATGTATTTTCTGATGACCTAGCGAATAACGCTTTGACATCTGAAACGATGAGTGCTAAATTTCATAAAATGATTCCCTTTTATAAATTTGAACAAAGAAAGAAGAAACATTGGAGCAGAATAATCTGGATCCATTTTATTCCGTTGGTTCCTTGTACACAGCTGATGAGAACCAACGAAATAAAATAGATCCAGATTATTTTGCGCCAATGTTTCTTCGATGAGTGTTGAGTTGATAATCATTCCTCGCTAACTAAAGATGCAGGTATATCGATCTCAGGAGTCTAGAATAGAACGAAATATGCATCTTGAATTCCACTACTAGTCACCATTCACCAAATGGCATCATGTTAATCTTCAGACGTCATAAAAGTGTCCGTACTAGGAGCCACCGACACGACAACAGAGACTGAATATTTCGGCCCAGTAAAATCAGTTAAAGGGTAAATACAAAATTTACCTTAACAAATTACAACACATATTCAATAGTATGGGATGACTGTTGACTGTCGAAAAAACAACGTGAGGTATATGATGCAAAAATACTCTGTTTAATATTTACGCTTATTATAACGCTTGTGAGGACTGAATCAGGTACTGTATGGGGATATAAAATTTTCTGTTTGTAACCAATTGTCATTAATAAAGCTTTAACCGCGTAATACGAACTCCTAAGCATAGAAATCGGGAAGAAAGTTGAAAAATAAAATGTATTTTCCACCCAACAATCTGTGGTTGAAATGACTATTTAGAGTCTGCAGAAATTCAATTGTGCATTTTCAAATAGAATTCGTTAAAAATGGAAATTAGGAATGGAATTATTTGAATTATTCACCGGTGACCATTTGCTACACCTTATCTTTGCAACTGACAGTCCTCAGCCTCATACTTTCTTGAGTTGTGGGCGGGAATTGCTGAGAAATCATAAGCTAGGGAGAACTAGTTAATTGGCTCTCATTTATCCTCTAATTGGTATCTGCTCATGGTAAGCCCACCTCTAGGTTAGTAAGTATTTAAACTCATGTATTTATGCATATATATATTCTGTTTTCATAAATTATTTTTTTCTGTAGGTTGGTTGCGGTTATACTGCTTGCCGTTATTTTTCACTGACCAGGATGACCAGTCATCATTCGTTTCCAGTCGTCTGGCAATGGTATGGTTAATTACAATTATTCATTAATCAAACTGTGCTAAACAGAAAGTGTATAAGCTACTGTTACTATCAGTTTGTATCAATAAATCACTTGTCTGATCACATTCACATATGCACTTTTTATATGTTATTATAACTAGTAGACAAACTCTATAAAATATTGATTTAAAAATTTAACAAAATTTTAATAACTTATGTAACGATTTAGATACTGTTCTCATTGTTCAGCCATAGGAAATATCTATCTTAAGGTGCCGCTACTCAAGGCAATGACCTGAAATATAATAATTAGAGCAGTGTGACAACGTCGGATGCTGTATCCTAACAGTTATGGGTGATTAGATCAGGTTTATCTAACACAGACTATGGATTTGAAATCTCGGTTTTCAGCTGCCTTCTGTGAAACTCCTTTACCCATTAGTTTGATGTTAAGCATCAGACGTCTTCCTCTTCTATTTCAACTTAAAGTTAGCAGTTTACCTTACATGAAGGTGCACCTTCTCCCTCTGCAAAGAGGAAACTTTAGAGAGGAATTACCACTTCACTTGTATTTCGTGATAACGAGGTATTTACAGAAATCTTATTTATTAATTTTCTTGACTTATATACTCTTCTTTCACTTTAGATGTCAAAACAAGATAAATGGAGAAGGTCAAATTTTCATTCCGTAGAAAATTTCAATCAGTCTTTGGATAAAAATATTTCATGTTTATGGTTAAAAGAACATGACAATATATTTGAAAAATTAGAATCTGAGTAAGTGTTCAAGATAGAAATTTTTTATTCTCTAAACTTTCATTTATTCTAGTGTATAGTTAAAGGGTAATTAATCTCTTCGGATAATTTACCGCTTCATCGAATTAATCAGAAAAGAAATCTAAATTGCTAGATATCAGGTGGTTTGAACTGATTCGGCTTTCTGGTCCGAGACAAACAGAGAACACCGTTGATGAGCTCAGCCCCGAAAGAGAGAAACCGCCTACCGATGTTTAGGTCACTTTGATATTCTGACTAGTAAGCACTACTGGCTAGTGTACACAACTACTAATATAAATGAAATCAGTAGTATGTAGTTCCATATAGATTACTTCTATTTGTTAAAAATATGCTCCATATTTTGTTGACTCTAATTAACATTGTATTTATAAGGTTGCTTAAAGTTTACAGGGGCATGTATACATGAGCAGAACTAATAAAATATTCCAACGTTGACGGCATGAACACATATTCACGGAGTAATTAAATCATAGAAAATTCAAGTGTTCTTAGTTCCAAACAGAATTCCGGGATCATCCATTGAGAAACATTTATTAATGACTGGTAATGAAATCAATATTAATAAGAGTTTCTTAATTACCCTACATAATTTTAATTTAAGCTTGTTAGGGCGGGGGTGGAACTACTTCCAGCTAAATACGTGAACTGCACGTTACATGTACAGAAAAAAATGAATTTCACCATTCACCTAGCCTAAGCTGCAATGGAGTGGAATGGAATGTCCTTCAACAACCAGTTACAGTTCCATGCAGCTGACAGTGAGCCACACCTATCGTGTGAGGGTTATTGATACTACTTGGCTGCCCAAACGTCGGTAGGCGGAGCGACCCACTGGTTGGAATTTGAGCACCTTGAGCCACAGCTTTACTAATCTGAAGTACTTGACCTATTTAACTACGGTTGATTATCGTGCTTTTATCTCGGACGATTAATTGATTAGGATTTTAGGGATCCTGATTAGTTTCGACATAGCTTTCGTCACGAACTAACATCAGTTAGAGGAACATTGAAAACCAAGGAGTGCTGGACATCTCCTTAGTCCTAGTTTCGGTCCCTTCAAAAATACAGACCCATAAACCAATCAGGAACCGAAACCAGGACTCTTGGGTTACGAAGACAGCCTGTTGGTCATCCAAACACTGGATTGGAACACAATGTCTGCCTTTAAATCTTACTTGTACAAACTCGTGGGTTGTTCGTTTCCAACCCAAATACTCAACGGTAAATGGGCTCTTCTCATATTCTAACTTTCTAGAGACCAACTGTAGTATAGCCGTTCATGTGCACTACTAAAGGAAGAAGCAACTGGTTTTCAATGTTCGTTTAAGACTGATGTCCATCACAGACGAAATCATCCTTGAAATCACTCGGGTGCCTACAAATCCTCATTCTGAATAAATAAGAAAGTAAATGACACAATGAATTTAAATGATTAGTAATCAAGAGGATTTCTCGATAAATTTAAAAACTATAGTAATCAAACTGCATTCAGTCCTTGTCATCCCTTTTTGTTCCAATTTCTCACAGTAATTTGTTTAAATGACTCTTGAGGGTTTATGGAAATATTTTCTTCGAATAAAATTTATGTTACCATAATTCTTATTTTGACTGTTATTTATTTACTTGTGGGTAGACGTCAGTTTACTTTAATAAATTAAACAAATAAAAAGCGAGCAGCTTACAGAATGTCTCAACCTTTTGCTTGGACACTAGTCAGTAATGTGTTTAGTCATACCTTCTGTGCAGACTGAATTCTATCAGTCATGTTTGCAATGTGGCCACCATGCTAGGTGGCTTGCCATCACAGTGCACTGTGAATTGTTGGTATTAGATGGTTGGAGGCAATCGGCAGGAAGCCTTGGACCTAGGTTTCGTGCTAGTTGGCACTCACCAGTCAGCAAGGCGTATCAGTGGTAACATCTCTGACTGCAGCACTGGGTGACGCGGGTTCGAATCTCAGAAGGGACATGAGTTCCTTCGAGGTTGCAGATACGCCTTGCTGATGAGTACCTGCTAGCACGAAATCTAGGTCGAAGCCTTCCTGCCGATTGCCTCCAACCATCTAATAATACTGTATCTTCTGAGGTTATAACTGGTATACTCTATCATAATCGGAAAAATCCCTATTTATTCCAGCAGAAACCTGTGCTACCAGTGAGTTGAAAAAGACACTAAAAGAACACCCCTTATCTATTATCTCACTGAATACTATCAAATGAGCTGAATGTATAAATATTATGGTGTTGGATGCGTTACTAGTTTGGATTTGTAGGTAGTATGTTGTGTGTGATATCTGCTTCAAGAATCTTAATTAACGAAGTGACAGATTCCATTATGAAGAGAAAAACATGAAAGATCCTAGTGGAACAATACAGGAAGCATGTAATGAAGACAGTGCAAGCAGAATGCGAATAAATTCTGCAAATTCATATTTGAATGAAGGTTTTTGTATATCGCCGTATTATTATTATTTCCTTTAGTTCCTAGAGGAACATAGGGCTTCAGCTGCACGTCTCCATTGAGTTCGGTTCTCTGCTAAAGTCTTCACCTGGCTCCAAGTCTGCCCACACGTTTTCATCTCCTCTTCACATGACCTCCTCCAAGTCACCCTCGCTCTGACAACCAACTCGCCGCTTCCCTTTCGGTTTACACTCGAGCGATGGCTTGTCTAGTGATGTCACTTGATGGTTTCCTCAGAGTATGGCCACCCAATCCATCTCCATTTCTTCCTGCCTATTTATTTCACAATCGGTTCCTGCTGTGTTGGTTCGCTCCCAGAGATCTCTGTTTCTGATCTTTTCTGGCCATCTGATCTTGAGCGAAGTGTTGAGCGAAGACAACTGTTAATGAAGGTCTGTAGTTTGTTTGAGATGCTCTTTATGACGCGCAGTGCAAGTCTCTGATCCGTATAGTGAGTATCACTGACTTCACATTGGGGTTGAAAATCCTGATCTTATTTTTGATGCTGATTACTGTTGACCTCCACACAGACTTGAGAGTAATGAAAGCTTGTCTTGCTTTCCCGATCCTCGCTTTGGTATCCTTGTCAGTTCCGTTCTCCTGTAGTTGAAACGATGCTTCCCAGATAGGTAAAAGACGTTGTTTCTTTCAGGTTCCTCCCATTTATGCTGATTGTTGTCTGTTGTTGTTGGTGGTGGTGGTGTTGCCCAGGAATCTTCATCACCTCTGTTTTCTCTATGTTTACTTGGAGTCCTATCTTTGATGCTTGTTCTGCCAACTTGTTGCTTTTCACTTGCATATCTTCCAGCTTGTGGGAAGCCATGGCAAGTGAAGCAGAATATATCGCCATAACTTTATATTATTTTGATATATAGACAATTCTGCCACCAAGTAATACTGTGTTCTGCCATTGAAATGCCAAATATATTTATACGAAAATTTCTCCTCACGACTGCTTTACTTCTTGTTTTCCTTTTCAAAGCAAACTTTATGAATGTTTGTTTAATATGGAAGATTTGGAAAAACGAATGAAACCGATTGATGCATTATGGATTCAAATTGAAGAGCAATTAAGGTGAGTAAATCAATTAGTTACATACTGCTGATGATTTTAAAACTAGGATGAAACAGCTGTCCAGTATTCACTGGTTTTCAGTGGTTCTCTAACTAATATGAATCTGTGATCAGCTCGTAAAAAACAAAACTAATCCTTACAAACCAACTATAGAAAATATGTAATATAATGTTGAAAATACATTGAAACAATCGTAATACTGGCACGTCAGAAAATATTGATCGCTTTCCGCTTGTAAATGTTGTCAGTCGTCTGACTGTGCTTTCTTGTTGTGTTTTCTAAAGATGACTCTTTTAACATCTATGTGTATGTAACCTCTGGCTGTGTTACGTAAAATAATACTATTATGATTGCAATTCAAGAGAATGAAAAACACTAGACAAACAGGAATAATTTTTTTCGACAATGAAATGAAACATGTAAAATTCTTGACGATTCAGTTTGTTTAACTCTAGTAAGTTATGACCTCCAATGGAATTATCTACTTTCGTGAGTATTCAAAATGTTCACAACCTGTAGTTTCGCAAGTTTCTAACAAACATGAGAAAAAGCATTATGATCGATGTCAGCTTATCCCAGTACACGAGATGATCATTCCTGTGTGGTGTCATTGGTTCACGAAATGTACTCTTGAACTTTTTATAATTAGCATTCAGCAAAATATAGTGTATTTCTCAAAAAGAAGAAGAAGAAGAGATATCATAATGGCGGATTGGTTTCCTCGTCAGGTCAGAAAGAACTGTGTCACACGATCTACTGTCAATTAGTCTTTTATTCGAAGATCCCGGACGAAGAGGAAGTATCACTGAATAAACTCCGCTGAAAATTCTGTACATAATGTAAACATCATTCAGAATAAAGTTATTATCACTCAGTTGTACTTTAAAGAATTAACATCTCAGTTAATGTTTCCTCCTACACATAATTCTGCCATAGTCTTTATTATATGCATTTGTTAAAGTTATTTTGCATTTATCGTTCACTGATCATGTTGAGTCAAAATGTACTGTCTCGGCTGCTATATTGCTTCCTATTACAGAAGCTTTGATGATACCTTGAGATAAATATAATATAGATTTCTTGTTGGTGGCTAGAAGTAAAATTGGTGGGTACTGGGATCAAGTATCGGAGGTAATACGAACACTCACTGGAGATTATAGGTGTATCGAGATGACAAGTCTCAAATAGGATGAAACACACATTGTCGATTCCACTTCTATCCACTGCCAACGGAGTGAAATCCTGTTGAAGTTAGTTAGCCTTTCCTGTTGATTGATTTTACTAGACCAAAATATTCGATCTGTGTTGACATGTCAGGGGCACCTACCACGGACGCTTTGACGATGTCTAAGGATTATCACTATATGGGTCTAGGAAGCTCATTCAGTCCTATTTGGGATCCGTCGGTTAGATGTACCTGCAATCTGTAGTGGGTGATGGTGTTTCTACTGAGAATCAAAACCAGCGTCGATCTTTACGAGGTACGCCAAAGCATTATCCATAAAAGACTGCGGGAAATATAAAATCAAAACAAATACAGGTTGCATCAGAATTGACTCTTGTGGTTTAAGTAGTCTAGTGGATAACGCCTAGTTATTTGAAACGATTGATACAGGGTTCGAGTCTCTGCAGGGCCACGATCAATCACTGAGAATGCAGGTGTATTCAGGTGACAGATTCCAGATAAGACTAAATGTGCATCACTATCAACCAAAGATTAATGTCTGATTATTAACAAATCATTTACTTGTCGATACAAATTTTTACATGCTATGTATGTCGCCATTCTAAACATATGCTGTCTTACAAGAAATTATACAAAATGCGTAATTCCATTATGGGTAAATTTTGTTTTGATAAAGTCTCACAGTGTTATACAATAATGTTTACTGATGACGTTTCGAGCACAATTTTTTGCTCATAATCATATCATAATCATACCACAGTGCACAAGTTTTATTCTTATATACAAAATGCGCATCGTTGAGTCCACCGCTAATCACCATTTATCAAGTGGCATCGTGTTTATTTTATTCATTTGAATAGGAGTAGGAAAAAGGTATTCTAAACACCACTGACTTAGGGCTAAAACAACTTATTTAACAATAAAGTTTGCGGTGATTGAATTATTTTATCACGAATCAACATCATCATGGACAATCTCTTGAAAAGGGGCTAAGTAGACCAACAACTCTCCAGTCGATGTCATTTCATAACGAAATCTAGTTTAAAATTAGCAAATTAATTATGGACGAGAACTTAACAGTTAGATCACGGTTCTTATTCTCATAGACGAGAAGTGAGGTAAAGTAGCTACGAAAAATTGAAGATATTAAGAAGTTCCTGACAATACTGAGAAATGGTGATTAATTTGAGGTAGTTTGCAGTTGATGAGAACCTGTGAAATAGAATAATATCCTTTTATACTGCAAATCTGGTCTTTCTTTCTCTGTCGAAATTTATCAAGGGAACTAAATGTATGAAATGGTGATTGTGTTGCATATAGGAGAGTGGTTGCCAGTCATGGGCAATTACATTTTGATTGTGACCCACCATCTGATAGTTAATGCGTTTAACACAAAAAACTGGAGATCTTTAAGTCGTACATAGACACTGCTGACGTATTTTAGACTAGAAAGAAAAATGAACAGCGGTTCAATACTACTTAGCTTCAACATTTCTGTAGAATGATGCCCATTCTTGACACAAGCAAGTGAAGAAGTTCAAGTTTAACTAAGAGAAAAATTGGGGGAATTCATACACTTTTTTCCAAAAACCAAAACTTCACGAAAGCAAGAATCAAAATGCGGTGAGATTTTCTGCTCACCTATTCACAAACTATACACACTACGAGTATGCATCTAACACAAAGAATTAGATATTTGGTTGTTGATGGGTATAATCATATCTAGACTGTACATTTCGTGCTATTTGTAGGACTTGTCTATTGAATATAAGTGCATTTCTAGTAGGTGATGTTGTTTCTGCTGAAACCTGAGCCCAACACCGATCGTCACAAGCGCCAACGCGTTATCCACTACGTTATATTGAAAATTTCAGTGAAATAAAATCAATTAACGGGAAATTCAAAATAATACTTTTATTAAGTTTTCATTATTATTCCTTAGCGCGTCGGTGGCACAGTGGTAGAATGCTAGATAACCACACATGTGGTTCGGGGTTTGATCCCCGGCCGACGCACTCCTAAACCTCGCTAAACCGGTAATAAGACAGGTAAGGAGGGAAGGTTGGGCATGTGGCTAGCAATCCCATCCTGTAAAATAAAACCACTGCTACTGAAACTCCAAGGCTCTAGCTTGAAGCTCTATGTTCCACTAGGAACGTGAAGGGTTCCAGTTGGGATATAGGGCTCCAACAACACATATCCACCTTTTTCTATTTGTTGCTGTCCTTTTCAGCTGGGTCCACAGTGGCCCATAATCTCTCATCTCCTGCTCGCACCATATTCATAGAAAAATACAGTGGTGAGCGCGTCGGTGGCACAGCGGTTAGGATTCTCGCCGACCGTAAACATGGTCCGGGGTTTGATCCCCGGCCGACGCACTTCTTTATCTCGCAAAACCAGTAATAAAAAGCTGGTGAAGAGGAAAGTTTGGGCATGAGGCTAGCAACCTCATCCTGTAAAAATAAACACTGCTACCGAAACTTCAAGCCTCTAACTTGAAGCCCTATGTTTCACTGGGAACGTGAAGGAAAAAACAGTGGTGACCGATTAATGTATCCATCACAGTCCTACAGAAGGTCAATGGTGAACCTGAATAGGTCAGTGATAATGTCTTTGACTCTAGTACTGGGTGACGCAGGTTCAAATCCCAGATAAACCTCTCTGATGAACGCTAACAAACACGATACCTAGGTCCAGGGCTTCCTGCCAGTTGCCTGCAGTAATTTAACATCAGTTCAGAGTGCATCGCGATGGTATGCCACCTAGCTTGGTGACTGCATTTCAGACTTGACCGATAGAATTCAGTCTACGCCAACATCAAGGGTTAAACTCATGACATTGGTTACATCCTAGTAATCAATAAGTATAGTAGTGTAAATAGTTAAATATCAAAGAAACCTTTAAGGTTGCTCTAAGAATTGATTGTTTATAAGATAACTGCATGAATATTCTTTTGAAAAAAAGAAAGGAGCTTAGATAATGAATGGAAATATCATTTAACTGAAGACGGTAGGCCAGTATAACTGGCTACATTATCTGTATAGTATTTTAGAACAGCGTGAAGGCTAAGGTGAGCTATATTCAGATGACAGTAAGTTTCCAGAACAAAACAGAAGTAACAAAGTTGTGTTTAACAGATCTGACGTGAACGTTTTTCTATTAATCGCATCACCTACTGGTTACTTTGAAGACTTTCACTTTGTTCACATCGTGTCCAGAATTTATCAGTGACATGCCGTCAGACTGCTTGATATCTCCAAACTATTGGTCCTGATTTCTTTGCGGTGTGTTCATAAAAGTATGTACCACAAAACATAAACTATAGACGAATTTTATGTTCTAAATTCATTATTAGATCAACTTTCAGTATACAGTTATTCGCTAAAAACTGTCTTTTTGCTTCTATCTAGGCAACTTGAAACAGTCTTTATACAACTGGAGGCACAAAGTAATTCATCAAATATCCCAATAAAATCTCAGCTTACTTCGCCTTTCATTTTACTGAAACTACAATACTTTAATTATTTAAAGAATATAAAAAATTATAAAAGTCAATTAAAACAAAGCGTTTCATACAATTTCAAATTATACACTTGGTTAAATTGTCAATTGACGATATCAAAACATTTTCATAAATTAATGAATCAGTGGTTAACTAATGGTCTGTCATCATCATTGTTTGAGGTATCTCTACCATCTGCTGTAATCATAAATTCAAAATTATTATTTAATTGGATTATTAAATGTTCAATGATCAATTCATCAGATGTACAATACAAATTAATAGCATCTGTAAGTTATTTTTACAATAGTTATTTGTTGATGTTCACATTATTGGGTTGAATAGGGATTTGGGTTAATTTCAACCCCGATTTCATTACAAACCAAAATTAGCTGGTCACTAAAAACCAGGCTGCACGGGATAGCTATTTCATCCTAGTTTAGGACATTTAATCATTTTGCAGCCATGATCACACGTAGAGTCGGTACCAGGACTTTCAGGTGACCAGATGAAAAGAAACAGCTGTCGAGTGGTCCCTGATTCTCTAACTGATGCTGGTTCTTGAAAAAATCTTTACTGAAACTATTTGTTGATATCAGGATTTCATCATGAACTGACAGCTGTCTCACCCTAGTTTGGGACTCTTCATCACTACGCATCCACTGAGGTTTAAACCCAGGGCATCCTGGTTACAAGGCGACCTCGTAGACTTCTAGGCGGTTCAGTACTCACAGTATTGCTAATGATCCTCTAACCGATGTCAGTTCATGACGAATTCCTCGAACCAACCAAATCCTTGCAAACCAACACTTGCATATAAATCTGATGCTCACTTTTCACTGGCCCTAGGTACCTGGGTTCTAGTAGGAAGCCATGACCAGTGGGGTACAGCAGATCGGGTGTGAGGAGAAACACTTGTCGCCAATGACATGCGCTAGTGGTCGGGCCATATCAAGGATTAGCAAAAGTTGGGATTCATGGGTTGGTCACTGGATCGGGTCCCAGTGGCTTGATGGTCTACGAGCTCGCCTTGTAACCAGGAGGTCCTGAGTTCGAGCCCCAGTGGGGTAGTTGCGTACCGATGAAGAGTCCCAAACTAGGACGAAGCAGTTGTCTAGTAAACTCCGTTGGTTTTCCAATAGTACTCTAACCGATGTTAGCCCATAATGAAATCCTGAAACTAATCGAATCAAATCCCTGTAAAGGAACACTTGAAAATTTGTTGACAATTAGGCATTGTCTGAAAAAGCTGCTATCACATCAATGATCAATCACTTCTGTTCAGCAGAATATAACGATGAGAAATTACAAGCAAAAACCGATAGAAACTGATATTTCTTGTGCTTCAGTGTTTCAATAGCTTAGTGAATAACTTTATCGAATTTAAGGTGATAGTTATTTGTCTCGAGTCCCACTAGAAAAATAAATTACTTAATTTTGCTTTAAAAATTTCATTTATGAACTTGAAAACAACGAGAACGATCACTGGAGTATAACAACAGTTCCCGTTTATTTCAAAGGTTCACTTCCTCTGTGTACAGCGTGTAACGATGAGTACAGCCGGCTGCAATACATCTTTGACATAATTCAGTTCATTAAAGGAGGAATTAACCCATTGGCAGTGAACCATGTAATGTCGTCATAGTGAAGTAAAACAATGAAATGATAAGTGAACTAATGTATACAGCTGAAGGTGAAGCGCAAGCGGTAGGTGTTAACTTTTTAACGTGGCCAAAAACAAGATGTTCAAGGCAAAGAAATTAAATTTGCTACCATATACTTCCTGAATGGTGTGGTATTTGAATGCTAACTTCTTATTCTTATCAACCATAATTTTAATCTTGTATATACTACTGATTGATTGATATGAGTAAACAGAAACCACTCATATCAACCAGTAGTACTCGCCAGACAGATAAAAGTGATCTAAACCCTTGACGGTCAGTTGGGTTCGTGCTCATCAAACATGCACCTAGTTAAGCCTAGCTCAAAGAACCAAATCAATTCAAACCGCTAAAATTCTGACCAGCTACTTCAGTGAACTGGTAATATATGGAATCAAACTGACAATTTTCCAGTTACAAATTTTGAGGTGTAATTTTACCGTGGTTTACTTGTGAAACTAAAATTATTGATAACACAACATGTGATCCACCTGATACTGCTGCTGCTGCTGGATTCAACATAGAACTTGGCACCGAAGTGCAGCAGTTCGAGTTGCCATGTTCCAAATAGCACACAAAGGTAGACAGGAAAATGAGAGAAGAGAATCAATAGAATTTAGATAAGTATAAGAGTGAAACAGAATGAGTAATGGTTGGAAGGAATATGAAGGTTAAAGAGACTGAATACATCTGCGCTACTGACAACGATTTTGAGTCATGTCACCTATTGTCTCCAGCCATTGATTCTTAGAGTCCCGAGGGCCCCAACCCGGAAGTCTGCATCTCACTACCTGACTCAGTTTAACTGTCAGGGATTTCATGGATTAATGCCATGTGTTTGTTTGGCCACCACTTACTCTCTTCCAACCTGCACCTATATCAGCTAGTAATGCCCGTCGGGGGAGACGATGCTAGGCATGCGCAGCACGTGACCTAACCATCTCAATCTATGTAACTTCATAGCCTCTTCGATTGATTTTCCCTCTTTGCCCAACACTCTACGCCTAACGTCAACATTACTTACCTTATTATACCACCTAACGCGAGAAAGAGATAGTAAACATCTGTGGTCAAAAACAGACAATCTCTTCATGTCTTCCTCTCTCAATGCCACGTCTCACCGCCATAATCCACCTGATACCGTGAATACCAATCAAGAAAGCAAACGATATAGTATGACCGATTGTTATGAATAGTTGGAAACCACTAACATCAACCGAGGTAGTTTGGAATGATTCAAATCTTTCACTTGAGCCAAACCTTTAATGTATCTGTCGCCGAACGAGTCAGCCGGCCTTCCGATGTTTAGATCAATTCGATCATAGCTAGGACGCACTACTGGTTGATGTGAGTGGTTTCCGACTACTAACACTGTGCACCATCATTAATTATTAGCTATAATGTAATAAGATGAATTCAACTGAATAACTTCTGACAGTATGAACCATATGCATCTTAGACTAAGTCATTAGCCGATATCCAATAAATAACATTTCAGTTAAACTCTAGACAATGTTAAGACATTTATTAAGGGAGCATATACCCAGTGTCTTCATATAATAAAATATTTGGAATTATAGCCCGATGGTCATCAATAAAATTGCTGTACACTGACATCTCTGAAAATACGCTGTCTCATTTCCCATCATTTGAATCAATACAATGAGTCTAAAGATGGAATGTTGATAAGAACATTTTCTAATTTGTTCATTAATATTCGGAACATAGTGGAATTAATTGAACTATGGAGGAAATAAGAAATAATGCTCAAGGATCCAAGCAGCTTACAAAAGATTTCTACAACCGAAGGATTCATTAACTTTAAACACAAGATTCCTGTGTGGATAGAAACACTATCTAGAAGCGATCAAAGACTGAAAACTAGTCTATACTGCTGTCATTACTGATGAAAGTAATTTGATGTTTGGCAGAGTTAGCACATGAGAGTAAAAGGGAAAAAGAAACATCAGTATGCTCATTCAAGTAAAGAGTGATGACAAACAGAAGTGGTTACCACGGAAACACCGATTTCCCTATTTGTAGTAGATATCTTTTGGGCCTGTAGTAAATGCAATAAATTTTAAAGCAGCCTACGTCACAAATCAACATGGGATAGAAAACCATTGAAAAATTGACAAGCATAAAAAGGTTGTTTTCTATGATATGGAATCTTACAGTAGTGCTCAGTCATGACTCATTCTCAGATTTGGAGTAGGATCACTCCGCACTACGGTGAGCATATTGGTTTGGAATACAGAGAGGCAAGAATTTCAGCTTCTGCCCGTTCACGGTATAGCATTACCTCATATCTTATTTGGTTTACCCTAATAGTCATATCTTTTCACTGGAACTTCTGAAGATCCCTCTTAAAATCAGTCATTAATGAGAATTGTTTAATTATTTATGTATGAGGTTTAGGGAGAATTTTTTGGTTTTAAAGCGGTTCCTTCACAGTGATTATTCGCCAAGAAAACATGGCAGCTAAGGAATTATGGTACTTTATGCCACGTTTGGTAATGAATAACCTTGTAGATAGCCTCTTAGAATATGATCTACATCGATGCAAATACGATGAAGAAAGGATTTCATTAAAACACAGGCTAGGCACATTACGGGTACGAATGCACCACGCAAATTCCCATAGTGTTTGCAAGGACTTAGATACTGACCGAACCACCAGACAGAAGCAGGTGGTTGTCTTCAAGATCCAACCTCATGGAGTCATTGACTTGAAGTATTATCCACAAAGCAGTAGAGTGGCATCAGGTGCTACCTTTCCAGGGTCTCCGGTGACCAAAACAGCTTAATACACCATACAATCTGTTCAGAATCTTGAGCCCAAGTGCACCACAGGTTTGAAGTCAAGGTTTTCCAGCTCTCTTAGGTAGACCAGCATGTCCACCAGTCTGGTTGTAAGCGCGTGACGTTCACATTCGTCCCTTCACTTTGTGAGGAACACCTGTGCCACGTGTAGGCAGTGGACAGGCCTTACCTGGCATAGGCTATGAACGTGTGGTCGCATGAGAGCATTTCGAAAGGAAGACCGAAGTTAACCCATCCTCAGCAGAAACAGGTTGTCTATGGGATCCATGAGGAAAGGAGGTCTTTTCACAGCCTGTTTTAATAAAGCCGCAAGTCATGGAATTCATACTTGGCTATAATGTTATTTAACATGTGATTTACATTTGTTCTCTAGTGTTTTCGGCTTCTATTTTCTAAATATTTTCAGATAATTAAACCAGGAGATAGAAGTATATTCAACAAAGGAGTAATCATCACATCTATTCGTTTACTTATTCATCAGAAACAGGTTACAAATAAAAATGATGAACAAGTGAATATTAATTCAAAGAATCCTTTAAAATTTACCGATGTTGTACATTTACGGCTAGCTGTTGTACCTATTGAAACCTTTAACACAATGAATAATATCAACGCTATATGGATTGAATCATGGTCATTAAAAGAAGAGACAGTTTGCACAAGTATACCGTTAGTGCTAACAAATGATCAGAATTGGTACCTCAATGATTCTTTACAGATTTACTTAGTTACTGATTATACCTTGTAAAGAACACACTGTTTATTTAATTTACTATAAATTGATCAAATTCTGTTTATTATTCACAAATACATTGATCAATCAACGAATTTTAGTAAATAAAAAAAATTATTTTCATTAAAATTTGTATTTTATGAATTAATTCATGTGTTTCCGCGTAATACGTGGTTCATTGTCCGGGAATCGAGCAAGGTTGGCGATTATCCCACCAATGTAGTGCTAAACCTCGCGTAGACAGTAGTAAACACTGAAAAGAGGGAATGCTAGCGTGAGGCTGGTAACCTCATCCTGTAAAAGAATAGCGCCGCTACTGAAACTTCAATGCTCCAACGTGAAGCTCTGTGTTCCACTCGGAACGCAAAGGAGTAGGAAAATAATATATATATATATTGTTTCATAATTAAATAAGACTGTGAAAGTTATCACATTACTACTACTGAATAGAGTGAGTAGTTTTAAATTACTTAGTTTAATCAGTTTTGATCATCGGTTTGTAGAAGAGCTGATTACAGTCCCATTCTTTACTTATGGTTTACTTTATTTACGATGTACTCGGAGTGACTCAACACAAAAGATCGAATTATTTTAAACGACTTTAATTCTCGGTATGAAGTTGATTGAACTAAAGGATGATACGTTGTTGCGCTTAGTTCTTCAATAAGTATGAATCAACAAATTTGAATAATTAGCTGTGGTGAATATAGTTGGAAACTACTCACATCAAACAATAGTACTTGGTAGAGAGATGGAAGTTATTTGAACATCGGAGGGCTGATCTTCTCGTTTCGAATCCTTGTCCTTCAGAGGTTTCTTCCTGACTAAGTTCAGAAATCTGAATCTCTTCAAACCACCCACATTCAGACCGTCTACCTTCACGAACTAGTAACACACGAAATCAAATTCTCAATTTTTTAACTACACACTACGAGGTAAGAGTTCACTATGCATTCCTTTGGAAACTGATATTACTCAGATCCGAATATATGATCTGATTGACACAAGCAGTGGCAATGAAGAATCATCCTGGAGAGACTAAAAGATGCACCGGATGCAAAACTCCACCGAGAGCAAGCTGGCTTCAGGAAAGACAAGTTATGTGCAGATCAAATTGTAGTGCTGTGTATCCTTGTCCAACAGAACGTAGAATAGCAGTCAAATCTCTTGCTCAACTTCATCGACTTCCAAACGTCCTTTGACAGCATCGATGGTCAAGTAATTTGGAAACTACTTCAACACTATACGGTGACCCATATCTACATCATTCAACAGCAATATGAAGGTGTCTCATATAAAATGCTTCATGACGGGAAATTCGGCTATGACTATGTGGTGAAGACAGTCATAAGACAAGATTACCTACTATCTCCTGTGATATTACTAGTTTCGTTAGGCTGGATCTCGCGCCAGACCATGCGATAGGCATACATTGGATCAATCTGTACTTCTCGGATAATTTATGTCTGATGTCGCATAAATTCAAAGACCTACAGGTGAAAACCAACAAGCTGGCAGTGAAGACAGGACTTCAAGTGAACATAGGGAAGACAGAAGTTGCGAAGACAACCAACAAACACTAATTACCGTTGACAGGAAATTTTTAAAGGTAGTTACCTCTTCCACTTATCTAAGCAGCATCGCTTCGACTACGGGAAGCACGGATGAAGATGTCAAATGCAGGATTGGGAAGGAAAGGTAGACCTAAATCACTCTGAAATGAGTGTGAAAATCTTCTGCGCTCATTATAAGGAACAAGATTCTAATTTTTAACACTAATGTCAAGGTAGTGATTCTATATGATTCAGAGACATGACGAGTTACAAAAAAATATTTTCAACAAACTGCAGACTTTTATCAACAGCTGCCTACACTTCATACTGGAGATCAGATAGCTAGAAAGGATTAGGGACAAGGGACTCTGGGAAAAAATCAACCAGGAACCCATTTACTAAAACTTTTCCTAAAGGAAATGGACTGGAAATACTCTGAGGAAACCATTGGGTAACATCACACTCAAGGCAGGCCCTAGAGTGAAACCTGAATGGGAAACAAGGAATTGGGTGTGTGTGTAGGGTAGTGATATGGAGAAGATCGTGTAAGGGGAATATGAGAGTTTATTGGAGATCGTGGAACTAGCTAAAGAGCGCTGCAAATAATAGAGTGAAACGGCGATATGCTGCTGAAGCCTTATGTTCCACTCGAAACCAAATGAATTAAAAATAATAATCTACTGCTTTTCGATAGGAGTCAGTGCTAATAGAGGCAGCTTTGTATCTTGAGGTTAATATCAATCTAGTAGATAAAAGACAAGTAGATCAGCGAAGAGTTACCCTTCTCAATCATATCATTCTCAAAACGCAACAATCGCATATATTAGTAGATAAAAGACAAGTAGATCAGCAAAGAGTCTCTTTTCGGCGAATTCATTTTCAAAGCTGTACAATCGCAAATATATATGGTTATTTTGTGTGTGTGTGTGTATACATTAAATTTGTCAAACAAAATACGGTCAGTAAGTTCAAGTGAATTGGATGTTGATAAGAGGATAGCAACAAAAGTGATGAGTTGTCGTAAATGATTGTTAAATAAGAGTTACGTAATGGCAGGAATAGTTTGATGAATGAGTTGTAGTCAAAGGGTGAGCTCACCCTTACACAACATACAAGCATGGCTCGAGATACCAGAGTTCTTGCTATCGATGCGTGTTGTCCGATTTGGCAGAGGTTCGTGACGTTGAATGCTGCTATATGAAGTTGGCGACGTGGCTTTAAGAGGCTGTTGGGGTTGTTTCTATGGATCTCATGGTTGTTTGTGGTCATAGAGTGAAGTGAAGATGACTAACTAGCCTAAAGAATAGTACCGACTGTAGTAGGGAAGTAAGATAATGAAGGTGATGTGGGGAATGGAGAATGATGCCTAAAAAGCGTTCGTGTGCATTTGGAAGTATGTGGGCGGTTGTTACTTCATGGCTGCCCACATCGTGGAAGTTGATTGGTGTTGTACGCTGCGCCAGTTGGCGACAACCGAAAACATACATCACATTTCATACATTTTATCCAGACATCAGTGCGTAGAATGCACAGGAAAAAAATACACCCGCGCATCACCCCCAATGAAAACGTTTATCCACAGGTGAATGATACTGGAGACCAGAATGCTTGTCACCACCTGAAAATGAATAGAGAAAACACACATTAGGCATCATGTCTCAGTCTGGTCCACATTTGTGCAAGTGAAATTCTCGTCTGTTCGGATAGTGAAACTGTCGGTCGTCATTATAGAATTTCACAATCATGCAATAACAATGTCAACGCCATTGAGAAAAGGACACGAGTATTTCATCAATTCACAACGTATGACTTCCAACTAATGAATACGTCATTTGAGTATGGCATTGTGCAAACAAATCAGCTAGCGTACATACACGTATCAGGAAGTCGGTGGGGCGAGATCATATATATTGTCACGAAGGTGGAAATACCGAGCATTTTGCAAATACACGCCTAACAAAGACAAACATTGAGTGGAGACAACCTACTTCATCAATTCAAATAACAGCTGGTGTGCATAGAGAAAACGAGATATTTCACATGCACAAACGATTGCGAAAATGTGAAGCATATCTCACCTTGAAGGGATGAATGTCGGAGCAGGTCGACTGTGGTTGGATAAATCGCCTTTATACGTGCATTGTCGACAGCTGAAATCACTAGAACTGTCAGAAGCAGGTAGCAAATCTGAACAGAATGAAACATGAACATCACCGTGAAATGTCACACACAGACTCACCATTCTCACTGAGTGCCAGTGATACCTATCGATGGTGAGGATGATGATGATGGAAACCCAGGAACACGGGCACGTATTTATAGTTTGCGAGAAGATTGTGATGCAAACACATGTGGTGGTCGTTCAATGAGTGTGACCAATAGAAATAATATGATGTGCACTGTTCATGTGTTTGGATGAGTGACGTAGAATGTGAGTGTTTCGTTCGTGTTAATGCATGACATATCAGTGTTTAATTCAGAGTGTGAAGGGGTTATGACGATGATATTTTGTTGTATCTGTGTGTGTATAGTTTTTAGTTGACGTGAAAGAGATGAAGACATGATCAACCAATCTACAGATCACCCACTCACACTGTACATCACAATATTTCTATTGGTCATACTCATTGAACGACCACCACATGTGTTTGCATCACAATCTTCTCGCAAACTATAAATACGTGCCCGTGTTCCTGGGTTTCCATCATCATCATCCTCACCATCGATAGGTATCACTGGCACTCAGTGAGAATGGTGAGTCTGTGTGTGACATTTCACGGTGATGTTCATCTTTCATTCTGTTCAGATTTGCTACCTGCTTCTGACAGTTCTAGTGATTTCAGCTGTCGACAATGCACGTATAAAGGCGATTTATCCAACCACAGTCGACCTGCTCCGACATTCATCCCTTCAAGGTGAGATATGCTTCACATTTTCGCAATCGTTTGTGCATGTGAAATATCTCGTTTTCTCTATGCACACCAGCTGTTATTTGAATTGATGAAGTAGGTTGTCTCCACTCAATGTTTGTCTTTGTTAGGCGTGTATTTGCAAAATGCTCGGTATTTCCACCTTCGTGACAATATATATGATCTCGCCCCACCGATTTCCTGATACGTGTATACAGGCTAACTGATTTGTTTGCACACTGTCATACTCAAATGACGTATTCATTAGTTGGAAGTCACACGTTGTGGAGTGATGAAATACTTGGATCAGACTGAGACATGATGCTTAATGTGTGTTTTCTCTATTGATTTTCAGGTGGTGACAAGCATTCTGGTCTCCAGTATCATTCACCTGTGGATAAACGGTTTCATTGGGGGTGATGCGTGGGTCTATTTTTTTTCTGTCCATTCTACGCACTGATGTCTGGATAAAATGCATGAAATGTGATATATGTTGTTGGTTGTCGTCAATCGGATAGTGTACAACATTTATCTTTTTATCTAATAAAAGAGG